CCACCTCCCGCCAGAGCTCCTTCAGCCCAAACCCTGGCCCTGGCCTCCCTGGCTGCCCTGCTGTCCCGGGAGACTTACAGCGCGAGGGGCCGCTGGGTCACGGGGGTCCCGGAGGGTCCCAGAGGGTCCCGGAGCTGGAGCCAGAGCCAGAGCGGCTGCCCTGTGTCAAGGGAGAGGGGCCGTGAGCGAGGCTCCCTGGCGGGGCGGGGCGGGGCCCTGGCTACCTGAGGGCGGGAGCCAGCTCACCTGGCGTGTCTTGGCCGAGGTCTCGATGTAGGGGATGCCGTAGCTGCGGGCGAGGTCCTGTGCCTGCCGAGACTCCACTGTGCGTGCGGCCAGGTCGCACTTGTTCCCCACCAGCACCATGGGCACGTCATCCGAGTCCTTCACCCTCTTGATCTGCTCCCTGCAAGGAGGAAGGCGTGACCGAGCCAGCAGGCTGCAGTCAGGACTGTGCCCAGACGCACAGCAAGCATGGGGAGGCCTCCGTGCGTGGCAGGCAGCTCACCGGTACTGGTGAATGTCCTCAAAAGATTTGGTGTTGTTGATGGCAAACACGCAGAGGAAGCCCTCCCCGGTGCGCATGTACTGGTCCCGCATGGCGCTGTACTCCTCCTGACCCGCCGTGTCCAGGATGTCCAGCAGGCACGTCTCCCCATCGATGACCACTTGCTTGCGGTAGGAATCCTGCGGGAGGACACTGATCAGGGACGCCTCGCCTCTGAGGCCTGGGCATCAGCACCGCCAGCCATCCCCGCACCTCTGGCGTCTCAGGCCCTGTGCAGAGGGGACCCTCCTACACAGCAGGCAGGGGCCCAGCCCACTTGTGGACGCGGGGCTGGGGCGAGGGGCAGACTGCTCACCTCGATGGTGGGGTCATACTCGTCCACGAAGTGGTTCTGGATGAGCTGGATGGTCAGGGCGCTCTTCCCCACGCCCCCAGCACCCACCACCACCAGCTTATACTCCGTCATGGCTCCTGGAGGCGCTGCAACACCCGGGACTGTGGCGGTCTCCTGTCCCACCTGCACAGGAAGCCCCATCAGCCTCGCCCAGGCCCCACAGGGCAGACCTGTTGAGCTCTGGGCCCCAACATCCAGGTAATAGACGTGAAGGCAGAAGGATGGCCCACCACCCACTTGTGGCTCCTGCAGCACGGGGAGGGCGGTGGCGTGGGGGGCGGGGGGGCGGGACCGCCTCTGGCCTCACAGAGTGACTGTATGAAAGGCAGGAAGCCAGCCCCCGGAGAAGCAGGACTGACAGCTGAGAGTACCTCCCTACCATGCACCCAAATTAGAACTTGCTGGGTAGGCAGAAAGCCTGAACTGGAGGTGCCTGAGGCTGAGGTTACCAGTGCCCGCCCCCCAGCAAGAACAGGTCCTGCCACAGTGGAGCACAAAGCAACGTGCCCAGGCAGGCCAGTGTCAACCGGCAACCGGTTCCAGGCCCCACTGGGCATGTGGGCGCACTTGACAAGTACTACTGAGCACCTACTACAAGCCAGGAGCTGTTGCAGGCACCGGATGATGGGCAGAGAAAGAACCCAGCCCCCTAATCTCGGATTCAGCATAGCTCCGCGGAGGAGACCCACACGGTTAAAATGACAGGAGACCTGTGGTGTCCACCTGCCACGGGAACTTTGGAGAAAACAAGGCAGGTGAGGAGGCCAAGTGGGCCAAGGGTTCCGGAAAGCACAGGTAGACCAACAGGAACAGACCCAAGGATGTGTGGGAGCGCAGGGAGACAGATGGGGGAGACGGGAAAGGGCCCCGGGCTAAGGCCCCAGCTGGGGTGTCTCCAATTTCTGACGTTTAACGAGGGGGTGCCCTGGTGAGGACAGTAGACTTCCTAAACCTCAGATTCGCCCCCAGCGCTCAAGCTCTTCCAAGGGGTCCTGGGGAGTATAAAGGGTGGGAAACCCCGCCTAGAGCATGGCCACCCGCGGGCCTCGGCGCAGGGTACACCGCACACTGCCTGAGGGCACTTGGAGACCCCAAGGAGGACAGGGCCAGGCACACGGAACGCGAGAAGCTGGCCAGGGGAGGCACACCCAGGGTCCCCGCGGCCCACAGCCCCGGGACCCGGTCACCAGCCGCAGCGCCCCGCCCGCGGCTCACCTGCGCCCCCGCGCACCCCGCGAGGACTGGGACTCCCCGCTGCTCTGCTCCGCCGCCCCGACTCCAGTGCCCCCCACCCGCTGCCGCCGCCCCGCCCCGCACTTACCGCTCACTGGTGCGATTGCCCCGGGGGCCGGCACGGGCGGGGGAGGGGGCCGGGGCGCGCGGCTCCCCGAGTGCATGGGCTCCGTCCGCGGCGGGTGCGGCTCCGGCTGCGGGCGGCGGGCGCGAGCGCGGGCGGCGGACACTCGCCCGGGCCCGCGCACGCGCCGCCCTGCGCCTGTCCATCAGTCCAGCGCGGCCTTCCATTGGTTGTGCGCTCCGGACTCAAACCAAGAACCGCCTATCTCCGCTCCGGTTGGCCGAGGGGCCGGCCCTTCGGTGGCTGCGGCGGGCGGGGCTTCCGGGAGCCAAAGGCGCGGAGGGCGGTGCCGGGTTGGTTAGCCCTCGTGGGCCGTGGCCCGGGGACTGGGGGGAGGTGTCGCCGCCGGCGCCGGAGGGTAGATGCGGAACTCCAGCCGAGCGTCCCAAGCCAACAGCTTCTCGGAGAAGGAAAGCCCGGACTTTCCCAGGCCGGAAAGATAGAGACCGTGCAGAGGAGCGAGTCGGCTACCGGGTGTGGGCTGGGGCGGGGTCCCTGGGGTCCCTGCCTCCGGCCCCTGAGCTGCTCGGGCCCCCGCGCCCTCCACGCCGAGCTCGCGGCTAAAGCCGCGCCTGCGCCCTCAGAGGTCTCTGCGCCGCGCTGCCCACCTATGGCCCCGGAACGGAAGAAACAGTCCTCAGGGAGGGCGGAGCCCGCAGGGTCAGTACCGCGGGCGCCCCACAGAATTCTGGCTGGAGAAGGCAGAGGGGCCGCCAGATCGAGGGTCGGTGCCAGGAGCAGGCCGGGGCTGCGCCAGGAGCCTGGAATCCTCAGTGGCAGGGGGGCCGGCTGCCCTGCACCCCTTTCCCCGCAGGTGGCTCTGGGACGGCTGCCCCCCTTCTCCAGGACTCCTGGCAGCTTGGGCGGGGCACGGCTGTGCGCCCAGGGGCAGGCGGTGCGGGAGCGCCTGGGCTGAGCAAGGGCATCTGAGTCCGCGGACAAACGAGTCTGGCTGGGAACTTAAGCCTCACGTCGCGCGCAGTCTGTCACCCTCTCTCCCCTAGCCTCTCTCAAATTAGACAGGCCCTACAGGCTGCCGCCCTCCCCGCTTCCCCCAGACCCGGAGGTCCAGACCTGCAGAAGCTCGCTGTGTGACCCAGTTAACAAACGGTGCCCCACAAATCCAACGCAAAAGTTGAGTTGGGGTGTGAAGTCTACCTCACCCGAAGCACAAACGTGCACAAAACTGGCTTCTTTGAAGACTCTAAAAAAGACACGTTTTAACATTTCTTAAATTTTTATTTTTTTAACATTTTTTTAAAGATTTTATTTATTTATCTTTAGAGGGGAAGGGAAGGAGAGAGTGAGAGAAATATCAATGTATGGTTGCTTCTTGTGCCTCTCCTGCTGAGAACTGGCCAGCAACCCGAGCATATGCCCTGACTGGGAATCTAACGGCGAGCCTTTGGTTCGCAGGCCCGCACTCAATCCACTGAGCTACACCAGCCAGGGCCATTTCTTGAATTTTTAAAGTAATACATAAACACTCTATTTACAATCAAGAAAGGTGCAGTGCAAATTAGGCTCAACCACCACCACCCACCCCTCTCCACCAGGCCCCCCCCTCTCACGAAGACTCCAATGCTCTTCCCCTGAGCTGATCCCACTACCGGCCTTGACCTGGGCGCGCCCCTGGGGGGCTGCCCCCACCCCAGGGCGGCACCAACTCCAGGTGCTGTGGCGGTGTCCGGATGGCCGGACCGTGCACTGTGCCTCGGCGGGAACACATCCCGATCTCTCCAGACGCGCGTATAGATGCTAAGTAAAGGCTGATCAATGAAAGGGAGCGGCGGTGTCCCTTGTGGGCGCGTACCTGGCCAGTCCTCCAGGTCTTCACTTCCCTTGTCCCCAGGGGGTCCTTTCCCATGGCGCTTCCTTTTAATGTGGCCTCGGCCTCACTTGCTGGTGGAGGTAAATCTCGCCGTCGGGTCAACCCTCACAAGGGCGGGGGGCGGGGCTCACGCCTAGGAAAGGTGAGCGAGAGTCTCCACCACAGAGCGCCTTTGCGCGTGGGGCTGACACTTGGAGGCTCTGTGCCCACCCTCCGGCCTGATGGCGTCTCTTCACTGCAGCTCGAGTGGCGCCCACGCTCGAGCCCAGCAGCACCTGCTGGGGGCTCCCAGCCGGCGGCGGTGCCCTCGCCCTCTGCCCTGCCCTTGACCCTCCGGGCTGCCATGACCACCGTTACTAAGAGGTGTGCCTCGGCCTGGTTGGTGCCGGCGTGAGTCCACAGCTCATGAATATTTGATTATTCAAATGAGGTCCTGCCCCTCCGTTACCATGGCGTCCAAGTCCCGCAACCTCCCGGCCGGAAGAACAATCCCGTATGGGAGAGAGCGGAGGGTACCCAGGGCCGGCCCGCAGGGCTGGGAGCACTGGGGCAGAGCCCTCAGGTGAGAGCCGAGGGCGCCTTTGAGTCCAGGGCCTCGGGCTTCGCTATCTTACTGGGGCCAGAGGGGAAACTGAGGCCCGCGGCGGGGCGCGAGGACTAAGCAGCAAAGCCAATGGGGAACTCAGTGATATATCCCCAGATGTTAAATCTGGTTCCCTGAGGACCCTGCCTGGAACCCCGTGCCGTGCTGTAAGAGGGTCCTGTCACTGGGACTGCTGCGGGCCCAAGACCTGCCTTTCCGGAGAGATGAGAGGGAAACGGATTCTGGGGTGGGAGGGTCTCCATGGTGGCGACTTAGAGGGGAGTAGACCCTAACTTCAGAGCCTCTTGCCTAGTGGTGAGGGTTGGAGTGGTGGAGGGGACCCAGAGCACTGACCAGCCAGGCCAAGGGCTGGCACCAGCCGGGGCTCTGGAGACAGAGAGGGGTGGCAGGGCCACATGGAAACGGCCGTGGACAGTGTGGGCAGCTTTGGGCCAGTGCAGCAACATGAGGGGACAGTGTGTAGATGGGAGCCACAGCCCTGCTCCTTGGACCCCAAGACCTTTGGGCGAGACCAGACAGATCCTTGGGGCCTTGTCCAGGGCAGCACCTTGGGCTCTTCCCTTAGAGCAGCCCACGGGGCCCTGGGCCAGCCCGAAACTGGCAGGCCTGGGGTAAATGTGGGCAGCCTCTTCCCAGGGGGTGGAGGGGTGGAGCCCTGCAAGGCTTGGGGCCTGTCACCAGCTGGAGAGAGGCGGCAGCAGAGGGAACTTTTGGAAAGAAATCCCGACCGGAGACTCCATGGGACTCCATGTTGGGGCTCACCTGCAGAGCCTTGGCCTCCGTGGGCTTTCCATGTGGGGGTCCCCTTCCAGATAAGGTCGCTGCAGCACTGGGGCCTGTGCAGCATGTCTCAGGGCCCAGCACCGCCACACAGCCTGGCCTCTCTAGGGCCGGGTTGGGGGTCTGTGACCATGGTGGATCTCGAGTGTCCCCAGGGGCTGACAGGCATGCACAGCAGCACCACGAGCTCCTGGGCCAGCATCTGAGCGCATGGCGGGCGTCCTGCCCACCTGTCTTGGGTGAGGAGCTCACCCAACCCAGTGAGATGTAAACCACGGAGGACCGTAGACTGACCAGTCTCATGAGGACGGTCCATCCAGGAAGGGTGGTAGGGAGCATGGAGGTGGGGAGTTGGGGGTCAGGGAGCCTCCACGCCAGGTGGAGGGAGGTGGCCAGGGTGTCACAGGCAGACTCATGGGGCTGGGCTCCCAGATGATCCCAGGGTTTGGGGCCAGTGGGGATTGGAACGAAAACCAGGCACCAGCATTGGAAGGACCCCAGCCCCTGTCGCCCACCTGTCTCCTGCACTGGCCAGGCCAGGTCCCCATCAGGGCGGTGGAAAGGGCTGAGGCTGACAGCCCCTGTGTCCTGTGCTGCTGCCTAATTCTGGGCCAGGGCCCGGCCAACCCTGCTTTCTCTTGGAGGTACTGCCTGAGGCCACATGCCACCCCCTTGCCCGGATGTGTGACCCACTGAGGGAAAAGGCTTCTGCCTGCAGGTGAGGGGCCTCGGTGGGCACAGAGACAGGTAGGGCAAATGCCTGAGACCTCAGTCCTGGGCCCTCAGGCTCAGAAACCGTCAGGTGGGGAAAACAGCACAGGGCCCGGGTGGCAGCCTGCTCCTGGTCAAGGCAGGCAGGTGAGCAAACGTGATCTGGAGCCCGCTCCCCTCTCGTGGGCTCTGAAGGGGCACAGGAAGGGTGGCCCGCCCAGGCAGGGGGTGTGACAAAGCCCAGGAAGGGGATGGTGAGGGCCCCAGGCAGGCAGAGCAGGCGAGGGCACCGTGGAGCCTTCTCCAGCCTGGGACTGAGCAGCCCTGTGCCTGTCCCGGCAGGCTGGGTGTGGATGGACCAGACCCAGGACAGGGCCCCTGGTCCTCGGCCCAGCACGGCCAGCATCCAGGTGAGGGAGCTGAGCTGGCAGGGCCTGCACAACCCCCGCCCGCAGAGCAAGGACCCAGACAGCGGGGAAGGCCTGGGCCAGCGGCTGGTGGAGGAGTGCCCGTCACCTGCCCGACTGGTGAGTGCGGGGCACTCGGGGCTGGGGGCCCAGGCTGTAGGGGCCTGCATGGCATGACGTTCTGGGCTGGTGTCTGGCCTGCCCTCTGACCCGGCCCCGCTGGCCTTGTCCCCTGTGTGTGCCCCACCCCCAGGACCGACTCCAGGTGCCTGAGGAAACAGAGGTCCCCCAAGTCCTCAGGCCGCAGCAGGGGCGGAGCCAGGCAGAAAGTCCTCGAGTGTTTGCCGAGCACCCACCGTGCCTTAGGCTCTGGGAGCCTCTCTGTGAACACAGGAGGGCACCACTCACTTGTGCTAGTGGGAGACGGGGGGCTGAGGCCCAGGCATGCAGCCTGCAGGGCAGGCGGCGAGGGAGATAAATGACGTCATGACCTGTGAGCGTCACATCCTCCAATCACCTCCGGGCAGCTGCTGAAGGCTTTGTCCCAAATCCAGGGGGGAGCTCACTGTTGCCCCCACCCGCTACCCTCAGCCCACAGGTTCTGCCGATCCCCACCCAGCAACCCCCCTAAGCAGCCCTGGACCTCCCAGCATCCCCCACCTTTCTCCCTGGCTTGCCTCTTGTCCCCCATGGGCCATGGTGAGGGGCAGACTGTGCCGAAGCCCGGGCCCTGCCTTGCTGCACCCAGCTGATACCCCAAAGCATTCCCGGGGGACACTCAGCAATGTGCCCCCAACGCGCAGCCTCGCTGCCTGAGATGCCCACCAACCTTCCTGGCCAACTCAGAGAAGCAGAGAAGCGTCTGAGCTCTCTGGCGCTGCAGGTGGGAAGGACACTCCCACCATGCCCCTCCCCTGCCTCCTGCTGGCTGCTCAGTGACATTTATGTGGCCCTCTAGCCATGCCTGTGGTGCCCACTCCTCCCCTCTGCCCCATCCAGCAGGCAGCTGTCCATCAAACAGGCCTGCCCTCCAGCTCAGCTCTGGTCCTTCTGCACCCCCACCCTGGACAGCAGGAAAGGGTGGGGCTGGGTCCAGCTTGGCTATGCCCAGGGAGAGCGAGGAGTGGAGTCTGGCAGGCAGTGACCGCCAGGACGCCTTGCTGGAGCCAGAGAGGGGCTTGGCCTCATCAGCTGTCCGTCACCGCACCAGAGCCTCCCAGGCCGGGCCAGGCCAGGCGGGGATAGGTCAAGAATGGCCTTGAGCAGGCTCTGGGGAGGGAGGGACCGCTGTCCAGTCCTCCGGGCTCACTCCCCATTGGTTTCTGCAGCGGGCCCTGGCCCAGGTGGATGACCTTCGGCTGGTGAGCGTGCTGGAGATGCGCGTCGATACCCGTGAGCACAGCCTGGGCAACTTCGGTAGGAGCCCGCGCTGTCTGCACCCACCACAGTCAAGGCTAGGCTGGCTGCACTGTGAGGGCCTGCTTTCTGGGCTCTGCGGTGTGGACCCCTGCACCCCACGGGTCTGCCCCTCACCCCACAGATCTGCTCTGCACCCCTCTTTCCCGGGACAGGAGAGGGGCTCGGTCCCGCAGGGCCAAGGCCCGGTCCTTTGTAGGAGTCAGTAGCCCCGAACCCTTTCCTGGAGAACCTGGGATGCACAAGGACACCGGCCGGGGGGTGGCCATGCTCTGACACTCCAGCTGATCGGAGGTTATGGTCCGGGGGCACCGGAGTGACCGTGGGTGGGCCCTGGGGGGCAGGACCCAGGGTTTGGCGGCCCCACCCATGCCTGCTGGCTGCCCTCCTCCGAGCCAGCTCCTGGAGTCCAGGGGCTTGGGGCTCCCCCCCACGTGGCCCTGTGGACTCAGGTGCACCTTCTGCACCTGCCCCATGCATTTCACTGGGGCCTAGCCACAGACGGAATGGTCACTCTGGGCCTCAGAGCGGCCATCAGGCGGCAGGGCCAAGGGCAGCAGGGCATAGAGCTGGGGAGAGAGTCTCGAGGCCTGCCCCCAACCCCTCCCTGTGGCCCCACAGGGCTGCACCTGCCCAACCTCAGCCAACTGAAGCTGAATGACAGCCGCCTGGGCTCTGTGAGGTGAGTGGCCCTCCCGGGGACCACAGGGGCAGGGTCCTGCGGGAGTGGCAGGGTGAGCTCAGTCAGGGTGAGGTCTCAACTGCGTGGGTCCCCATGGAGAGACCCCTGGCTGTCCTGCGGTCCAACTGCTGGCGCCAAGACGCCCCTCCTGCCGGGGTTGAGTTGATAGCCTGCCCCCCACCCCCCTGTCAGAGGCACCTGCTGAGGGAGACACCAGGCCCCGGGTTCTGGGTCAGGCCCTCTCACTGGGTTGTGCGGCTGACAAGGTTTCCAAGGACCCACAGTGTTGTAGCCGAAGGTGCCCACAGACCTTGGATAAAGGATCCCCAACCTGTGTGGGGGTTCTGCTGGGCGCCTCAACACCAAGCAAGGCCTGAGGATTTGAGGCATCCCTGCACCGAGAGGGCCAGAGCTGGGGGTTGCGGGGAGGGCCGTGCGTGGAGTGGGTGGCTCCGCCTCACCAGACCGACACAACAGCACACCCACCACTGAGTGAAAAGGTGGGTGAATGGCCCCGTTTCCCCCGTGAGGCTGCAAAGGGCACAGCTCAGGAAAGCCAGACCCGTCTTTGGCTTTGAGCAAAGTGGGAGCTTTGAGGAGCCCGCCGTCCCCTGGCGCCAGGGTGAGGTGGTGCCACCTGAGGCCCACAGGGGCCCACGCAGCCCCTCCCAGTGCCGCCACACCAGGGGGCAGAGGGGTTTATTAAGCAACCTTCTGGAAACGTTTGTTGGTTTTCCTTATGGACAGTGATGTTGATCAAACTCGCCTCACAATGAATTTAGTAAAACACGTGCAGATCTGGCCGGAGAAGCCTGCCGCAGGTGGCCCTAGGTCCGGCTAGGAGGCACCTGGAAAATGTCAGACAGGCACCCTCAGTGCCAGCGGAAGCAGGGTCCCAGCAGGGCGACCCTGTTCTGTTAACAGAGACAAAACCCATTTCCTCCTTCATTGTTAAGGCTCACAAATTAGCTGGAAGACCAATAAAGCACAGGAAAAAAAAATAACCCTAATTCCAAGAAAACAAACGAAAACAGGGGATCCAGGAGGGAAGGACCAGACCAGGAACCCGTGGGAGCGTGTTCTGCGCCCACGGTCAGGGATCTGTCTCTCTGTTCCTGAGTCTCCAAACCCAGGCAGACGATGTTCCAAAAGACGTGGAGGGAAATTTGTGAAAGGAAACGAATGTCACCCTATGGTCCGACACACTCCCGCCGGGACTCAGCAGAGGGGGCCGCAGGACACTCAAGCCGCAGGCAGGGCCTGAGATGGGGGTGTCAGTCCGGCCGCCGAGCGAGAAAGCAGCCCGGAGACAAGTGCTGCGTCCCAGACCCGGGCAGCCAGCCCGCAGTGCCCGTCCGCCCCGGCCTCTCAGGCAGCAGCTGTGGAAACGATGAAAAGAATTGAACTGAGTTTTCACAACGACGGCCTCGCCCGCGTCTCTGCTGGGCTGAGGGCTGAGGCCTCCTCCCGGGACCCAGGGCTCCCCACCAGGGGGTCTGCCCTCTCCCTGTTCAGTCCTAGCCCCCTGCACAGCCTGCTGCATTTGGACTTCAAGGGGCCCTCTGCCCACTCCCCCCATGGACTGACTGTGGGGCTCCCCCAGCAAGGAGACACTGTGCTCTGGTCTCTCCCAAGCTGTGCATTTGGGCTGGTACCTTGGGAGGTTGGCTCACACCTCCAAGGTCTGTTCACTTTCTGGTTTCAGTTTTTACTTTCAGGTCTTTTTTTTTTAATTAGAGTCCTTTTATCATTTTTTACCTGGGGGAGGGCAGAGCCAGCCTGCTCACTGGGGAAGAGCCAGCACTGTGGCCTGAGGCCACAGGGTGCCGTCAGACAGGCTTCCCGCAGAGGGAGGTGGGCAGCCAGCCCCGCAGTCGGGGGTCGCACAGCCTCCAGCCACGGCCCGCCCAACAGGCCCCCGGGGAGCCCCCACACAGGCCTCCGAGCAGCTCAGCATTTCCAAGCAACAGTTCAGACCCCCGCCCCCGCAATCTGAAAGTCCATAAGCTACTAACGGTATAATTTAAACACGACGAGACCTGCCACGTGAAGGACAAAGCGAACTCTGGAGTGAAGGGTCCCAGAGGGACAGAGAGGGTGGGGTGGGCAGCAAAACTTCCGAGAATCATTCCCCGCACCCCGAGGGGCACAGAGCAGATGTGCCTGCTCTGCATTTCCAAGACCCCAGCTCGCGGAGAGGAAAGGCCAGGATGCTGCGAAGCACCTCACGGATGAAACCGGCGGGGAAAAGTGTCTGTAGCAGAACTGGAAGAGAGGGCCTGTCCCGGAAGCCGACACAGGCAGACAGAGCTCAGGGAAGGGAGACGGGAGGGGAGGGTGCCAGGGCCTCTGGCCGAGCACAGGCACACAGGGGCTGCAGCTGGGAGAGGAACGAAGATGCAAAAGGGGGACACCCGGCCGCTGCGGCTCCACGCGCTGGGTGCCACCCTGCAAGGAGAAAGGTCACTGGGTCGATTCCTGGTCAGGGCGTGCGCCTGGGTGGCAGGTGTGGTTGATGTCTCTCCCTCTCTTCTTCCCTCCCTTCCCCTCTCTCTAAAAACTAAAAACTAAAAAACAAGTAAGGTCCCAGAGGCTGATGGGAGAACGTGCAGTGTGAACCCACGTCCTCTGAGCAGGCGTGGGACACCCAGGCCACGAGGACCCCTCAGGCACAGAGGGGCCCAGAGAGGTCAGGGGACAGAAGGTCTGTCCCCGGTAGTTGTCCTAGTGTGGATGGGAGTGCAGGGGAGTGGCTGGCAGGGGGTGGGACCGCTGGTGGTCGGCAGCGCTGTAATGTGGGCACACGGAGGGAGGGAGCGCACCCTGGCTGAGCCCCCACCCCCACCGCAGCAGCGGCAGGTGAGGCGGGGCTGGCCCACCCAGGGGGCGGCCTCCTCCGCCAGGTGCAGGCCCCTGAAGAAGAGGAGGAGGTGCAGGACACCCTGCCGCCCAAGGCCAGGGGCTGCCGTGAGGTGGGGAGGCAGGGAACCCCTTCCTCGGCCCAGAGGCTGCCTCCAGCCACACTCACAGCTGCCCCTGCACCTGGACGCGGCTCGATGTGGGCGGCGGCTGGGCCCGATGCAGGGCTCTCCTCCCCGGCACAGCACTGACCGCCCCGCCCCGCCCTCCACAGAGACCTGGGCACCTCTCTGGGCCACCTGCAGGTGCTGTGGCTGGCTCGCTGCGGCCTGGCTGACCTGGATGGCATCAGCTGCCTCCCTGCCCTGCAGGTGGGTCTGTGGCCCCAGGGCTGGGAGGGGGCCCGGCCTGGCCCCAGCTGAGGCCCCCGTGCTGCCCAGGAGCTGTACGCCTCCTACAACGACGTCTCGGACCTCAACCCGCTGTGCCTGCTCGAGCAGCTGGAGGTGCTAGACCTGGAGGGCAACAGCGTGGAGGACCTGGAGCAGGTGCGCTACCTGCGACTGTGCCCGAGGCTGGCCACACTCACCCTGGAGGGCAACCTGGTGTGCCTGCGGCCGCGCCCCTCTGACAAGGTGCGAGTAGTGGGCGAGGGAGGGGGGCCGCTCCGTCGTGGCTCTAGCCCCGGCCGTCCTGTGGCCAGGGGTGGGCCAGCACGCTGCCTCTGTTGGCTGGGGGCTCGTTCTTTGTGTTGCTGGAGGCCCAGCAGCTGCCACTGTGTCCTCCAGACTGGGACCAAACCCCACACGTGCCCTGTGTTGTGGAATTGTGTGTACACACTCACATGCACACACAGGCCCTGTCCAGAGCTGCCCCCGCCCCCAGAAGCCTGTGCACAGCCACAGCCAGTGGGAGCTCACACCACCTGCCCTGGCAGCTGCTGCTCTGGCCACCTGGGCCAGGGCTCTGAGCTCAGGGCAGCTGCACAGGCCAGAGGGCTCTGCTGGACGCTGGCCGTGAACCTGGACGGCGAGATCATGTGGGTGAGAGCCCAGTGTCCCCAAAGTCCCTGGAGCCCGACTGGCCCAGGCGGCCTGGCAGGGTGGGGTGGCCCCACTGCTCCAGCCCCCTGGTCACGCCCCACAGTGGGTCTGGCAAAGCGGCCCCGGGACAGAACTGGCTGAAGGGTCCATGGCCCCAGGCCTGCTACCCCTCTCTGCCCCTACAGGTGCCCCGGGGCTACAACTACAGGGCAGAGGTGAGGAAGCTGGTCCCTCAGCTGCAGGTGCTGGACGACAGGCCCGCCACACACACAGGTCTGCCAGCCTCCCGGAAGCTGGACCAGGACTGGCTCATGGTGAAGGAAGCCATCAAGGAGGGCAGTGTCCTGGATGGCCTGCATCCCAGGCTGGGTACAGCAGCCACCCACCTGGCCTCCAGCAAGGGCTGCCCCACCCCCGGCCTGGGGATCTCACCCTCTGGGCCCAGGAGGGGTCTCTACCCCATAGCCACCCCAAGACCAAAGCTGTCTACCACCAGCCCCCCACCCCCAGGCCTTGCAGAAATGGAGGGCCCCATGTAACCCCCCTTCCCTGCTTTAACCACTCGTCCTGGAGCCCTGTACACCTGCCCCCCTGGCCAGCACACCTCCCCAGGGGCACCTCCTATCAGAGAGGGAGAGGAGGTCCGACACCTGGGTGGTGGGGGCCCCTGGTCTGTGGGAGAGCCTTGGGGGCTCTGGGGCTGGCTGGTTGGCACGGTCCTTGGTGACCTCTGGTTTTAACCTTTGGACAGGTCGCCCCCATGGGGACCCCACTCAGAGATTCGGTCCCGAACGATCCCTGCCTGTCCCCAGGGCTCCCAGGCCTTGGCCCCTCCCCCTCCTGGTCCCGGGGGTTCCCCTGCCTGAAGGTCTGCACCCCAAGAACCCGGCCCCGGAGGACAACGCCAGTGACCTCACCCACGGTAACTGACCCGCCTGGGCGGGAGGCCGGCCCGCTGTCCTGGAGCCCCAGCCAGGCCCAGCACACCTTCTTCTGCAGGCGCGGACCAGGTCCTCTGTGGAAACCCCACCAAAGGCCTTCGGGGACGGCAGCACCGGAGCCAGGTGGGCCCTGCCCCCCGGGGCCGGGCCCCCAGTGCTGGCACCGCGTCCCAGCCAGCGTCCCAGCTTTCAGTCTCCAAAACGGGCCGATGTCCTGGGCTCTCCTCCAGAGTGCCGTCACCATGCAGGGCCAGCCCTGCGCATCCCTTGCCCTCCGCAGCTGAATAAGTCTTTCTCCTCCCAGCCTGCTGCCCACCCAGACCCTCCAAGGCCGTGCCCCCAAACCAGCCCTTTCCCTCCTCAGGCCGAGGTGCCCCCAGAGCAGCTGCCCCCACCCAGGCTGGAAGACCTGGTCACCCGGGCCTGCAGTCCGGGGCCTGGCCCTGCAGAGAGCCGTGACCTCCCAGCCATGGCTGGACTTGGGACGTGGAGGGGGCGGCGCCTGCGGTGCGTGTTTCTCCCTGCACCGAGCCCGCCGCGCGTCCTGTCTGATGGGGGCGCTGGCTGGGGGGTCACTGGTCCCCAGGGCGGCTGGAGGAACTGGTCATGGGAACCGGAGGCTGGGCCACCATCCCGGAGCCACATTCGTTTGGGACTGGCTCCCAGAGGGGCAGAGCTGCAGCCTCTCCCCTCCCACTCCCCCTAGGCACCCGAATTCCGGGCAGGAAGGAGCAGCGGCCCCCCGGGGCTCACAGAGGGGCCATGAAGAACGACAGGATGGGACAGGGCCTAGGACTTCCCCCAACTCCCCAAGCCTGGCCCCAGGTACTGAGGGAGACCCTGCACCCCCACCGGGGCCCTCACTCCCCAGGCTCAGAGAGTGGCTGTGGCCCCTGGAGGTCCCCTCCTGCGGGGGGGAGGGGGCTCACAACAGAGGGGACAATCTCAGGTGCCCCTCCCCTGAGCCCATGGGACCACGAGGCCACCAGGGATGGACAAGAGACAGAAAGAAGGCAGCCAGCAAAGGGCGAGTGGCAGGGGGCAGTGAGAGGACAGGCCTAGGGCCAGGTGCCAGCAGAGGGACAGAGCCCGCCGGGTGGGCGGGAGGCATGGGCAGGGCGGGTGCCCCCTTTCCTCCTGCAGACAGGGCCTGTGCTGGGCTCAGGCCACAGGATTGGCCAGTGAGTGGGGGGCCCTCCCCCAGGGACGCAGGCTTCTGAGTGACAGCGGCTGAGTGGGGCCAACCCAGGCGGCTGTGCAGCAGAACCGCAACCCCCACCCCCATGTGGCCCAGGGAGGCTTCCTGGAGGAGGGGTCTGGTCCAGCTGGTGGAAGGGGGGGTGCACGGGGGGGGGTCATGGTAAGCAGGAGCACAGGTTGAAGGTTGGCCAGTGACCCTCCTGTGTCCTCCCCATGGGGGGACAGGGCCAGGTGCCTGGGGGAGGGGCCAGAGAGGGTGGACCCTGAGATCGGGTAGTTGAGGGAGTCGAAGGCCAGCCACCTAGTGGAGCAGTGGCAGTGAGCGGCAGGCAGGGCAGCCAGCAGTGGTGGCCGGAGTGGGGACAGACAGTGCAAACTCGGGGGGACGGGGTAGCAGGGCCTCCCGTTCCAGACTGGGTCCAGGTGGGTGCTCGGTGACCCAAGCCACATCTGCCCTGTCGGCCCCGAGGCGGGTGCTGGGGCCTTATATATAGCGGGGGTTTAGGAGGTGACAAAGGGCCGCAGCCTTCAGGCAGGCCCCAGTGACCCAAAGCCAGAGCCCGGGCCTGTGGCCTCTGCCTCCCCAGAGGTGGCTCCAGCTCAAGTGAGGGTCAGCGGGACACTGATGAGGGGCCACGGCTTCCCTGGGGAGCCCAGGGAGGGGGGCAGGGAGGTGCCGCCCGGGAGTGAAGGGCCAGGGGAGGGGCCGCAGTGGACGCTGCAGGTCTGCCCGTGGTGGCCCCCACCTGGCAGTTCCTGGAGGGACCCTTGTCTGACAACCTCTTCCCTTGTTTTCCAGGACCTTCTAGGACCTGGGGCTATAACCTGCTCCCCTCTCCCCCCAAGGTCCCCGTGCCACCTGACTCGAACAGCAGCTGCCGGACGTCCAAAGACCTGCAGCTCCGGGGACGGCGGCTCCGAGCCCTGGGCAGCTCAGGGCCTGGCCTTGGTCAGGAGATGGCCACAGTGGCCGCTCTGAGAGCCCTGGAGCTGGCCTCCGGACGGGGCCCTCAAGCCCAGGGATGTCCAGGCCCAAAGCCAGCACCAGATGCAGCAGCAGCCAGACCCACGGCCCTGAGGTGCCTGCCGCACCTGAACCCTCTCACGCCAGCCCAGTCCCACCCCTAGCGCCCCCCCCCCACTGCCCAGCTGGCCAGGACTCTGGCCAAGAGCACCCCAGCTTGGCTGTGCAGCCTCCAGGAACCCAGAGCGTCTGGGGTTGCTGTGGGATAGCAGGCGGCTGGACCAGGGGAGGCCCCTGTTGCTGGAGAGAAGTGAGCGAGAGCCCAGGGCAGCCTGGCTGCCCGCTTCTTCCATGGCTGAGCTGCCCAGTCCATCCTGGCAGGCCCTCCGGCCCCTGCTGGGGCACTGTGGCCCGCAGGGCAGTTGTCCCAGGCACAAAAGTGTGGGGCCAGGCCTTCCACCCCCTGGGAATGCGTAGGTTCTTCCTCTTGGGGCAGGAAACCCGGAAACCAAGAGAATCACTTTCGACTTCCAAGTGCACAGAAATGCAGTTTACTTGGTAGGTGACGTTGGTTCAGTAAATTACGCAGCTGCCACTGCCTGCCTCCTGCCACTGCTTCCTCGTGCCCCCTTGCTGGCCCGTTGGTGTCCTGGAGCTGGCCGGGAGCGCAGGCGCCTGCACTGCCCAGCCTACACTCGCCTGCACGTGTCCACGGTGATGGGTGGGCAGCTGGGTAAGCAGAACCTGCTCTGCACCGACAGCGCCACCATGGGGCAGCCCCGGTCGACGCTCTTCCGGCACACCTGGGGGGCGCGGGGCCTGAGAGGCAGGCCGAGAGGTGGGGCGAGGAGGGCAGGAGCAGTCCCCCCAGCCCCGGGGCACCCCCTGCCAGCACACTCACCCGGACTGTGGGCTCCATCTCAGACTGGTAGACCGTGAGGCTCAGCCTGTCCTCTGTGTGGGACAGCGATGGGGGTGTGGGCCAGCCTCCCCCTCCCATGGGCCCTCCCTCCACGTTCCCTCGGTCTCACGGGCAATGGCAGGCAGCAGCTCCCGAGCGTCGTCGTTCTCCACCCTCTGGGGCGGTTGGGGCACCTCCTGTGGGCTGATGAGCTTGCCGGTGGCCAAGCCTGCGGACAGGGCCTGTGTCCTGCTGGGGCAACCGAACTGTGAGGGCTCGAGCCAGCCCGAGGGGGGCGCCTATCAAGGGGCGGGAAGTGAGCAAGTGGGGACCGTTCCTATAGCATCTGAGGGACGGTTTTCTTGGGGGGGGGACCTGGGGAGGAGGCCAAGACCCAGGGCCACGCAGTCCCCACCTGGGCCTCCAGCTCTGCGCTCTGGCCTCCCACCTCCGACCCTTGCGCAGGGGTCCACGCGGGCGCCGCTGCTGAGGAGCGTGGGCCCCAGGCTGGGCCTCTGAGAGTGGGAAGCGGTCAACGGACAAGTCGGGGGCCTCGAAGATCCTCGAGGCAGGGATCGGGCAGTGCGGGGCCTGGTACTCGCTTAGAACCTGTGGGCAGCAGGGGCACGCAGTCACCCGACCCGGGGAGGCCTCCCCACAGCCCCCACCCTCCCCAGCCCTCACCCGGCCACCGGGACCCACACTGACCTGGCCCTCGGGGCTCAGGAGAAGAGTCACGAAGCTGGGGCTGGGGTGAAAGTGGACAGGCTTCCGGCGCACAGATGAGGGCGGCTGCTTCTTGGTGCAGCCAGGCCCCTCACCCCATACCTGGGGACAGTGCCGGGCACGGGTGAGGGGCGCAGGCAAGGGGTGGGGGCGCGCAGGCTCGCGGTGAGTGGGGCGCACCGTGAGGTGGTGCTGGGGCTCCAGCAGCGTGTGGGGCGGGAAGCGGTAGGTGCACGTGGGGAAGCCGCCTGCGAGCTGCTGCAGCGTGAAGCCACCCAGGTCGGCCGTCTCCTCTGCTGACTGGTTGAGGATGCGGACGAACCCCTTGCTGAGGCTCACGGCCACTACCTTCAGGCAGGAGGCGGTCTTTCTGGGGAGGGAGTGGCGGGTCAGGGCCCCTCCTGCTGGGAAAGGCCCCGGCTCCATGCTGTGTTCATCGAAGCCACACCTCCACGGGTGCACTGAAGTTCCGTGGTCAGCATCTGCGGCCTTGCCCGGCTGGTCCGAGTGGGTTTCACGGGAATCTGGAGAGATGCCCTGTTCCGGAGGTCCTGTTCGGAAGGGGGACCCCCATATGGAGCATCTGCTGGGCACATCTCCTGGGAGACCAACTGGCCTGCAGTGCCCTGGGGGTCCTCGGGGGAGAGGAACAGGCTCAGGGGTCCCATCCAGGGCAAGGCGGTCGCTAGGCTGGGGGGGGGGGGTAAGAGGAGCAAAGGGGTAGCTCGTAGCACTTGGAGCCAGAGCTCGGAGGCCTCCAAGACCGCCCTGATCCCCACAGATGAGGCAGGGGGGCCCCCACAGCCTCCCTCGGGGCTACAGGAAAGGCCAGGCTCTGGGGACCTCCTTCAGGGCACTGGGCAGCGATGCAGCCCGAACCAGGAAGACCTGCCCTGCCCACCTCCGGGCTCTGCATTTGAGTCCCTGCTGAAGTTCTTGGTTGGTGACACTATGTGCTGGAAAGAAATGTGGCCCGGCGACCGGGGCGGGTGCCCTGTCACCTTCTGCACCCCAAAACGCTCATCTAGCCGCCAGCTGCTAGAGTCAGAGTTGGCGCCCCTGGAGCTGTCAGGGCCCACGAAGGGCAGGGAGCCCCACTCCACACTCTTGAGACAGTGCTGTCTTCCGCCCGACTCTGGGCCACAGGCGTCGGGCAGTGAGTCCACTGGGGGCCGTGGGGGCGTCCGGGGCCGTGGAGGCGTCCGGGGCCGGGGGTGCCTGCAGGCCATGGTGTGCTCACAGGCCGCTCGGCTTCTGCTCCAAGGTGGGCCGGGCACCCCAAGTTGTGATCAGGGCCCCAGGACCCAGGCTGGGAAAAGGGCTCATGGCAGAGCAGAGGTGGCCCAGAGCCCTGCCCGGCTCCAGAGGTCGGTGAACTGGCTCTCGAAGGTTCTAGTGGGCTCGTCTGGGAACACTGAGGGTGGGACGTGGACTCTGGTCCACAGCCGCCAAGGCGAGCCCTCCCTCCCATCCTCCAGCCCCGGCGGGAGTCCCTGCCCAGCGCAGTCACTTGTGATCGGAGTTCGACTTGATGTTGGCCAGGAGGTTGGGGTACCGGTGGGCGATGGTGTTCCAGTCCACGTCCTCCAGCCGGAAACCCTGGCCAGGGAGCGACAGGCATCTGGCCCTCGCCCCCCCACCCCGCAGCCCTGCAGAGCCACGAACATGGGTCCCCCCGGGCTCACCTCCCGAGCAGGGGAGGCCTCGTCATTCTCAGAGGAGTCGCTGGGGTCCACCAGGGTCTCTGCTGTCACCACCTGGGAGAGGGACCAGAGGCCAGCGGGCAGGGGCGGGGGGCAGGGCGTCCCTCCCCTTCAACCTCACCAGCACCTGAGGTGTGATACACTTGCTGAGTGTCAGGTGAGCCGGACCCCAGGGCTCCTGCTGCCTCCCTGTCCCAGGTCACCGTCCAGAGGCAGCCTGATGGAGGCAGGCCAGAGCCCCCCAAGAACCACAAACGGACTGGGCGAGTTAGCCGGCTGCAGGGAAGTCTGAGGAGGGCCGGGGAGGGGACGTGGGAGGCAGGAGGGTGGGCCCAGGGGCTCAGGCTCACCTCCACACTGCCGGTGGACGACCGGAGCATGCGGCCCACCCAGGAGGAGTGGGCCAGCTGCACGAGGCAGGACTTGTGCAAGGCCTGCAGCTCGGCCTCCCGCTGCTGCAGCAAGGTCTGGGTCTGCAGCAGCTGCTCCTCCAGGCGCTCCCTCTCCTGCCCCAGGAGAGCCCACAGGTGGGGGGGGGTCTTCTCAGACCCCACCTGCCCAGGCCAACCCCTGCCCAACTCCCTGGTCCCCTCACCAGCTGGGCCCGTCCCTTTTGCTCTTTCAGCTCCAGAGTCAGCTTCTGGACCTGGATCTGCAGGAACTTTTCCTGACTGTGAGGGCCCCTGGGAGAAGGGGCGATCTCAGTGGCCCCCACCTCTGGGTCAGCAGCCAAGGAGAGGAGCCGGAGGGGCCCAAGGGCCCCCCAGTGCTTCTGGGCCGGGCCCATCAAGCTCTGGGAGGCCTGGATGGAGGCGGGACCCAGGTCAAGCTCAGCACCACAGACATGTTCAATCTTAAGGTCCAGGCAGGTCTAGGGTATGTCAACTCTTTCAGGGTCAGGATGGGGGGGTCAGAGTCAGGTAAAGGCTAGCTAGGGCTAGAGGCGTGGGCCAGGGTCAGGGTCAGGTTGGCTTCTGGGTCAGGCTCAGTGGCTGAAGTGGGGGTCAGAAGGAAACCAGCAGTTAGGGCCAGGGCTGGGTGGGGCTGGGAGCCAGCTTTGGCCACTGACCTCTGGAGTGGAAGTCCAGCCACCTCCTGCAGGATGCGGTGGTGCCGGGTGTCCTGTCGGTCCTGGATGGCACACCGCAGGGCTTGCATCTCCAGCTCCCGCTGTCCCAGCCGCAGCCGCAGAGTGTGGGGGTCCAGGAACTTGGGGACAGACCTGCAAAGCCAGGATCTGAGCCACTTGACCAGGCCCTGCCCTCTAGCTGGCCTGGCTCACGAGGCTGACCATGTCTCCCTCCCGTCCTTACTGCAGGTCCACTTGTGTGGGGCTGGCCTTGGTGTCCTTCGGGCATTTGGGAGCCAGCAGGTCTGCAGGCGTGCCAGCGTGGACGCTCTGGTGGCCACCGGCTGGCTCTTCATTCACCAGAGATGACGAAGCCCCTTTCTTAGCTTCTCCACCCTCATGGCCAGACTCGGGGGCCATGTGTCATGTTCTTGGAGGAGCCGAGAAGGGGTGGTGGGGCTGTCTGCCCTGCGTCCTGTGTGTGGGGCCCCCTTATGTGACCATGTGCACATCTGTGTGGCTGACAGCCCAAGACAGCACCTACAGGGTGGCTCTCCAAGGATTCCCGTGGGTGTGGGTGTCTACTCCACAGGACACCAGACTGACTTCGGGTCACATGGGTGTTTCTGATCAGGCCAGGGCACCAGGTTACAGCCCAAATATGTCACCTGGGTTTTCATACATTCCCTGTGGCGTCCCTATCGCCCTTGCCTGCCAGGATCCGAGGTGTCCCCCAGCCTACAGCAAGGGTCCCCAGAGGTGCTGGTCCTTAACCCAGGACACCTATGCCTCCCCAGACACAGCGTCCTACCTCCAACGCTCACCTGAGGCCTGAAACACAGGCAGGCCTGGGGAGAGAAAGGCCCCTAGCACTGCCATGGACACCAGCTTCCAGGAAGGGAGGGGCTGTTTGTTACCAGGAACCTCCAGGGAGACCCCAGACCATGGGCCTGAGTGAGTGCTGGGCCCCCCTCCCCTCTCCCCCAAGGGCTGGTCCTGCCGGAAGGAGAAGCTATGAGAGGTTGACCTGCTACCCAACTAACCCCCGAGTGCCCAGGAGACCACAGAGTGACCAGCAAGGCCTGCCTCGAGCATCTCTCAGCCCAGCATTCCAACCAGCGGAGGGGAGACGCCCCCAGTGCGGCCCCACCTGGCCGTGGAGATTGATCAGTGAGTGTGGGGGACACTGCTGCCCTGCCAGTGTGCCCACGAGCTGGCAGGGCCACACTCCTGGGGGCTGGGAGCTCACTGGGCTGAGTTGACAGTAGGCCTAGAAGCAGTGGACAGCGCCGGGGAGCGGGGGAGGGGCTTGCCCGACTCGTGCCCCTTCCGACTGCCTTCTCCCCTCTGCCCTCAGTGCCCAAGGCCCACCTACCTAAGCCCAAGCCAGAAACCTCACCTTCCCCTGCCTATCTCCACCACCTGGGCCTCCGCAGGGACCACGGGGGAACATTCCCATCACCATGACAACTGTTCCCTCTGCCCCGGAACAAAGGCGAGGCCCCAGACCTGACCAGCAAGACACGTGCCCTCGCGCATTTGCCCCCACCCCCTTCATTCCTTCTCCCTTCGTTTACTCAGACTTTCCGCTTCTGTTCCTGGGGGGCCTCCTGTGCTGGGCCGGACGCGGCAGGCGGGAGACCGCCCACTGCCCAGGCAGAACCAGTTCCGAATACCCCGCACAGGGAGCGCTGAGGCGAAGGGCCCTGGCTGATGACGGGCGTGGGCTGTCCCGTGGGACAGCAGGACTGGCCAGGTAGAGCAGTGTCCACAGCTCAGGAGGGCACTGGGCCCCACTGGGCGCAGAGTTGGTGGGAGTAAGCCTCCGACAAAGAGCCCGTGCCTCGGTCCCTGGCAACCCCGGAGTGGGCTCCCGCCCCAACCAGGACTGTCAGTCCGGCTGCAGCCAGAGGGCCAGCGGCGCTCCAACTCCCCATCGTGGGGCTCACAGCCCCTGAACCCTACGCGTCTCGACGACTGTCGTCGCGGACCTGGAGGGAGCAGAGTCGGAGGGACCTGGGGGCGCCTCGGGAAGGGTTGTCTGAGCTTCGGCGGGCTCGTGGGGACCCAAGCTGGCGCCCCCTCCCTAGTGGAAGGCTCGTCAGACTGGGCGACTTTTGAGGAAGTGGGTCCTGGATCGGGGTCAGACACCTGCCCCACGCGCCGCCCGTGGGCCGCCAGCTCCGACGCGCTTCCGCGTAGTTCGCGGGCTTCAGCGGTGAGTGCACCGGGACTCTGCCGGCCCGACTGCGCCGCTTAGCCCCGCCCACACCTGGGTCTCGCCGGGGGGGCGGGGCGGTAGGGAGCCAATGAATAAAGGCGGGGCTCAAAGAAGGTGACCAATGGGCGTGTGTGCTAGGTGGGCTGGGCGCATCCAGAAGCCAATGGAGGCCTGAAGGGCGGGGCTGGGCGCTCGGGCTGCGAGCCAATGGGTGGTGGACAGGGGCGCTCCCGCCGCGCTGGAGGCGGCAGGTTGCGGCGGCGCTGGGCGCTGGGAAGGAACCGGTTCGAGTCTTGGTCTCCGAGGCCGGCGGGCGCCCAGGTGAGCTGCGGGGGGCCCCGAAGCCTCTTGAGTGCGAGTGCGGGCTCTGGCAGGCGCGAGCGGCAACTCGGAGGCGCAGCAGACGGGCAGGAGGATGTGGGGGGCCGCGCCGCACCTGCACCCGCCCCGCTGAGGGCAAGGGGGCCTCCGGGGCGAGCGCTGCGATCGGCGGGAGTGGAAGGGGGCTGCCTGCCCCAGGCTCGGTGGGTTCTGAGGGCCGAGGTGTGAGTCACGGGGAAGGGTGCGTTCCCATGGCAGCGAGTTGCCAAGTTTGCGGACGGGAGCCTTTAGGTGACTGGGGACTGCGCCTTGCGGGAGGGGCACTGTTCTCGTGCCAGGTGACTGGGGCGAGGTGGGGGCAGGAAGTCCTGCATCTGGTTAATGATTCTCCGGGAGAGGGGCGGGGCGAGAGGAGGCTGGGAAGTGGAGTGGGGAAGCCTCCAAGTGCTCCAGGAAGGCGGATTGCTTCCCCCTTTGGGGGGCTGGTCTTGACTACCCCCACCCCAGGAATGTGTGGCCTGCGGGTAGGGCTGGGCACCGGAGAGCAGGGCGGCAGCCCCAAACCAGTTCTGGGGGTGAGGCGCAGGCCAGGAGGAGCCAGCAGAGGAGGGCCAAGCAGGGCTTGACCCTGTGGCCTTAACCTGCAGGACAGGGATATGCTCCCTGGGCCCGCGGCAATGGAGCTGAAGGTGTGGGTGGACGGCATCCAGCGAGTGGTCTGTGGGGTCTCGGAGCAGACGACCTGTCAAGAAGTGGTCATCGCACTAGCTCAAGCCATAGGTGAGTCCACTCAGGGACAGACAGGCCCAACAGGTGGACCTGGGGTGGGTCCTGGCCCTCTGGCCCTGTCCTCCCCCAAGGAGGGTGGGGCTGGTTGCTGACCCTCTCTGGTCCTCCCCCAGTTAGACAGACACGGGTGGGGGAATACAGGCTGACCCCTCTCCCCCCCTGCAGGCCAGACAGGCCGCTTTGTGCTCGTGCAGCGTCTCAGGGAGAAGGAACGGCAGCTGCTGCCCCAGGAGTGTCCAGTGGGTGCTCAGGCTACCTGCGGACAGTTTGCCAGTGATGTCCAGTTTGTCCTGAGGCGGACAGGGCCTAGCCTCACCGGGAGGCCCTCCTCCGACAGCTGCCCACCCCCTGAGCGCTGCCCAATCCGTGCCAGCCTTCCCTCAAAGCCAAGACCAGCACTGGGCCGTGAGTCCCACAGAGGACTGACGTTCACCCTGGGGTGCCCCAGGCTGGCCTCCAGCACAGTGCTGCCCGAGCCTGTGGCCTCTATAGCACCAATGCCAGGCTGCTGTGAAGACCTGCAGGCCCTGGAGCGGCGGGTGCAAAGGAACGCAGCGGAGCTGGGCCAGGAGGCCTTCTGGGAGCAGGAGCTGCGGCGGGAGCAGGCACGGGAGAGGGAGGGCCAGGCACGGCTGCAGGCGCTGAGCGAGGCCACTGCCGAGCATGCCGCCCGACTGCAGGCCCTGGATGCCCAGGCTCGTGCCCTGGAGGCCAAGCTACAGCTGGCCACAGAGGCCCCTGGGCCCCCTTCGCCCACAGCATCTGCCACCGAGCGTCTGCGCCAGGACCTGGCTGCCCAGGAGCTGCAGAGTGTGGAGGTGCAGGGCAGCCTGGCCCTGGTGAGCAAGGCGCTGGAGGCTGCAGAGCAGGCCCTCCAGGTGAGCTCTCGGGACTGGCAGCGCCGCCTCGGTGGATTTGGGGGTTGGCCTCAGGGTCAGACCAGGGAGGGTCCTGGAGCCCAATGGCTGTGCCCCCTGAGGGTCCCATGTGCCCCAGGCCCAGGCCCAGGAGCTTGAGGAGCTGAACCGGGAGCTGCGCCAGTGTAACCTGCAGCAGTTCATCCAGCAGACTGGGGCTGCCCCTGGCACACAGGTCAGAGTGGTGCCAAGGCAGGTGGGGCCATGGGGGTGCCCAACCCAGCTCCAAGCTGACTGGCTTTCCCCACAGGACCTCATGCCTCCAGCCAGAGGAAAGCCCCTCCCGGGAGCCCCCCGGAGTCCTGCTCTAGTGTCCAGCCTGAGCCCAGAGGGTATGTCTGTCTCCCCTACTTTGGGTGGGATGAGGTCCTCCTGTGGGCCCTCATCTCCTTTAGCTTGTGCTCTCTCCACAGTTGCCCCCATAAGGCAGAACTGGAGGTAGCAGCATCTGCCCCCAGAGTGAGTGTCCACTGCCAGCCCTGACCTGGGCTCTGACACGAGCAAGGGGCGCCGAGGTCAGCCCAGGCTGGACAACAGAAGAAATGCCGGCGGTCATAGCAGACTCACACCTCCATGCCATTGGAAGCCTTGTGCCCTGGGTCAGAGACAGAACACCTTAGGATCCTAAGTTTCTGCTGCGGGGGGCAGGGGGGAGGCTGAGGATTCATCCTGGTGCTTGCTGAGTGCCAAGCCCCCTGGAGAAGCTTGGGGCATGGCCAGCTCAGAACGTGCTAGGCCCCAGAGGGCCATAGCTCCTTGTTGGGGACAGGCGCTGTGTTCAGTCCGTGGGGATGTGCTTGTGTGTGGAAAGTACCCTTCAGTACATATGTATGTGCGTGTGTGTACACACGTGTGTGCATGCTGCATCCCCTGCCACAACACTGAAACCTCAATAAACCTCCTGAAGTGGCACTTGGCATGGTCTGTGGGGTCTAACACTTGGAATTCCACCCAGGTCCCTGGGGAGGACCCCAAGCTGCCAGGGGCTGGCCATAGCCAGGGTTCTTGAGAACGGGTCTCCCAAGGTCTGTGGTCACTTGGGTCCAAGGCCAGGGCTCCCAGGGCCTTGTATTTCAGGCTGCTATGCCTCCCACCCTCAGGGGCTCTCTGCAGCCTGAGCCTGGTGTTGGAGCTGGACAGTCTGCAACCTGAAGAAGCCTCCTTCCCGATGTAGGTTTTACCTGACCTTCTCCTACTTGGCCGGCGCCTCAGCCGCAGGAGGAACTGCCACCCACTCTAGGGTGGCTCCTGGGTATGAGGACTCATGGACATGCCAGACCTGCCTGTCAGGTTGACTGAGTCTGAGAGCTCGTGGGGGCGGGTCCCCAGATTCCTGGGTGGTTCAGGTCCTGGGAGCCTTGCGGCCTGGTGAGGGTGTGGCCACCCTGCCCTCCGACACAACTCTGCTGCCCGGGTGGGTATGAAGCCTCTGCTGAGAGCCTGCAGCCTTAAAATCAGAGCAAGCCGTCTATCCTGTCCTGGGCTGGGCCGGGCCGCAGGCTCCCTGCTCTGAGGGCTGTGCCGGGGATGGGAGACCGTTGCGATGGCCAACCTTGGAGGGCTCCAAGCCTGGAGTGCCGCCGTGGGTGGTACTGGGGAGCTGCATGGGGCATCCTCAATCATGCGGCCTTTGTGCTGAGTGTTGGGGTGGCGTCAGGCCTGGTGCTCCCCACTTCCTTTGGGGCAGACCATAGGGGCCATGGGGAGCAAGGGAGCCAAGTACCCAGCTTGTGGAGGGTCATCTGGACAGGGGACTTCCTGTGCAGATGGAGCACAGATGGGGAGTGGCTGGATAGGCCAAGTGGCAGAAGGAGGCTTCCAACCTTGGTGTCAGGGCGTCCCAGCCCAGTTTCTTCTCTGTGAAGCTCTCAGTCTGGCCACACGGCTGTCTGCACTGCCTCTTGAGCCTGCTGCCCAGCTCACAGCCTCCTGTTTCAGCCTGTGGCTCCAGGCAGGTCCGAGGACAAGGTCACGTGGAATGTAGCCTGGACTGGAGAGGCGGAGGGGCCTGCATCCCAGGTGGAAGGGTAGGTGCTCTGGGCACACCCCACCAGGTTCCAGGGGCCTGCTCCCTTCCCCTGCTGCCCCAGCCACACAGGAAGGCTGGATGGACTGCAGCACCAGCCCTGAGCCGCAGAGTGCACAGGCTGGCAGGGGCAAAGCCAGGTGCCACCCAGGGACCACTCTGCACACCCCAGGGCTGGTGGAACTAGTGCCCACCCTCGCCAGCGTCACGAGCTTCTTCACCGAGTTCCCCAGCCCCCAGGGGGAGGCAGGCACAGAGCTGACAGAGCTTCACAGGCGTGTGGTCCCCTGTGCCTGTTTCCAAGAGACACCTGTTCCTTCTGAAGCCACCACCAGGGGCTTGTCCCTGGTCTGCTACTGGCTCTGAGCAAGCTTAGATGGGGGAACCCCACTTCAATGGGGGTTCCCCCCTCCGGCAGCCAAGGTGGTGAAGAGGGCCGAGCTGGGAACCGGGGCAAAGCCTTCCTATGCGGTCGCCCCGGATGTACACAGTCCCACCCCCACCATGTCCCCAGAAGGGCTTCAGATCACTAAGCAAATCTTCAAGTGGCTGCAAAGTTTACTTTCGAGTTTTAAATTGCACATTGAAAACGACAGGAGCTGTGCTGAGGTGAGGAAAAGCCCCGCTCCCCCTAGATGTTGTTCGCAGCAGGGCAGGACCAAGCCAGGCAGGGCCAGCTGCCCAGGTAGTTGAGGCAGAACCCTGGCTGCTGTGTGGGGTGGGGCAGCCATCGCCACTGGTCACTGTTGCCCTTCAGGGCCAGGCTGTGTTGGGCGACAGCGCTGGAGCCCCCACTGATCTCAGAGTTCCTTCCCGCCCCCAGCACAAAAGCGCCCTCTAGGGCTGGCTGAGAACACCTGGGTTCACGGAGGGTCGCCCACAGAAAGTCCAGAAAGTCGAAGCCCAGTGGTGGCAAATCAGCTCCTCTGGTTCTCCACCGCGAGGCCACCACAGCCTTTCTGTCACTGATAGAACCTGGCCCTACCAAACCTGCTGGGTGTGACACCACAGTGACCATCAGGACAGGGTCATTCCAAGGGAAGTCCAAGTCCATGCAAATCTCCCCGGCCTCTCCCACAACAGCTGACTGCAGGCATCCAGGCACCTGCAGGCTTGGAGTCTGCTCTGTGCATACTCCAACGCCTGGCAGATTTTCACAGTGGACTTGAGAGCACCCAGAAGAGAAGGCTGGCCCAGTGGGGGTCTCTGGCCACTGGGCCACTGGGCCAGTGCCACCAGCTTGGAGGGGCCGAGCGGTCCTCACTCCCTTCGTGACCTTGCCAAACTGGTAGAAATGCACAGAAAAGCCAAATCTGTCAGTGTTCCTCTTAAGAAAGTTCCCAGAGGTGGCCCTCAGGAGGTTGGTTCTGGAGGCTCCAGTCCACACTTGCCCAGGGCTGCTCTCCACTTGGCGACATGCAGAGACCGTCTCAGGAACGCCACGCAACCTGGCACCCTGACACACAAGGAAAACAAAGTTCCCTCTCGGAGGGTATCTGGTAAAACCTGAGCCCTCTCAATGTCCCTTCTTCACCTCCCATCCCCCTGGGGGTCTGCTGGGCGCAAACAAGCAGACCCTTCCATAGGGGCGCCCTGCTCCTCCCCCGTGGTGTGCCCCCTCCGAGCGGTGTGGCCTCTCCCTGCCCGTTGTGGTCACCCCTGCCCGAAAGAGCAGGGTCCATAGAGGGGCCGGGGCGGTCGCGCTGCCCAGGAACAGATCAGCCGCTGTCACACGCACAGTGGGTCCGGAGCAGCGCAGTGTGCAGTGGGCAGTGGCTGCCCTGCGCCTGGAGGGACCGCCGGGCAGGCGGAGGGGTCGTCCAGCACCCCGACCCCCTCCTTCGCCTCCAACTTGGGCGTCCAAGCCCCTGCAGCCGTCAGGGGCGGGCGGCCTCTGGGGTGCGCCCCCACCCGCGGGCCTGGAACCCCTAGCGCGTCACCTGCGATCCCGGCGCGGCACCGTCGCCGGCCCTCGGCCCAACTTCAGCGGTGGCCCCCTCGCGCCCCCAAGGCCTGGAGCCCGCGTCCAGCGCCCAACCCCTATGCAAATATGAGAGCACCGCAGCCAATTGTCGGCCTGGCTGGGCCCGCCCTGCCGCGCCACAGCCAGTGGGCGGGAGGGGGGTGCGGACGCCACGCCCACCGCCGCGCTGCCCCTTGCGGGCGCGGCCGGCGCGTTCTTTTCCGCACGTCGGCCTCTGGGCGGGGCCGCCACCTGCCGGGCGGGGCCTGGGGCGTCTGGCTACCGCCTCGCGGGCGGCTCCCCCGCGGGTCTGGCCCGGTGGTACGGCCCGAGGCGCTGTTGTCCCGCCCGCCGCGCGGGGGCTGGAGCCTCCTAGGGAACCCGCGGGACTCCGCGCACGTAGCCCGGGCCAAGACGGAGGAGGGGCCTCGGCCTGGGGACGCTCGTAGAGCCCGCTCCGCCCGCGCCCACCCCAAGGGCTGTCTGGCTGGCGGGGCAGAGCGGGGTGGGAGCTTCGGCTCTGCCTGGTTTGCCCCGAAACCCCCGCGGGCTGGCCCTGGGCGACCTAGATCGCTCCTGTGGGGTCTGCCACCAGGAAAGGTTCGGAGTCCCATCCGGAACGCGGGTGCAGGATCCTGGTGGGTCTCCCCGCGGCGTTGCCCGGTCCTGTCCGAGAACTGAAAAGGTATAAATCAAAGAAACGGACTGTTTCAGCCCCGGAGTTACTGACTCCTGGGTGGAGCCCCCAAGGTGGCAGCCAAGGGACATTTGGCACTAGGCCCCTTCTCTTCACACCCCTCTTCCGCCTCTCCGGCTGAGGGGAACCCTGAGGCAGAATTGGATCATCCAGACCCCTAACTAGGCAGAGGGGTGCCTGCTCCCCCGTTTTTCCTGGCACAGGGGTCCTCATAAGCCTTTTGTGTCTCCTCCAAGGTCAGAAAAAGCTCCCCCTTACCCCACCTCCCTCACATCAATCAGTATCTGGCGCCTGCCTCAGAGCCTGGCCCTCCCTGGTGACTCCACTGCTTTGACTCTAGGCAGCTCCAAAGGGCTCCACAGCTCGCCCCCGGTCACCACAGTGCTTGGCCCAGGGCGAGAGCCCCAGCCACTCTGGCCCCCTGGCCACCCTCCTTCAGCCCTCCCTCCCTCTACTTAGCTCCTGCTCCTCCCCAGCCCATGACTCATCTGCAGCCCACACAAGCAGGGGCCGGAGCCCACCTGTTGCTGTGAACCCAGCACAGGCCCCTCCTGCACCTTCCCCACCATCACGGTCATTTCACTTCTTCCTTCCGAACTGCCACCTGGTGGCTTCGTGCCGGGGCTCCAGGAAGGCATCTGCCCCTGCGTGGGACTTCAGGAGTGTGAGGTCAGGTGCAAGGAATTGTGGGGTGAGGCCACCTGTGGGTGGGGAAGGAGTGCAGAGTAAGGAGTGGCTCTGCTCCACCAGGTCAGAAGTTGAGGGGTCATCAAGACCTGGGTCATGTGGGTCCCTGAGCCAGCCCATTGCTTCAGGACAGGGCATGGCTGGGGTTTTCAGGGTAGAAGTCTGGGACCTGGGGACATGCAGAGGCCAGAACTCAGGCTGACTCCCAGGTCCTGTTTTGCCCTGCTGGTACAACGCCCAGCTGTGTCCCCAGTCCTGGCAGCTCCCAATACACCCCTTTCCACCCTCTGTAGTGGACTCAAGGGTGGCCCCTCAAAAGGATATATTTGGCTCTGGCAGGTGTGCCTCAGTGGATTTGGTTCAGCCTGTGAAACGAAAGGTCACCAGTTTGATTCCCAGTCAGGGAACACGCCCAGGTTGTGGGCCAGCTTGTGGGAGGTGAGAGGCAACCGATTGATGTTTCTCTCCCTCTCCTCTCTATAAAATAAATAAAATCTTTAAAAAGAAAAGCTATATTCATGACTTTACTTGAAAAAAGAGTCTTTGCAGATGTAATCAAGTTAAGGGTCTTGAGATCACCCTGGGTTACCTGGGCAGGCCAGAAACCCCATGGCACGTGAACTTCTGACAGACAGATGACAGACACAGAAATGCAGGGAGAAGGCCCTTTGAGGACAGAGGTGGGGACTGGGGTGATTCTGCCACAAGCCAAGGAAGCCTGGAGCACCAAGACTCAGGAAAGGCAAGACAGGATTCTCCTTACAGATTTTTTTCCTTAGTGTTTTATTTTTTTCTAAATTACTATACACATATGTAAAACATTATTAGGATGTGAAAGAACTCTAGTCATCTCTACATATTTTAAAGGGCGCGTGACCCTGCCAACCTTGACTTTGCACGTCTGCCATTTTAGAACACCTGCTTCAGTGACCCCAGCACGGAGGCTCCAGAGTCAGGGAGCACAGCCCTGCGTGTGTCCTCCTCCAGCTCTGGACCTGTGTGTGTGTGCAGATCTGGTGACAGGGAAGGGCTGGCCTGGGCTGCAGAGAACCAAGGAAGCTCCCAGCCTAGCTCTATCCCCCTGTGCTCAGGACAGCTGCCTGCCTGTGCCTGTGGGGGGCAGGAGCAGAGGTGGCCAGCACACACTGTGAACACCTAAAGGCTTCCAGGTGCAGGTCTGTGAGGGGCAAGTGGGCAGGGTGCACGTTGCATGCTTGTGTGGCACCAGCCTGTGAAAGGTGGCGGGTGGTGGCTGGTCAGGGAGCGCCAGAGGTGACAGTGCTGATGCAGGTATAGATGGAAGGTGTCCCCAGGGTGGGGGAGGACAAGTCATCTGGGTCAGCCTGTGGGAGCATCAGTATATGGGAGGCACAGATACATGTCTGTGTTCTTAGGGGACCACCTGTGCTCAGGTGGAGCCCAGGCCAGTGACTCTTGGCAGCTTCCTGGGGATATCTCCCATCTGAGCTCGGACTGGCACGCGCTGCTCAAGAATGCCTGCTAGGGCAGTGTCCTTTGCATCTCTTTGTGGTTTCATGTATTTATCGGGACAATTTCCCAGCAGCCCCCAGGAGCCACTGCCAATGAAGTGGGAGGGGCTGACCCCCCTCCAAGCGCACCCCAAGCTGATCATAAGCTGCTCGTCTAGTGCCTTCCCAGGAGCTTTGGCAGGGACCCGCAGTGCCTCATTTGGAACACTGTCCTGGGCAGTGTCTTTGTATTCTTCACCAGGTCATAGTCTTCGCCAGGTACGCATGCGTGTGTACAAGGGCCGGCACATTTCATGCGCCAATTTGGGGCCAGGGGGTGCCTGTGCAGGGTGTTTACCAGGCCGGACCCTACTCTACCAGAAGCACTGTCCCTATACTGACCCTTCTGGCCCTCAACATCCCTATTTTGTGGCCAAGGACACTCAGGCACAGAGAGGTTGAGAAACCCTCCTGGGGGTCAAATGATCAATATGCTTGGAGCCCGAGTACCTGGGTTCAGGTACCTGGCCTGGGTGACACCCAAGAGGCTTTGCGCTGTGCCATCTACTCTCTTCGGACCTAACCCCTCCAGTCCACAGAGAGGGTTCACCGCGGAGTCCCCCGCCTCTCTGGCATCTTTAAGGACTAAAGGGCTCCCAAGTCTTTTACAGAACCTGGAAGCACACTCTCCTCTCCCATGTAAACTGAAAACATAAATCAGCACCCCCGCCTGCTGCCACACCCCTGCACGGGACTCACTCTTCAGCGACCTCCACTTGTGCCTTCCTGGGCCACAGAGCCACTAACTGTGCAGCGAAGGCTTGTTGGTGCTTGCTGCCTGGCTACTCCCCCCCCCCCCGCCCCCCAGTTCTCCTTAAACTCCACCAGCCTCCGCCCCAAGGGCCACGGTTCTGAAGGTCCCCAGTGGCCTTGGCTCCACCCAGGCCTTCTCCTTGCTGTGCTTTCTTTCACTGGCTTCTGGAAGCCCCTCTCCTGATTTCTCCTCAAGCCCCAACCCTGGTGCCTCTTCTTGGTTTCCTTTGTAGGTTCCGGATCTCTGTGCGCACGAGGCCTGGGGCTCAGGCCTTGGTCCTCTGCTGTTCCGCCCCACCTCCCAACACGACTCCTACATTTTTATCTCCAGTGGCGCGTGTGCCCAACTCTAGTCTTCAGCTGTCCATTCAAAGTCTCTTTCAAGATGTCCCAAATGTGTGTCTCAGGTTGAGGGAGGGCTCCCATGAGCATGGCTCCCATCTTGACGTGGGCCACGATGGTCGCTGAACGGGGGGTCGCGGAAGTGGCCTGCTGACTGGTTTCCCGGGGTGCGCCCTGGAGGCTCCAGTTTGCTCCCACGCGGCCGCCCAGGGGATCCTATGACCTCGTGTCATCTGGCTGAGACCCCCCAGCGCCCCGGATCCAGGCGCTCACCGCGGGCCCTCTGGCCACGGCCCGCGCTGGCCCAGCCCCGCCGGCTCCCTCCTGTTGTCCGCGCTGGTCCTGTCCTCGCTCTCAGCCTTCGGTCTTTGCCAGGTCGGTCCTCATCACCCACGTGCGCCGGGCTCCCACCCTGCTTGTCTATCGCAGTACTAGTCAGCCGGTCAAACACCACGCGATTCCCTGAGCTCTGGATGTGGAGCGTGCGGGACTTGCCGCGCCCCGCTCCTGGAGAAGCCGCGCACCTCGCTACTTGGCTCACGAGGGAACGGACGGCCCCGAGCTGCCACTCCCGGGCCCACCCTCAGGCCGCTCTCAAGGGATTCTCCGGCCGTCTTACTACCGCCAGCGCTCCGGGGCGGGGGTGGGAACGGGCGGGGCTGGGGGCGTGGCCCAGGTGTGCCGGAAGGCCGCTCCCATTCGCCCAGGGCGGCGGGCGGAGGGTTGGACTGCACCAGCTCCGCGCGGGGGGACGGCCTGGAACAGCACACCGGCGGGGCGTTGATACACCACAAATTCCCCCAGGACACTGGTCTGCTTGGTTTTCGTCCAGGAAGAACAGTGTTTCCAACGCCTCCATACACCCAACCGCGGGGAACGGCGTCGCCCTCCGCTTCAGGCCTCTCTTCCTCTCCTCGTCCCAGTGGTTTCCGCCAACAGGCGGGACTGAAGGGTCCCGGAAGCCGGCTCAGTGCACTTCCGGGTCGAGGAGCGCGCGGCGGCAGCAGCGGCAGGGCCTAGTCGTTGCTCTTGCTGGAGCGGCGACGAGCGCCTGGGGACGGCCAGCGGGACACGAGGTTCCCGGGTACGTGCGGGATCCCCGCCGGCCCGGGGTCCCCGTCGCGTCCCGCTCGCCCGGGCCGCCTCCAGGCGCCGCGCGCTTTGTCTGTGGCCCGCCCGGCGGAACGAGGCCTGCGCTGCGCTGGCTCCAGGCGGGCGCGCGCGCGCGGGGGGCGGCGGTAGGGACTCCGAGCCAGCGCGCGGAGGCCTCACGCCGAGGCTGGGGAGGCCCCTGGCCCGCGGGCGTGGAATGACTGTCTTCCTCTTCCTGCTCCGGGGAGCTCACCCGCTTTTGCCGTGACACCCCGCCCCTCGCTCTGTCGCCTCCCCTGTGCGAGCGAGGTGTGACCTTTCGCTGAGTCGTTTCCAGCTCTTGGTGCACATTGCTTCGTCCGCGTTTGTACAGGCCCGCGTGGCTGAGGGGTGGATTCCTGGTCATTGAGTCAGGTGGACTTACGGCAGCCTTTTGGGAGTAGTTATGACTAGCCTTGAGCCCAGAGAGGTTGAGTAGCTTGCCCTTGTCACACAGCGACTGGTTCGTACAGCGGCCGAATGGTATAGGTAACCTGCCTGGTGAGCCACAATGCGGCCAGTGGTCTCCGGGACAGATCCTGAGGCTCAGGTGCCGTTTGACTTGGGATTTTGCACGCCTTCCCTCTCCCTGGACCTACCGGGGATAACAGGATAACAGTCGCTGGCCCAATCTGGCAGGCTCCCTGCACCAGCCCAGTGGCGGAGCCCTGGTGGGAGGGTCTGGCATTTGTCCTCAGCACCCCTCTTGCCTGTCCCAGCTTTCTGATGTCTGCAGCCGTTTGGTTTCAGTCTTGCAGCCGCTGTGGCAGACAGTGAATAAAGTGGGCTGGCAGGCTGGCCCTGGCCCTGGGCCTGGCACACTGCAGCTGCTGCACCAGAATCAATTCCTTAGCACCAGTTGGAATTGTGGGTGCTTTGGGTCCCTGAATTTGAAGGGAGAGGAAAAGTTCTTTCAGCTTTAATGTCCCCCAGATCTGGAGGCTGAGCAAGAGAGCTCCTAAGTGCCGCCAGCACCCCAAAGGCAGCCTGCAGGTGAGAGGGACTGCAGGTGCTCTGGGCCAAGGCCTGGAACCTATGGGCAGAGTAGGGCTGCAGGTCCGCTCGCGCTGGTGTGGTGGAGCTGTGTGCTGAAGGGGGCCCTGACTGGTCTCTTCCTGGTGTTGGCATAGGCACTGGCTCTGGAAAGTGCTTTAGGAGGCTACCTGTGTGCTTTCTTGGGTGCTGCTGGCGTAGGCTATTGTATGGTGGCACGTGAAGGGCGTGCAGCCTCAGCGCCTGGGCTCCCTCACCCTGGTTCAGGGAGGCGAGGACGCCTTCGGGAATCTTCAGCAGCTTTGGTGAAGGGCTGCTCAGCCTGCGGACTTGGCCCTTAGGTGCAGGCACTCCTTGAGTTCAACTACATTCCCAAGCTGGCATTTCTGGCAAACCCCCTGTGCCAGACCCCATCATGGCCTTAGTGTCGTCTGAGGCAGACCCTGCCACTGCCCCTTACAGGTGGTTGCAGGTCTCAGTGCAGCAGGGGATGAGCCAGGGGTATTTGTCCCTAACTTTGCCCCTGTGGATGGGAGCACAGCCTCGGGGAGGACACTCTGCTGTTGCCCAGGCAGGCTCGGGGCCTGCGGTTCCCGGTGTCTGAAGTGTCTATGGCAGGCTTGCGTGTGCGTGCACCCCCCTCTCACCACTGCGTTTTTGCAGAGCGGACGCTGTGCTGCACGCAGTAGGGGCAGGTGTCCCAGAGTTATGTTGTGGCGTCCAGTGGGAACAGTTCCAGCCGTGGACGGAGAGTCAGAGGACTTACCTGGGCAGTGCACGAGTTGCACCTCCAGAACGGCTGCTGTGCTCCTGGTTGGGTAGTGGTCCTGTCACGTCGTTGGGTTGTGCATCCCCAGCAGGAGTGTGGCCAGGGCATGGGTGCAGGACAGGCAGGTTCCTTCAGCAATGCTGAGGCGCAGAGCACTGGGGGCATGGACCCTAGGTCAAGTGGGACTGGGGCTGATTTCCTTCACTTGAGAGCACCAGGTTGGTGAGTTAACAACCCCACAAAAGCCCCGATAAGCTCACTGTTTCCAGGTACCAGTAACACTGGGGTGTGGGCGAGGAGCACCAGTAAGAAAGGACCCTTACAAGGACCAGGCTTGGAGGCCCTGGTGCAAATGAGGTCTTTTGTCTGGGTCTTCCGCTGTCTGTGCAGTGGCCTTGCAGAGTAGATAGGACAGGTGTCCCCAGTTGGAGATCAGAAGCCCAGGATGGGGTGGGCGTGACTGCTGGGAGGCGGAGCCTGACCTCTGCGCCCTGCGGCCTTGCGCTCTCCGGGGTGTTTGGGGGTGGATGTTGCACACAGCCCCCCAGTGGGCATCAGGTGAGCGGAGGCTGGGGTGGCCAGCCTTGGTGGAGAGGGACCTCTCAGGAGAGTGCCCTGCTTGTCACCTAGGCCTTCCTGGTGACCTTTCCCTCTTGGAAGCCCTGCTTTGCCTCAGCTCCTGAAAAACCACTTCATCCTAATGAAACCTGCCAGTACAAGGCTGAACCAGGTCTGTTATAAGTGGAGATCTGGATGTCGCTGAGTAGCTAAGACTCTGTCTTCCTTTTCGTGCACAGCGTTGCGTGGCTTTGTGTGTGTCACCTCTCAGAGCTTGGCCTCCCTGGCCTACAGGTGGATGCGTGTCAGTCGTGGGTGAGATGGGCTGGGAGTGACCGCCATTCTTTCTGAGGGGCTCTGCAGCCTGGCAGCATGGGCAGTCACTCTCCTCTGGTCTCTTTCAGATTGAACCTCCATGTCCAGCGATGGACGACGACAGCCTGGACGAGCTTGCGGGCTGCAGCCCGGGGCCAGACGCACACCTGCCACTCAGTGCTGTTGCCCTGGCTGGCGGTACTGGTGAGTGTCCCCGCCCCCACCCAAGCCAAGTACGGGGGCCCAAGGCCTGCCCGCTCCACCAGGGTGCTGGCCCTGGGAGAGCTGGGTTCCGTAGATGGCGTCCGTGTCTTTCAGTCTTTAAAAACCTTTTGCTCTTAAGTTGTAGAAGTGGGACGTTCTTTTGCTTTCTTTTTAATGGAAGCAGTGCAGGTGTGAACAGAGCAAAGGCTTCTGCTTCTACATCTGCTCCATTCCCATCCCCCAACACCCTCCCCCACTGCTCACCCGGGGCTCCTCCCTCTGCCCCCTCCGGCATCTCTGCGCTGGTCCTGCCCCGGTGCTGACTGCCCTGGCCTGGGTGTCTGCCTGTCTCGGTCCAGGAGAGAGCGGGGACGATGACAGTGGGGACTCTGAGGAGGACACGGGCAGTGAGCTCAGTGACAGCACCGATGCAGAAGACGAGGAGGGGGACCTGGACGACGGATCTGGTGAGAATGCTGCCACGGTAGCAGCTGCCCAGTGTCCCCTCTTGCTGCGAGGGGACAACTGGTTCTAAAATGTTCTCAGTGACATCATCGTTCTCATTGCACCGGCCAGCTGAGGGGCTGCGTGCAAAGCTGGGGAGAGGCTTCTTGGCAGAACAGTTCTCATGGGAGTGTCCCCTGTAGCATGTGGTCAGCGTCCAGGGGGGGCGATGCCTCGCCCGGTTGGAATACCTCCTTCTGGTTTGATGACTCGATATGTCAGGGCTCTTCCGTGGTGAGGACAGCAGGTTCGGTGGGCAGGAGCACGGAGCAGTGGGGGCAGGCTGTTTCCGGGGAGAGGTGGCCCTGCAGGCCCGGGCCCTGGCAGGTCCGCTCAGCGGCTCTGGCCGGCGCTCCCCCGTGCTCTGTTGCCTGGGACACCTGAGGGGCAGGCACGTGTAGGACACGCCTCTGTGAGGAATTCCCAGCCCGTCTCTGTTCGTCTGTGTCTGCATGTGCCCTTGAACTTCCGTGTGGGTACCGTGGCTGGAAAGGGCGATGGTGCCATGCGAGGGTCAGGCTGCTCAGCTCTGGGTGGGTTTGCGGTGCCTTCTTCCAGCCGCCCTGGGTGCTGCACAGCCTGCAAGGTCCTCGGGCGGCGCACCCTGCCCCAGCCCCGCTCCGGTCACCCCCCTGGAGGAGGGCACGCTTGGCCCTCTGCTGCGAGATGGGGGTTGGGCTCTGCGGCTTGGCCAGCACAGCTCGCCGCCTTCCGATGCCATCGCCGAGTTGGGAGACGTACGTTCCTGCAGCGCCTGCTGCCGTCCGTCATCACAGGCCTTCAGGCCCCTGTGGCGCCCGCGGCGTTAGAACGATCCAGGAAGGGAACCCTCGCATCTGGGACAGTGCTGACGAAGGAACGGGGTCGGCACAGTGTCTGTCAGTGTGAGTTTGTGCTGAGTGTGTGGGCGACACGCTTTTCCAGAGTTAGGTCTGAGTTCTGAACAGGGGCACGAGACCCTGGCCTGAGAGTGCAGGTCGCGCATGTGGCTCGCACACGTGCTTCCTGAGGCTGGTGGGGCGGTGGACCTCCCTGCCGCAGGCCTCAGGCACAGGCGCTTGGTTTGGACACGGATGTGAGGTGCTGCCCATTCACCCCTCAAGCAAATGTTTGAGGGCCTGTTCGATCCAGAGTCGGGGCGGAGGGAGGGTGGAAGCTTGCTCGTCTGGGATCCTCGCTAACCCTGAGCCCACCCCTGGCAGCACAGACAGTGGCGTGACGGAGCCTTTGTGGTGCAGGAGAGGGGTGAGTGGGGGGGGGGTCACAGGAAGGGGGAGAACTCAGGGTGGACCTGGGTGGAGAGGGAAGGTTCCAGAGAGAGCCAGGCCTCAGCTGGGATCTGAAGGGCAGGGGTGGTGGGGGCTAGGGGCAGAGTGCTGTGGGGGGACAGTCGGCCCAGAGCTGTGCATGCAGCGGGGAAGGTACCCTGGGTGTGCGGAGGGCGAGGAGTGCCATGGGCAGGGAAGGCTCAGGGGAGGCAGCAGTCGACGCTGAGGGTCTGGAAGACTTTCGTGAGCACCCCTGGTTTCTCCAGCACCAGTCTCGGACAGTCCGGGTGCAGTTGGGTGCCGGAAGGCCTTCTCCAAAGGGCCGCCTCGTACTTGCCAGGCCCCCTACCCACAGCAACTTCTGCTCGGCCTGCTGCTTTTCCTGCCCTTGTGTTTGTTACGGAAATCACTTGTGCTGCTCTGTGCTGTTTCCAGCGTTGGACGTTGTTGTCCGTGGGGATCTAACCACGGAAGAGGAGGTGGTCGGACTCTTTCCGGCCCCTCCCAGCCCTGCAGGCCTGTGCATGGGTGTCTGTGATTCACTCCTGGTCTGCTCAGGGTGCATCCCCTCCTGTCAGCCTTGACTCCTGGCCCCAGTTCACTCTGTCTCCTTCTGGTGTGGGCGCTGTGCTCTCCTTGGAGACTGCCCTCCTCTGCACTGGGGCTCCAGCCTGCCGCCAGCTGCCAAGCCAGGCTGGTCCCCTCGTCAGCTGCAGTACCTGAGAAAGGTGGGGGTAGGTGCTCAGGGCCTCGAGCCCCCACGTGCTCTTGCTCTTGGCCATCACTGCCAGCGATGCTGAGGTGTTGCTCTGTGGTCCCAGGTGCTGCAGAGGGTTTGCTGGACCTCAGGTGGCCGGGCCTCTGCCTTCCCTTCAACTCTTGAGTCAGCAGAGCTCCATCGGAAGAGTCAGTGCCCCCGGCCTCCGCTGGCTGTCTCTCCGGCCACTAGTGAAGGAGGAAAGCTGGACAGAGTGACTTGTCACCTTGCTTTCCACTTCCATTCTCCAGAATTTTGTGGACAATCTGTTCTATTAGTTTTCTCTTGTCGTGTAACAAATGGCCACAGACATGGGAGCCAAGGCCGCTCAGTGTCTTGGTCCAGGTGCGGGCGGCTGATTCTCCGCTCAGTCTCAACCACCAACATCAAGGTGTCCGCAGGTGGGGCCGTGGTTCCCACCTGAGACCTAAGGTAGTCAGTCCCCCGGGGCTGTCGCCCTCCCGCTGTGGGGCTGCAGTCTCCCTTCTGGCTGGCTGTTGGGTGGGGACTGCCCTGAGCTCCCTAGAGTAGTGCGTCTCTGGCTGCTGTGCCTTGGGCCAGGGAGAGGCACTGCTGGAGAGCCCGCCTGACAAGGCGGAGCCGCCTGGTGACTTCTCTGCCACGGCACAGCAGGCCCGGGGCTGCAGCCCGTGCTCCCAGGACTAGACCGGCCCCTTTAGAACAGGTGTGTTCTCTCTCCATGTGCACCTGTGTCTTTAGTGTGGAGGAGTTTGGGGAGGACAGAAAACAAAGTGACGGTTCCATGTTTAACGAGAAGTGTCTCCTGGTGCTTCTGCTGGCGAGGTCCCAGCCTCGGAGCCTCTCGAGGCCGAGTTGTCTGGTGCAGCACCTGTGCTGTCTTCCTGCGGAGAAAGGAAGTAGGGGCTGCTGAGGGCGGCGTTAGCGGAAGGCAGGCCGTTCTCCAGCACTGTGTTTGGAGGAGGGGTCGGGGCCGCTGGCCGGGCCAGTTAACCTGGTTGTGGCAGGTGCGGTCTGGCCCTGGCTGCCCTGCCCCTCGGGGTTGGCTTCTGCTCGAGGACGGGGGCCCCTGCTGCTGTGGCTGCTCAGCCAGTGCCATGTGCCCTTAGCTTGGAAGCAGCTTTAACTGAGGTGCCCCGTGACAGTCACACCTGGGGGGGCTGCCAGACAGGTCTGTCCCTCAAGCGTGGAGTGTGGGAACTCGCTCTCCTGAGTGCGGCTGCCGCCCCTGCCTTCCACTGCTCAGCTCACAAAGTCACGTTTCCTCTTTCGAGGTTCGGAAGGCGCCATCACAGATGACGCTGATGACGACGTGGAAATAGTGGCAGCAGCGAGCACCCAGGGGCTGCTGGAGGCTGGCGGCGAGTGGCACTCTGACGACGACTTGGAGAGCTGCCCAATCTGTCTCAACACTTTCAGGGGCCAGGCTGTGGGGACCCCGGAGACTTGCTCCCACCACTTCTGCCTGGACTGCATCGTGGAGTGGTCGAAGGTGAGGCGGCCCTCCCTCCGGGGCTCCTCCTGCACCGCAGGGCGGCGCCCGGGCCGGCCTCCTGCTGGGCCTGGCTGTGCTGGGGCGGGAGCTGCGGCTGCGGGGCCGTGCGCTCCGGTCTCAGTCTGGGGCGCGTGCGCTGCAGAGGAGCAGACAGCAGCGCTGCCCCTGGTGACCTTCAGGGGCCGGTGGGCCTGCAGCGAAACCGAGGGCACCTGCCGCGGGCAGGCCTGTTTCACGCTGGACTCAGGAAGCAGTACCTCCCACATCTTAAACTTCTTTTTCTGAAAACTTCAAAGATGTGGACACATACAATGATAAGTCACATTGTTCCCCTCCCACTGGTGACCACTGTCCTCAGGAACTGCCCCTCTGCCTTTCTCGTTTCTGCCCCATCCTCACAGACCCGGAGGTCCCGGAGCTGGGCAGCACCGTGGGGCCCAGCAGGACTGGCAGAGGCGGTGGGGCCTCAGTGCCCAGCCACGCTCTCCCCGTCCCCGGCAGCTCGGGAGTGTCCCTGTGCCGTGCATCTCTGAGGCCCAGGACAGAGGTGTCACCCACGGTGTCCATGTGGCCTGTGGGTGCTGGCAGGCTGTGTCCTGGGGCCTTTCCTTGCCTCTAGTGTGTGGCCCCGCACGTGGCAGCAGGTCTGCAGCCCAGGTCAGGGTTGGCTCCAGGGGCTCTGCTCTGGCGACATCTCCCCTTGACTCGAGGGGCGGGGGTGACCCTAGTCCACCAGGGCCACTTCCCGTGGGGGCTGCTGGGGCACCGGGTCCTGTGGGTGGCTGGCTGCAAGCTGCAAGGTCAGCAAGGATTTGAAGTTGCGGTGCAATTAGAAGTGAGTCCGAGAAGACATTTCAAGAGCTCTTCTAAGAGTTGGGAGCAAGTGAGGAAGGGCCACCTTCTGGAGGGTCCCTGCAGAGGGTCCCCTGGTGGCACAGGCTCACCAGAGGGCTGGTCGGGCTGCGCGGCTCCTGCAGGAGAGGGGGCGGCCTCCTCCCGGAGTCGACGGCTCATCAGCTGAGGGGAGGACACTTGGAATGGGTGCGGGGACAGAAACTGGGCCGCAGGAGCAAGGTGGGCCTGGAGACACGGGTGCCGCAGACAGTGGCACTTCAGGTCGCAGGGAGGGGACTCTTCTGTGAGCCCGTGTGTAGCACATTGGGAAGCCTACGAGGTGCACGGGGTCTCCCAGCCGGAGAGGAGAGGGCTTCTTTGTCAGTTTCACAGAGAACACGGACGAGGGGGGTCCTGCTCCCAAGGCTCAGGGGCGGTCAAGGGAGAGGGTGATAAATGGACTGAGCCCAGCCGGCCTCAGGGGTCACAGGACACACGTCACGTGGACAACAGCATGTGGCAGCATGGCACAGCTGCCCCCCGGCTCCCATGGAAGGAGAGCAGCCCCGGGGCTTCTCCGCTGCTGTGGGTGTAACAGGTCTACCTGCAGTGAGCACCCTGGGACCGGGAGCCAGCAAGAGGCACCCAGCAGGTGCAGGCGACAGGTCCGCAGTACCCACAGCAGCCCCAGCCCTGTGCTGGGTCAGGAGTGCCCAGGGCACAGGTGCAGGGCAGGAGCTCAGGTGGTGGCTGCTCAGGGTGCGTCCCAAGCCCCACAGTTAAGTGAAAGCCCTTGGTCGTGCAACACAGGCCTGGTGAGGGTGATTTAAAGCGAAGGGCTCCTGTTGGAAGCACTGTCTGTGAAGCAAGAAGTAGACATTTGCAGCGTAACTGAGGAGTGAAACCCTCGGAGTTCGCTGAGAAGCATCCAGCAGTCTTGTGGAGACCCTGGCAAAGGCTTTGAACAGGCAGAGCCCCTGCGACCGGCCCCTGCACGCCCCCCGGTGGTGCTGTGTGTGTGCAGCGAGGAAGCACTTCCTGTCTCTGCCTCACGGTGGCACTGCAGCAGCTCAGCTCCGGGCCGGGCACATGGGAAGCATTAGATTTTCAGCACGGGCATTTGACGGGTTCCGAGTGCACTCTGCGTTCGGAGTGCGCTGCTCCCAGTGGGAGCGATGCGCACAGCCCTGACGGGTCCCTGTGTCTTGCAGAATGCCAACTCCTGCCCAGTGGACCGAGCCCTGTTTAACTGCATTTGCATTCGAGCCCAGTTTGGTGGAAAAGTCCTGAAGAAGGTGAGTGTGGTCACTGGGCAGTGCCCCCACTGCCCCCTGTTCATTGCACAGCCCATGTTGTGGGAAGACACGCTTTCACGGCTGCTTCCCCGACATGAGGGAGTCCCGCTCCCATGCTGGTCGGGAGTCCACCAAACGGTACTCGCAGGTGTGCACTCGTAGCTGGGGGCTGGAGGGCTTCCCTGCCTGCTGGCTGTGTGTGCGCGTTCGGGGGGGGGGAGGCCAGAGGCATCGCGGCTGCCGTTGGGGCAGTTTCCTGGATCCCTCTCCACACCCACGCGCCACCTCTGCACCCCAGAGCTGTTCTGGGGTCCCCGGCAGCCATGGGGAGGAGGCCGGTTCTCTGGGGACCAGGTTTCGGACTCCTGTCGTGCTTTTTGGAGGAGCCTCCACACATGTTCTGATGCCAAAGACAGGCATTAGCGAGACTGCTGGAGGCAGGCCGCAGGTGTGAGCCCTGGACCGGTGAGGCCGTGTGTGTCTGAGAGCCACAGACCTGCTGTGGTTTGCAAGGGACAAACCAGGGCCCGGCTCAGGCTCCTCGCCGGTATGTCACTGCCAGGCCCGAGTCCCCTTGGGGTGCTCGCAGGCTTGAGCTGCAGGCGGCAGCTTTGGTTCTGTTGATGCAGGCGCTCTGCCTCCTGCCCAAGGCCTGGGCTGCCAGTGAAGTGTGGGGGGCAGGAGGTGCCGCGGCGAGGTGGACAGGGCCTCACTGCAGTGCCGAGTGCAGGGTCCCCGGGGCCCTGTGGGGCCCCAGAGGGCAGGCACGGGCGTGTCCCAGCGTGTTCCCTGGGCGTCGCGGGCCACTGTGGGAAGCCCTCCTTGACCAGGGCTCTGGTGGTGGGCGGGTGTGTTGTGTCCACAGACCTTGCAGGTGACCGGGCACAAATGGCTGCAGCTAATGAACCGTGCCCGAGAACACCTGTGAGGGAGAAGGGTTCTTGGTGCACAACTGTCCTGTTAGCATGTGGAGCCGTGTTTCTGTGTCTGATTATGTGACAGTCGTCGGGAGGTCAGCGCTGCTGCCTTCCTGTTCGCCCAGCTGCCAGCAGGCGTGGGCTGGGCTCCCTGCAGCCTCGGGCCCTGCCGCCCCCACTGCCTGCTCTGCCGGGGCCTCTTTCTGGTGGGCCAGTTTTTTCTTCCCTGTGAATGACCTGGGAATGGTCACCAATCGCCTGTTAAAGTCACCCTATGCCCGTTAATCCCAAGCCTCTGGGTCAGTCTGCAGTACACGCTGAGGTCTTAGGAAGCTGATGGGGCTCAGCTGCAAGCAGTCTGGCCTTGTAGGCCCCGGGTTGGGCTGCGTGTGCGATGTGGACAGCTCGCCTTCTGCCTGCAGATCCCGGTGGAGAGGGCCCGGGCCCGGGAGGAGGAGGAGGACCCGACCTTCTGTGAGGTGTGTGGCCGCAGTGACCGGGAGGACCGCCTGCTCCTCTGCGACAGCTGTGACGCTGGGTAAGTGTGGGGCCCGCAGGCCGCCCCTCGCAGCCATCTGGGAGCCCGAGAGGCAGGGGTGCCCAGGGCCCTGCCACACCGGAAGTGAGCAAGGGAGCTGCACCTCGTGGCCCCTGTGAGAGGCCACACCCTCGTCCGCTGGCTGGTGTGTGGCTGCCACCTGTGCCACGGGTTCTGTGCCCTCGGTCGGCAGCCAGCAGGCCCTCGTCCTGTCGCTCTTTGGCCCTCCACCTGCCTCCAGAAGTGGGCTGAGGCCGTCCACAGAGGCGTGTGTCCCGTGTCCACACAAGGGAGAGGGCCAGGAGGCCATGGCCCGGGGGGCTGGTGGGGCTCTGCGACGGCCCCCCACACTGCTGCGGGGTCCCCTGCACAGCTGGGGACCTCGTCTGCTCTGAGGTGCCTGTGAAAACCATTGCTTTGGGGGCACAGGCCCCGGTACATAGTGAAAGACTCCAAGGAGGCGGGTGGATCTAGAACTTTCTCTCAGGCAGCAAGTCGCAGTTTTGAGGGTTGGGCTGTGAAGCAGGAGGCAGGGCAGCCGGAGCCCTGGGCGCCCTGTCTGTCCCAGGGTGCACTGCCCCAGGCTCCGCCCCCACCCTCTGGATACCTCGGCCCCCCTCCTTTCTCACAAGCGTAGCTTGGAGCTGGGTTTTGTGACAGTCACCGGACCTGACGACCTTTGCCTTTGGGATCCTTCAGAGCTGCCGCCTCTGCAGCTACTTGTCCTCAGCACAGGCTGGCTCGCCGGGCGCTGGGTGGTCTGTTGATGGAGTGTGAGCAGGCAGCGGATGATGGGGTGTCCCGGGGACAGAGCACCCACGGCTGGCTTCCTGCCCCCAGAGGCTCACACACATCCTTTCTCTGAAGGAGGGTCTGGGGTCCCTGGACAGGGCGTGTGCTGGCAGGAGAGGGTGGGCCCTCGTCACCAGCCCTGTCCTTGCTGCTCCGCCCGCTCCCCACCTCCACTGCTAATGCCAACCGTGCCTTCCGGTGGCCTCCGTGGCACCAGTGGCCCTAGCGGAGGCCATTAGAGCTTTCAGTCGAGAAGCCGAGGTCTCTCCCTGAGCTTCTAAATCGAGGCCGTAACTTATCACTCTGATCTTTCACATAGAGATCCCTTTTTCACCCTCGTGACTGCAACGGCAGCTTCTGGGGACTTTACACTTTCGTTACTTTTTCTCAGTACTTTAAAAGTGTAAGTCGAGTGTGTCGGTTTTACGTGTTTGCAGTGTTTGACGGACCAACGCTGCCAGTCTGGCCTGCCCACACAGCCCGAGCTGCGGCTCCCAGGCGCCCCCAGATGTCAGGGAGTGGTCCGCAGGGGCTCCCACAGTCAGACCTTTAACTCGGAGCTGGCATGTGCGGGGCTCATTTAAAAACAGAACCAGGCCCTGACTGGTGTAGCCCAGTGGATTGGGCCTCCGAACCAGACAATCGAGGTTTGATTCCCAGTCAGGGCACAGGCCTGGGTTGCAGGCTGGTCCCCTGCAGGCCAATTCCCAGCAGGGGACGCATGCAAGGCAACCGTACGTTCACGTTTCTCTACCTCTCTCCTTCCCTTCCCCTCTAAAGATAAATAAATAAAATCTTAAAAAAAAAAAAAAACAGAACCAGAGGCCTCCTGTGGACACAGACACCATCTTCTCTCACTGCCACAGGGGACAAGGCACCGGTCACTCTGGAGATGTTAAAGTTGAAAAGTTTATTCACCAGGGGACAGGGCCTCTCGGACTGTGGGGCAGGGTGGTCTCCAAGGGGTGGGCAGGAGTTCTTGGTCTCTGAGCTGGCAGAGCCCGCAGTGGGCAGGGAGTGTGCTGCCGGGTGGTCGGGTGCCGGTCCCGGGCAGCGGTGGCCTGGTCAGGAGAGCAGGGCCAAGCCCTGTGGGGTCCCGGGAAGGGCCATGAGCTCACCTCGCCCCAGTCACTCCCCGGATGCAGGTGGCACCGTGGGCTCAGCCACGCCTGGTGCCCCTGCTCGCAGCCGTGCGGCCAGGGCCCTTGTCCGAGAGACCCTTTGCCCCGCAGGTACCACATGGAGTGTCTGGACCCCCCTCTGCAGGAGGTGCCGGTGGATGAGTGGTTCTGTCCCGAGTGTGCTGTCCCTGGAGCTGCTGCCCCGCCCACAGGTAGTCCTGCCGCCCTGAGCCGGCCAGCTGGGGTCTCTGTGGGGTCGGGCAGGTCCTGGGTGGGGATGGGGTCCCGGCTGCACAGCAGCTCAGGGCCTCTTTTCTCCCAAGACACAGACTCTGTGACCGAGGAGGAGGTCTCCCTGCTCCTGGTGGACGTGGTGCCTACCCCCAGCCGGCTGCGACCTCGCTCGGGGCGGACTCGGGCCATTGCTCGGACTCGGCAGAGCGAGCGCGTCCGCGCCGCCGTGGACCGGAACCGCATGTCCACGGCCCAGAACATCCAGGTGGGCTCCCCCACCCCGCCCCGAGTCTGGGGGGCCACACGGGGCCTCAGGGCAAGCTGTCCCCTGCAGTGAGTGTCTTCCCACAACACGTGCAACCAGGTTGGGGGAGGAGACTGGGGTCACTGGGCCAGGCACCCTGGTCACAAACGCCTCTGCCACCACCGGGTCCCAGCGCAGACTCCTGAAGTTCTTCCCAACATCCTGTGCCCCTGCCCGGTTCTGTGTCTCGTGGGGCTCGCTCGCACAATTGCCTGGGTCTGTGGGTTCCCCGCTGCACCACTCCGGGGCCCTGTTTGCTCCGCAGGCCTGCCCGGCCCTCCTCACCCCGCACTGGCCCTGCACCTGTGTCTTGCGGGGGCCTCCCTCTCACCCAGACAGGTGCTGCTGGGGCCTCTGTCCTCGGGAAGCCCCTGTACTTGGTCTCTTAGAAGCAAGAGGGCAGTGCCAGCTGAGGGGTCAGGCAGGGGCTCTGTGTGTGTCTGTTGCACGGGGGGGCCCTGCCTGGGGCCCTGGCTGGGCGGGTGTGTGGGAGCAACCCTGGCAGCCCCCGCCCACCAGCTCTACCCTCCTGCTGTGCAGCACGTCCCGAGGTACCTGGTGTCTTCTCTGCTGGACGAGACCATCGAAGCCGTGGCCTCTGGTCTGAGCACCGCCGTGTATCAGCGCCCGGTGACGCCGCGGGCCCCCGCCAGACGCAGGAAGAAAGCCAGTAAGCAGGGGAGGGAGCTTGGGTGGGCTGAGCCCTGCTGGCCATCGCTTGGTGTGGTGGCCTTTGCAGTGGACAAAGCAGGACATCTGTCCCGGGGCCTCACCAATGCCTGAGTGCCGCTGGCACCGTGGGGCTTGCCCTCCTGCTGTTTGTGCCCCGCGGCCTTTTCTGTTGTCTGGAGCCCTCCCGGTCCTCACGTGGGCTGCTCACTGGCGCCCCCCAGTGGCCGGAGAGCAGTCTCTGGGTGGAACTCTGGTTGCTGCCCCCGGCCCTGAGGTGCTTCCTGCCCAGGGTGACCCCTCCTCGCCTGTGCTGAGGGGACTGGAGGGCTCTTTTGGTGGCACCTCCTTTGTTTTGTTTTGTTTTGTTTGTTCGCTTTGCCTGTGAGGCTGCTGCAGACGGGACCGCGCCTGTGGGCGGATGGGCTGCGGAGGTGGCCTGCGGGCCCTGTTCCTGGCCCTTCCTCTGGCCACGTCCTTCTCGTCATTGTCTGTCTGTCTGTCTGCAGATGCCTTGCCTTGTGTTCCTGAAAGAGGGAGCCTTTTTTAAAAAACATAATGACAATAATGGAGGCAAACTTGCAAAAAACGAACACTGACTGCTCAGATCCACAATCTGTGGTAAAGGTTCCAACAGGGTTGTAAATGTCGTACAGTTCCATTTCATTTTATTTTTCTTAAGATTTTATTCATTCAAAAAAATTTTTTGAGCACCTACTGTCTCCTGTATGTATATATGTAGGTATGTATGTATTTTTAGATGAGGGGAAGGGAGACAGACAGACAGGGAGAGAAACGTTGGTCACTTGCCTCTTGCACACCCCCAAGTAGGGACCAGCCTGCAACCCAGGCCTGTGTCCTGACCGGGAATCGAACCACGCAGCCCACGGAGCCGCTCCGGTTGGGGCTGTCACAGAACCTAGACAGTAGTTTATTTGAATCAGAGCCAAGTACGAGTCTCTCGGCTGCTGGCTGTGCCCCGTGTCTCTGTGTCCTCTGGGTCACAGGGGTCTCCTGTCCAAGTGTCCCCAGTCAGCTGTGCCCACTGCAGAGCCAGGTGCGAGCTGGGTGTCATTGGTTTGTGTGAGCCAGTTGCCGGGGGCGGGGGAGGGGTGTGTGTGCATCAGAGCTCCGTCCATGGACACACTGGGATGGACACACTGGGACTGTGATGGGGACTGACCTGCGCCAGCTGCTGCCCAGCCTCACGGATGTTTGGCCCCCAGACCTGAGGGCCACCTCACTGCAGAGCAGCTCCTCAGTAGGGTCAAGGGACGGCGTGGGCCTGACAGCGCGTGGGGCCGGTCCCGAGGTGGCTGGTCAGGATGAACCCGGCTGCGTTTGCAGGGTCAGGGTCACGGTGTGTCTCACGGGAAACGCACATGAAGTCGCGTGTTCTCGAGTCTCAGAGGAGTCCTCTGTGGACCCCTCAGCGGGCACAGAACTGCGTGCCTCACCACCGTGCTGGGCTGTCACGTCTTGTCTCTGACTCAGTGACTGACGTCTGCGCCGGTTCTGTCGGGCGCACACGGCACAGCGGACTCGCGTTGTGCCGCCCTCGCTGTGTGTGGGCAGCGGGGTTTTCATCTGCGGCCTGTTTTTCCCCTGAAGACCCCATGCCTCCACACGGTCGTCCTCAGGCCAGGTCCTGCGGAGCGCGGCCACACCCTGGTGGGGACACCGAGGGCGCGCACAGTGAGGCACAACCCTGGATGTCCTGTTTGTAGGAAGACGGAAGAGAGTGGGGGGAAGGAAGAGAACCCAGTCCCACCCCACCGTGAGGAGCAGGAGCTCTGGGACCAGGTCCAGAAGGCGCCAGGGCCGCGGGAAGAAGAGAAAAGGGAAGAAGCTAAAGGTGACGCCAGGTTCCCCCACAGCAGGCCAGCATGTGGGGGGCCCTGCAGTGGCCCCTTCTCTGTGTGTCTTGCTGACACAGTAGACGCCCTTCCCGTACCTGGGGTGCGTGTGGGCACCCTGAGGGGCCGTGCGGCAGTCCTGGGACCCAAGTCCCCGCACCCGAGGGGCACAGGGGCCAGGCCAGGCCCCTGACTCGTCGAGGGGCTTGCTGACTGTGCCCCGATGCAGGGGCTGGTGGGGCAGGTCGAGGGGCAGCACTGTCTCACCCTGACAGCGTCCCTAGGCCCTGGTCGTGGGGCCTGTGAGAGCTGCCCTCCCGTGTGTCTGGGCGGCCGCTGTGCAGCCCCTCTGAAGGCTCCCTCCTCGCTGCAGCCCTGGGAGTGGACTTGGAAGTGTTGGCTGGGAGATGTAGGTGCAGAACGCCAGGCGTTCACCTCTGTGTGGCTCTGCACTCGCCCTTGTCGCTGCGGCGGCCCCAGTGTGAACTCCCGCAGCGCAGCCTGGCGCGAAGAGGCGGTTCAGTTTGAGGTGGAGGTTTTCGGTGTCAGTCGGAGCCAGAGCGGAGGCTGCCTGCTGGGACTGCCGTGCTGGGCGCGCTGCCCGCGGGGTCCGCTTCCCAGGTGGCGGTCACGTTGGGCACCAAGTGGATGACCCATCCCTTCCGTGTCCGGCGCCATCCGCTCTGGGGGTGGAGCCAGTGGTGCCGGCCCTGGTGGGCGAGGCTGCAGTCCGCCCCCCGCTGACCTCGGTCCCACTGACCGCCCGTCTCCCCGTCCCTGCGTCAGGGGGAAGGCACAGCCCGTTGCCGCATCGCGCGGGCCCTGGGCCTCCGGAGGCCGGCCCGCGGGGCCTGCATCCCGTCCGTGTACAAGCCTGCGGACCCCTCCCTGGGGCTGATGCGTGCGGACATCGGGGTCGCCCCCCTCTCTCTGTTTGGAGACCCCTCTGAGCTGGACCCTATTTACAGGTGACTGCCAGGGGACGGAAGGGTGCAGGTGCATCTGGGGGTCGGGCGGCACGGTCAGCCCCTCCCTCCCGCAGGCGGGTGGTCGGGCCTCCCCACTTGTGAGACGAGGGAGGTGCTTCCCGTCCCAGCCCTTCCCAGGCGGGTGGCGTGTGTTGAGGTCACGCATACTCGTCCCCACCCGAGGAGTCTGCTCCGTGGGGCGGCCCTAGCCAGTCCTGCCGGGCACTGTCGAACAAGGGCCCTTCGGGCCTGGGTGTCCTGCTCCCTTTGGACTGTGTTCCCCTCCAGCAGTGAGGAGCCATCCGCCAGCCCCGCTTCCCCGCTGAGCACCAAGAGGAGGGCTCTCTCCCGCTCAGCCCTGCGGTCGCACCAGCCCGTGGCCAGGCCTGTCTCCATGGGGCTCTCCAGGTGTGTTGGGGTCGGGCAGCCAGGGGTGTGGTCCTGGGTGGTGGCCTGCCCCCAAGACTTGACAGGCCTGTGTCCTCACCTCTGGGCTCCCTGATGGGGAGGCGACGGCCTCTGCTGCGCGCCGCTGGCCGGGTCTCTGGGGAGGAAGAGTGACCGAAGCCACAAAGCCAGCAGGTGCTCTCCTGCCCACGCCGGCCTCTCGGTGCCGTCGGCTGATCGCACACCGCACAGCGTCTTCCCCACGTGGGGGCTGCTGGGTGGGTCTCCCCCGCCCCGCACGGGGCACAGCGTGGGGGCCCCAGCAGCAGGGCTCTCTGCACTGCAGGAGGAGCATCCCCGCCGCGGCGCCCGAGCCTGAGGCGGACGGAGCCCCGGTCCCGGACCTGCTGGGCAGCATCTTGTCGAGCCAGAGCCTGCTGCTGATGGACAGCGCCGACATCACCATCCACCGGGACGGCTCGCTCAGCGCCAGGCACTCTGGTGAGGCGGCCCCCACGCTGGACGCTGAGACACACTTGCGCCAGAGACACGTGCACGTTGCGCTTCGGAAACGTCCCGGGAGGGGCCGCGTCTGGGTCGTTTCCCGATGGTGTTCCACCAACGCTCTGAGCAGAGGCGACAGGCACACGGTTAGGGTGGCGATGCAGCCAGCCTCACGGAGCCCCTTTAACTCTGCATTCTTGCAGGTCGGAGGGGCGGGGGCCGGTCCAGCTGTGGAACTGGGCATCCAGTGACGTGTGGGGCTGGGGCAGGGGCGTCCTCCCAACCCCGCCCCGTGGGAGGGTCTGGAATTGGCACGGGCTGGACCCAGTCGTGAATACCACCCTGCACCTGCCAGCGGGGCCGTCTGCCCATGCAGCAGGCGGGTGGGACTGAACACGCACCCCTGAAAACAAAGGCCCTTGGGTGGAGATGGAACAAGTCTCCGAGCCTTGGAAGAGGGGCAGGGCCTGACGGCTGCCGCCTTCTGTCTCTCAGCGCCCGTCCCGTTCCCGCGGAGCCCGGCTCTCGCGGCCCAGGAGGGAGAAGGCCCTGGGCCCACGGATGGCCTGCAGCCCCCGGCACCAAGCCCAGGGTGCCCGGGAAGCCTGGGATCGCACGGCCAAGGCAGGCCGGCCCCCTCCCGAGTTCCTGTGCTCACGCCAGGAGCTGCGGTGAGACTGGACCCCTCGGTGACCCCGCAGCCGGGCCAGGCCCAGCGCCTGTGGAACGGGAGCAGTCTCGGCCCGAAACGGCCCGACCGCCCCCACGCCGGCGGCGGCAGCGGCAAGCACACTGTGCCTCTTAGGTTCACAGCTAAGATCTCAGACCGCGGCTGTGACTTGCCGGCCAAGAGCATAGTGCCAGCACAGGCCCCAAAACCAGCTCCCAGGAGAGCGGACATCTCCAAGCTCCCCCGGATACCAAAGATAAGAAGGGATGGCGGTGGGCGGGCAGACTCGGCCCCGGCCCCCACGAGCAGGCGGCCCGTTGAGATCCCCAGCTCCTGCATCAGCCGGCTGACGGGCAGGGAGGGCCCTGGGCAGCCTGGCCTCGGCGCCCGGGCCGAGGGCGAGACCCGTGGCAGGGGCTCCCAGGAGTCCAGTGTGCACTCGGGGGGCGGCGCCCAGTCCCCCACCCCACTGGGGCCCTCGAGGGGGAAGGGCAGCGGTTCGACCTTCCAGAGCTTCAGGATCAACATCCCGGGGAACGCGGCCCTCGCCGGCAGACCTGCCCACCCTGGCTTCTGCCACACGTTCCGGCCCGTCGAGAACAAGGTGCAGCGGAAAGAGAATCCCTCGCCCCTCTTCTCCCTCAGGAAGACGAAGCAGCTCAAGAGTGAGATGTACGACCCCTTCGACCCCACCGGCTCCGACTCCAGCTCCACAGGCAGCAGCCCCGAGCGCCGGGGCCCCGGCCTCCTGCCCTCGGAGATCACCCGCACCATCTCCGTGGGCGGCCCCGGGGCTCCGCCTTCGCAGACCGTGCGCTGCGTCACCTCCTACACCGTGGAGGCCGCCTGGGGGCCTCCGGTCAGCGCACGCAAGCTCGGGGGCGAGGAGGAGGAGGAGGAGGGGTCTGCCAGGGGCCCCGGCTCAGCCGCTCGCGCCCAGAGGCCATCCCCATCCCGGCTGGAGCCCTGGGAGGACGAGGACCCGCCATCCCGCAGCACCTTCTTTGGCTCGGAAGAGCGGACGGTGACTTGCGTGACCGTGACGGAGCCGGCTGCCCCGCCGCTGCCAACCACCCACAGGGTCGTGGAGCTGCGGTCCCGGTCCCGCTCCACTTCCAGCTCCAGGGGCAGGAAGAAGGACGAGAGGAAGCAGGTTGCCACCCGCGAGCACAGGAGGACCCGCTCTGGCTCCCGCTCGGGGGACGGGAGCTCCAGGTCTGCGTCACCACTGGTGGACGAGGACCACACCAAGAGGCACCGGCCCAAGGTCAGGGCTCCGAGGTCTTCCAGCGACCGTTCCAGCAGCCTCGAGCGAGCCAAGCGGAAGAAAGCCAAGGACAAGAGCAGGGAGAGGAAGAGGGACTCCCGGGGCCGAGGCCGGCGGGGGTCCAGGTCCCGGTCCGGCAGCCCTGGCGGCTCCTCCCACGAACACCGTGAGAGCCGGAGGAGGCAGAAGCGGCGGTCAGGGTCTCGGTCTCAGGGGAGGGGGTGCTCTCCCCCCAGCAGCCTAGAGAGGGCCTGGAGGCTCCACCCCCCCAGGGGGAGGAGCCATGAGAGGCCCCGGCACACAGGGGGCTCCCGGGAGAGGAGGAGGCACAGGTCCAGGTCCCCCAGCACAGAACACAGGTCCCAGGAGCATCGGCAGCCTCGTTCCCGAGAGAAGAGGCCTTGGCCCCACTCCCCAGAGAGGAAGTTGCCTGTGAAGAAGGCCTCCCCACCACCCCCTCCCCAGGAGGATCTGGGGCCAGGCAGGGAGCATCCAGCCAGGCTGCCAAGGGAGGATGCCTGGTCAGAAGGGGCTGAGGCCCCCCAGCCCCCCTCACAGGCCCCCCTGGCCCCGGAGGTGCCGGCCGAGTGTCTGCCTGAGGACCTGGACTACGGCGACTCCGTGGAGGCGGGACAGGTCTTCGAAGACTTCTCGAGTGAGGGCGTCCTCTCGCAGCTGGACGACATGAGCTCCCCGCCTTCCCCAGAGAGCACCGACTCCTCCCCGGAGCGGGGGGCCCCGCCCAGCCTCGCCCTGCCCGCCCCTGGCCCGCAGCCGGGCACCAGCCTGGCCGGGGCCGAACTCAGACGGGAGGTGCCGCCGGTCTGCAGTGAAGATGCTGCGCAGCTCCCACCCTGGGCGGAGGGTCCCCAAGGGAAGGCCTCCTTCCAGCAGGACCAGGCCACAGCTGTGACCCCTGGGACGCCCTGGGACGCCCTGGGAGGCCAGGCCGCAGGCGGGGCGCTGGTGGGGCAGGAGGAAGGCCCCTGTCGGATGGCCGTGCTGCGGGCCAAAGCCCCGGTGAAGAGGGTCACCTGGAACCTGCAGGGGGCGGCAGGCAGCGCCCTGGCCGAGGACAGAGGCCTGCGTGAGTGGGGTGCGCCCGCAGCCCGTAGGGTGGGCTGGGGCGGTGTGGCGCGTGGAGTGGCCACCACAGCAACCCTCTCCCTGGGCGCTCGTTCGGTCACACTGGCCTTGCAGGCCCTAGTCAGGCGGCTGTAGCACAGCCTGCGGTCCTTGCTGCTGGGTGCTTCTCGGGAACTTCCCAGCCAGGAAGTGGCCTTCCCCAGTGGCATGGCCGAGAGCACTCACCTGCCCTGTGTTGCCCTCAGGGTTGCCATTTCACAGGCTGCAGCAGCCCCCCCCGGAAGAGTCCTGGGGACCCGAAGACGGAGGCCCTCTGGTGGACACCCAGCAGGCGTCCTTCCCTGAGCCCCTTCCTCCTGGCCACAGGCTTCCAGAGCCTGCCTTCCCCAATGCTGACCTGTCTCAGGTGGGTGCCTGGCCGGAGGGAGGTGACCTTGAACTTGAGCCACGTGGGCTGGCAGTCTCCCAGCACCGGCCAAGGCTCTTCGTTGTGCACGAGGGACTGTGGGGGTGCTGCCAGCAGGGGCCGCACCCAGCGGGCTGTGTCTGTGCCCAGGTTTACAGCCCCGGCCTGCCTCCCACCCTGGCTCTGCCCGCAAGTGCTCCGCCCCACGCGCCGGCCAGTCAGTCCTCGGTCCACTCCACCCTGCAGGGCGGTCTTCCCCCAGCTGCCTGTGGGCTGGCCCCAAGCCCGGCCCCAGTGCTAGTGCCCATCGGCCTGACCACAGCCTCAGAGCCGGCTGGCCACACCGCCGACACCAACAACTCAGAGGAGAGGCCGGCCGCTGCCCGGCCAGCCACAGAGAAGGCCAAGAGTGAGGAGGTAAGTTCTGCCCCTCCCCCCCTGGGCCTCTGCGTGTGCGCCCGCTCACACTTGTCCTCACCCCAGTACATGAAGAAGCTGCACATGCAGGAGCGGGCGGTGGAGGAGGTGAAGCTGGCCATCAAGCCCTTCTACCAGAGGAGGGAGGTGACCAAAGAGGAATACAAGGACATCCTCCGGAAGGCTGTTCAGAAGGTGGGCGGCCGGGAGGGCCACGCCATCGCACGGAGGCAGGCCCCTGGGGTGTTGGGCCGGGGCACTCGGGGGTGCTGGGCGGTCAGAGCAGCGTCCTCGCTGCTTGTGAACGAGCCTGAGTGGCCCCAAAGTGCCTCTGAGTAACTGTGCCTCCCTCACCCCAGATCTGCCACAGCAAGAGCGGGGAGATCAACCCCGTGAAGGTGGGCAACTTGGTGCGGGCCTACGTGGGCAAGTACAGGCACATGCGCAGGCGCCGGAGGCCGGAGGCCGGGGAGGAGCCTGCGGCCCAGGGCGCTGAGAGCTGAGGCCACGCCGTCCGCAGCGCCACAGGGGCTGCCGTCCTGGTCCCCGGAAGTGCTGTCGGGAGTGGCAGTAGCAGAAGACTCTGGGGACACCCAGCACTGTTTTCAGGGTTCCTGTGGCCACATGTGGTCTGTGCACCTGTCCTGTTCAACTTAAACTGGACTTTTTTATATGTATATTATAGACACACTGTTTCATTGTGTTCTAATTTATCAAAAACAAATTATCTTCAGAAACTTCTCAGCTGGCTCAGTGCCTGAACAGTGCGCCCTTTGCCGAAGCGGGGACCTTGGCGGGTGGAGGGGCTGCCCACGTCTCACTTAGGTGACCCACTGTCTTTGCTGGTGATGGCCTGCCAGCAGCAGTGTCCGGTCGGAGCTGCCACCTCCGGCAGGTGGAGCACCGTGCGCACAGGTTTTGAAGGCCAGGGACACCGGCCACTGGGGAGGCCCCAGGTGCCACACACACCCGGCAGGAGCCACTGCCCCAGGGTGGCCGGCGCTCTTTGGGAGTTGGTTCCGAAGTGTGTGTCCTGTTTCCTCGTTGCGAATGCAGCCCTGCCCCAAGCTCCCCCCAAACAGGAGGCCAGCACCAGTTCTTGGTTCTCTTTATTGCACCGGGGAGGGGCCCGGCCTAGGCTGCCTGCTCCACCTCCATCAGGTAGTGCTCCAGGTCCTCGAACAGGCTGTTGAAGCTGGACAGGCAGAGAGTGAGGCTGCTGCTGTCCAGGGAAGACGCACCTTCGCGTTGGGCGCCCTCCAGGTACATGCGGCACAGCCAGGGCTCCAGCTGCGGGCGGGGGGGGAGGGGTGGCGCACAGTGAGCCGGGCTGGACTGGGGCAGCCGGCCTCCCCGGCCTGGGGCCCTGCGCCTCACCTTCACCAGGACCAGGCTCCTCTCCTTGGGCCTCCCGGTCGACAGGTCCTGTCCAAAGCCCAGGTAGATGGTGTAGTGTGGGGATCCCTGGCGCCGGCGATCCCGGAATTCCACCAGCTCTGCAGGATGTGGCTCTGGTGAGGGGCGGGGCCGGGCCGTGTGGGGAGGACGTCCGCCCCAGGGTGGGGGGCATCACTGACCTTTGAAGAAGGTGCCGAAGTCGAAGATGGGGGTGTCGCAGTTCCTCTGCAGCAGGCGCGCGGGGCTGGAGGGGCTGTCGGAGCCCAGGGGGCTGCCCACCTCCCAGTAGACCTTACACTTGCCCCCACGCCGGGCCCACAGCTCAGACCCCCGCAGCTCGAGCTGCAGGCCCGGGGCCACGTGCTGCAGCAGCTTCTCCGTGTACTGCAGCTGCTTCTGGTCCGGGAGCTCCGCTGGGCTGGGGAAGGCCACCAGCTGCGGCGCCAAGGCCTGAGCCGAGGGGCCCGGGGGCCCGTACAGGAACACGCAGCTCGGGCGCCCGACCACCTGCTGCAGCACTGTCCGGCCCTTGTACAGGATGGTCACGTGCAGGGCCCCCAGGCCATGATCTGCGTGAGGCTGGAGTGCCGGGCAGGGGGGCCCCCCCATCTGGGTGCAGGTGCTCAGGGTGGGTGCAGTGCATGGCTCCGCCTCCAGAGGGAGCTGCCAGGTCTCTGGGGCTGGGCCTGTGGTGGGAGGAAGGCCTGAGCTGGCACCTGGTCCCCCAAACGCCCCCGCCTCCACGAATCCCCGGCTCCCTCACCTGTCATCTGGGCCTGGAGCTGTGACCTGGGGCTGGGGGCCACCTCCACAGCCCACGGAAAGTACATCTCCTCAGTAGGGAGCTCTGGACCTGAGAACAAGGACCAGAATCACTGCACTGTCTCCGCCTGGCCAGCACCCGCCCTGCTGGGCGCAGCCCCCTGGGGCTCCGCCATTCTGCCTTCCCCTCCCCTTGCACAGACCCCTCCAGGGCAGAGCACCCCTATCCAACACAGCCCCTCACCAGAAACCTCTGGAGGGCCTGGGTCTACCCGCTGCACAGCTTCCATCAGCTGGTCCTCCAGGCAGCTCTGCTGGAGGGCCTGAAGCAGGAGGTCCTCCGAGTGGTCCACCGGGCCCGGGAGTGGGCATGGGGTGCAGGGCACGGGGCTTAGCCTGGCTGGTCTGGGCCCCAGACTCTCAGTGGCACCTCCTGCCAGGCACGGCCCAGGCAGCCCATCCTGCAGGGGCAGACGGTGCCAGTATAAGCAGCCCCCAGCCCAGCGAGGGGGGGGCAGCTCCCACCCAGGAGTGGGGAGGGCAGAGCAGCCTTACCCTCCTGGATGGGGCATCTTCAAGGGCCTTGTCCTCCCTCTGGTTGGTGTCTGGACCTTCTGAGGAAGAAGTGGGATGGGGGCAGCAAGGGAACCTGAGACACCAAGCTGGCCCATGTCCCCCTCCCCTAGTCCCAACAGGTCCCAACAGCTCCCTCCCCAGCACGCTCCTCCCACCTGGTACCATCCTTTCCTGCACAAGTTTCTAGAACCATGGAGCCCAGTAGATTCCCCTGGAAAGCAGGACACCCCAGCGCCCTGCACAGCGCCGCCCGTCTGCCCTGCCCTTCAGCTTCCCAGCTGCTCACCTCTTCGGCCCTGGGCGGATCGGAGGGCAAACACCTTGTGCGGGTCGGTGGGGTCTCCCGAGTTGTCTTGCAGCATCACGAAACGCTTCGTGCTGTCCAGGGCACAGCGGAAGTTGGTTTTCCAGCTGGCCCGGAGCGGGCCCTCGGCAGCAGCTGGAGGGTCTCCTGCTCCTCTGCTGGGCGGCCACCTGCCACGGGCCACGGCCCAGGCCTGGGGAGGGAAACGGAGGGTGTGGGCCTGGGGGCATTGGCCCAGCTGACCCTCCCACCCTGGGCTGACTGGGTCCCACCTTGAAGATACGAGAATCTGCCTCGCCCAGGTCCTTGCGCGCAAAGTGCTTCCAGGGCACGCGGAAGAACGTGCGGGCTGTGTCCAGCCACCGCAGCCCTTCATAGCGGCCGCTGCTGACCTCACCAAGAAGCCAATCAGCAAAGAGCACGCGCGGGGCCCCCCTGCGGATGGAGCAGCAAATGGGTCAGTGCACCGGTCACAGCGGGCCGGCCCGGCGCAGGCAGGCAACCGGCTCTCACCTCTCAGGGTCTGCGGCCATGGTAGTCAGCTGGTCCCACGGTCCGGGTGGGAGTAGCTCTGGGGCCGCCACAGAAGCGCAGCCAGGTGTCACAGTGTGGCCCAGTTGTTACAGGCGTTGGGGTCACAGATGCGAGTTGAGGGCTTACAGCCACGACGTTGCCAGGTGTGGATTTCTTGGCAAAGGTGGCAGTGGGTGTGAGTACAGATGTGGCGGGATGCACACGTGAAGTCACAGGTGTTGAGCCAGAGTCCCGGCCTGAGGGGTGCGCAGGTCGGGCCCTGCAAGACAGAATGGGAAGCCGCTGGAGGGCCTGGCGCCGGGAAAGTGAAACCGCGAAGCCGCCAGTCGCGGGAAAACGAAACCTAACCCTCCATCCCCCGCGAGGCTAGCGCATCCCCGTCCCGACCACCCACACCCCACCGCCCGTGCCAGCGACCCTCGCCTCCGGCTTGAACCAGGAGCTCCCTCTCTGGCTGCGCGTGGGCAGGGGTCCTGCGTACCTGGGACCGGAGCCGCCGGCGCGGGAAGTTTGGTTTCGCAGAGAAGCCGGGAACCAGCGTTTTTATGCTGCGCCGACAGGGGGCGGGGCGGGGGCGGGGCGGGGGCGGGGCTGAGCCGAAGGGCGGCGGAGGGTGTCACGTGCTGCGGTGCTCGGAGCTGGGCGGCTGCGGGGGGGCGCGTCCCGGCTCTCGGGTGGGGGTGTGCACGGCTGGGGTCAGTGGTGGCGGGGGGCGTCGCGGAGGGGCGGCAGGTGCGGCTGGTCCCCCGCCTACGGCCTGATCACTGCTCCCGACTCCCGTCACACTGGGCGGCGTCCCACCCCTTTCCACAGGCCACTGTCCGGGCGGCTGGATGTTTCCTGCCCTCCCCGGACCCCACAGGGACGCAGGCTGTGCCCACAGAAGGACCCGACCCCATACTCTAGAGCGTGGCTCCCAGTGGGGGAGGCTCAGGAGCTCCGAGAATGTCCGCGACAGGTCGAGAGGGGGCCCCAGGGCAGGCGCCCTCCTCCGCCCTGGTTGCCCCGGGAGAGGAACCTCCTGCAGCCAGCTGGCGCCGGCTCGGGAAGCCCTGCGGCAGGTGGTTTACGGGAATCGGTGCCCCGGCGCCCAGTGGAGAGAGCGCCCCGCCCACCCTGACTCGAGTGCAGCCCCCGACGTCTGGGAGATTCGAGATTCGGAACCGTCACTTTATTCAGCTCAGCGCGGGGCGGGGCGGGGGCAGCGCGGCCGCTGGGATCCTGCTCCGCTGGGGGGCGCTAGATGTAGGTGGACGGGAAGGGGGCTTCGTCCAGGACCGAGGCTCCGTCGCCTTCGTCGCCGCTGCCCTCGCTGCCCGAGACGCTGGCCCGGTCCACGTCCGAGGTGGGCGCGTTCAGCACCACCACGTCGGCTTCCGCCCCATTGTTCTCACCGAACCACACGGCCTTGTAGCCGCCTTCCGGCCGTCGCTCCTTGGTCAGGATGGACCGCACGCCCGCGGGTCCGCCCTCGTCCCCGTCCTGGGCTGCTGCGGGGGACTCGGGGATGGAGCTGGGGGACTCAGGGGCGGGCAACGTGGGCAACAGGGGCGCGGGCGGCTCCAGCTTCGGAGGCTCGGGTGAGACCTCAGCCGGGGCCTTGGCCAGGGTGCTGGGGGCGGGCGCCCAGCTGGCCTCACTGGGGTCCGCAAAGAAGGCCTTGTTGTCAAAGCCCTGGGACTCCTGCGGAGGGGCAGGGAGCCAAGGTGTCCCCAGGGACCTCCGAGCTTGGACAGTGATAGCCCCCAGCCCTCTGCTGCTCTCTGTCCCCACCCTCCCCCAGGCCCTCCTCACCCCTGCCCTCCAGCCCCGGCTGGTTCCAGGCCTCCAACCTGCTGCCTCTGCCCCACCCCCTTGCCACCACTGCCCTCGCCCTTACATCCCACCTCTGCCCCTTCACCTCCGTCCCTCCCCCACCCCGTCCCCGTGGCCAAGGCCTCACCACCGCTTTGCTGGAGCAGCACCATCCACATGGCCCGTAGTGCTTGTGGATCAGGACCACCAGCGCGATGACCGCCAGAAGCAGCAGCGCGCCCAGCACCCCACCCAGGGCCGCCATGTCCGTCACAGAGAAGCGCTGCTCCACATGGCTGCCACCTGGAGGGACCCCGCCAATACCTCCTCCAGTCCCAGTGCTTCTGTGACTCCAGGACATTGCAGGGAGGGAGGGGGACGGACCGGGTGGGGCAGGTGTCTGACACCACTGGATGGGAGGCGAGGGCGGTCTGGGAACTGTGGGCTTCACTGCACCCCAAATCTGGCCTCTGGCCCACCCTCCACACACTCCTGATTTACCACATTGGGCCCCCCAGGACCTGTCTCCCCCAGACCAGGGCACCGCCCCCAGACTTCATAGTCAGCGGGGACCCTCCTCCGCCGTGACTCCAAGGCCACCCACTGTCATGTGTCAAAGAGCAGGAGGACGGCTTCAAGGCCAGTGGGGTGCTGCCCCAGGGTGAGGGGGTCCTCTGGGCCCACGGGGTGCCATCGGAGACGTACCTGGGTTTCGGGTCAGTGTTGAGCCCCCACTGGGTGAGGTTGATGAGGGGGAGGTTCTCTCAGTGGAGGGTCCCCCAGGCGTGGACGAGGTGGGTGGCCTCAGGGTTGTGCCCGTGGCGGGGCGTGGGCCAGCAGTTCCCCCAGAGACGGTCGTGGAGGGTCCCTGGGACGGCCCAGGGGGCTTGGGGGCTTCTGAAGTGGAGCCGCTCGTGGGGGGGCGTGGGCCAGCGGTCCCCCCAGAGACGGTCGTGGAGGGTCCCTGGGAAGGCCCGGGGGGCTTGGGGGCTTCTGAAGTGGAGCTGCTCGTGGGGGGGCGTGGGCCAGCGGTCCCCCCAGAGACGGTCGTGGAGGGTCCCTGGGACGGCCCGGGGGGCTTGGGGGCTTCTGAAGTGGAGCCGCTCGTGGGGGGGCGTGGGCCAGCGGTCCCCCCAGAGACGGTCGTGGAGGGTCCCTGGGACGGCCCGGGGGGCCTGGAGGCTTCCGAAGTGGAGCTGCTCTCGGGCCGGGTTGTTCTTCCAGCATCTGTAGGTGTTGGGGCGCTGGGGGTGCCTAGAGACCAGGGACGCAGCAGGGCTCGCCTCCGTCCCCGGTGCGCCCGAGACAGAAAGCCCTCCCTGAGGCTTGCCCAGGCGCAGGAGGCTCACCCGTGGTGGTGGGCTGCAGCTCGGTGACTTCGATCTCCAGGACTGTAGCCTCTGTGCCTGATGTCACTGTGTTGGTGGCCTCCACCTGGGACGGGATGAGGCTTGTCCCTCTTAGGTCCCTTTTTAAGCCCCGCCCCTGGGAGATCCTGCCTGTCCCCACCTCTGCATAGAAGACCCCAGCCTGCACCAGCTTGGTGGTCGTCAGCACTTCCTCCCCATTCATTCGGAAGTTGGAGTTGTTGGTGATGCGGTACGTGATGGCTGAGTTCAGGTCCTACACAGAGACAGCCCCAGTGGGCCCCAGGCCCAGACTGCCCCTGTGACCCCCAACCTACCCCAGGCGGGGGGCCAGGCGGTGCCTACTGGGAAGTCTGGGTCTTCGGCCCAGACCCTCAGAGGCTGGGAGGGGGCAGCTGCATCCTTGACCGCCACGCCCACACCAGAGCCCAGAGCCACAGTGCCGCGGTACAGGTCCTGAGGGAAGTGGGGCAGGTTCCCGGAGGCGTTACGGGCCTCCACGGTGACCTGGGTCACTGAGTAGCGGGCCTGGTCCTCCTGCTCGCCCTGGTGGGAGGGAGGCAGCTGTGACCAGTGGGTCCTTGAAGGGAGAACCCTGCAGCCTGAGGCTTAGGAAGGGTCCTTGGAGACCTGGCCAGGGGACACACCTTGACCAGCAAAAGGTAGATCTGGGGACTGGAGATGCTCTTGGTCATGGTGAGGTTGCCCGAGTCAGCACTGATGGCAAAAGTGCCGTCCTCGTTCCCCTGTCCTGGGAGGGTGGCAGGAGGGTTTGGCCCTGACCCCCCCAGAGGCAGGAGGTCCAGGGTCCCAGCTGGCTCTGCCCGAGTGGCAGGTCCCCTGGGGTCTCCTTGCCCATGGTGGGGGTGGCCTGGGGGTCATGCAGGAGGGGCTGGGTTGGCCCCCACTCACCTCTCACGAGGCTGTAGATGATTCGCTGGTTGATGCCCCGGTCCCCGTCCACGGCATAGATGGGCCCAGGCCGCAGGATGAGGGGGGACGGCTGTGGGGACCCGGAGAAGAGGGAGTCTGCGGACTGACGCGAGGCCCCGACTCGGCCCCTCTTGGGTGGCCTGAGCGCCCGGCAGGCCTGCTGTCCGGCCGGACTCCCCTCTGGACCCACTGGGATGAGTCGCTTTGTCCAAGGACACTGGACTGTTCTGAACACTGAATGTCTCGGAAGGTGGCACCACCGGGGACGGGGCAGCTCACGGGTAAAGCCACGCTCTGGTGCAGGTGTTGGAATGTCCCTCATGGCAGGAGGAGGGACAGGAAGCCCCCGGGGGTGCCTTAGCCCACCCCAGCCGCCCTCCTCACGAATCCCGGGGGCGTCTGCCCCCCACTCAGGAGCACAGGGTTGGTGAGATCGGTCTGCAGAGCAGCACTCACGCCTTTAAAAATCCCGGCCCCACCCTCTGTGCCCACCATGAGCCTCCCCCTGCCCTGACCCTGGCTCCGGACTTGGCCCTCCTCCGAAAAGACCCCAGTACCAGTCTGTAGCCTGTGGGGACAGCCCCTCGGTACTGGGCTGAGAGGCAGAACTGAGAGTCTTCGTAGACACAAGGCAGGAACCAGGGGGGCCGCAGGTCGGCCGGCTGCACCTCCAGGACCAGGGTGGCTGTGGCCGTGTGGCTTGGCACTGCGTCCTCCTCCCGAGTGTCCTGTGACCCCAGGGCCCTGACCGTCAGCCTGGAGTCGGGGCAACTGCGGCAGGGACTCGAGGGGCCCGGGCTCGGCTCGGGGGCTGTGGCCCGCTCACCCGCACCAGCAGCCGGAAGGTCATGTTCCGATGCCTGTCGAAGTCCAGTGGCCGGTCCAGCCGCAGAGCGGGGAGGTTCACACCCACCAAGGAGAATAAGTCACCGGCACCCTGGAGAGATGGGGCGGAGCTGAGGCCTGGGGGAGTGCGGAGAGGACGGGGCGCCCCGAGTGGGGGTCGGGGTGGGGCAGGGGATGGGGTTGCTGACCGGGGTCACTTCCTGGAGGGTGTAGAACAAGATGTCGTCTTTGTCCAGGTCTTCGGCCTCCAGCGTGGACTCAGGGATGACAGTGGTGTTCACTTTCGTGTCCTGGGGGACAGAGGGGGGTTGGTCTGGCCACACGCCCGACCCCAGAGACCCATCGCGGGGTCGGGCCCCCAGCCCTCTGCACCTCCCCCACGCACCTCCGACACCGCCTCCACCAAGACCTCAAAGGGGAACTTGGGTGGGTTGTCATTGACATCCAGCACGATGACCAGCACCATCTGCTGGGTCACCTGGGGGGACGGGGGGTGGTCAGCCTCCTCCCCACGGCCCCCCCGGTGCCGCTCTGGTGGCCCCGCTCAGTTGCAGGACCAAGGGGGGGCAAAGCGGCCGCAGGACATTGGAGAGGAACAGCGCCTGCTGAGGGCCGGCCCGGGACCTGCAGGCGAGGACAGTGCCCGACGAGCCCCCGTCTGGCCGCGTGAACCTCAGGAAAAGAGGAGGGAAAGGGGCCCCGGGTGGAGAGACTCGGGGAGATGCCAGCCCAGAGCCCTGCCCGCCCTGGTGGGCGGCCGTGACCCGGTATGTGACTCTGGGGCACCAAGAGCCCCCTTTGTCAGGTGTGACCACCGGGACCTTCCGAGAGTGAGAGGTGAACTCATCTTCGGAGCCGCCCTGGGACTCGTGGGAGGGGCAAGGTGCTGTCTGCCCGGGGTGCCGAGGGCTCAGGAACCAAAGGGGCGTGGCTCACGGCCGGCCGAGGCGCGGGTTGGGCGGGCGGCCGCACTTCTGTGCATCTGCTGTCCCCGGCCCCCCCCCCGCCATTGAAGACACCTCAGGACCCGAGGTGTGGGGGCGAGGGGCAGCACTGCACCCGGGAACTGGGCGCAAGGGTGTCCCAGTCCTCCCCCCAGTGACACAGTTGGCTTTGACTCTGAGTGAGAAAGCAGCCGGGAGTTCTGGGCAGACCCCCAGTGAGGGCAAGACTGAGGGCGAAGTTAGTGGAGCAGTTGGAAGGTTCCAGAAAGGAGATGCTGGTGGCCAAGACCCGTGTGGGGCAGATGTCGAGGCTCCGGCTTCAGGCAGAGCCAGTGGCCCTCCTTACGGGGGGAGAAGGGGGGGGCGTGGGGCCTCCTCTCAGGGCGAGTGGGTGTTGCCAGCTCAGGGCGACACTTGACACTTGAGAAGTGTGTTGGGGGGGTCACTGGGGAGGGACTCTGACAGCACAGGGTGAGGGGTCCCCCGGGGCGGCATGGGCCGGGCTCACCAGAGTGTCCCCTCTTCTGCACTCCAGGTGCGCCTCCAGCACTGTGTTTTCCTGTGGGGGGGACGCGTGTCAGGGGTCCCCCGGCCAGCTGGCTGCAGCACCGGCCAGGCTCAGGGTGAGGGAGACAGAGGCCGGGGGAGGGGCACGTGCCCACCGGGGCCCCAGCGTCCACACCAAGTCCAGAGGGTGTCGGGGTCCCAGGCAGCTTTGTCCTCCAAGGGCCCCGGTCCCCTCAGGCCTGCCCTCGACCAGGCCTTGGGGCCCAGAGGGGTCAGTTGCTGCCTGGGGCCCAGGGCCCTTCTCCACAGGGGTCCGTGGAGGGTCAGCCCCTCTATCTCCCAGGCGCCGCCCCAGGCCCGCCCTCCGCACCTCGTAGTCAGGAGTCACATTGAGAAACAGCTGAGTCCCCTGGATCCGGAAGGCGAAGGGGGTGGACGAGGATCCGAGGGTCACCTGCTGGCCCTCGGGGACGGAGATGTTCACCAGGGCGTCGGTGAGGTTTGTGTTCTCCTGGACTTCGAAGACGTTCCCGCTCACGGAACAGGCTGCGGAGTGGCGGGGGAGGGGGCGGTCAGTGCCTCCCCGCCCCCTCCGACTGCCCGACCCGCCCACCCCAGCCACACACCCTGGGCCTGCGCCTGGGCAGCGTCTGGGAGCAGCGGCAGCAGCAGGGCCCAGGCCCCCAGCAGCAGGGCCCAAGCCCCCATCTCGGGGCGTCGGGAGGGTCGCAGCCCGCCTGGTGTCCGACCGTCTTCCGGGCCTCCTCCGAGCAGCCCGCCTGCGCTGCCTCTGCTGCCTCTGCCTGCCGACCTTCGCCCCTGCCGGCACCGCCTTGATTTATGACCGTTTACGTCGGACTGGCCTCCAGCAAGGGGGCTCCCGCGGGCCGCGGGCCAAGCACCCGGCCTGTGGTTCCAGGACGGGAGCCAGGTCAAGTACAAGGGCCCATGGGCTCAGCCCTCAGGTGCCAACACCTGAGGCGGAAGGGGGCTCAGAAAATTGAGCCTGGGGGTGTGCGGTGCAGAGGGTCTCGGGGCCCTTAAGGGGCCAGGAAGGGAGGGCTAGGAGGGCCGGCCTCTGGCTTCCGTGTGTCCTGCTGCCCCCACACCAGTCGCCCCTCTGCTCCTGGCAGAGTCGCCTCAGGGTAACTCCGAAGGCAGCACCTGGGGCTTGGGTCCCGGGTTCCCCTCCGCCCACCTGCTCCCCCCACGCCCCTCACCCCCGTCTGGAAGAACTGGCTGCTTGCGTCCTGGGGACCTGCCCGCAGCTCCAGAAGGTGGAGGTGGCACGTCCTCGGCAACAATGGGGCTTCGGGGGACCCTGGGCTCCTGAGGGCTCTGGTGCACGCGTGAGGCGATGTGGGCCCCCAACTGCCCTAGCCTGGCCCAAGCCCAGCACCCAAGGAGAGGCTGCCCAGTGGGTCGGGTGGGGTGCTGAGCACCATCCCCAAGTTGCTGCCATGCCTCTGCTGTGACCCCTGCAGTCCCTGGCACCCCCTGGGGTGTCCACAGGGCCCAGGCCACAGCTGGTAACCCTGCTGTCTGAGACCACACGGCCCGGACGGGGAGCCGGGCTCCTGGCTCCTGGATGTCCCCTCCCAAGCTCCCGTCCATCCTGGGCCTCCTCACCTCCTCAGACTTGCCCCCCCCCAGACCCCCGACTGTCTGCTGAGTGGGTGACAAGGGGTGCGGTCGGGGCCCAGGGGAGGTGGCCCTGATGCCAGGGACAAGGGATTGGGAAGGGGAGGCGCCTGCCGGCTTCCCGGGTTTAAAGGGCAGCTGGGTGTTGCCCGTGGCCGGCCCCTCTCCCTCCGAGTGCCCGGCTGCCTCCCTGGAACCAGGGCGACACATGCAGGGAGCTCATCAGGCCCGGGTTTGAATTCTTCCTTTATTGGTGCTGGGGGCAATGCCACCTGCCTCCCCACCCAGGCTCCCCAGGTCCATGGAGGGGGCTGCTGCGTCCTCAGGGACTCCTGGGGGTCTCAGCAGGCACAGCCGGGTCTGAAACCATGACCTCGGCCCTCAGTCCTCGAGGCTGCCAGGGAGACAAGGCCTGGTCTAGGGCGGCCCCCTGAGGCACCCTGTGGAGAGAGGCAGGTCAGGGGCTGGGGCCCAGATGGAGACCCACCCACCTCCTCAACTGGCCCAGTTTCACTCCCCAGGCCCCTGGGCCACCGCTGTCCAGTTCCTGGCCCTGGCCCAGGGTGCCTCCCGCAGACCCCAGGGGACCCGGGGAAGGGTCTGGGGGGCACGGCAGGGGGCTGCTCACCAGGCTCGCAGGGCCGGCGTGTTGGACCACAGCAGGCAGACGGGGCTCCCAGGGGACTGGGACCAGGACGTGCGGTTCTCTGTGTCCTGCTCGCTGCCCCCCCCCGCCCCGCCCCAAATCAGAATGAGTCCAGGAGTTGGGGGTGGAGACTGCTGAGGCGAGGGGCACCCGCATGCCGGACCGTCCCCTCCGAGCGCCCCCACTGCAGGTGCAGCTGCGCTCACCTGCGCTTCCCCACCAGGCCCTGGAGCAGCCGCTGCAGCCGCGCGCTCTCCCGCAGGCGACTGAGCTCGCTGGTGAACATCCCGTCCGAGTGTCGCGGGGCCCTGCGGAGGGGGCGGCGGGGCGGAGGGCGCCTGAGAGCCAGGCGGGGCCGGGGGCGGACGTGGGGCCGGGAGACTGGGCGGGAGCGGCGCGGCTCACCTGTGGGGCGCGGGGCGCGCGGCGCAGCCCCGGAGCAGCAGCGGCAGCAGCAGCAGCAGCGGCAGGGCCCGGGGGGCCATGGTGGTCGCGCCGGGGGTGCTGAGCGCTGCTGCCGTGGCCCCAGCCCCGCGCGGCCCTTATAGCGGCGCCCCGGGTGGGGGGCGGGCCGGGGGCGTCAGCAGCGCCTCCACTCGGCGCAGCCAGGGCCGCGCTCCATCGATCGGCGGGAAGGTCGGGCCGCCCCCCCATCTGTCGTCCCGCCGACTTGGCGCCCCAGGGCGCGCTGGGGCGGTTGGGGGAGGGAGGCGCGCGGGAACCGCGGGTGCAAGGCCTCGGAGGTGGGCTCCGGGCGGGGGTCCCAGCCGGACCACCGGTGCGGCGACCCGAGGCCGGCGGGCCCTGTGCGGGGCGGTCTGCGATGAAGCTCTGGGACGGGGAGGAGGCAGGGGCAGCTGGGTCCCTGGGGCTTAACCGGTAGGGGACTAAGCGGGAAAATGAAGCCGTGAACTAGTGGTCGGGTTAAAATAAACTTAGCAGACGTTTTGAACACAGTCAGCGGACTTCTTTCAAAGCCGCTTTGGGCGGAAATTTGACCCGAACGACCGAGCCCCGCCCGCGGCCTCCCCTGCACCTCCGGCCGGCGCCGCTGCGCACAGCGGATGGACCCCAAACGCACGTGATTACTAAGCCTGCGGCTGACACCAGGGTCCCTCTGGCTGTTGTCCGTTCTGCGGGTTTGGGCACATGTGACTCGATGCGTGTGCACAGATACCGTCTCACTCGGAGCGGTCCCAGGCCCTGGAACCCTCCGGGCTCCACCTGCTCCCCCCTGCCCTGCCCCTGGTCAGCAACCGCAGAGCTTTTTACTGTTTCCACAGTTTGTCTTTTCCAGAGCGTCGTGGAGGTGGAATCGGACCCTCCGTAGCCTTTCAGGTTGGCTCCTCTCACTCAGGGATATGCATTTATGTTTCCTCCACGCTTTTCATGACCTGGTAGCTCATTTCTTTTCGGCCCTGAATTCACAGTCCACTGTCTGGATGGACCACAGCTTGTCCATCTGTCACCCGAAGGGCGTCTGGTCCCTTCCCAGTTTTGCGGTTAGGAAGAAGCTGCCGTGAACACCGTGTGCAGGTTTCTGTGTGGGCATGGACGTTGGCGTTCAGCCCCTCTGGGTCAACGCCAGGGGGCACGATGGCTGGGTGCCGTGGCGAGAGGGAGTTGGGTCCCGTGAGAACCCTCCAAGCCGTCTTCCTCAGGGGCTGCCCCGTCTGCATTCCCAGCCGCAGCAGGTGAGCTTCCTGCCGCTCCAGGTCCCCCAGCACCTGCCAGTGTCCCCTGGGCTCTGGACACGAGTCATCCCAGAGGGTGAGCCGTGGAGCCTCCCTGCTGCTTTAATGTGCGTGTATCGTTAAACAGCTGCTGGGACTGGGTCTTGCGCAAACTTGGCGGATTAAATTCTAAATCTTTACACCACTGACCGATTCCACACATTCATGGGAATGAATGTTCCTGGTACTTAACTGGTTGACCTTCTTAGCTCCACTCAAGTAAACAGACAGAGCTTCATAAAGAACATCTTATTTTTTTAATGAGTTTATTGATTTATTTTTAGAGGGAGGGGAAGGGAGGGAGAGTAACATCATGTGTGGTTGCCTCTCACGCGCCTGCAACCCAGGCCTGTGCCCTGACTGGGAATCGAACCAGCGACCCTTTGGTTTGAAGGTCAGCACTCAATCCACTGAGCCTCACCAGCCAAGCAACATCTTCCTATTTTTAAAACAATTCACCTGTGGTAAGACTGGCCTTAAAAATCAGTATACAGTGAAGTCCATATACGGTAAAAACTGAATTTTGGCAGATGGATAGATGCAGGCACCACTGTCATCGGGCAACAGGGCGCTCTGTCCCCGCAGAGCACTCCCTCCGCTGCCCCTCTGCGGTCCCACCCCCAGCAGCTTGGGTCACAGCCGCACGAGGTCACAGGCAGTCACTACCGAGAGGCACAGATGGAGGGCTGAGGCCAAGGAGAGGTTGTGTCCTGTGTGCGTCTGTCACTTGGATCCTGTGACTGCCTTCACCTCACCCGGAAGGGCTGTCACCCATGGTCCCTGCTCCTGAGGTTTCCTGTGTCCTCACCAACACGCGGCCGTGCAGAAGCGTGGGCAGTGCGATGGTGCGTCCAGGCTCCTCCGGGCCCCACTGGGCAACTGGGACCCGGAAAGAGATGACCTGCGGGGTTCCGTGCAGCCCTCCCCTCCCCGCCCCTCCCCGGGGACACTCCTTAAATCAGCAGGCAGACAAACTACAAGGACAGCCCGGTTCCCATGGCTGCCCGGGATGGCCGCCGTCAACAGTTCCACCTCTGTCAACAGTTCTTGAGACCAGACTGCACTCTGTCCAGGGTCCCAGAGACGCCAGTTCAGCGTCCCAGGTTCTGAAGCCAAGACACGTCATTGCTCCAGCGTAGCATGTGGAGCCTCCGCACAGCCGAGGATTAGGTCACTGCTTCACTCCGGGAGTAAGCAAAGCAGATACGCGCCCCGCCTTTTCCGCTTTAGCGGAGATTTAAACGTCGGTTCAAGTTAGTCTTATCTACCCTTCGTTCTAGATCAGGCTGTGGCAGGTGGGCACAGGAGAGGGGCCTTTCTCTGCACCCAGTGACCACTGTGCCCTTCCTGCCGCTGCACAGCCCGCCTGGAGGCCAGGGACCACCAGGGACACTTTCAGGACATGAGCCTGGTGACCTTGTTGTGACCTCAGCGGCACCCCGCTTAGGACCAGAGAAAGAAAAATCACTTGTGTAGTGTGGCGGAGAATTTCAAACACACACGAGTGGACAGAATAGCATCATGAACTCAGCATCAGCAATTTATGACCGGGCTTATCTACCCCATCCACTTCCTCTGTTTTTTTTTCAAAATTGATTTTGGAGCAGATGGTGGAAATTGTATTATTTCATTTTTAAGGACACACTATACATCTTGAAGAGATAAGGACTGTCAGGTCAGCTGAAGGCCCCTGACCGCTGACCAGACCCCCAAGGGCCCCCGTTGATCAGGAAAGCTGAGTTATTGAACCCCAGCGAGGAAGTGCCCAGCTTGGGGGGGTGCGGGGTCGGGGGCACAGGCCTCTGTGGGGCTTGGGGCTGAGGCTTTCACTGCTTCGGAGGGGCCTTCCAGAGTGGGGGCCTGGTGGGCACGGCCGTGGGCTCAGGGAGACGAGTCTGGACATGAACAAGGCTACACACCAGTGTTTGTAACGTTTCCGCCTCCTGCTTTAGAGGCCCGCGGAGCGACCACCGGCGCCCTGCCTCCCAGCCTCCCAGCCGCAGTCTCGTGGGTCCCAGACACAGACCTGGGGCTCGTGGCGCTCCTGGCACTGGAGGAGCTCTGCCTCGTCCTTCCCCAGATTGCTTCGGTTATGTGGGTTCCTTACCATTTCATACGGCTTGTGGGACTGGCTGTGCCATTAAAGAAACAAGCCGTCAGGGCTTTGACAGTGAGCGTCCAACTTCTGAGCCCGTGCGGCAAGGAAGAGCTGTCCGGTCTGTGGGTCCGTGGGCACTGGGCCCTTGGCCAGGTCTTCTTCACGGTCTGCCGGCAGCTCTGTGGGGCTTTCAGACTGCGGGTCTTTCACCTTCTCGGTTAAATGCATCCCTAAGTTATTTTGTTCTTTTTGATGCAGTGAATGATTTTTTTCCAAAAAAATCTTTTAAAGATTTTATTTGTTTATTTTTAGAAAGAGGGGAAGGGAGGTAGAAAGAGAGGGAGAGAAACATCAATGTGTGGTGGCCTCCCAAGCGCCCCCTACTGGGGACCTGGCCTGCAAACCCAGGCCTGTGCCCTGACTGGGGATCAAACCAACGACCCTTTGGTTCGCAGGCCAGTCAGTACTCAATCCACTGAGCCATGCCAGGCAGGGCTGAATGATTTTCTTGACTTGATTTTTTGATTATTCATTTCTAATGCACAGGAATGTAGCTAACTTTTACATTTCACTGATATTCTGCAACTTTGCTGAATTTGTTTATTAGTTCTGACAGGGTTCCTGGCTTTTCAGATTTTCTACACATGAGAACACCGGCAAGCTTTACTTTCTCCTTCCAGCTGTGGACGCCTTTCCTGCCTTTCCTGCTGGGACTAGGACTTTCAGGGCCACGCCAACGGTAGTGCCCGGAAAGGGCTGCCTCGTCTGCCCCTGACCTTGGAGGGAAGCACCCATCGCGTCCCCGTGTGACGTCAGCCACCTGTTACATTGGCTGCGTGTTCTCCACGTTGAGGAAGTGAGTCCACATTGAGTCTCTTTCTGGTCTTCGATTATCGAGCGTTTTTTTACATGACAGTGTTGGATTTTGTCAAATGCTTGTTCTGCTCCCACAGAGACAGGGTAATGGGCTTCCCCTCTGCTCCGTTCGGGTGCCGCACGCCCCTGGCCGGGTTTGTGGACGGGGTCAGCCCCTGCCCGTCTAGCTTGGTCACGGCTGCCGCCCCTTAACAAAGGCTGCTGGGTACGGCTGGCTCAGGCTCGTTGAAGGGTTTCGTGTCTGGATTCCTAAGGAATTTTGATCTGGAGTTCTCTCTCGTGATGTCATTACTGTTGAGTTTGTTGCTTTTTTAATCCTCAACCAAAGACATGTTTATTGATTCTATTTTATTTTTTAAGATGTTTTTGTTGATTATACTATTACAGTTGTCTCATTTCCCCCCTTCACTCCCCTCCGCCCTGCACACCCCTCCCACCCTCATTCCCCGCCTTTAGTTCATGTCCATGGGTCCTACATACAAGTGCTTTGGCTTCTACACTTCCTGTGCTATTCTTAGCCCCCCCCCTTTCTATTTTCTACCTGCGTCTATGCTACTTATTTTCTGTACCTTCTCCTCCCTTCTCCTCCTCCCACTCCTCTGTTGCTAACCCTCCATGTGATCTTTATTTCTATGGTTCTGCTCCTGATCTAGCTGTCCTTTTAGTTTGCTTTTGTTTTAGGTGTGGTTCTTAATAACTGTGAGTTTGCTGTCCTTTCGCTCTTCATCTTTTTTATCTTCTTTTTCTTAGATAAGTCCCTTTAACATTTCATATAATAAAGGCTTGGTGACGGTGAACTCCTTGAACTTGACCTTATCTGAGAAGCACTTTATCTGTCCTTCCATTCTAAAGGAAAGCTTTCCTGGATGAGTCATCTAGGGTGTAGGTCCTTGCCGTTCATGACTTGGAATACTTTTTCCAGCCCCTTCTTGCCTGCAAGGTCTCTTTTGAGAAATCTGCTGACAGTCTGATGGGAACTCCTTTGTAGATGACTGTCCCCTTATCTCTTGCTGCTTCTAGGATTCTCTCCTTCATTTTAATCTTGGCTAATATAATGATGATGTGTCTTGGTGTGTTCCTTCTTGGGTCCACCTTCTTTGGGACTCTCTGAGCTTCCTGGATTTCCCGGAAGTCTATTTCCTTTGCCAGATTGGGGAAATTCTTCTTTATTATTTGTTCAAATAAGTTTCCAATTTTTTGCTCTTCCTCTTCTCCTTCTGGCACACTTATGATTTGGATGTTGGAACATTTGAAGTTGTCCCATAGGTTCCTAAGCCTCTCCTTATTTTCTTGAATTCTTGTTTCTTCATTCTGTTCTGGTTGAATGTTTCCTTCTTCCTTCTGGTCCACACTGTTGATTTGAGTCCCAGGTTCCTTCCCTTCACTGTTGGTTCCCTGTACATTTTCCTTTATTTCACTTAGCATGGCCTTCATTTTTTCATGTAATTTGTGACCATTCTCAACCAATTCTGTGAGCATCCTGATCACCAGTGTCCTGAACTCTGCATCTGGTAGGTTGGCTGTCTCTTCCTCGCTTAGTTCCATTTTTTGAGCTTTGATCTGTTCATTAATTTGGGCCATTTTCTTTTTGTCTGCGATTGTAGCAAGGGGCGGAGCCTTAGGTGTTCACCACCGCGGGCCAACCCACGTGGCTGCGTCATGACGCTGTACGTGGGGAGGGTCCGAGAGGGAACAATGGCGCCTGCTCCGCTCTCTACGGGATTTCAGTCACTTCCCCTGCTCTCCCCAAGCAAACTGGGCCCTTCTGGTGCTGATTCCCAGGCGGGTGGGCTTGTGTACATTCTGGGTCCCTGTGGGTCTCTCCAACGAAACCTGTTGTGAGGCTGGGAGTCTCTCCCGCTGCCGCCTCCACCCCCGCGGGTGTTGTCGGAGGTTTGAGGCTTTACTTCCCCACCGGAGCTCTGGGTTGTGGGTCTGTCTGGCTCCCCGGGTGTCCCTCCCGGTTTATTCGCTCTGGAATGTGGGACCACCGGTCTGCACTGCAACCCGCTGCCTCTTCAGGTCCTCCAGCCGCCCGGCCGGGAGCCCTCTCCACCCGCTGCCCATCTGGGTGAGTGTTTCTTTTAACTCCTTGGTCGACAGTTTGATTTTCTGTCAGTTCTGGTTGGTTTTGGTTTTTAAATTTGTTGTCCTTTTGGTTGTGCGAGGAGGCACAGTGTGGCTACCTACGCCCCCGTCTTGGCCAGAAGTCAAAAGAATCTCTGTTTATTGATTTTGGAGAGAGGGGAAGGGGGGGAGAGAGAGAGAAAGTTGCCTCGCCTCTGTCCCCCGACTGGGGGCTGCACCCAAAGCCTAGCTATGTGCCCTGACCAGGGGTGGAACCTGTAACCTCTCCGGCTCACCGAACGACCTTCCAACAGAGCCATCGGGCCAGGGCTCACTGCTCTTGAATTTTGAAAGTCATTTATGCATTTTGTATACAGCTCATTTGCTAGGATTTTTTGTTCTATTCTGTGGCTGGAAGTTTTTAATTTTAAGGAAGTCCCGTTTATCTGGTTTTTTTTTAAATTTGTAAACCATGCTTTAAAAAATTTTTAATTTATTTGTAGAGCGAGGGGAAGGAAGGGAGAAAGAGAGGGATAGAGACATTAATGTGTGGTTGCCTCTTGAGTGTCCCCTACTGGGGATCTGGCTGGCAACCCAGGCATGTGTCCTGACTGGGAATCGAACTGGCGACCCCATGGTTCGCTGGCCGGCCCACTGAGCCACACCAGCCAGGGCTGTAAATCAGGTTTTTTGGTATCACATCTAAAAATCTCTTTGCTTATGTCCTAGTCACAAAGGTTTTCTCCCAAAAGTTTTATAGTTTTAGGTTCATATTCAAATCTGCGATTCATCTCGAGTTTGTTTTCAAATAGGCATGAGGTTTAGATCAAGGGTTCTGGGATGGGAGGGGCTACATTTGGAAATTAAACGGCGTTGTTCTAAGTAACCCATGAGTCACAGAAGAGGGTTCAAGGGAAGTGGGGAGTATTTCCACCTGAACATACTTGAAAACACCGACACGCGTGGGACATGTCTGAGGGGAATTTGTAGCCTGAAAGCTTGTGTGAGAAAAGAAGTGCCTCAAATAAGCAGCCTTAAGAAACCAGGAAAGGACCCGGAGCCGTGTGGCCCAGTGGGATGGAGCGTCGTCCCCGAGACCGAAATGGTGCGGGTTTGGCTCTCGCCTCGGGCACATGCCTGGGTTGCAGGTTCTGTCCCTGGTCAGGGCCTGTATGGGAAGCAATTGATCACTGCCCTTCCCCTTTCTCTTAAAATAAACAAAGGAAGCGAGAAAGAGGGCTTACGAAGCACAAAGCGAGCAGAAGAAAGGAGACAGAAGTAAAAACCAATGAAACTGAAAACAAACCCATAAAAAAAAAAGAAGAAGAATCCATAAAACCAAAAGCTGTTGCTTTGAAAAGAGCCACCAATTGATGAACGTCTAGCAAGACCAACCGAGAGTTAAAGGCACAACATACAAACACGGCGATGGAAGGGGTGCCAAGGGCGCCATCACCAGAGACCTCGCAGGTGTGACGATGGCGAGAGAGACGCTATGCACAGTGCCAGGCCCGACTCCAGAAGCCCACGTGGCACAGACGGGTCCCTTGGGGGACAGATGGTTAGTCTGCCCAGCAAAGGAAAGCCGGGCCCAAACCTCGCTCTGGGCGCTCACTCCGGCATCAAGATGCCGCGAAACCCACCGCCGACGGTGGAGGGAGGGAGCGGTCCCTGTCTTGTGCGGTGGAGCCCGTGGTGCCCAAGCCCGGGGTCCCGCAGAGCCCTGCCAGCTGCACGGGGCGGCCTCATCTGCGTGCATGAGGGACCCACAGGGGCTCAGGGAGCCTGAGGGTGGTGGGCGAGGGTGAGAGAGTTCCCGCTGGGGCTTTGCTTTTCTCGGCGCCCAGCCCGCTGAGCTGCCGGAGAGCTTATACGCACTCTCTGCCCCGGCTCAGGTCACCTTGAGGGAGGCCGTGGAAAGCTGAGGGGCCAGCACCATTTCCAGGGTCCCAATCCCAGCCTGGGGGGGGGACGCATGCTTGGTCAGGGTCATAGGCTCCAAGATGATGGAGTGGACAGTGTGCGGGGGCAGGGGTTGAACCACTCAACAGTCCCCCTGGAGGATGGGGGGTCAGGCAGTGGCTCAGGGTGGTCCCGGGCACCAGGCAGAGGCTGCTTCCTGGAATGGGATGCAGTCTTCAGCCATGGGGTCGCACCAGGGCACGCAGGAGTGGGCTCTGAGGGGTGTAGGAGGAGGCAATAGGGTGGACCTCGCACCTCAGGCACCAGGGATCCTCCGGGGCCCACGGGGGCGGTGTCTGAGAACTGAGGGCCTGTGGCCCGGCCTGAGCAGTAAGTCTTCCCACACCACGTGAACAGGGTGGAGTGAGAACCGGCCCGGTCAATGCCTCCAGGTGCCTCCAAGAGTGTCCCTGGAAGGAGAAGACCCGCTTGGGCGCATGTAGGAGCCCAGGGACCTCCGCGGTGGGTGCTCAGGCGCCTTGGGGTCCGGCCCACCTTCCATCTCTGTGACTTTTCCTCTGGGTGCAGACCCGGGACGCCCCCACCAACCCGGAGCCAGGCTGCCCCTACCAACCACCCTGCTCACCTCGCATCTCATTTGGCTGTTGCATTGTTCTGCCTGGCGGTCCCCTCAGCGCAAAAGTCCAAGATGGGCAAATACAGGGTGCACCCTGGAGTGCCCCAGGGCCCGTCCAGCTGGGGCGGATCAAGCGGGACCAAGACTGGACTGGGGCGTGCCGAGGGGCGGGGTTCCTGAGGTCGCAACCTGGGCGCTGTCCGCGGTGCTGAGCGCCCGCCGGGGCGCACAGGGCCGGGGCGTCATGGGGAATCGCAGCGCCGCGGATGCTGGGGTGCTGATGGCGGGGTGCGGGCCTGACGTGGACAGAGGGGCAGGGTCACCGGCGGGGCTGGCGGGGCCGGGGGCTGCGGCGGCACTGGTGGGGGGCGTGCTGCTCATTGGCTCGGTACTCGCGGGGAACTTACTAGTGTGCGTGAGTGTGGCGGCTGAGCGCGCCCTACAGACTCCCACCAACTACTTCATCGTGAGCCTGGCGGCCGCGGACCTGCTCCTCGCTCTGCTCGTCCTGCCGCTCTTCGTCTACTCCGAGGTGAGCCCCTCCCTGGCCGCAGAGACATCGCTGACCCAGCACCTTGCCTGCCCAGGAACCCCGAGCTGGGCACTGCTCCTGGTGCCCCTCTGAGCCCAGCCCACTCCCATCTCGGATCCGTCTGCCCGTCTTCTGCCCCTCCCTTCTCTCCCTGTAGCATGTTACCCAAGAGATGCCTTTGGCCCTCAAGCCAGGAGCCCCACAAAGAGGTGACTTTGGCAGTCCCTCCACCTACCCACTGCCCTGAGCTGGGTCCGCTCCCCAGGGCAGCCAGCCGGACAGGCAGGCAGATTTGGGCTCACCCCGGCTGGCTCCCCTGGGCACAGGTCGCACACACGGCTGCCCAGGCCCCAGCCACGTGTGACCAGGATCGTGCACCTGCACTCATTTGCACAGAGGCACAACCCACAGTGGGGGGGGCAGTGGAGGGCAGAGGGAGGGCAGGGAGGTGGGGGGGACAGCAGAGCTGAGGGGACGGGTGGCTGTGGGGTCCACAGCCCCCGAGGAGAGCGGGGGCCAGTGGCCTCCTCTCCAGGTCAAGTCTGGTGCTCAGGTGGGTCCTCCTTGGTGCCAGCTCTGTCTTCCCAGAGGTAGAGAAAAGCTGCTTAGCGCTGGGTTGGGGACACTGTGCCCTGAACTGCGGGGGAGGGGAGGTGTGGTCTTTCCAAAGGGGTCACAGTGATTGAGGGTGGGGCTGGGACAGAGGCTGGCAGGACAAGGACACGCATGACCTTCTGTGCTCTGCCCTGGAGCTGCGGACAGACGTCACAGTGACGGTCGTAAGCTCCTAATCGTCCCAAATCAGCGGGAGGGGATTTATAAGGGGGCAGCTGTCTGCTCCGGGTGTGGGTCACGGGGCCGAGGCCTGTGCACTCTTATCTCATTTCCCCTCCCGGTGAGGACGAGCGGATGAACCGTTGCTCCCCTCGCTTTAGGGAGGTGCAGCCACCTGTCCAAAGTCCCCAGGCAGGGATGGAGTTTGAGCAGAAGGGCTGGCTCCCAGCTGTGCTCTGGGGAGGAGGGGGTGGCAGGGACCCCTGGTCCACTGCACCCCGCATCACCAGAGATCAGGGTGCTCAGGCCATCAGGCCCCCACTGCCCCCCAGGCCATCCCAGCTCCGACAGGAGGGTGCCTGGGAGTGGGGCGGTGGGCTGCTGGCCTGGGCCCAGCTGCGGCGGCCAGGGGTGGGGGCTTGAGTCTCAAGTCCTCCGTTGCTGTCCTGCCTGGCCCCCATGGCCCAGGTCCAGGGTGGCGTGTGGCGGCTGAGCCCCGGCCTCTGTGACGCGCTCATGGCCATGGACGTCATGCTGTGTACCGCCTCCATCTTCAACCTGTGCGCCATCAGCGTGGACAGGTGGGCCACCCTCCTTGCGCGCATCGCCGTCCGGCCCCGCCCCCAGCCCCACCCACTGTGCCTCAGGCACCACCGCCCTCACTGCGCTCCCTGCAGGTTCGTGGCGGTGGCGGTGCCCCTGACCTACAACCGCCAGGGCCGGGGCGGGCGTCAGTTGCTGCTCATCGGGGCCACGTGGCTGCTGTCGGCTGCGGTGGCTGCGCCCGTGCTGTGCGGCCTCAACGACGTGCAGGGCCGCGACCCAGCCGCGTGCCGCCTGGAGGACCGAGACTACGTGGTCTACTCGTCCGTGTGCTCCTTCTTCGTGCCCTGCCCGCTCATGCTGCTGCTCTACTGGGCCACGTTCCGGGGCCTGCGGCGCTGGCAGGCTGCGCGCCGCACTAGACTGCACTGCCGCGCGCCCCGCCGGCCCAGCGGCCCCGGCCCGCCGCCCACCACCGCTGACCCGGCCCGGCCCCTGCCGCCGGCCCCGAGGAGGCGCCCGGAGATCCCTGGCCGGGAGCGCAAGGCCATGAGGGTCCTGCCCGTGGTGGTCGGTGGGTACCCGCCCGCCCACGGAGCAGAGGGTGGCAGTGCCCAGCCGGGGTGCACCGGGCCGCACGGGGCCCTGGCTCACGCCTCCTCCTCCCCTGCCATAGGGGTCTTCCTGGTCTGCTGGACACCCTTCTTCGTGGTGCACATCACGCGAGCGCTGTGTCCCACCTGCGCGGTCCCCCCGCGGCTGGTCAGCGCCGTCACCTGGCTGGGCTACCTCAACAGTGCCCTGAACCCGGTCATCTACACGGCCTTCAACGCGGAGTTCCGCGGCGTCTTCCGCAAGGCCCTGTGCCGCTGCCACTGCTGCTGAGTCGGTGCCCCGCCCCCGCCTCCCTCCCAGGGGGAGGAGCGGTTTTGTGCAAACTCTCAAGTGGATTCTGTTCTAAATACCCGTGCAGAAGGGTCCAAGTGGGCGTGGGTGCTCGGGGAGTCACGCCAAGGTGGGGTGACTCAGCCCAAGCGGAGCCCAGGCCCCTACAGACCCCCATGAGGCCAGTTACCCCCTTCCTTCTGAGGAAGCGCAGAGGCCGGGCCCCACAAACTGGCTCCTGGCTCAGGGTGAGGCAAGAAGGCCACCTCAGCTCTGGGGCTCCCCGCAGTGGCTCCCACCCTTCTCCATAGCCCCCTTCCACTCCTGGGCACCAGCTGCAAGGCCCCCGGCCCCCGGGCCCTCGGCTGTCCCCGCTCTGTCCCCCGGCTGCTGTCTCCTTTCTTGGCGGGAGACGGACAAGTCGCCCTGCAGGCACTGGGGCTGGGATCAGTGGTCAGGCCCCTCCCAGACCAAGGACCAGTGGTGGTGGTCCCCCCAGTCTCTAGAAAACACAGCTGAGCTGACCCCGCCGAGGCAGACGCCCCTCCGCTCCCAGAGCACACAGCCGTCCTCAGTGGGAGCCGCCACCCAGGGCGCAGGAGGCAGGGCAGGGCCCAAGGCAGGGCAGGGCCACCCAAGCTGCCCCCCACCCCCCGGAAGACTGGATCCCCAGATCACCAGTTGGGTTCCCAGGTGGGGTACATGCCTAGGTTCTGGGCCAAGTCCCAGCTGGATCCAGAGTTCTCAGGTGTCACTTGAGCAAAAGGGACCAGGTCACACACAGGCTGTCCCTGCGTTGTGGCCACAAGGAGCCAGTCACTTCCAGGACTGGGTAAGCGCTTGAAGACCGGAAGGACCAGCTGCTCTGGCTCCCCAGGTGACAGCTGGGCAGGAAGACGCCCAGTTCCCCGCAGGCCCGTAGGATCCGAGCCGAGGCGGCTGGTCACCTCCAGTGCCTGGGCATCTGGGGCGAGGACTGCACCCAGGTAGGTCAGGGACACCGGCTTTATTGAGACACACATATGTACACCCGTGTTACAAACACAACACACCTGTGGGTAAGGCCAGACCCTCGTGATCCAAGAATGAAAGAGCACCGTGGGGTGGCCTGTCCTCTGCGGCGCCCCTCCCTCAGGCCTCGGGGCAGCAGCGGTTCTGCAGGGCACAGGCCACTTCCAGTCTGTTTGTAACTTGGCCAGCAAGTTTCCTCACATCTCAATGTCCCCCGTAGCCTCCAGGGGTCCCGGGTGGGCGACGGCCCCGCCACACCGCAGAGACGGGGCCCAGCAGGCTCTCACACGGCGACTTTCTCTATCACGCTCTCAGCGACGTGGACCTCGTCCCCCTGCACCGAGACAGCTGCTGCCTGGCCACACACGTGCTGGTGGTCCTTCCAGTCCTGCCGGGAAGGACACGCCCGTGTCACCAGGAGCTGCCAGCTCAGCAGCAGCGAGGAGTGCCCACCCCTGGGCCCCTCGCTCAGGCCCGGCCTCGCTGTCCTGTGCCTGCGGGGCCGGCTCACAGGCCGGTGGCCGGGATCGAGCCGCAGGTGCAGGGAACAAGCTACACCAGATGCTGCTGCCCACAGGGCCGCTGGTAATTTCCGAAAACCGAGAACGCAGTGGGAGCTGGGCCCAGGCTGGTAGCTGCAGCCCCCAGGTGGCTGGGGACAGGGGCTGCTGTGGCCTGTTTCCAGGGGGGACTGGGTGCTGAGCACCATGGCGGCCCCCTCAGCCTGAACCAGGGCTCTCAGGAGGCTGGATGGCCAGGGGCCTGGGCACAGGGGGAGGTGAGGGTGTGGCACAGAGTGACATGACGAGGACAGGCGGCCCTGAAGCACTGAAACCAGTGCGTGCAGCCTGGACGAGGGCTTCCATCGGAAAGGCCGGCTGGTCAGGACTGCAGGGCTGTGCCTGGTCCTGCTCAGTCGCCCGCCCTGAGGGTTTCTACTGAGACTGGACAGGGCTCCAACCGCTGCTGGTGAGGCCCTGGGCGGGGAGGCCCCACCGCCCCCAGCTGCCTCCCCAGCTGTGGAAAGACCCGAACCCCTGAGGCAGGCGGCCGTCCGGCTCCCAGAAACCTCCTGTTCACCTCCTCACCGCGGAAGGTCGCAAACCCACTCCCATGACTGTGAGGCCCCCAGGGCTGGGGGCGCCAACCCTGAGGTCAAAGGGCAGAGTGAGCAGGGCCCGCCCACCACCACGCGGGAACGGGGCGCAGGCCCACGGGGCCCTACCTTGCGCTGGCAGAAGGTGGAGCAGTAGTTCACTTTGTGGCAGCCGGTGCACTCGCTCAGCGCCTCGCGGCCGCAGTTGGCACAGCACTGCTGCAAGGACAGAGCCGTCAGCGCAGCGCAGTGCAGCGCGGGCGGCAGGGCCCCGACCCTGGTGCCTGTGCCGCTGCCAGCGCCGCCTGCAGGTTCCTGTCACCTCCAGAAACACTGGCCTCCTTCCCACCACGTGCACAGAGCCAAGCCTGGGGCAGAACTCCCAAAGCCGTCGGGGGCGAGTTGGCCCCAGCGGCCGGGAGGACACATCCGGACTGCGGTCCGCACGTGCCAAGCAGCCCACACGCCGTCGCCAACCCCCACTCCGAGCCCTCTGCCCACCGGTTCACGGAAATGTGCACTTTATTTCCTTAAACGACGTGACAGGAGCTTTTCTCCGCGGCCGACTGAGGCCCACAGCGTGCTGTCCCTGGCAGACCTGGGGACATGGCCTTGGTGACACGTGCAGATGGCAGCCTCGCTGTCCGCTCCAGAGGTGGGGACGGGCGCGGGCACAGCACACCGGGCTCGGGAGGCCCCTGTCCCGTCCCTGCCGTGCCGCCCCTGCCCCGAACCTGAGCCCCACACGCAGGCGGCAGCTCTGGGCTTTGTTCCGACCGCAGCTGCCTTCTCTGCATGACGCTGCCCTCACCACGAGCAGAGTAACACTTCCCACTCAGAAAACCTCGCAGTGCGCGCTCCGGGCAGAAAACGGGACGAAACTCGAGGAGCCCCACTTCCGAGAAGACGCTCCAGGAGAAAACAAGATCCGGCCCGAAGGAGGGTGGTCTGCGCCGGAGCCGGTCAAGGTCACGGGGCTGTTGACCCCGCTGCTGTGGGAGGAGCCCCGGGGCAGCATCGCCCTCGGCTGTCAGCTTCGCCTCCGCAACCCCAAAGCTTTGCAAAGGGCGCCGAAGACAGACAGTTCAAACGCACCCTCTTGTCCTCCGGGGGCGCGGGTGCGGAAAGCTGCTCTCATGTGGGCCAACGCCCTGGTTGCGCGGCAGAAACCCCTCCGCACGCGCGTGGGAATCGCCGGGACCTCAAGCACCCTCTCCACGGCGCTGCGCCTGCGTCCCAGGTCACTGCTCCCCTCATGGTCGTGGGATATGGCGGGAGTCTCCCCCCTAGAACACAGCTCAGGTTGGAGAGAGGGGGCCTCCGAGTTGTCCACTGTCACCCCGACAGCCCTCACTCCACACGAACGGAGCGTCCAGGTGCCGAGGCCCACCCGGCCAGAGCCCAGACCTGCCCCCGGAGCTGAAGAGGACCTGCGGCGCTGAGTGTGGCAGGTGCCCGCCTGCACGCACGGTCTGCCGGGACGCCCGAGGGGCCCCGCGCCACAGCAAGTGGACGGCGAGTCCACGCGTCCTCACCTGTGTGCGAGGCAGCATCACGCGGATGAGGACGGTCACGTCTCACCGGCCTCCCCTGGCTGACGCGCTCAGCTTTTCATATATGTTTTCCTTTTTTACTGAATTTATTAGGGTGACACTGGTTAAGGAAACACGCATGCTTCAGCGGCGCAGCTCTGAGACACCATCTGCACGCTGTGCCGTGTGCGCGCCGCCCCCAGGCCAGTCTCGGGTCACCATCCGCATCCCCGCCACGCCCCCTTGTGGGCTGGCCACCAGCACACCGTGGCCTTCGTCTGCGTCCGCAGACAGTGCAGGAAGGCCGCAGTGCGTCCGGGGCGGCAAGGGAGAGGAGGCGGCCAGGCCGCTCCACAGGCTGGGGCGCTGCAGCCAGGGCAGGGCAGCCCCCCGCAGGGGGTTTCAGGGAGAAGGGGTTTCCTGCCACGTTTCTCTCTGAGAAATGCATCAAATTACAAATGAAATGCCAAGCCCGGCCTTCTGCTCGGGGACCTCCAACGCTGCCACATCCGCATCCCTGGCTGACTAGCACCCTGCCATGGTGGCCTGCCACCTGCCACTGTCACAGGAATCAGCTCTGAACCCTCTGAGAAGGGAGGTGGCTGCGCTGGGGCTGTTCCGTGAGAATGACAGCAGCTGACGGTGGCTGGCTCAGCAGTGCTGCACCCGCACCTGGGGCCCGGCCCACATTCCTGAGCCACCCTCCACCCTCCAGGCCTGCTGGGGGGGCCGCCTCCTAAACCGTAAACCTCGCAGAGAGAGAGGTCAAGGGCCAGTGCAGGGAAATGCGGAACTAACAGTGGGGAACGTTTCCCTTTCGTTTCCTCAGCAGCGAGAAGTTCAGATTTCAGGGCAGCTGGCCCTGTCTGTCTGGCCCGTGTCCCCCCCACCCCGGGGGGGGGGGGGAATGCGGCTCCACCCCCCCAATTCAGGCGTCATTCTAATAAGAACCCAGGGCCTGTTCCCAACATGCTTCCACCTGCAACCTGAGTCAGAAGACGCGCCAGAAAGTCCTTCCTTTTCTTTCCCAAACACCCGGGGCAGCTGTGTGAAGGCCGGTTTCCCTGACCTTTAGGAGCCTGCGGACAGACAGACAGATGAACAGCCGGGCAGCTGGCCAGTGTCCCCTGCACACCTGGGCTGAGGGGCAGGAGGGAAACAGCCCACAGGGGGTCTACACCTCATGTCCGTGAGAATGGCAGCAGTTGGAAGTGTGATCTACACCCCACCCTTTAAAGTGATCCCCAAATCTCTGGCTCATGGCGGAATTACAAAAGCCACCAAGGTGTGTTCATCCGAACAGTCCCTGCCATGTAACGGGTGAGCAGTGGTATCTATGGAAGCAGTGAACAACCTCAGTTGCTACATCACACTGACTCTTTTACCCCATTTCAAGTGCACACAGGATCTGGGGAGACCCTGCCCCAAAGGCCCACGCATGGCCACGGGCACCGGAGGAGACGCTCAGCGTCGTGCTCCTCGAGGAGACTCAAGTCAAACCTCGAGACACGCCCCCCACAGCCCCCCAGGTCGGCGGAGCCACAGCACAGGGGGCGGCAGGTGGGGTGGGGCGCCGGGACGCCCGCAGCACAGCCACACGGAAAGCAGGCTGGCAGCACCCTGAGAAGGAGGCAGACGTATGGCCGTCGCGTGGCCCACAGGCCCCAACCCGCCCGAGACGTGAGTGTCTTCAGAGCAGGAACAAGCCGGCACCACCCGAGAAACCTGGATGGTCGACACAGTGGGCCGTCACGCAGCTGCGTGGAGGCTCGAGGCTCTGCCACTGGCCGCCGCTCGGAGGAGCCGGGTCTTGTGGTGCCGAGTGAGAGACGCCACAGCAGAGGCCACGACCGGCATCTGCAGAGCCGCTTGACCCGCTGTCTGTGGGTGGCTGGGGGTGATGGAACGTTCTGGGAGTGGACCACGTGATGGTGCGGCCCCATACTTTAAGAGGATGAATCTTATGGTGTAGATCACACTTCCACCCAGAAAACATGTCCATGAGCTTTCATCTGGCGTGTTAGGGATGTGTCTGAAGTGTGTGATCAGAGCCCTGACCCGCCAGGCTCAGTGGGCGGAGCACTGCCCCCCAGAGCAGGAGGTCGCCGGCTGGGCTCCCAGTCAGGGATCCTGCCTGGGCTGTGGCCAGGCGCCTGGTGGGGGGCAGCGAGAGGCACCCGCAGGTGGACGCTCCGCCCCTCCCCTCCCAGCTCTCTAGAAGTAAATGAAACATCTGGAAGAAAATCGGTGCGTCCAGGATTTAGCCATCAAATGGCAAACGAGCAGCAGCAAGGCCACGCTCACACGGGAGGGGGCTTGGGCCGCCGCCCCGGCCGTGCTAGAGCCGCCCACGCCAGGCGGGCCTGCCCAGATGACCACTCGGGGACACAGAATCAGTTGTCGGAAGGCCAGGAGCCACGGAGTGCCGGCAGGGGACTCGGCCTGGCGGAGAGGAGTCTCGGCACGTCGGGGGCGAGGGCTGCTGTCCCAGGGTCTCCCCGAACCCTAGGAAGGCCACACGCCATGGGCGGAGGGGCAGACTGAGGGGCCGGCACAGGCCGCCCCCAAGGGGTGGGGAGGGCACCAGCCAGGAACCTACCCGCTTTCCAGGACCCATCCGACCTCTCGGGGGAGGGAGGTCACTGAGCCCAACAGGCTCCCCCACGACACAGCACCACGTCTGACCCCCGGGAATGATGGACAGGTGGAGAGAGGAAAACAGGGCCTGGTCCGCTGCGGACGTGATGGAAACATCCCGTGAACTGAAGGAAGAGAGGCCCCCAGGTGGCAGCTGGGGGCACGGCAGAGACGGCACACACAGAAGAGCAGTGTGGACACTCGGCCTGCTGCCCGGCCTAGGAAAGGCCCGCACGGGGTTCTCCCTGAACGCGGGGACTGGCAGGCTTCCTCGGAGTGGGGGCAGGTGGGAGGTGCCTCCTGGGGTCCCGGGGACCAGGCTGGCGTGGTGCAGGAGTCGGGACCGTGGCTGCTATTTTCCCTCCGAGCACCTTGCCCCCGAATGTCCCCATGTAACTAACTGGCCAAGAGGCGGTTCCGCGGAAAGCAGCAGAGCCCGTCCGGTCCGCGGCCGCCTGTGTGTGGCCGGCGGTTTCACTTCTCCACGGCCCAGTCAGGTGCCTCTGGCCGCCCCCAGGGGCTGAAGCCGCTGTCGGTTCGGTTTCATTTCTCCGTCGGCAGAGCCCTGGCAGCTGCTCCCGTCCTCCTGTTATTTCTAAATCTTAGCTTCACGGCGGTTGGCCCTGAACAGCGGACAGGCTGGCGGTGGTCTGCCGGCGGTGGGCGTCCACCCAAAGGCCGAGGACTCGCCCGGAGACTCGGCTCCTGGCTTGGAAACCCAGACCCAGGCAGCACAGAGGGCGAGGCCTGCTCTCAGGGTGCACGCGGTCCAAATAAACGGGGGTCTCTCTCGGTGGTCCTTTTCGCTTTTTCTCTTTCCCATAAAATTCAGCACCGAGTAGGTATTAGTTTGGAATTATATATATGTGTATTTTAAAGAGTTTGTTTATTTATTTTTAGAGAGGGGAAGGGAGGGAGAGAAACATCCTCTCACTCACCTCCCACTGGGGGCCTGGCCTGCAACCCAGGCCTGTGCCCTGACTGGGAATCGAACCTGCGACCCTTTGGTTCGAAGGCCAGCACTCAACCCGCTGAGCCACACCAGCCAGGCTGGAATATATTAAGTATTTTAAGTGATCTCCTTAGACACGGAAGCACCCTTTATCTTCCTTGGAAGCTAACGAAGTGCTACGGCCAGGTGGGTGGCAGCTTATCGGGGGCCACCTGACAAGGTGCAGGGATGTCCAATCGCCCCATCGCACACCTGAAACTCAGGCCATGCTGTGTGTCAGCTGTCATTGGAAAATAAAAAATTTAAAAAGAGAACAGTTAATCACATATCAAGAAGTCATTTAGAAAATGAGGAACCTTAAAAGCTCTTCTTTCTTTTGATCCAGGAGAAGTAGACATGAGTGAAAAATTATTCTTACATAGATTTGCCAGAAGAGACTTTGAGTCCTGGCTGGGTAGCTCTGTTGGTTGAGCGCTGCCCTCACACACCAAGGTGGTGGTTTCCATCCCCGTCAGGGCCACACCAGAGTCAGCCAAAAGCCCTGGCCGGCTTGGCTCAGTGGATTGAGTCCTGGCCTTCGAACCAAAGGGTCGCAGGTTCAATTCCCAGTCAGGGCACGTGCCTGGGTTGAGGGCTGGATCCCCAGTTGGGGGCACATGAGAGGCAACCACACACATTGATGTTTCTCTTCCTCTCCTCCTCCCTTCCCCTCTGTCTAAAAATAAATAAAATCTTTAAAAGAAAATCAGCCAACGAATGTATTAGCAAGTGTAACAGCAAGTCAGTGTCTCTGTCTCTAAAATCAATAAACTTTAGAAAAGATTTTTGAAAAAGGAAATCACTTTGACTTCTGCCTACAAACCCAAACGCAGCAGGCTGCCAGACAGGACGCTCAGCCACGTGCACCGCACTTCCAGAGGAGCCCCCAGCGCCCCGGCCCCACCCCACGACTCCCAGCGTCTCCCACGCTGGACATGGAGCACAGTGGCACCACACAGCTCACCACACCGTTCTGACCCTGACCGGGCCCTGGCGCGGTGGCCACACCCGCACCCTAGTCACCGGGACCCCGAGGTTCCGCCTGAGCGCCGGTTACCTCCTTCCGTTCGGTGTCCGCCTGCACCCGGGCCTGGGCCGCGGCGGCCTCTCGGTAGGAGCTGGCCTGCTTGGCTTGTTCAAACAGCGTCTTCAGCTGCTGGGCCGTGCTGAGCAGGGAGTTGACCATCTCTTCCAGGTACAGCCAGCTCCGCGGCTCCGACATCTCCAGGCCGTTGACCACCGAGGGAGAGACGGCCTTGGTGGGGTTGGAGGGCGGCACCGCCAGGGCCGGCAGGGAGGTCAGCACTGCAACGTCCAGTGGAGAAAAGCCCGATTCAGCTCGGCTCCGGCGTCCCAGCGCCCCCGCCAGGCACTCCCACCCAGCACTGGCAGGGGGCGGAGTGGTGGGCCCACTCTAAAGCGCACCCAACGGAGGGACGCTAGACACGAGCCTCGGGCAAAAGGTGCTGGGGCAGCGTGGCCACGAGCCGCCGCAGGACCAGCCAAGAGGACAGCGAAGTGGTGAGAACGCGGCTCCGGAACAATCTCAGGAACGGGCCCGGCAGGGTCGGGGCCCAGCCTGCGCTGTCGGGCGCTGCACTCTGGCGGTGAGCACGCGACCACCGGCCCTGGACTGAGCGCGCCCCGCACAGGGGTGCACGCTACCCTCGACTGACGCCACTTCCGCTGTGTAGAAGGTGAGCGGTCAGAGGGAGCCCAGGAGCCTGCCGGCTGGACTCCGCAGGAGCAGAGGTCTGGGCGCCCCGACCACGGTTTCTCGGCCCGGGACCGAAGTTACAGAGATGGAAGGAGGGTGTGCGGGCGCCCGCGGTTTCTGTGGTCCGGGCAGGAAGTTGGGGCGCAGCGCCAGCCTGGGAACGGGGGTACACCAGCAGCAGCACGGGCCACCCGGTGGGGGCGGGGGACGGGGTGTGTGCCTTCCAGAGAAAAGCCCTGGTGTGTGGCCAGAGCCTGCGTCCTGCTGTCAACACGCCCCACCCCGTTTCAAGCCAGCCTGAGTGAGGTCCCGGACGTGGTGCTCGCTGGGGCCGGCGGGAGCCTGGCCAGACCTGGGCTTCCCATCGCCGCCCCGCTGAGAGGACCAGGGCTCCCAGTGGAACCGAAGACCCAACCCTAACCTCCCACCGTCCCTGTGCCAGAAGGGAGGGGAGTGCTCAAGGATAATAAGCCAAGTCTGGGACAAAATCACGACAGAAACAGGTTACAAGCCAGAGAATGAAACAGGGGACAGCAAGGCCACACTGAAAGGAAGAAACCAAGGAGGAGGCCGCCAGGTGGCCCACACGGACCACACGGGAGCGGGCCACCTCCAGCCCCACCAGCCTGGGGCATCCTCCGGCCCCAGGCCCGGCCCTGGGCACTGGTGGCACCGTGGGGCGAGGGCAGGAGCAGCATAACCTGAGTGGGGCAGAGTGTAAGTGGGGAAGGAGAGAATGGAACAAGCGAGCGACACTGCGGTCACGGGCTTCTGAAACCGCAGCCTCGTCTGCAGCTGCGAGACGCACAGCACGCAGGGAGGCCCACACCGGGGACCACGAGGCCCCCCCGTGAGTGTGGAGGCAGAAACGTGTGTGGAGCCGGAAAGGAAACATCGAGGTTGGTGCCAGCTCCTCCTGGGGACAGACGGGCGGCCTTCCTGTCAGGCCTGGCAGGGCCGCTGCCTTCTCGGGTCGCTGAGACCCCGCACACCCCACGGGGACCGGGTGTAGCCATGTCCTCACGGGCGGCGCTGACACACCGCAGTGGGCACGGCCCCGATACGCGGCATCCACAGAGAAAATCAAACACCCTCCTTCACCGGGAACTTCCTTCAAGGGGAGCAAGGCCAAGGACAACCACCCACACGCGTGAGCAGCTCTTCCACACTGACCTATTTTGGGATGAGCGGTGGGCAGCGCAGCTTCCGGAAAGGGCGCGACTTGACAGCTGTCCTGGAACCCAGGGTAGTGGGGCTCCGCGTGGCCGGCTCTGCACGGGGGCTGCACGCCTGCTTCTTGCACTGTCGGTGAGAAAGAGGCAGGGTGGCCCGGTGACCCCGCTGCTGGTGGCACAGCCGTGAGATCACTCAGGGTCCCGCGCTGTCCCAGGGGAGCCTCCGCCGAGTGGGGCCTTCCCGAGATGTGTGGCTCTGAATCGTGTGAGTGGCAGATGTGGGACATACTGGGCGGGAACAGAGCACAGTCATTGCCGCGGCCAGTTCCCCGCCCCCGGCCCCCAGTGCGGCTCGGAGCACTCACACCACACGCTGGGCGCCCCATCTCCTCCTGGCAGTGCTGGTGCACGGCCAGGTCGGTACCGGGCAGCTTTCCAGGTTGAGGGCCACACAGCTCCTTGACCCCACCCCTGCTCACGCCTGCTCGGCACCCACAGGGCTCCCTGCCCCAGCTGAGACCCTCTGGGGGCCCTGCCTTGGCAGGGCCAACACAACCTGCCTGTGGCTCCCGCAAAGACGTCGCCCTGCGCTGGACTCTCCGAGATGACCGCAGTGGCTTCCACAGTGGACGCCCGGTCGAAGGTCAGCGCGCCAGAGGTAGTGATCTGTCCTGAGGGGGTCACAGTAACTGGAAAACCAGAAGCGCTTTTTAGCATGTGGCAGGGGCCTCAGCAGGACCCCGGGAGCCCGAGGCCTGAGTGAGGACACTGCACACACTGCTGTCACGTCTGCCAGGACTCGTAAGAGACCGGGGACCCTGGCTGCCTCGGGGGCGATGACTGGGCCTGTCCCCGAGGTGCGGGCAGGGCAGGGGAGCGGGGTCACTGACAGGCCTGCCGGCCCTGCAGAACCCATGAAACCGGGACCCACAGGGGACACCGAGGGGTGATGGCAGTGGCACGCTGAGGAAAGGAGAGCCCCGCCGCGGGGACTCACAGGTGGTGGCGGCGGTGGCCGGGAGCAGCGTGATGTTCTTGGTGGCCTCCTTCTTCCCTGGGGCTGCAGGCAGCTCGTTCTCCTTCTTGCGCCGTTTGTAGGGGACAAAGAGCCGGACAGGACCACTCTGGGGGAAAGCACGGTGACACAGAGACGCTGTGTGTGGACGTGGCCCTCACACCGTCCACGGGTTCAGTGGGGCCCGTCTCCGGTTGTCCCAGAAGCCAGCAGGAGGCTAGCTGCTCTCAGAGCCCCCCCTCTTTAGGCCCCAAATTCCTTAAAACGACAGCAAAGGTACTTTCACAAATGTATGGATAACGGTGCTAGAAAACCGGGAAGGGTATCGTTGACGTACAGCGAGTTTAGGAATGCCCAGGAGACAGAAGACACGTGGGGACCAGGCGAAGGGGAGAGAAGGAACCGCCACCCAGAAGGGGCAGCAGACACTTGTCCCCAACAGGAAGGAAGGGGCACTGGGGCCGCTCACGACACGAGAAAGCGACAGGAGAACGGGGAAGGCAACTCGGCCCCTGGGGAGGCGGCCCAGGCCCAGTGGCTGCCGGGGCGAGTCCCCAGATCCTCAGGGAGGACCGTCTGGCTGATGGTCCCCAAGCGCCAGAAAGGACCACACCCTTCCGTGGCCGCAAGCTGCTGGGGGGCACGTCTAGCGGCCCCAGGCAGAAAGTCCGCTTTCAATTCTAGAATTTCCATCTGATTCCCTTTGAAATGTCCACATCTTTATCGACACTCCTGACCTGACGAGATACTGTCATTAAAAAAAGTGTCTGGCTCTGGCTGGTGTGGCTCAGTGGATTAAGCGCTGGCCTGCGAACCAAAGGGTCAACGGTTCAATTCCCAGTCAGGGCACAGGACTGGGTTGTGGGCCAGGTCCCAGCAGGGGACACACGAGAGGCAAGCACGCACTGATGTTTCTCTCACTTTCTCTCTCCCTTCCCCCGTGTCTAAAAGTAAATAAGTAAACTCTTGAATAGAAAGGGTCTGTTTTGGGGGCAACAGGTGACATCACAGGAGCCTTCCATCTCCCAGGACACTTCAGCCAGCGTCCCCCGAACAACCACTCAGGGGCCACTGGCGTGCCCCAGCTGGGGTACCAGCCACCAGAGTGATGTGTGGAAACAGAGCTTTTTTGTCCTCACCCGGGGACCTGCTGGTTGATTTGAGAGAGGGCGAGGGACGGAGAGAAAATCGACCAGCCGCCTCCCCATGTGCCCTGACGGAGGACAGAGCCCCTGCAACCCAGACATGGGCCCTGGCTGGGAATCGAACCCTCAACCTCCCGGTTTGCAGGAGGCACTCCAACCACTCACACCACATGGCCAGGGGCGAAAACTGGATTTGTACAGGAAACTGGTAGCAACCCCCTGGGTGGTCCGAAGGGGAGCCAGGGACACGGGGACAAAGGAGCCCAGCAGCTGTGAAGACAGTGCTCGGACAGAGAGGCGCCGGCCACTCACCAAGGTCATGTCGTCGCAGCAGGCGGCGCAGGTGCAGGAGGCGGCGTGAGGGTTCAGGATCCCGTCCTGGGACGAGAAGGCACCGCGCTCGCTCTGAACGTGGTCTGTTTAGAGCGACGAATCCCGCCACTTCCAGACCCTCTCGTCCTGTGCTCCCTTCCCCAGATGCCTCGGCTGGTGGTGGGACAGACCCCTCTCCTTCTAGTAAGTTCCGAGGCGCCCCTCCCTAACTAACTCCCAGGGGGCTAAGCTGCAGAGACCACCCAGAAGCCCCCTCTCAGAGGGGGCTGATGCCAAGGGAGTTTCTGGAAACTCAGGGCAACTGCCTCCTCGCCCAGTCCTCCATGGAGGCAACGCCACCATCATCCTGTTTGCATCAGGAGGCTGAGTGACACAGAGGTCAAGTGACCTGCCCAAGGGGCCGGCACTCGGTGGGAGTCCAGCCGGGGCCCCGTGGCTGCACCTGGATGAGGCACTGCAGCGGCCTGCCGGCGTAGCGGATGCTCCGCTTCCAGTCCTTGCTGCTGGCTCTCCCGGCCATGGCTTCGAACTCCGTGGGGCTGTACCAGTTCTCCCCCTGCTTGATGCACCGGCCCCGGCCACCTGGGACAGCAAGGGCAGCGGTCTGCTCCTGCTTCCCGTCCAGACCCACAATACCTCGCCTGGCCCCACTGCTGACCCCACAGGCTGGGGCGAGTCTGCTGGATCTGCAGCACCGCCCACAGTCAGCACACCGCACTCACGACAGCTGCCTACCTGCTTCCAGGGTCCACTGCCTTTGGGTCACTGTGCTGAGCCAGGACGCAAGCTGCCCCCCACCCCCGCCAGGGTCACTGCACTTTCTGTTTGCCTGTGGTGCCACCCAGCCCTCCCCAGGGAGCCTGTGGCATGGCCTGTGTCCTTCACTGGCTCACGGGGCCCCGGCAGGCAGGGGAGGGTGGGCAGGAGGCGGGTCTCCCACTCGCAGGCGGCGCCCTACCTGAGCCCAGCCTGCTCTTGTACAAGGTGCCGCTGACGTTCCGGCAGCGCACGGGCAGCTCGCTGTCATACGCCGACGGGTCCCAGTTGTACCTGCTCCCCGCCTTCTCTTGGCCAGGAGCCAGGGGTGTTGGAGGGGACTGGGGACCTGGAGGAGAAAGCGTTGGACAGAGACAGGCCTCAAAAGCACCGGAAGACGCCAGAAGGTACAGTGACCTCAGCTGGTCTTGCACGGCGGGCACTCCGGCGCCCCCGGCACGCCCCCTTCCATTCCGGGGAGCTCTGCCTCGGCCCTGAAGCCCCCTTCCCTGCTGACGCTGTAGAACACGTGCTGTTCCAAACCGGAGACGAGCAGGACGGCCCCTGGGACACGGTCCCTCGGACCCCGCCCGCTGGGGAGCGAGCCGGGCACGCCCTACCTGGGGTGAGCGGAGCGGCGGGCCCCTTCAGCCCCGCGGTCTCCACGATGCTCCCGTCGGTGTGCACGACGATCAGCGTGGCCTTCTCCGTGTTCAGGCCGTCTCCGATCTGCAGAGCGGTCCTGCCGGACTGGGGGGGAGAGCGTCCTGTCCGTCACACCCTCTCTCTCTGGGGCCGTGGGCAGGCCACCTGGTGCGGTGGGACAAGCTCCTGCCAACCAGGGGATGCCTGCCACAACCCCCGGCCTCTTCCAAAGACGGCGCTGAGCCTTGAACACAGAGCCACCCCTGGGAAGAGACAGCGCCAGTCTGTGGCCCTGAGCAAGCGCTCGAGGCAGCGTGTCAAAGCCACAGACTCAGCATGTCCCATGAAACCCTGGCGGCAGGAGCACCTGAACGCCCACGGGCACAGGTCTTGAGGGGGTCTCCCAGAAGCCTGGCCCAGGACCCCCTTCCCACACCGTTTCCCATCCAGGGACCTCTGCTCGCACCCCAGAGAGCAGGGCTGCCCAACCGCACCTTGGCGTCTCGTCTATCTGAGACTTGCCGACCCCTCCAGGCCGGCCCTGCCCGAGCTGAGGCCCACCCGCTCAGGCAACTGGGGGTGACGCAGGCAACCGGGGGTGACTCGGGGCCTCCAGGCACCAGCCCAAACCCGGTGGTCCAAGGTGGTCGAATGCTGTTAGGTTGAGAGGGTAAAACCAACCAAGGCTAGTGAGAGCCACCTGGCGTCTGCAAACGCTGCCCCCCAGTCAGGGGGAGTGGCAGGGACCCCACTCCACCCGAGAGTGTGAGCCTGGCCTGCGCTCGGGGACCTGGGTCGGGGCGCAGCTGGGTGTCCCCAGGGCCCCTGCCTCAAGCACAAAGCATCTCTGAGGTGGCAGGCGGGGCCCCTCCCTGATGTCCTTTTCCACCCTCGGGTTCTGGCCCGCTGGCCCGTCCTCGGAGCCCACAGACGGTGCCACACTCAGGTGCCCCACTCGGCTGCCCCGGCCCCCTGAGGTGTTGGGACGTCCGCTGCCAGGAGGAGGGGCTCGGCCGTCAGTCTGCAAGCCCAGCCCCCGTGGAAATGGGCCGAGCTTCTTTTTTTTTTTTAATTTTTTAAAGATTTTACTTATTTATCTTTAGAGGGGAAGGGAACGAGAGAAGGAGAGAAATATCAATGTATGGTTGCCTCTTGTGAGTCCCCTGCTGGGAACTGGCCTGCAACCCAGGCATGTGCCCTGACTGGGAATCGAACCGCGATCGTGTGGTTCACAGGCCCGCACTCAGTCCACTGAGCTACACCAGCCAGGGCTGGGCCGAGCTTCTTGCACCCACACGGGCCCTCACTGCCATCCCCTGCCCAGAGCAGGGGCTCTGCTTGTGGCCCATCCAATGCTAGTGACTTGGCCAACAGGCGCCTGGAGTCCTGGGAGTGTGATCGAGGCTCAAAGAACCCTGACCGTCAAGGCAAAGGCCCCAGGAAACTCCCCTTTCTGGAGACCGCCCAGCCCTGGCACCTGCTGCCTGGAGACCACGCTGTCCCCCATTCACAGAAGGCCTCAGCTATGAGAGAAAAACAGGCAATGTGGCAGTGACAGGTGGGCTCTGACTGGGTGCAAATGCCACTGGGAAGGGGACTTGCCTGCGTGGTGAAGGGGTGGGTGGTCCCTGGTGCGGAGCAGGCTGTGACTGGTGGGGGTGGGGCAGGGGGAGGCCTGTGGGGGCAGGGCCTCCAAACCTTGCGTGACCAGGACAGTGGGCAGGGCAGGGCCCCCCTGGAAGGATGCTCCCACCCCAAGGACCCTGGGCGTCCTCCTGGCCAGGAGGGCAGAGGCGCTGTCCCCTGACCCCAGGACTCAGACGGGTCCCCCTGCCTGCCCACACTTCACGGCAGGGGGCTCCTCAGCTCCAACCCCCTTGCCAGGGAGTGGCCGAGTGCAGAGGCCAGACCGGGGCGGAGAGGCCGGCCCTGCGCTGGCGGCGGAGCAGCTTACCAGAACGTGTCCTGACAGCGAGGCGGCGTTGGCCACCGATGTGGTGAAGACGTTGTCCGCCGAGGCACCCACGTTGGCCACCGTCACAGTGGTCACCTCTGCAACACGGGAGCCCGGCTCAGCGCGCCCTTGGAGCCCACGGGGGGCAGGAGTCTGTACCCCCAACCTTTCACCCAGAGGCCTCACCGGCACTGCCAGACCACTGTCTGACCAGCTCGTCCCACCAGGGAAGACCCTCCTACCACAGCGAGGGGCCCCTGAGGGCCCCTCCCTGCACCCGCTGGGCCTGTCCAGGGTCCCCAGGCCCTGCCAGCCACCCCAGCTTCTGGGAGAAAACCAGGATGTCCTGCAACAGCCGCCAGCCAGACAGGTGCCCCCACCTGCTCCTACCTCCCAGCCCCTCCCTCTGGGGCCCCTCCCCTCCCCTGCACCTCCACGAACACCCCCAGGTGTTCCTGAGCCTTTGCAGCGTCAGTCCTCACACAGGTGTGCTGCAGCCACCTGCCCCACACTTCCCCTCCCCCCACTCAGCCAGGGGCTCCCCCAAGCCTTCCCTCACCTGTGCTCTGCCCCTCCCTCTGACCACGCCCTTCAGCTCAGGAACCGGCCCTGGAGAGCTCCTCCGAGGACAGCACCTCCTGGGGGCATGCAGCACTCCGGGACACCCCGTGCGGGGCTGTCCAGCACGCAGGAGGTGCTCAGCCACGCCCCCTCAAACACGTCCACACATTCCACCAACCCCCACTCACCCACGGCCACGGGCAGCTCATCCCTGTCCTGCCCACCCCCTGGCTGCCTGCAGTTGTCCCCCAGAGCCCATGGGCCGAGGTGACTGCGTCTGAAGACCACGCAAGGAGCTCTCTGCCAGACATGCCAGGAACACACATGGGGACCACACACGCCAAGGAGACGGCCACCAAGGGCACTGGGTCCCCGGACCTGTGCGGCGGGCAGCAGAGAGCGTTACCGCTTCAGTGCACACACAACACAACCATAAAGGTCTGCAGGAAAAAGTGACGTCAGTACACCTTCCTGACATCATGATACATGACGCCACATTTCCGCACTTGGAAAAACATGTGCGGAAAGGAGAAAAGCCTGAAGAAAAACTCCACGGTCCAGAATCCCGATGTTACTCCAGAGTCTGGCGATGAGAACAGAACCCTTTCCCTGCTTTTCCGTGGACCCCAAAACAACCACGTGCAGAGCAGGGGTGCCCGGCCCACCCAGCCCCCCACGGCACTCAATGAACACCAGAGTGAGTGCGCAGCAGACCTACCCTCGTGCACACACGAGGGCCACACATGCCAGGACCACACACAGAGGTCCACACACATGGGGACCAGGCAGCTGCTGTCCAGCTCTGAAGGCTGTGAAGCACCTCAGGGGACAGCGCCTCGGCTGTGGCACTACCACACCATACTCTCCAAGGGCACCCTCCAGCTCCTCCAGGACAGGATCCACGTCTGACCTCACCCCCCATACCATGGTGTCACATGCATCCAGGACGGATGTACAAGACAGGTAGGGCAAGTGGCAGGTGCTGAGAAGGTTCCAGAAAAAGTGCAGAGTGCTGAACAGGAGAGGGAGGACTGTCACAAGGAAAAGGGACTGAGGAAGCAGGAGTGCATGCACACACAGCAGGCGTGCAGGAACGACGGGGCACACAGGGTACGTGTGGGGCAGGTTCTCTGGGAGGATGGGCGGGCTGGTCATGGGGCTTGTACAGGGTAGGTGTGTGGTGCAGGGGGTGTGCACAAGGCAGGTGTAAGTGACATAAGTGCAGCGGGTGTGTGCAGAGGTATGGGCTGGTCGTTCTAGGTATATGCACAGCAGATGCAGGGGGTTCAGGTGCAGGTGTGCAGGGACAGGTGTGGGCCGGTCGTTCAGCTGTGTGCAGGGGGTGTATGCACGGGGCAGGTGTGTGCGTGGCAGGTGCGCGCGGGTCAGGTGCGGGAGGGCGCGGGCCCGTGGCACTTGCCTGCAAAGGCGGCGGCCGCAGCAGCCTCGTCGGGGCCGGGAAGAGTCTCGGTGCCCATGTCCATGTGCCTGGGCTCTGCGGCCATCACCGCCACAGCCGTCACCCGCCGCGTCTCGCGCTCCGCCTCCGAGTCACCGTCTTCCTCCGAGTCCTCGTCCCTGCTGAGCACGGGCTCCTCGGCCTCATTCCCCGCCGCGGCAGCGGCCGCCGCCGCCACAGCGGCCGCGGCCGCCACCGCCGCTGCCTCGGCCAGGCCCAGCTGCTTGGCGGCGGAGTCCGAATCCTCCATCCGGACTCCGCCGAGCCCGCCCGAAGGCGATGGCCGGGGCCGCCCGAAGGCCGGGATGGAGCCCGAAGCGCGACTCCCGAGGAAGGCCGCCCGAACCGAGCCGAGCCCAGCCGAACCTAGCCGAGCCTAGCCGAGGCCGCCCGAGAAGAGGCCGAACCAGCACGAAGTGGCCCAGTCGAGCCAAGCCGACGGCCAGGAGTCCGGAACCGAGGAGGGCCGAGGAGGGCCGAAGAGGCCCGAAGTACGGAGCCGAGGCTGTCCGAATTGGTACGAGGCCGCACGAGCGTTTCCGAGCGGCCCTGCGCCGGCCTTTTTTAACGCCTAGGAGGCCGGGGCCGTCGTCGTCTCCGGCCCACAAGGTGGCCGACCGTGGGCCCGAAGCTCGCCGAACACCGACACAGCTCGGCCTAAGCTAGGGAGCCTCGCGCCACAAGCTCCGCCCTCTACGCCGCGAGCGAGAGCCGAGTTCTTCCGAACGGAGCCGAACGCGCCCGAACCTGGGTCCTCCCAGACTCGGCTCCCCTCCCCCTCCTTTCCGAAAGTGCCCGAGCGCAGCCGGACTGTCTAATCGGGTCTCAGCCGCGGCTCGGAGTCAACTCTGGATCAGCGGCACGGTCGGGCCCCTTCGGGATCAGAGGCGAAAATGGCCGAAGGGACGCGAGCGGCGCGGTGCCGAGAGGCTGCCGGGAACTTGGCGGACTGGGGGGCGGGGCTAAGATGGCGGCAGGACGGCGAGGTGAGGGGTGCGGCGATCCCTCCGCCCGGAGCCTTCGGGTCTGGGACCCGGGGGCCCAGTGCCCAGGCGCAGGTCATCCCGGGAGGAGTGGGTTCTCGCTGCAGCGGGACGGGCCACCGGCCTGGCGTTTCGCCGTGGCGTCTCGGTGGGGGGTCCTTCCAGTCGGTTTTCCCGCCTGTCTTCCCGCGCCGCTCGGGTTCCCGGAGGCCGTCCTTCTTCGTGCCGGTAGCGTGGACAGCCCGGGCTTGGCGACCCTACCCCATGCTGTGGGCCACGGGCGAGCACGGGGTGCCAGTGCAGGCGTGAGAACCGGCCACGTGTGCGGGCCGCAGGGATGGAGCTTGTTTTCACGGGCGGCTCTGCTTAGCGACCCTGCAGGGCCTGGGGAGAAGGGCCGCTTAGCATCCGGGCAACCGTGGGCTTCCCTTCCTCCTTGCGACCCAAGGAGGCCGAGGCCGGGGTCGGTCGTGTCCACGGTCCCGAGGCCGGCGGAGCATCTCGGGGGGCGGGGTCCGGCCTCACCGTCCGCCGCTTCTCTTGCAGGGAGTGCCCCCTCCGCGGCCGTATCCTCCTGCTGCTGCTCCCGCTCTCCACGGCCCGGAACCCCGACCCCCTTTTCTACCAGCTCTGGGCACAATCCCACTTGCCAGCGGGAGCGATGGAGGCGGTGTGGTTTCCTAGCAGAGCGCGCTGGCCCCAACCCCTCCTGCTTGCCCAGCTCCCGAGCCCTTGGTGGGGTCGCCAGGGCCCGGAGGGAGAGCCGCTCGCGTGCAGGATGCGTAGGCCTCCTGTGGCATGAACAAGGGCCAAGTGTGCAGAGGTCCGGAAAGTGGGTGGTGGGTATTTAACTGCTCCCCAAAAGGAGAGAAGTGTATTTTACTTGAAAAAACCCGGAATCCCCTTTTCCCTCTATATATTGTCACCAGAGCCACGGTCAGGGTGCTGTGGCTGCCCCGCCTGCAGTGGCTGAGAGGTTGCTGTGCCTAGCACCCTGCCTCTGAGCCAGGGTGTCCCTGTGAAGAGAGGTCCGGGCCGCCACCCCTCTGTGACACCAGGGGGCATATTCATGGATGCCCAGCAGGCCAGACTCCGCGGCCCCCGTGAGCACCTAAGCTGCTCCTGTGTGTTGGCTGAGGCTGAGGTCCTGGTCCAGCGGCTCCTCTTGCCCAGCCCTGGGGTAGGCACGTGGGGCAGCATGGCTGCCGGGCTGAGTCCTTAACAGTGCCCCAGCTCTCCTCGGTGCCCCTGCAGATGCTGCTGTGCCTGGGTGGGACGTGCTCCACCCTGCATTTCCTGGCCACACTCCTGATGATAGCGTATAAAAGTGAGTTGGGGTGTGGCGGGCGGAGCTGTCACTTGCTGCTGCTGCTGTTGTAACCAGAGCTCTGCCCTGTTGCCCACGTCTGCAGGCCAGGTGTTCAGTTACCCTCAGGATCACCTGACCCTCGACCTGGCCCTGCTCTTGCTGATGGGGACTCTGGAAGCACCCCGGATATACCTTGGTGAGTTGGCTGACTGTGAAAAGTGTACCTGCTGGGACCCTCTAAGGCCTCATTGCTAGTGTGGCTCTCGAGGTGCTGGGTTTAAGTGCTCCGCCAGTTGCCTGCAGGCCTCGCCTTACAGCGTCATTAACTATTAAGTAGTTGGTTGAGAAGCTTTGTTCAGGAGACGGTAGCGTGCAGCCTGCTGGGAGAGAGGCTTCCTGTCAGAAGCAGAGCTGCTGGGTAACAACACTGTCCTTGGAGCCAAGACACTCACCTCCTGGGCTGCCCCCCCCCCCCCAGTCTGGGTGGGGGCGTGGGAGGCTCCGAACAGAAGCACAGCGTGCCCTTTGCCCTCTACCCACCCCTGTCTCACCTCCGGGGGCAGGACTTCCAGTCCCATCTGTCCAGCGTGTCCACGGCAGGCACACGTGCACTGGCACAGCAATCACTGTGTGTTCTGCCAGTTCACCAGGGTCCTGGCACATCCCAGCCGGGCACGAGAGCACTGATGTCTCAGCCCTCTTTCTGAGCACCCTGGGCTTCAGTGGCCCCTGTCGCAGACCCAGGCTGTGCCAGGGGCGGGCCTCATGGTGAGCAGCAACAGAACTGCCGGGCATCTGCCCCTCCCGCCCCTCCCAAGCAACCAGGCACATGTGGTCAGCTCTCAGCATCTTGGATGAGCATGTTCCAGGACTGATCCATCTGTGAAACACGTGTTGAATTTCCAGACTGGCCTTAGCCCCAGGAGTAAAATACTTGTGGAAATTTTAAAACAAAGTCCCCTTGGTTCACTTGGAATGAGGGAAGGAGTCGGAGCGCACTTGGGTAGGTTTCAGGGAGCCAGACCCCCATCCCCACGGCTGACCCAGAGACCGGGATGAGGTCAGAGCTGCGGTTGGTCTGCACCCCTCTCCCCAGAGCCCTGCCCTTGTGCGGTTTGCCTTTGGACACTCTTGAGTCCTGGAGGGCAGTCTCTCACTGGACATCCTGAGGCCGCAGGCCTGCGCGCTGGCCCATGGCCTGCAGGCCCGCCCCTGGACGTGCCCACAGCCTGGCCCCCACTGTCTGTTCTGCTCTCCAGGCACCAAGGGCAACCTGACGGAGGCTGAGGGGCCGCTGGCCGCAAGCCTGGTCCTCACGGGAGCCAGTGTCCTGCTGTCCATCTACTTCCTGCTCTGGCAGACCCTGGTGCTGTGGGCAGACTCGGTCCTCAGTGCCACGCTCCTGGCCATCCACGGCCTGGAGGCCGTCCTGCAGGTGGTGGCCATCGCTGCCTTCCTTGGTTAGACAGGTGACCTGCGGCCCCCAGGATGCCCCGGACGGGAGCACTGCGGGGGGTCCCCGAGGTCCCCACCCTGTGGCACCACGGACGGGGCCCTTTCTCATCAGTCAGCCCTGTGCAATGGGGTCCTGTGGCTTGAGTGGCTTGTGAGTCGAGTTCGGGGCAGGACCAGGACAGAACAAAGTGTGGAGCGAGGCGTTGGGGACAGCTGTGGCCAGGGTCAGGGACTGGCCTGGGACAACCCTTGGGTGGCTGCAAGCCAGCAGGGGGCCAGTGGGCTTGGCCCTGTCGCCTCCCAGGGGAGCAGCTTCCTATGGTGTCCACAGTTGTCTTTCTTGAGGGTGTGCCCAGACGCTGGCCATCCAGCCAGGACCCCTGCGGCACAGCATTCTGTGGGGTCTCTGCGACCCTGAGTGTCCACATGTCCCCACGGTGGGACATGGCTGTGTGAGTGGGGCAGGGGATTGGGGTCTTCGGCTACTCTAACAGCTCCAGAAGAAAACAGGCAGTGGGGCGGGCCGGCCCCAGGGTGGGGCTCCTCGCAGCCACAGCCCTGCCCCCAGGGACTGACCCTTGGACACCTGTGAGGGGCTATGGTGCGGTGAGAATCCAGGTCTGTGAGCTGATCCTGTTTCTTAACTTTCCTTCCTCTGTTCCTGTTACTTGTTTCTTGTTTGGAGTGATGTGTTCCAATGGACTTGTGGTTTCTCTGCGCTGTATTTTTAAAATAAAGAAGTGTTTATACCTCTCTGAGTTTTTCTTCATTAAGTCACCTGCCTCCCCCAGGTCTTGTGTCCCCTCAGCACAAGGGCCAGTGTGCTGGGTGGCTGCACCTCCGGTCCGGCACCCAGAGCGGTTTCCCCAGAGGCTGGAGGGCCAGGCTTGCCCTGGGCCGTGAGGGGGACTGGTCTCAGCAAGGGGCAGGGGCCACACAGAGTCTTGTCCTTGGTTGGGGTGAGCAGGACCTCTGGCTTGGGCCCTGAATGTCTGCAGCCCTGGAAGAGAGGGCACCTGCTTCCCCACCGCCCCTGGTGCTGCCAAGGCAACTTGGAGCAGGGCACCCCGCCACAGGGGCCCTGGCCCACAGGCGGGGAGACCCCAGACCGAGGATCTGGGCTGTGCCCTCAGGTCACCCCTCCCTTTGGCCACAGTTTCAGGACGATGACTCCAGGTGGCCTACACCCAGCTGACTCTCCAGGGCCCCTACGGCCTCCTTGTGGGCGGGGCTCCTCCCCAGAAGACAGTGCTCAGAAGGCTGTCCCATCCCGGCACGTGGGCCCACATTGCCACACAGGCTCCGCCTCAGGAAGGTGAAGGCAGGCGGAGCTCCCTCTGGTTGCTCGGCAGCAGGGAGACAACCAGGAAGCCAGGACGAAGGCCACTTCCTGCACCCTTCCATGGGCACCCCGGTGAGGCCTCGGAGACCCCTGCTTGGGGTCCTGGCACCTGGTGCAGGGGGTGTGCTTCCCAGAGGCTTCGGGGAATGCTCCGTGCCAGCCAGTGCCTTGCCCTTCGGGGGCTCCCTTCCTGCACCCCCAACCCTAAGAAAAATAGCCAGGGTCTTGGGGTCCCACATATAACCTGCCGGGCCCGTCTCCTCCTGGGCCTGCTGTCTGACCCTTCTCCCCTGGGGGAGCGGGGGCTCCTGGGAGTCCATTGTAAAGGAGGGTGGCCCTGCGCGGAGCACTCCGTGGGGTCTCCCTGGACCCGGGCATCCCTAGCCTTCCTTCGGACACCCCCAACCCTCAGGGGTGCCCAGGCTGGGCTCGGGGTCGCAGAAGAGAGGCTTCAGGGGTTCTCGGATTGTGAAGAAAGGAGCCCCGCCCTGAGAAACGCACAGACTGCAGCCTGGCCTAGCGCTCCCCGCGACTAGAGGGGTGGCTGAAGAAGGAACTCTGCCCCTGAGCCGGGGACCAAAGTGGGCCCCTTCTGGGCACCTGGGGCTGGAGTCTGACCTCCCTTGGCACCCAGCCACACCCGACACGGGGCCCACTCAGCGGCCCCAGGAAGGCCTCAGAACCTCAGCGCACGTCCCAGCGCGCAAGGGGCTCCGGGACCTGCCTGTCGGTCCCTGGGCGCCTGGCCCCCGGGCTGGGGTCGGAGTCCCGAGAGAGTGGACGGGGAACGCCCCGCCGGGAGCCCCGTGCGGGCGGGTCTGGAGCCGCAGGCGGCGCACCTACGTCGCCGCCCCGCCCCCGCTCCGTGTCGCCCAGGTTCTAACCTGCCGCTCAGGTTCCTCCTGGCGGCTCCGCCCCCGTCCAGCCAGGCCCATCCCAGCTGCGCGTCCTCCTGCCTGCGGAGCTGGGCGCAGACAGACAAGCGGACAGACAAGCGGCGTAGGGACCCGGCGCCAGGAGCAGCAGGTGAGCGCCCCGCGGGTCCCGGCCTGGGCTGGGCGGCTTCGGCGGGGGAGACGCGGGAGGCGTGCACACCGACGGCGGGCGGCTGGGAGCTCAGCTTCCTCGGGAGGCGGTGCAACGCGGGGCTCCCGGGTCTGTCGGTGGGTCTGCCGGCGGGCGAGAGGCATTGGTTGGGGGTCGAGGGGCTGCGCTGCGCTCATGGCCAGGAGCCTGTCCCACTGCGACCCGACCGGCCCCGTCCGGTTCCAGGCGGCGCTGGGGCACGGGTACATTTTTAAGCCAGGGCACTGAGTCAGCCGGCCGGCCCCATGCCAGCCCTTGGGCTCGGTGCGGGGAGCTCGTTCCGCCGGTGAGCGGGGCTGTTCCGGTTCTGGAAGACCCCACCGCACGTTCCCGGACTGGCCCCCACGGGGGGGGGGGAAACTTTTGAGATTGGCCGGGGCTCTCTGTGGGTCAGACAGCAGGAGGAATTTCCTGGGCGTGGGGGGTGGGGATCCAGGGCCAGGGAACCTCGGGCCAGGGTCAGACTCCCGGTCACCGTCAGGGTGTGGGAGTTTCAGGGAGGAGGCGGCTGGGGGCGGGGCAGAGTGGGGGGGGGCACGCAGAGGCCGTGGGCACCCAGCCTCTGGCTCTCGGTCAGGCCCCCTCCCTGGGCCAGGCTGGTGCAGGCATCCCTATGCCTGGGGCGGTGCCTGGTGGCCGCGGAGGGGCCAGGAAGGGCTCTTCACTGTGTCTGTTCCCACCCCAGGCCTGGCTGCCGGGGCAGGCCCCAGCTGGTGGCACCTCCCTTGGCCTGACTCTGTGTGCGCACACACACACACACACACACACACACATACACATACACACACACTACCGGGGCCCTGCCCAGGCCTCTCCCGGTCCCTGCCTACTGCCCTGCCTGGATGGCTCAGAGCTGCTGCGGGCCCTGCCGCTTCAGCCCGCTGGCTCCTGCCTCCTTGGTGCGCCCTGGGCATCTGCAGCCCCCAACGCTCTTTCCCAGGCTCCCCCCTCCCTCCCCCCAGGGCAGGCCCCTTCCTCACCCGCAGCTCCCAGACCTGGGCACACCTGGGCACACCTGAGCCTCAGAGGGTCTCCCTGTGTCAGGGTCTCACCTGGCTCTCCTGGGCCTTCGGCTGACTCCTCCCCGAGGTCACTGGGCTACAGGGGCTGGAGTTTGAACCTGGAGCCTGTCCTTCTGCCCTCCCTGCCCTGCTGGGGCCTCCGCCCCCTCTGCTCTGTGACCAGTGTGCCGTTCGCACCCGGAAAATGACTGCCATGGACAGAAGTGCAGCCTGGGCCGGCCCCTGGGGTCGCATGGCGCCCCGCCCCCTGAAGAAGCCCCGCTCCCCCCACAGGACCCCACCTGCTCCCTGAGGCAGATGCCGTGCCTACACCCACCTCCCCGCTGGTCCTAACGCCCCCACCCGGCCCCTGGAGCTGAAGGCCACTGGGGCCCAGCCTGGGCTCCCGAGGGGAGGGGCCGTCCTGGCTGGTGCCTGCCTGTGTGCCTGCGGGCCTGCGTTTCACCCAGGTGTGTGTCCCTGGACACACGTGCCCAGCGCCCTTGGCTCAGCCCGCCAGGAATCCCATTAAGCAAATACTCGGGCTCACCCACTGAGGTCAGGGGCATTCCGGGCATTCTTGGGCGACGGGCAGAGGAATCTGGCCAAGTCCCTCCCCCACCCCTCCCCAGAGAGGCAGGTGGGAGGCAGTGGCCCGAGGCCCCCAGGGAGGCCTTCCTGCAGGAAGGATCTAGTCAAACCAGAACATCCTGGGCCGCTCCCTGCCCTGGACACCAGCGCCCCTGGTGTGTGGCCATGACTCTGGCAGACCCCGAACATGGAGACCTCTCTCCAGTGGCCTTTCACAGGAGTGCAGTGTGGGTGCAGACACCCCACTGGGCACAGACCACCGGGAACCAGGCTCTGCCCATGCGCCGGGGGTGGGGTCTCCTCTTGATTTTCTCCAGGGTCCCCTGGTCTGGCCCATCGTGTCTCAGGGCTCTCACAATGCCATTCCCTCTGCAGAAAGGTGCTCCCACCCAACCCCCCTTCAAGGCCCTCAGGACCCTTTGCAGAGCCCCACCCCGGACAGCCTCTGGGGGTGAGGCCCCTCTGCTGGCCCGTCCCGGGTGTCCATGTGGAGGATCAAGGGTCTGGGGTGTGGCAGGGCTGTGGTGATGGCCCGCCGGGACATGGGGCGGGGATAGGTGGTCCCAGGAATCTGGACAGGCAGTCGGGGTCCCAGCCCCAGGGCCTGGGGGTCGAGGGGAGGAGACCCAGCCCGGGAGGTATCAGTGCTGTTCTCCGTTCACTCAGGTGTGAGCCAGGCACGAGGCCCTGGACTCGGGCCACACGGAGGTCCGCCCTCTGCTGCCGCTGAAGACGCCATGAGCCAGTCAGGGTCTCTGAGCTGCTGCCCAGGCCCTGCCAAGTGAGTCCCCACCCACCCGGCTCGCCCCTCACTCAGCAGCCGCCGGCAGCCCCGGGAGGTCCAGCTGGGCCCCACCCTTACCGGTCCCTTCCCCGCAGCGGCAGCCTGGGCCGGTCTGACACCATGGCCAAGATGAGTGCCAAGGACCTGTTCGGTGAGTGAGGTTTGAGGAGGGAGGGTCTGCCACCCCCACCCCCATTCTGTAATGCTCTGCTGGGCTCCCACCAAGGGGGGACGCAGGGTGGCCCCGGGCACCCAGAGGCGGCTCAGGGACCCCGGTCCTCCGGGCCCCAGCAGCCCTCCCCCATGCGGTAAGGGGAGAGGCCTGTACTAATAATTCAGGGCCATCAATATTGATTCGGCCAAGCTCCTCACTGCAACCCGATCAGATGTGCTCTGGGTGCCAGGTGTCTGCTCCAGGAAGGCCACCCCCCCAGCGGCCCCTCCCCCAGGCGCACCCCAGCTCTACCCCAGAGGCACCAGCTCATTTACGCCCATGGACAGGGTGCCCAGTGTGGAGCCCCAGGAGCCCCAGAGAGGGCGGGGAGGTGTTAGCCGGCAGCCGGGGCGGGGAAGGCCCTGGCCCGACCCCTTCCCCTGGAAGGGGGGTGGCCCCTTGCACCCCCAGTACAACAGACCCTGACCACAGATGCCACCACCGTCTGAGCAGTCGCCCTTGGGACGGAGGGAGGTCCACCTCCTGCTGGGACCTTGAGCCCCTCCTGGTGGCCACGGGAGACCCACAGAGCAGTACCCCTCAGGTCCACACTGCCGCCCTCCCTGTGGCCCAGCCCGGGGGTCCAGCCCACGGGGACCAGGGTCCCTGGGGCCTGCCCTCTGGGGCGGGTGAGTGACTGGCGTGTTCCTGTTCAGAACAGAGGAAGAAGTACTCCAACTCCAACGTCATCATGCACGAGACCTCCCAGTATCACGTCCAGGTGAGGCTGCGCCGGGGCACCCAGTCCTGCTCAGTGGGCCCCCAGGTGCCCCTGGGCCCCCTGATTGGGGACACTGAGGCCCTGGGAGAAGTGGGCCGCCCTGCACCTGACCAGGGCTCAGCCACAGTGGGCGCGCCCTCCAGCTCTGGGGGCTCGTGGTCTGGGTCGGTGTCAGGCAGACGAGGAGCTGGTGGCCGGCGCAGCCCAGGGGAGTCTGTGCCCTGGGTCCTGCCTGGCAGCCCTCAGGTGGGAAGGTCCAGTGGGAAGGAGGGCAGCGCCCTGGCACCAACACGAGGGGAGAGCTTGAGGGGGACGTTGGAGCAGGGACGCCCTGTGGGAGCAGGTGCAGGGAAGACTTGGGGGGGGTGGAGACTGGTCAGCTGCTCTGGGGACGGACCAGCTGCCGGCGCGGGGGGTTCTCTGTGAGGTCGGTTTGAATTCACTCTCACACCTTAGAAAACAGGCTTTGTAAACGGCCTTCCTGCTGTGGGCAGCTCAGGTGGGGGTCCCCGGACCAGGAAGGCAAGTGCTTCCCTCCCCAGAGGGCCCTCCCCGCCCACAGAGGTCCGGCGAGCCACTGCTTCCTGACTCGGTTTCCTCATCTACACGATGGGTCCGCAGAGACGCTGGGACTTCCTTGGGCTCTCGAACTGGGCCGTGTCGGGTGACACACCCTCCCCACCCACCCGGGCCGGCTGGGGCCATTCTGTGCCGTGGGGCTGGTCACCGCTGCTGGCTCAGTGTCCAAGGTCAGGGTATGGATGGCGGGCGGGTCAGTTTCGTCCCTGTCCTCTGACAGCTGTGCCACATCCCCAGGGGAGGGGACTTTGCCCTCCTTGGTGTGAGGAACTGCCTGTGCCACCGGGCTTCCGGGCCCTGCTCCTGGACTTTGGTCCAAGCTGGCCGGTGGAAGGACCCCCCAGGGGCACTCCCCTGCCCCCCCTGCAGCCAGCGAGGGCGGGGCATCAGCAGGGTTCGCCGTGTGCTCCCAGGTGAGGAAACTGAGGCGCAGAGAGAGGGTGAGAGGTGGAGGCCAGGTCAGACCCGCCCTGGCAACGAGGGTTTTTTTTTAATTTATTTTTCTAAATTAGCATCAGAAAAATTGATGTTGAGGATCGAGAACGTGCAGTTCGGTCTCACGCCGTGGGGTCGCCACCAGGAGCGGAGCCCTGCAAGTCCCAGAAGGGCTGCGCCCCCCCAGACGGCCTTCCTCTGCCCCCAGCCCCACCTGGGGCAGCACACTGCCCCGCTCCCAGTCACCACCACTCTGTCCGTCTGAGTGTCCCCCACAAACAAAACCGTGCGGCTTGTCACTGTCCTCCTGCTTTGTAGACTTGAAGAAAGCAGGAAGGGGGTCAAGGCTCCTCACAGCGCCAGGCTGCAGGGGCGCCTCGGCGGCCCCCTGCTGTCCACGGGCCCTGGCGGCTGGCAGCGTCCTGTCCGCACGCCCGGTGTGCGGACCAGCCAGGCCGTCTGCCAGCGTGGCCTGTGGATTCGCAAGCGTAACTCTTTGAACGGAAACGTTTCATTGTGGCGACCCCCAACGCACCCAGTGTTTTTCGTTTGTGGTTGTGCTGTTGCTGTCACTGTCTGGACGGTGGCGTGGGAGGCGCCTTCCTGCATTTTCTAGGTGCCTCATGCCCTCGGCTCGCACGTGTGCATCCGTGAGTCATTTCAGTCACTGCGGGTGTGGTGTGGGTGCCAGGCTCACTCTGGGGCGGGGGACTCGCGGCTGGTTACCCCGCAGGAGCGTGGAGCTCTGTTGAGAGGGGGTTCCTCCCCCACTGGGGCGCTGGGGCGCTTTCGTCAGACACGGGTGGGTTGGGTCCGGGCGAGCCGACTCCGGACTCTCTGGGGGACGTTGGTTTACTCGTTGAAGTCTTACCGCCCTCGAAGTCGGCCAGTGTGGCTTCTCCAATGTGTGTTTTCTCTTTATGGTTCTTCTGCCTGTTCTCAGTTCGCAGACCTGCCTTTACGTTGCAGAATCGAACTGTCCAGTTCTAGCACCCCGAAAAGCCCGTTAGGGTTCCGACCGGCCCTCGGTCAGCCCTGGGAGCCGACTTGGGCAGCGGCAGCCCCTGCACTGCGTGGGGGGGTCTTTCTGGGCCCCGCACTGACCGAGTGCCTCTAGTTCCTCTCAGATCCTGGCTGGCTTTTTTCCCTGTGGGGTTCTTGCATATCTTTGGTTGAAATACTCCTTGGGTATTTGGTTTTTGCATGCTGCTGTAAATGGTATTCTTATTTTTTTTCCCACTTCATTTTCTGATGGTCTGGTGGTAGACTGTAGAGAAGCAATTGAACTTCTTCGCCGTGACCAAGTGTCCTGTGACCAGGCGGAATGCCTCGACTTTTTCCCAGGGTTCTACTAGCGGAGTCACCGGGTGTTCTGTGTGTCCGTCCTCCGTACTCGATGTCCTCTGTCAGCCACTTTACCATTCTTACTTGGTGGCCCTGGCCAGGACCACAGGGACACACAGAGCAGACCCCTGGCCTCACGTCCCGGCTTGCAGGCCAGCTGCTGCCGCCCTTCTGGACAAAAGCGGTTCTTCTCCGTGTGCCGAGGCCGTTCAGCATGAAGGGCGGTTGAGTTTCAGTAGCGCCTTTTCTGAATGACAGTGATTGTGTTTTGCTTTTTTTTGTTTTGCTGTTGAACCAGCCTTGCGTTTCTGGGGTAAACACACTTACTCATGGTATGTTACAGTTTTATAGTTTTTATGTGTGGAGGTGCTAATTTGCTAACATTTGGTTACGGTGTTTTTTTGCATTAATGTCTACTAGAGATATTGGTATATAACTTCCTGTGTTTATTGATTAGAGAAAGACAGTAAGACACACAAAACATGTGGTAACCAACTGTTATCAGTGAGGTTTCCATTCATAGTGAACTGCGAGTGGTCACCTTTGTGGGGAGTGAAAAGTTACACTCGGACTTTCGAGTGCACGGAGGTCGGCGTCCCCAACCCCCACGTTGTCCGGGGGTCACCTGTGCTTCCTAATTTTCCTTGTGTCTGCATGACCCATGGGTTACTGAGAAGCGTGTTGCTTCATTTGCAATAATTTGGGGTGTTCCGGTCATGTTTTTGTTAGTGGTCTCTGCTTGGATTCCACTATAGTCAGAGACCCTGTATGGTTCCACTCACTCAAAATTTACTGACGTGAGCCCTGGCTGGGGTGGTTGGGCATCGTTTGGATTGAACACCGGTCTGCAAACCAAATGGTCGCTGGTTCGATTCCCGGTCAGGGCACATGCCAGGGTGGCAAGCCAGGTCCCCAGTAGGGGGTGCACAAGAGGCAACCACACATGGATGTTTCTCTCCCTCTCTTTCTGCCTCCCTTCCCCTGTCTCTAAAAAGTAAACACATAAAGTCTTCACAAACGAAAGAGAAATTCACTGACGTGTTTTGGGTCCAGCCGCACGGTATTTTTCGGTTTGGTGATTCTGTGTCTGGCTGACAGCGTGTGTTTCTGCCCCCTTCCCAGTGCCGAGTCCAGCCTGCGCTGTCACTCCTGGGCCTGCAGGGAGCAGCCTGGCCCTGCACCCCCACGGCTGCCCCCACAGCAGCCCCTCTCCCCACAGAGGGCTCCCACATCCCCCCCGCCCAGCCCACTGGGCTCGTTAGCGCTGGTCCGTAGATGAGGTAGAAAATTCAGCAGCAACTTATCCCTGCAGTGACGGTCTCAGAGTTTCCACCTGCAAATCTTCCATTGGGCGAGACTGTGAGCACCTTCCTGCAACAACACTGCTTGAATGTATTTTCCTTCAGGCTCGCTGAGCACATCTTTTGCCGGTTTTGTTACTGAGATGATAATCTTCCACTTACTCATTTATGCGTTGACGTCGGTGCCCTTCATTATTGTGCTTGACACGGTAGCGCTGGGAACACAGCGGGAGCCACCGCTGTGCGTGTCGGCCTCTGGACGCATTAAGACAATGAGCCGTCACCGCATCTGCTCTCCCCACATTTTTACTTTGCATATGGTGTTCTGTCTCGGAAAAATAGTTACATTTTCTTTAAGTCAAATGTATTGGCTTTTTCCCCTGAGCACCTGGACTGTCTTCCTTGCGTCCAAGTCCCCGCCATGAAGCCCCTTCTGGGGCTCTCCGAGATCACGGGCACTTCCTTGTAGCGTATTCGGGGGGCCTGCCCGACAGCTGGGTGCTAACACCCGAGTCTGTGTTAGTGCGGCTGGACTCTGGGGGAGCCAGGCTGGGAGAGACGGGGTTGGGGGAGGTGCGCTGGGCTGGCCAAGGGTCCCGGGGGCTGCCACCACTCGGTCCCTGCTGTGTGCGGGCACGGCCCTGGCCCTGGGGACACAGCCGTAGACCCAGCATCCCAAATCCCCGCCCTCAGGCAGAGAGCACAAAGGAGGTCACACACAGATGAGGTCACGAGTGTAGTGAGGTGACAGAGCGAAGCTGTAGCTGGGAGGGCGCTGGCTCAGACGGGGGAGGAGGGGGCAGAGGCAGGGTGGGTGGGGATCATCTGTGTAGGGCGGCCGGTGCTATCAGGGCTGGGCCACAGCCTGCAGACCTGCACAGAGCAGGAGAGATGCCCTGGGGGGGGGGGCTCTGCCTCTTCCGACCCCCAGGGCAGGTGTTCCTCCCCGGCCCCTGGGTGTGGCCCCTGGGCCCTGGCCCTGGCCCTGGCCCAAGGAGCAGTCTGCCCAGAGTGACCACCCCCCGCCCCCCGTGCCCCCAGCACCTGGCCACATTCATCATGGACAAGAGTGAGGCCATTGTGTCGGTGGACGATGCCATCCGGAAGCTGGTGCAGCTGAGCTCCAAGGAGAAGATCTGGACGCAGGAGATGCTGCTGCAGGTCAATGACAAGTCACTGCGGCTGCTGGACATGGAGTCCCAGGTGGGGCAGCAGCAGGGGCAAAGAAGGTGTGGCCTCTCTGCAGGGGCAGGGACAGGGCAAGGGCGAAGGGCGGGCCAGCAGGGCAAGTGGCCCAGGGCCCGGAGTCCAGGGAGCCAGGCCCCCAGGGCACACCCGCCTCTGGCCACACGGAGCCAGGCCTGGCTGGGCCGGGGGTCTGTGTGCAGGAGCTGTGGCCTCTGCCCCGGGCGGTCCGTGTCTGTGTCCACACCTGGGCCATGTCCCCTCTCTGTGCCTGCAAGTTATGCTTGTACCTGTGTCGGTGGCAAAGTCCATGTGCTGGGCCCACCAGTCACCGCTGCCAACGGCTGGTGTGCTCCACTGGTCCAGCCCGCGTCTTAGCGCCCCCGCACCCCCACCCCCACACGGCCCTGCAGGAGGAGCTTGAGAACTTCCCACTGCCCACCGTGCGGCACAGCCAGACGGTGCTGAACCAGCTGCGCTATCCCTCCGTGCTGCTGCTTGTGTGCCAGGACTCGGAGCAGAGCAAGCCCGACATCCACTTTTTCCACTGCGACGAGGTGGAGGTGAGCGGGACTGCGGTGAGCAGGGGCGGCGGGCCGCTCGGGGCAGGGCGAGCCAGCCTGATGTCCCTCCCCCGCAGGCAGAGCTGGTGCACGAAGACATTGAGAGCGCGTTGGCCGACTGCCGCCTGGGGAAGAAGATGCGGCCCGAGACTTTGAAGTGGGTGTGGGACTGGGAGGGGAGCGGGCAGGGGCCGCCCCCAGGAGGGCACAGCCGCTGAGCATCCTGGTCCCCACTGCAGGGGCCACCAGGAGAAGCTCCGGCAGCGGCAGTCCGTGCTGCCTCCCCGCCAGGGCCCCGCCCCCGTGCCCGTCCACCACTACGCCCAGGATGCTTCTCCCCCCAAGAACCGCGTGAGCCAGCCAGGTGGGCCGAGGGCGCTGGGCTGAAAGTCGATGCCATCCCCTGGGGGGGCTCAATCAGCAGCAGCTCTGCCTCCCCCCCAACCCCTGTCCCCTATCCAGGCTTCTACCGTCAGGAGTCGGAGGATGAGGAGCCGCCACGGGCCGTATTGGCTCAGAAAATAGAGAAAGAGACGGTGGGTCTCAGCCTGATAGTGCCCCCCGCAGGCTGCACCCGCCCCTTCCCCGGGCCAGGGGCCAAGGGGCATCGTGTGGGTCTGCTGGGCGCCCAGCTTGACCCCTGCTCTTGCTCTGACCCCAGCAAATCCTCAACTGTGCCCTGGATGACATCGAATGGTTCGTGGCGCGGCTGCAGAAGGCGGCCGAGGCTTTCAAGCAGCTGAACCAGCGCAAGAAGGGAAAGAAGAAGGGAAAGAAGGGGCCGGCAGGTGCTGGGGGGGCTGGGAGAGGGCGCGGGGGTGGGGTGGGGTGGTGGAGGGGCAGGCAGGGGCTAGGACAGGAACGGAAAGGGGGCGGACTGCATCAGGTGCAGGCCCGACCCACTGGCACAGTGATAGGGCCGGCCAGGCTCACGGCCCGCCTGCCTCGCCCCCCTGTTGCAGAGGGTGTCCTCACGCTGCGGGCCCGGCCCCCCTCCGAGGCCGAGTTTGTGGACTGTTTCCAGAAGACCAAGCTGGCCATCAACCTGCTGGTGAGTCCAGCAGCCCTGCCCTCTGTGCCGACATTGAGGGAGGGGGCCCAGGTCCGCGTCCCCAGTCACCCCCAGCGCGGGCCCCCGCACCCGGTGTGCCTGCCAGTTGCTCACTAGCGCCCTCTCTGGCCCCCAGGCCAAGCTGCAGAAGCACATCCAGAACCCCAGCGCCGCGGAGCTTGTCCACTTCCTCTTCGGGCCTCTGGATCTGGTGCCTGGGGTGGGGGGGCGGCCGGGGTGGGGGGAGCAGCAGGCGGGGCTGCCCTGCTGAGGGTCGGGAAGCCCGTGCCTCCGCCGAGGTGTGCAGCTGGCCTGTGGTGCTGCGGGCTGGGGCAGGGCTGGGACCCGCTCTGAACCGTCTCTTGCCCCAGATCGTCAACACCTGTGGTGGCCCAGACATCGCACGCTCCGTCTTCAGTCCCCTGCTGTCCCAAGAAGCCGTGAGCTTCCTGCGGGGCCACCTAGTTCCCAAGGAGATGGGGCTGTGGGACTCGCTGGGGGAGACCTGGACACGCCCTCGGTACAGCTTTGGGCAGGGAGGGCTGGGGTTTCTGGGTGGGGCCGGCTCTGGCTCACCCTGGATCTCCCACCTCAGCGCCGAGTGGCCTCAGGAGCCGCAGCCGATGCTGTACGTGCCCAAGTTCCACAGCGGCTGGGAGCCGCCCCTGGACGTGCTGCAGGAGGCCCCGTGGGAGACGGAGGGGCCGGCCTCCGCCCCTGGTGACGAGGTCAGACGCCCGCCCTTGCCTCCTCGGCCCCCCTCCACCCCCCTGCCCCCTGCCCCACACCAAGCCCAGGCCGTCCGGTCCCCACAGCAGACTCCAGCCAGCCGGTTATCCTTTCGAAACTCCCCGAAGCACAGCCTCGTACCTGAGCCCACAGCCCCTGGAGACGTCCTCCCCGCGGTCGGCTCTGCACACGCTCCCAGGTGAGCCCACCTGTGAACTCACCACCCTCACATAGCTTCTCTGACTGCACGTGTACGTCTTGGAGCTGTGGCTGGAAAGTGACCGAGCACTGACCAAGCCACTGAGCTCGAGGGGCTCACCTGTCCCTGTCCCCGTGCTGGAGTGGGTGTAGGCCCGACCGCAGAGCCGGAAGGGGGACAGCGGGTCCCACGGGCTCCCCCCACGCCTGCCCCCACCTCTCTCAGGACCACGTCCCACAGCCCCAGGGCCTGTCCACACCCCTCGCTTGGGATCAGCCTGGGGAGCAGGCCACCCTGCCACACCCAGGACGCAGCTGCAGGAGGGGAGGGTCCCAAAGCCGGATTTTCACAAGGGCCCCTGTAAGGAGCATTTTCCTCTGATGTGGCTGGCCCCCTCCGGCCAGTCCAGATGGGGGCCTGTAGCAGACACCTCAGCCACCAGGACCGGCCAGAGGGCTGGGCTGGGTGGCAGCCACCGGCTGCCCTGGGCTGAGGTCAGGGTGCCCACGGGCAACCCCTCCCCCCAGGGCTCTGATGCCACGTGAAGGGGCCTCGGCTCTGCAAATGTCTGGCCTTCTCTCTGTGGTCAGCTGCTTCCCAAGGATGGATGTGACCCTGTCATTTCTTGGGTCCACACCTGGATCTTGGGGGCTGGGCCTGGAGACCCCCAAGGTGTCCTGGGTGGGCACCGGCCTTGCTGTGCCCAAGGCACCCGGGTCGTGCCAGCCCCCCCCACTGCCTGCTGCCTGGCCCCCCCCTCCACACCGGGCCCCAGACGCTCTGCGGCTGCCACAGTTTCCATTCCCCATGACAAGCTGACGCTCTCTCCACTGCGACCTTGGAGAGTGGAGCAGAAGGCAGCTGAGTGCCTGGGAAGCGGCTCCCCCCAGTGGGGCCCCGAGGCCCAGGAGACCCCAGTTCAGCCCCTCCTGCTCCACTCAGGGGCTACGAACCAGAATCCGCATCAGCCATGGCCAAGTACGTCAAGGTCCTCTACGACTTCACAGCCCGAAATGCCAATGAGCTGTCCGTGCTCAAGGGCGAGGTCCTGGAGGTGAGAGCCCCACTTCTGCAGGAGGGGGGTTGCGGGGGGGGGGGGCGGGGCGGAGGCAGATCCATAACCCTGGGATCTGGCTTGCCTGCCACTGCTTTCAAGCAGGGCCTACCCTGGAGCTCCAGTCTGGTTCCACGGCCCCAGCCCCCTCCCCCAGCAGATACTGGATGAGGGGCCCCCTCCCATGGGGGCGAGGACCAGGGGACCCTCCAACCCACCAGGGGGTTGTCACTTGTGCCCACCCCTGGAGGCAGTCCTCCGGATCCGGTGCCAGCGCCAAATCTAGGTTGCCCCCCCCCCCCCCGGGGAGGGGAGTGGAGCGTGTAAAGTGTGGATCTCTGTCTACAGCCAGGCTGGGGGCCCCTGGCTCAGGGTGCTGTGGGCATGTGGGCCCCTGTGGGCTGGCAGGAAGGTTACCCTGGGCCGGGGCACCTGGAGTAGGTGGTGACGGTTTCCGTAGGGCTCTGGGGCTCAGGGGAGAGACGCTAAAGCTGTCTCTGGGCCATCTGTGGGGGGTGGGGCCCATGCGGTAATCCCAGCGTCCCACACTGGTGCCGTGGTCAGAGGGGCGGGGGCGCGCAGGGGGCAGTGGACCTGCTGACCAGGAGTGACAGCCGGTGTGCGGCGCCCCCAGGTGCTGGAAGACAGCCACCAGTGGTGGAAGCTTCGCAGCCGCAGCGGCCAGGCAGGCTTTGTGCCCCACAACATCCTGGATGAGGTCCGGCCGGAGGAAGTGGGTGCGCCCACGGAGCAGGTGAAGGGGGCGTGCGGCCCTGCTGCGGGGCTCTGCCCTGTGGCCACTGGAGCGAGTGACAGGAAAAGATGCTGTGCGGGAGCCTGCATGGGGGGGGTGGGGGCCTGGCTCAGGTCCTGGGAGGGAAAGCGGGGAGGGGTTCCTCACCCTCTCCTGACGCCAACCCCGCGCGGACCGCACGATGAGTGATGCTGATGGCCCCGCTGCCTGCTCTCCCCCGACCTGCAGGCTGGTCTGAAATACTGGGGTCCTGCCAGCCCAACGCACAAGCTGCCTCCGAGCTTCGCAGGAAACAAAGAGGGTGAGGGGGCGGGGCAGGGAGGGGGCGGGTTGGGGGGGGCAGCAGGGCCGGGGGCACCGGGGCCAGCAGGCAGGGCCTGAGCTGCTGGCTCCCCAGAGCTGATCCACCACATGGACGAAGTCAATGACGAGCTCCTCAAGAAGATCAGCCACTTCAAGGCACAGCCACAGCGGCACTTCCGCGTGGAGCGCAGCCAGCCCGTGCGCCTGCCGCTCACCTACGAGTCGGGGCCTATGGAGGTCCGCGCCTGGCTGGAAGCCAAGGCCTTCAGCGCGCGGTGAGCGGGCAGCGCTGAGGGCGGGCAGGTGGCTGCGCGGTGAGCGGGCAGCGCTGAGGGCGGGCAGGTGGCTGCCACTCCCACACCAGGGCCCCGCCACGCTCACAGCCACCCGCCCCACAGGATCGTGGACAGCCTGGGCATCCTGACCGGCGCCCAGCTCTTCTCGCTCAACAAAGACGAGCTGAAGAAGGTGTGCGGGGAGGAGGGCAGCCGTGTGTACAGCCAGCTCACCGTGCAGAAGGCCCTCCTGGAGGTGAGCCAGGGCACGCCTCCTGCACCTCCCTCCCCCCACCTGCCCCGGGTGCCCTAGGCTGAGACCGCCCCACTCCCGTTCCTAGAAGCAGCAAGGCGGATCGGAGCTGGAGGAACTCATGAACAAGTTTCATTCCAAGAACCAGAGGAGGGTGGAGGATGACAGCTAACCGGTCCCGCCTGCTGTGCTGCCGCCCTGGCAGGGGCAGAGGCAGAGGCAGGGGCGGCCGCCCCAGTGCATGGAGTGTTATTTTCCCACATGTATGGATTTCTTGCCCTGGACACAGAGGGAATGTGCCAGCCGCGGGCCCTGCCCCTGGCTGGGGGTTAGCTCACTTGCCTTGTGGCACAGTGCCTGACCTCAGGCTCAGTGACGTCCCAGTCCACACCCACCTGCCTGCTCCAAGGGCCACCTCAGCCAAACTTGCCGCCTGGCCATGCCAGCCCCTCACCTGCCTGCCCACTGCGACCAGACCCGGCCTGGGCCCCTCCCCAAGGCCGTAGAACCCCCTCCCTCTGGCCTCTTCCTGGCACTTGGGAATCTGTCCCTGTCCTGCCTCCGAGACGCTCACTTCACACCCGCCTGAACCCCCTCATCCTCACAGCCCCAGGCGCACTGTGGCCTGGAAGGGCAGCTGCCCTGGGCTCGAGGCCGACCAGGCTGGTACCTGCTGCCCCAGGTAGTGCCCACAGCTCCCACCCCGTGCACTGCCCCCCCCCGGGGTGGCCTGGGGGTACCTGCTGGGCTCCCTCTGCCTCTTCAAGGAGCAAGTGTGGACTGGACTCGTCCGAGCACTGACCTTGGACACCCCACCCTCATCCCCTCCCTGAGGCAGAGCCCGAGGAAAGGAGCTTGTCTTCGACCAAGTGTCAAGCCAGCCTCGCCCTGCCAGGGTCCCCGGACTCTGCAGGTCACAGCCCAGGGCTGAGAGGGAGCCAAGCTCAAAGGCCGTGACATTAAACCCATTGTCTCCTCGTGGCTGCTGTCTGTCTCCTGGAGCGGGGTCGGGGGTGGGCTGTGGGCCCTGCAGCCGAACTGGAGTCCCACCCTTTGTGAGGGCAGCTGGGCAGGCGCAGGCGGCAGGCGGCAGTTGAGGCCCCAAGTAAGACCACTGACTCCAGAGCCCAGTGTGGGGCAACGCGGGGACCCTCCCCTCCCCTCCACACCTGTCCGAGAGGGTGTGGGAACCTTCCCAAGAGGCGAGGGGTTCAGGGAGGCCAGAGGACTGTCACCGGAGGGGAGTGGGTGTGGGGGAGGGGCGACAGAGGAGCAAGGGAGGGTTTGATTTGGAGAGCTAAGCTGAGGATGGGGTGGGGGGTCGGGAAGGAAGAGGGTGCTGGGTGGCTGGACAGCGCTGACAGTCAGCTGGGCCGCCACGGTGCCGGAGCAGGGTGGTCCCTGAGGGCGCAGAGGGCCAAATGCTGTGTCTACTGGCCCCAGACCACCTGGCCTGTGCCCACCTTTGGAGGTCGCTGGCGCCCTCTGCTGGCGACTCTGTGAGCTGCCTTGTCTGGCGGCCGGAGGGCACACTAGCACCTCTCTGGTTCCCCAGTGTCTTGACCTACATGGCGGCACAAGAGTGGATGGACCAACCCTGGTTCGGTGAATCCAAAGGGCCCAGTCTTGGGGCCTCTGCCTGCTGGGCAGGGGTGTCTGAGTGAGCTCAGGTGCAGGAGGGCAGGTTGGGTTTGGTGGGCTGCCCCTGGGCTGGTGGACCTGTGAGACAGGACCGGTCCTCAGGCCTGGAAAGCCCAGTGTAGATGGGACAGGCCACCCTGGGCCAAGTCCGTCCAACGGGGCTCGATCAAGGGGACTGGCGGGTGTCTGGTGCCCTCTGGGCCACCGCTCGAACCTGACCACCGCTCGGCCCCTCTCTCCAGGGAAGGAAGGACCCAGCCCTGCCTCCGGGCCAGAAAAGCAGGCCTGCCCTTGGAGCCGGGCAGGACCCTGCAGAGGGGCAGATGGAGCCCCAGAGGGAAAGGGAGCAACACCCCTCCCTCTGGAAACCCACAGACCCACCAGGCCGGCACCACCAGGAGGTTACAGGTGCCCCAACAAGACCACTCCGCCATCCCCACCAGGCTGAGCCCCTCCCTCAGGGTGGGGATGGGGCCCCCTCTGGATGGGGCCAGATGTCCTTGTTCTCATGGGCCGGAGGGAGGGCCCATGGGGCAGGGCTCATGCCGCTCATCCCACTGTGTTGGCGTTAAAAAGAATTTCTTACAGAAATGAGCTCATCCCATGTTGACTGCCAGCTCTCCAGAAAGCTGCCCAGTCACGAGGGGATAGCCTTGTGTGGGCTCACCCCCATGAGGGTCTTAGTCGGGTGGGAAAGGCCGGGAGTGTGTGGCTCGGGGCTTGGACAAGCAGGTCTTTTGGGGGCTTGAGTAGGAGTGGGCCAGTTGGAGAAATCTGGTTTGTCCAGTGCGTGGGCACCAAAGGGCGGACATGCGTTCAGAGAGTCACCGGGCAGGCCCGGGTCTCTACCTACATGCCTGAGGTCACTGCTTTCAGGATGGTCCCAAAACAAAAGGGCATTCGAGACCCTTCTTCCTGGTGGCAGCCAGCCAGGAGACGCAGGTGCTTTTGGGCGGTGGCCCGTCACTGTCCTTGTAAAAGGGATGAGTTGGCGCGTGTCCTTGAATTTCCAGTTTGCTTCTCACAATAGTGCACATCGGCAGAGTCAACCCTCGGACCACATTCTATGGGGCCTTCGTGACTCCCAAGTGCACGATGGTGTCCCGAGGCCCCGCATCCGATTCACACTGCTGTGGCATCTAGGGCGGCAGCTCCTGCGGGTCAGCCGGGCCCGGTACCTGCAGGGGGTCCCACGGGCCCCCCAGCCCTTAAGCAGGTGTTCAGACTCAGGTGTCAGAGAAAGACAAAGGAAAACCTTTGCTGCCTATCAGACCAGTGAAAGTAGGAAGCTGTCGGACGCCCCGTGTTGAGAGGCATGGGGACAGGGGACCACTGAGCTATGCTGGGCTTAGTCACCAGTGTCACCCCCTCGGCAGCCCTGCTCCTGTGCTGCGTGACCCCAGGACCCTCCCTGGCGTCCACCAGGGTGGGGGATGGGTGTGGGGATGGGGAGAACCTCAGCTGGGAGAGCCACGCGGAAGGCAGGCGCTGCAGACAAGCGAAAAGAGCACCCACAGATTCCATGACTTAGAATACAGGGTCATGAGAAAGAAAAACCAAACACTGGAAACAATACATTTTACAAGAACTTGCGCAAAGGCCTTAGGAGAACTGTGAGAGGCTGGGGCTTTGCTCTGCAGGAGAGTGAATGCTAAGTAAGGAGGTAGGGGGTGAGGGGTCGGCACAGCTCTGCAAACAGCCAGCCCTCTCCCTCCAGTCTCCGGAACCAAGTGCCCGGGACCCCAGCCTGCACGCCCGCCTGCTGCCCCACAGCCACTGCTGTTCTGAGCGGGGGTTTATCCTTCTGATTAATGTGTTTATGGCTTTACAGTCTGTGCGGTTCTTCCGGATGCTGCTCACAGTTGCGTGCGTGCCTTTAAACAGGACAAAACCGGACATGGCCGGACCACCCACGTGGCCATGAGCTGGGGCCTCCGGGATGCAGGTGGGGCGGACACGCGGAGGTTCCAGATGCTGCGGCTTCAGACCAAGCCGGAGCTGACTGGTGGGCCGCTCCCAGACCCTGGTCTGCACATGTGATGAAATACACACGGACTTTGCCGACTGGCCCCTGTCTCAGCTCACAGCTCAGGGGTGCTCAACACACTCACGCTGCTGTGCAGCCCACCGTCCTCTCCAGAACTTTCCAGCTTCCCCACTGACACTCTGTCCCCATTAGACACTCACTCCCTGCCCTCCCCCGCCCAGCCCCCGGCACCCACCGTCCTACTTTCTGTCTGTGTGAATCTGGCTCCTCCAGGGACCTCCCGGGAGTGAACGGCACAGGGTCTGTCCTTGTGTGTCTGGCTCATCCACTCAGCACACTGTCCTCCAGGCCCGTCCAGGCTGTGGTGGGGCCCAGAATCCCCTTCCTCATTCACGGCTGAGTGGCTGTCCACTGCGTGAGCTACAATTCTGCAGCCAATTCTGTGCATGGGTCTCTTCTCTCATCAATAAAAATAAGTAAAAAATTAACCTTCCATCTTCCCAAGATAATAGTGGCCTTTGTTTCACTGTCTACAGGCTTGAGTCCTGGTTTAAATTCGTCACACGCGCCAGGTCGCTCTGTTGATCTCATTCTGTTTTGAATTCTTCTGGTTACTAAGCGCTGCACCTGCTGCTTGTTAACCGCAGGCAAGAGCTGTGCCCTCTGGTGGGACAGATGATGCCCAGAAGAGGCCTCTCCCGCCACCGAGGGACAAAAAGGCCAAGTTCAGGAAAAGCTCCATCAAAGGGGGGTGATGAACACTACCTGGGACCTTAATTTTTTTAAATCCTCACACAAGTGCATTTTTCACCGCTTCTAGACAGAGAGGGAGAGAGAGAAAGCACGAAACGTCAACTGGTTGCCTTCTGCACACACCCCAACCAGGGGTCAAAACTGCACCCTGGGCTTGTGCTCTGACTGGGAATGGAACTTGCAACCTTTTCGGTTATGGGACGACGCTCCGGTTTACCGGCTGCCCAACCAGGATGGGCCAAGACTCCAAGCAGACGGGGTCTGTGAGAGTAGCTCGGGCTGTCGGTGCATCCGCACACTCGGCCCTGCACATCTTTCGTCCCGCACTTGTCCAGGTGACCCGACTCCTCCTCCAAACACTTGTCCAGGTGACCCACACACCTGCCCAGCCCAGCTTCCCCACCACGGTGGCCTCTGACTTGTCCGACTCCGGGCCAAGCCCATCACCCCTCCCACACTCACCCAGGGGAGCAGGAGGAGCAGGTGGCTAAACCCACTGGCCATGCCCAGGTCGGCCACAAGTCACTGGCCCACGCCCAGCCCTCTCTCAGGCTCCAGCCTACCGCTCTGCCCCTCCTGCCCCCTCCCCTCTCAGCGGCTGGACTTGCTTCCTCGGACACCCCGGAAAGAGTGAGGCGGTCTGCAGAGGCTCTGTCCGCCTGCCTTGCCTGCGCCCAGATCCAGATCCACTGCTTGTCCCTCCGGTCGACCTTGACTGACGACACAGGCCACCCTTACGTGAGTGCCCTGTATCCCAGCCCTTGTCTACCAGGAGCCTTGCTGAGAACGCCCTTCTCCTCTCCTGCTGCCTGCACAAACCCGCAGTCATTTCTCCCCACAACACCAGCCCTGCTCCCTGCAGAGCAAACCCCCAAAGCTCAGAGACCTTCACACTGTCTCCACCTGGCGGCCTTTTCCCTCCAATGCAGTTGCCCTGGCAAGGCCAGCACTGAGGTCCACACAGGGCACACCCAAGGCCCTTGAGTCCCGGAAACCCCAGCTCCTCCCTGACCTTTACCTCCCCTCTCCTGGGCACCTGCCATAAATACGTGCCTGACCGGAGGCCCCGATCCAGGAAATATGAAGGACTCCAAGTCAACAGCAGTTTTATTTCCTACATCTGAACAGGGCACAAGGCCCTTGGGACCAATTGTGAACTTAGTGCTACTTAGTGCGGATCCCAGAACCTGAGGCAGGGGGTGCTGGCCCCATCCTTGTGGCTCCGGATCTGCGGGAGACACATCTACAGTGAGAACACATGCCCAGTCTCCCGTTGCCTCACCACTCCTAGCCACTTGCCAGACAACAGGCACCACTGACCTCAGGGCGGGCCTGGAGGGGCAGCCAGGCCCGAGGGGCGCAGGTGCACCCTGGGCGCCCGCAGCCGCCCTCCCAGGACTGGGGTAGGCAGTGACTCAAGCCCAGGCCCGCACCCCACCCCAGCTCTCTCCGCCCGCCCAGCGCCCACCCTTTGCCCGTGGGAGCAGCTGCCTGGCACAGCCGCAGTCAGGGAACAAAGGCCCTTTTTGTCTCTTAGGGGACAAAGGCAGGGGGTCCCGTCGGACAGCGCTCAGGCTACGGCCCAGACAGAGGGCTGAAATCTCCAGGTCGCTCTGGGACTCCGCACCTCCGCTCACTGCTCTTGGTACTGCGCTCAGCCTTTTGCAGAGGGCGGAAACCACTGGGCCCTCCCTTCGGTGTGTGTGTGTGGGGGGGGGCACCGCAAGGGGCGCACCTCTCCGGGGGGCCTCCCACCCCAGCTGCAGGCTCAGTGCGCGCACTGGACGCGCCGCCCCCGGGCTGCCTCGCTGCCCTGGACGCGTTATGCCCCATTTCACCAGTGATCGCGGGGTCCCCGGGACCCACGAACCAGTCGCCGGGGGCGGGGCCTCATTTGGAGGCGGGGCCTCTATCTGGGGGGCGGGGCTTCTTCTTGACGGGGCCTCGCCCACCACCCGCACCGCTCCTGATAGGCTAGCGGCCGGGGCGGGGCCGCGGGGCATTGTGGGTCACCGCGCTGCCGCTGCTGCTTCGCCATGTCTGGCTCCCCGGTGAAGCGGCAGAGGATGGAGAATGCTCTGGACCAGCTCAAGCAGTTCACCACCGTGGTGGCCGATACGGGCGACTTTCACGGTGAGCCGCGCGGGGCCCCGAGTGTGGTCGCCGGGATAGGCCGTGCGGCGGTGGGTCGTGGACGCAGATATGGTGCGCTCCGGGTCCCGCCTTCACGCTGACCGGCTTCGGGCTCCGCTGCTCTGCAGTCCCGCACCCGCGGTGGGGACTCGGGGAGCTCCGGGCCGGCGTCTGGGCGGACGGCCCGGGCGCGGGACAGGAGAATGGCGCTCGGGGCGTGGGCGCGCAGGCGGAGCCACGCTCCCGAGCCGAGGGCGCCTCCGCAGCCAGGCGGGACGGAGCTCTGGCCAGAGGGCGTCGGGTCGAGAAGGCACGGGATCCGGGAGGGTGGGAGGTGAACCCAGCGAGGATTGATTGCTGAACAGGACACGACTGGGTGCAGGGCTCACCCTTGTGCTTTGATCCCGCCCGGCGCACACGCCACATCACGCCTCGGGCGCAGGGCGACCCGCTGCGGCCGGGTGCGGGCCACCGGGCCGCGGAGCTCCGCAGGAGCTGGGCAGGAGCTCGGGGCGATGGGCATAGCAAGTGCTTTGCCAGTTTAGACTCCTGGTGTGATTCATCCTTCCCCCTCCAGCGTGGAGGACTCCGCGGCCCATCGGGAGCCCCCAGCCCGTCGCGCCGACTGGAACGCAGCTCCGTCCCGCCTGAGGAATTTAGATTTCCAGGGAGCTGGTGCCTTGTGGGCATGAGCGCCCAGGGCTCCCAGCGCGGAAGTGCCTCCTCTCTTTTCTGCTTTCTCATGGTGACTTGAGAAGTGGGTGTCACCCCTCTTTGGTAGTATTAAGAGCGTTTTGTTTTCTTAAGAGGGTTGCTTTTATCTAGCAGAGCTCACCAGTCTGAATAAGCATGTTTGGCGATCAGCCTGGGGCCAGCCTGTGGGCTTGCTGGCCTTGTACTTTAATCCTCTGACCAGCGGGGGCTTCCAGGGGGTCTGGAGCCCCAGGCCAGGGGCCTCAGTCTCCTTTTCGTCTGCCCTGGGTAATCTGGACCTTGAGGTGAAGACCCCAGTTGGACACTGGCGGACCTTTCCCTCCCTCTGAGTGTGTGCGGGCTCTGGCCCAGGGGGAGCTGGGTCTGTGCTGGTTCCTGCAGGTTGTTGGTTTCACCTTCTGGGAAAGGCTTTGCTGTTTTACTTTTCTCTCTTTAGAGATATCTAAACCTAGGCGTTGACATTATAAAAGTACATTTGTTGATGCTGTCTATCCATACATGTTAGCAGGTAGTTGGGGGCCTTTGGTTTTGTGGGCATTCGTGAAGGTTCTTTCTTTCGTAATGTGGGGATCAAAGGTCTCTTTGCAAATACAACCAAAGCCAGGGCTTCTTCACCCACAACAGGCCCCTCCCAGGAGGTTTTGCCTTCCCTGCACCTGAGACCTGTTGTTGAGTCCCAGCTCCATCCCCCAGTTTTAAGTCAGCTCTCTGAAGGCCTGATTCTACCCAAGGAAAGGCCCCCATCTTCGGAGCATCGGCCAGGGTTTACACACGCCTGTGTCGCAAGCACCGCCGCAGAGCACTGTGTTCCTAACCCGTTATTTTGAAAGAGATACGCAAGAAGTTGCGATATTAGTCCACAGAGGCCGGAGAATCATTGGCCCAGCCCCCGGCGGTGGCGACATCCTATGTGACCATGGCGTGATCAGGCCCAGGCGCTTGGCACCGGGTTGTTAATGGGCTGTGGGCCTGGCTCAGTGACCGCCAGTGTCAGCCTGCGCGGTGAGGGGGCTGCTCTGTGGCGGGCTTATGACACTCCAGATCCTTGTGGGCACAGTTAGGACACAGCTGCCCCTCCCAGGTCCTGCCAGCACCTAATCTCTTCTCCATCTCTGCAGTCCTGTCATTCAAAGGGCACTTTGAAAATACTCCTGTGGCCCTGGCCTGTGTGGCTCAGTGGGTTGAGTGCCAGCCTGCGAAAGGAGAGGTTGCCGGTTTGATCTCCAGGTGGGGCACACGCTGAGTTGCGGCCCCGGTCGGGTGTGTGTGACAGGCAGCTGATCACTGTTTCTGGTCACGTTGGTGTTGCTCCCTTCCCCCCCTTTTCAGAAATTTGTGAATAAAACCTTAAAAAAACAATCTAATCTGCCCAGTAAACTTGAAGCCACACGTCCTCTGGCCGCTGTGCACTCCCGTGTCCTACTTAGACGGCCGGCCAGCGAGGCCTCAGGCCAGCCCTGCGGGTTCCCGGGAACTCGGCCTGGTTTCCTAAGAACGGGCGTGTTATGGAGAGAGTGGCTTCAGGAGGAAAGCGGGCAGTCTTCCGTCACCAAGTCTGGTCACTGTCACTGGCGCTGCGTGGAAGCCCTGCTGGCCGCTCTCGGCTGCCTGCCCCTGCACCCGGCAGGAACCCTCCATCTCTGGCCCCTCGGTCAGCCTCCCAGGACAGGGAGGGACGTGTGTGTGCAGGGTGGCTGTACCCCGGCTCAGGAAACACTTTTCTTTCTTCTACATATTTTATTTTTAGAGAGGGGGGAAGGGAAGGAGAGAGTGGGAGAGAAACATCAGTGTGTGGTTGCTTCTCATGCGCCCCCTACTGGGGACCTGGCCTGCAACCCAGGCGTGTGCACTGACTGGGAATCGAACCGGCGACTCTGCTTCACAGGCCTGTGCTCAATCCACTGAGCTACACCAGCCAGGGCAACACTTTTATTTCTTGAGACTTTACTTATTTAGTTTTTAGAGAGAAGGGAGGGAGAAAGAGAGAAATGTGAATGTGAGAAACATCTCAGTTGCCTCACGCGCCCCCAGTCCATCCGGCAACCCAGGCGTGTGCCCTGATGGGGAATCGAAGCAACACCCCCACAGTTTGTGGGGTGACGCCCAACCCAGCGAACCCCAGCAGCCAGAGCTTCCCAGACACAGTGGACTCTGCCTCTGTGCTCAGGGTGTAGAGGGGCCCGGCAGACTCCAGGGCGGAAGCGAGCCTCCACTCACTTCCCTGCTTTCCAAACCCTCTCTCCAGCCATCGACGAGTACAAGCCCCAAGATGCCACCACCAACCCGTCCCTGATCCTGGCGGCCGCGCAGATGCCCGCCTACCAGGAGCTGGTGGAGGAGGCCATCGCCTTCGGCAAGAGGCTGGGCGGGTGAGTATGGGGAGTGCAGCTGGGCCACTGAGGGGCTCGACTCCCCCACTGACTGAATTTCAGTCCTCGGATGTCCTCCCTGCCAGAAAGTGGTCTTGTACGCTTGTGTTTATCAACTCCACGGGAGCGGGGCTCACACGAAGCAGACCTGCAGCTCGGAGCCAGGTGCACGGGCTCGCTCGGGCCGTGGCTCCTGTCCCCACAGGGCCCCAGCCCTGGTGGCCACTGACCTGCCTTGTCATTTGGCGTCTTTTTTACTGATGTTTTTTAACAGCTTTATTGGAGTAAAGTCCACCCTCTTTGTTGCAGTCCAATTTCTCGTGGTGAATTTCTGCTGGACGCAGCCACGGCCACAGTCCGGTCCTGGAGTGTCCCTGGTGCTTTGCCCTGCCCCCTTCCCCAGGCCACCGTGCCTGTGTCGGTCTCCATGAATGTGCCTTTCCAGGGGTCATTTTACATTTTCATCAGGGTGACAATGGTGTCCTTGGGGAACAGTGGCCCCCAGCCAGGACATGCAGGTGGCCTGGGGGTGTCAGGCCTGCTCTGCGCCCTGGGTGTGCCCTCCCTCCACCACACACCACCCCCTGGCGGCTTCGCTTTCCCTTCTCCCACATCGGGTCCTCGCCCCGTTACGGCAGAAGGCCTCGGCGCACCTGGCGTTAGCGATGAGGTGCACCTACACACTCACGTGCCCTCTGCCCTCGTCAGCTGCCCTGCGGCTCTTGCAGTGGCACACTGGCCTGAGACCCTTCTGTGTGCATGGGGCCAGCAAGGATGCCCAGGCAGCTCCAAAGGTTTTTTTTCCCACGTGCTCAGAGATGGGGGAGTTCTGCTGGGGAAGAAGGCGGTTCTAGAGGTGACGTGGTGACATCTGCAGCACAGCATGACTGCTTCATGCACACTGAGCCGCGCACCAGGGACGGTCAAGCTGGGGCTCTGTGCCACGCAGAGTTCCCGCGATCAAAAGGTGGCACCAGAGGACTCTCAACAGGAGTCTGTTCTGTAGGGGCCTTCGCACTTGACCTGACAGGCTGCTGCCCATGTTTTCCCTTTGAATTTTCAGGGCTCAAGAGGAGCAGATCCAAAATGCCATCGATAAACTTTACGTGCTCTTTGGGGCAGAGATACTGAAGAAGATTCCGGGCCGCGTGTCCACGGAGGTGGATGCGAGGTGAGGGCGTGGGGTGGGGCCCCCACCAGCACGGCTGCGCCTGCACCCCTCTGAGGAAGCTGACCCGAGCCCGGGCACCTGCTGCCGGCTGGCTCGTCCTGGCAGGCGTCTCGGGGTGCGGCTGCTCCTCACTGGGGACCCCTGGCTCTCACAGGCTCTCCTTCGACAAGGACGCCATGGTGGCCCGGGCCAGGCGTCTCATCGAGCTCTACAAGGACGCCGGGATCGGCAGGGACCGGGTTCTGATCAAGCTCTCATCCACCTGGGAGGGGATCCAGGCTGGAAAGTGAGTGTCTCCCGGTTCCAGGGGTCGGGGCCCCCGCCCAGATGGACTGGCCGTCAGAGCTGGTGTGTCTGAGGCCAGGTCCCAAGGTCCTGTTTGCTGACACTCAGAGGCAAGTGTCCCGTGAGACACCCACAGCTGTGCCACCGCCCTCGTCCTCATCAGGCAGGCTCCCAGTGCGGGGAAGCGGGAAGGGGAGGTGGGAGAACTAGGGTGTGCCCTCCGGTCTCCCCGGGGCAGCGTTGCGGGGGGCTGTTGTCAGGAGCCCTGTGTCTGCCCCACCCCCCTGGCAGCCAATCCAGCTCTCCCCCCGCCTGTTCCGGGCATTTGTACAGATGGACTCACGACACGTGGCCTCAGCTGGCATGAGAGTTCGGGGCACAGATCACCGTGGCAGGTCTAGGCTGCGTTCCTTCCCAGGCAGATGATCATTGCGTGTGCACACATTATGTGTGTTTGTTCTTCCCTGTGCACACATGTGGCTGCTCCTGTCTCTGGGGCTCACGGGCGACCCTGCTCTGAACGTCTGGGTGCAGCCACGGGCCCAAACCCAGGCCCAGGGGGCGTCCAGTCATTCGGTATTCGCCTTTTGGGGAAGCTGCGGTTGAGCAGTCTGCCCACTCCCCGTGTGCACGCCAGCTCTTAGCTGCTCCGAGGCGGCCACGTGGCAGAGACCCTTCGGAAACTGCCCGCCCTGGGAATTTGTGGCTGGAGGAGTCTGAGCAGAGGCTCAGCTGTCAGCCACGTGACAGTGCATGGCCATCGCCCTGTACTCAGGATGTAGCTCAGGATGTCACAGTAGACCAAGGGGTGGCCTGGGAAGGGTAAGAGGGGAGGGGGCTGTGGCTCCACATGGGACAGTAGGACAGCACTGTGGCGTCCGGCCCCAGGGAGCTGTGTACTGAACTGAGGGGCTGGGGGCTCTTGCCTCTTATTCCTGTCGGTGGTGGGTTTGATGGAGAAACTTCCGGCTGCCCAGAGCTCACTGCCAGAGAGAACTGGGGTGCACTGTGTGTGTGTGGGACGGGGAGCTCACGCCTGGCCTGCGCTTGTCCCCACAGGGAGCTGGAGCAGCAGCACGGCATCCACTGCAACATGACGTTGCTCTTCTCCTTCGCCCAGGCTGTGGCCTGCGCCGAGGCAGGGGTGACGCTCATCTCCCCCTTCGTGGGGCGCATCCTCGATTGGCACGTGGCCAACACAGACAAGAAAGTGTACGAGCCCCTGGAGGACCCTGGTGAGTAGCCCTCTGAGGGGTGGGGGCAGGGCCTGCAGGGCTGCAATAGCCACTCTGCCTGGGCCACCTCCTCCAGGGGTGATAAGTGTCACCAAGATCTACAACTACTACAAGAAGTTTGGCTACAAGACCATCGTCATGGGCGCCTCCTTCCGCAACACGGGCGAAATCAAGGCACTGGCAGGCTGCGACTTCCTCACCATCTCCCCCAAGCTCCTGGGGGAGCTGCTCAAGGACAGCAGCAAGCTGGCGCCCATGCTCTCGGTCAAAGCGGGTAGGTGCCTGGCCACTCCGGGCCACCTGCTCCTGGGTCCCCTGGGCCGGGTGGAGGGCTGGGAGGGCACAGGGCAGCCCCGAGCCCTGGCTGGGAGAGCAGGTGCGGGGGGACATGGAGGCCATGCTCCCTGCCCTCCCAGCCCAGGCCAGTGACCTGGAGAAGATCCACCTGGATGAGCGGGCCTTCCGCTGGCTGCACAACGAGGACCAAATGGCCGTGGAGAAGCTCTCCGACGGGATCCGGAAGTTTGCTGTGGACGCCGTGAAGCTGGAGCGGGTGCTGGCGGTGAGTGCTGGGCTGGGGTCAGACGGGGCTGCCACTTCCGGTGGGACCCTCAGCGTGCCACCTGGGAAGTCCTGGGGGCCGGCAGCTGCCCTGTGGGCCTGCCCGGGGCAGCCCGATGTGCTACCTGGGCCCTGTCACCTTCGGTTTCCCAGGAGCGGATGTTCAGCACAGAGAACGGGAAGTAACCGGAGGCTGGATCACAGATGACCTGACTTGAGTCTGGGTCTGATTTACACAAGCCTGGTGATGAATCTTGCAATTTTTTACTGATTGGAGCAGGGACAGATCATAGATTTCTGATTTTATGCAAAACTTTCACTCAATACATTAAACAGTCACGTTTTCTGCGGTGTACTTCATTTCCCCACCTCGTTCCCCTGCACTAGCTGCCTCACACTTCAGCTGGGACCTGGCCCCTTACACAACACAGGCAGCTAACCCCGCCCTTTTTTGCCTGCACTGCCTGACCACTGGGGCAGGCGCACCTGAGCTCTTCCTGGCCGCACAGGGTTCCACTGCCGTTCTACCAGGTTCCTGCTTAGGCCACTAGCGCCACCTGGTGGAAGCAGCCCAGCAGCACAGGGCAGCTTCGTGTTTGGACTTTGCACCCCTGTGCTATACCAGGAATGGCACAGGTGGTTTTCCATTCCCACCCCCAGGGGATAGGGCAGGTGATAGCTGATAGCACCAGATCTACAAGGGCACCCTGGGGTGGGGGGGACAGGCCTGCATATGCCCCGCTTCCTGGTTTGGGAGGTTGGGCAGAAGCAGGTGCCAGAGAATTACCTGTTGAGATGCCACTGCACCCTCCCTGCCCTGGGGCAGCTTTCTCTTCTGGAGCCTGTGGGCCCCTTTTCCCCACAGCAACACCAGGCACTGGCCAGTAGGGCAGCAGGGCCAGGCTCCACTGTGCGCTGTGCCACCTTGGGTACCCAGCCTGGCTCAGCCCTTCCAGGATGCCAGGGAGGCTGCTGACCCCACCGCTGCTGGGCACCTCCCAGCCCCATGGATCTGCACGCATGTCTGACAGGATGGTTCTGGCACCAGCTTTAGGAGACCCGCCCCCAACACACAGGAGACACCACACCCCATTCTCACCACGTGGCAATAATGCTGCCCCCCCCCCCCCAGACTCTGTTCACAGCACAATTTGGGTCTGTTCACTCCCAAGAATAATGTTGGGGATGCGCTTGCACTGTTTCTCTAGGGTAGATTTGGGGGTCTGTTCCCAACACCCCTAGGCATGTGGGGGAAATCTCTCCTCTGCCTCCTCAGCCTGCCCTGGAGCCCTGAGCTTGGAGAAGACGTGGCCCATCAGACTTCAGCAGGTGTCACTGACTCTGTGGGTCACAGATGACACCCCCTGAGGCGGTTTTCTAGGTGTTCATGCAAAGAGCCCTCTTGGCGTGGGGGCCCAGCAGGCCAACAGGTCAGGAGCCAGGTCTGCTGGCCTGGGGAGGCTGGGTGGCAGCCGGGCTCAGTGCTGCTGGATGAAGCAGACGCAGCAGGCGGGGGGGGGGGGCACAGCCCAGCCATGTCCCCTGCGGGGAGGAACCCGCGGGTGGGTGGTCAGGCTGTGCTGGGAGACAGCCAGCTGGCTGCTTCAGTAAAGGCCTGTCCAGGACCCGAGAGTGGCCCCTCTCCAGGCCCAGCCGCGACCTGTGATGTCCAGCCTGAGCCCTTGGGGCACGCAGAGCGCTGTCCCCGGAGCCTGTGGGGCCCTGGAAAGTGGGCAGCATCTCTTCGACGTCCGGAGTGCGGTGCCCAGGCCCAACTTGGGGCCACTGCCACGCTCCGAAACCCCACACAAGGCAAGCACTCAAATCAGGGCAGGTCTGGGGGCCAGGAGCTGTGACCACAAGATTCATTGCCCTTCACCTTTGACCCAAGTCAAAAGTGCTAAGCCAGTTCCAGCCAGCTGGCCCCTCCCCACACAGCCAACAGCACACAAAGGGCTGGGGGTAGCAGCCAGCCAGGGCAGGGCCCCCACCACCGGGAACAGCTGCTGGTGTCCCACCCGTCCCTGCCCCACCTGGGTGGGGGGGGGGGCGCAGAGAGAGACACACCCGGTGCCAGCCCAGGGAGAGCAGAGGGACCGTGGCTCCACCTTAGGACAGCCGGCTGACTCGCTAGGCCCTGGCCCTCCGGGGCTTCGACCACATGAGTCCAGGCCCCAGCTGGCCTCCAGACTGATGCCCCACAGGGCTGAGCCCTGGAGGCCCCCACGGGCCTGACTGGAGTACAGGGTCACTTGGGCAAGTGTGGAGGCAGGGTCCCTGCGGGCCAGAGGCATCTAGCTGCCTCTGGGGACACCTGAACCGCCTGGAGATGGTGGCGTCCACTGGCAGGTAGGTGGCTCAGTGGGCACCTGCACGTCACTTCCTGCGGGAGAAAGGCCGGGTCAGGGCTCAGGCACCAGCACCATAGTCACAGCCAGGAACCCACCCACTCCCACCAGCGCCCACGGCCCCTCACCGGCTGCCACAGAGAAACAGCAGGTTCTGCACGGCAGGGACAGTGGACTGCGTGTTCTGGCCTGTGACGAGGTGGCGGTCCAGCACGACGTGCACTGCGTCGGGCTCACTGGCTGCAGGAGACCCGAGGACACAGGCCTCAGGCACGGCCCCGTGCAGACACGGCCCCAGACCCCCACTGCCCTGTTGGGGCTGCGAGCTCCCTGAGGCTCTCTGGTTGGCAGGGAGGCCAGCCTGCCGGGGTTTCAGAGCGGCAGCCACCGAGGTCTGCGGAGCACTCGGCTCCAGGAGGGTGGCCCGACTGGTGTGTCCCCTGCTGTCCCCTGCCCACACCCACCCAGCTCACCACTGAAGCTCGCGCCTGCGTCCTTCACAAAGTCCTCCACGACCAGGGGCAGGTGGGCGAAGCCTGGGGCCCTGACGAGCTCGTACACGGAGGGCTGCAGGGAGAGGGGTGCCACCTCATGACACGCAGGCCCAACCAGGGCAAGGGGCAGTGGCGGGGGGACAGTGCCTGCCCCATGGGGCTTCCAGGGTGACAAGCCTGCACGGTGGGGGGGGCTCGAGGCTGTCACCCCGGCTCACAGCATCGAGGCCCATGGGAGACCTGAATGAGCCAAACCCCTCGGTGAGTGGAAGGGCTGTGGGCGGGACCCAGGGCCATGTGGCGTGTGGGGCGGGGGTCATGGCCGCAGGAGTTCTGAGGGGCTTCTCCGCTGTGCAGTCCTCACGGGGGCCTGGACCACGGACCAGGCTGCCCCGTGCGGCACCCAGCAGCCAGGGTCCAGTCCTCACCACACAGACCCCCTCCCTGGGTCTGCCCCTGCCTGCTGCGGCTCCCAGCCCGTGACTGCAGAATCGGTCCTGGCTGCCCATCCAACCAATACCCAAACGGAGGCCTGGGTCCCGGTCAGGTACAAACGCCAAGCAAGACTGGACCCCAAGCTTCCCCACCTCCACAGGCAGCTCAGCCAGCCCAGGCTGCGGGGGGCCCCGGAGGCCATCTCTGTGCTCAGCCACAGCTGAACGGGCCTCCCGGGACATCAGCAGGGAGGGGAGGGAGGGGACAGGCGGACACTGCCACCCTGGTGCCACCTGGACAATTGTCACCCTTGCCAGCGGTGACCGTGGGCCCCCACAGGGTCCCTGACGTGCCGGTACTGTCAGGCCCGACTGCCGCCTGTGCCCCGCCGTGAGTCACTCACCCCTGTCACGCTGTAGCCTTGGAACACCCAGGACCTGTCCTCGTTGGTGGCACAGCACAGGGCGGCGACACCGTGGCCAATGGCGCAGATGGGCTCTGAAAGCAGCAGACGGGTGGGGGCTGAGGTCCTGGGCGCCAGCCTGGCCCCGGCCCCTCCCCCACCCCCACCCGCTGCCTCCGGAAGGCTCGGCCCCCAGGACAGCCTCTGCGGCCCAGGCCCAACTCCGCCTGACAGCAAATGCCCGGAGGCACAGACGGTCACTGCTGTCAGCAGCAACCTACCCGGAAACTTCCCTTCTCCTGGCTGCAGCGGCAGTCCCTTCCTCGGGGCCCTGAGGGGCAGTGCCCCCCCCAAGCCCGTCCTGGCTCCGAGCCCCCCACCCAGAAGGCTGCCTGGCACGAGTCCGCTCCCACGGCCGAGGTGCCTGGGAACAGCCGCTGCCTGTCCTGGCGCTGCTGGGACAGAGGCCATTTCTCCCCAACAAAGAACACTGTGTGGAGCCTGGGTTTTTGTCTGCTGGTCCCCAGTGAGCGCCCCGCCCCGCCCAGCAGACACGCTCATCACAGCCGGGGGCTGGCCGGGCATCAGGCCAGGGCCCCACAGAGCGGTCTTTCTCCCAGCCCCCACTGGCTGTGGCCCCGGGCCTGGATACCTCAGAAGAACCGAGGGGGCCAAGCAGAGGGCCCACAGGGGTGCCAACCAAAGGACAGGGCGGGTGCCCCAACCTCACCTGTGGGACAGCTGAGCAAACTTGTCCCCTCTCAGGTCGGATGGCCGAAGCTCTTTACACCCGCAGTGACCGACATTTCCCCTGCAGGACCCCGAGCCCTGCACCCCAGGACTGCTGCCGCCCAACCCCCAAGGCAGGCATCTCCTGCAGCCCGGTCCTGTGGGCACAGCACCCTCCCACCCACTCCCAGGCCCGGGGGCCACCTACTGCTCTCGGAGCGGAAGTGCTGCAGGATGCGGGCCAGCGACCCGCTACTGGCCAGGTCGGCCAGGGCCCCAGGACAGCTGGGAATCAGGAGGGCGTGGTACCGGGCACCTGGGGGCGAACACAGGCCAGTCAGTCCTCTGCTCCTGCCACCAGATGCCACCCTTTGTCACTTTCCCTACCCCAGCTGAAGCCCCCAAAACCCATGCACCATCCTGCCCTCTGCACCTCCAAGTGCCTACCACTTATCCCCCCAGATGGAGCAGAGTGGGGGGCCCCGAGGGAGGGCGGCCATGGCTGCCACGGTGCTCGGCAGCAAGCCCCAGGGAGCTCCAGGAGCAGAGGGAGGGAGCTCCGGTGGCCACAAACCCACCCGAAACCCCACACACCCGGCCCTCCGTGGTTCTGGGCCCTCACCGTCGATGGACTCGAGCTTGGCGGGACTGGCGTAGGCCTTGAGGCGAAAGTCCCGTACCCAACGCGCACTGTTCTCGTTCACATCCACAAAGTCCATGGTCTTCCCCTGCCAGAGCCCCGAGGCCAAAGGTCAGCCAGGATACCCCCTGCTAGCTCTCAGGGATGCTTAGGAACTCTGATGGGGGCTGGGGACCCACGGCAGCCCCTCAGGGACAAAGGTGCCCAACAGCCCAGCCCCCTCACTAGGGCTCAACACACCCTGAGCTCCACCCGTCTCAAACCCACCTGCCCCCTGACAGTCCTCAGTCTCCTGCCTACAGAGCAGGAAGGAGCAACTGCCCCACCCACCCCAGGGGTGACACTGGAAACGTGCAAAATGACAAACGTGACATCACCGCCACCCTCAGAGGGCTGCACACCCTCCCGGCAGAGCCTGTGCCTCCCCCGCTCTCCAGTGCAGACACCGACCCACGGCCCCAAGTTTGACAATGCCAGTGGGGTCCTGGCCCCTCAGAGCAAGCCAGTCCCCTGGGGTCATGGCAGCTGTGGCCTTACCACTTGTCCCAGGAGCAACAGCCTGCTCCTGGCCTCGCCCCAGAAAGGGAGGTGGAGGATTGCAGCTGGACTCACCCCAGGGGTGGCCACCTGTAGGTTGAAGGCAGCGCTGGCTAGTGTGAAGCAGTGATGGAAGGACTGGGCCGACACTCCTGCAAGAGGCACCCCGGGGGGGTGAGCACTGGGCTGACAGCCCCTCCTGCCCGAGGGGCTGCCCGGACCCCCCAGGGTGTCTTCTGGCCCCTCCCAACCCACCCTGGGGTCCTGCCAGCCCTCATCCCCCCAGGGGCTTTCTCCCCAGCCTGCCCCTGGAGACCGTTCTGGAAGGCAGACCCAGTGTGTGGTTCCCTCACACTCAGCTCAGCTGCTGGCTAACCAGCAGAGACTGAGTTCCGCATCAGGCCAGGGAAGGTGACAGTCCAGTCCCACTCCCACCGTGCTTGGCTTGGAGGACGGCAGGGAGCACAGCTCCAGACCTCGGAGGTCGTGGCTCCTGTCACAGGAAGCGGGGTGTGCACACCCCCCCAGGGGCCAGGACACTGTCTCAGCCCCTTCCTCACAAGGGCTCCCTGCCCTCTCCCACCACACCCAGTTGGGAAGGGCAGCTGCTAAGGGCTGTGTTCCCACCAGGGATGGCCACTTGTAAAGAGGCTTGATCCACACCCTTCCTCCTTTATGTTTACCCTGGGACCCAGTCCCTAAACCTTGTTTCTTTTTATCTGCACTTATGAATCAACATGTGTTTGTTCCCTGTAAGAAGTTCACATACAGAGCAAAACAGCCTTTCTAAATCACCCTTGACCTCTTGGGATGCTGCCTTCCCAGCTCCTCCAAACCTTGCTCCTGCACCCCAACCTCCCACCTACTTCATCCCAGGACCCCTGAAGGGACTCTGCAGGGCCCACTGGTCTTGCCCACAGAGCCGAGTGGTCTTTCCAGAGTCGTGGCCCTCCCCCACGTCTTCCACGCCCCCTGCTCCTGGCACAGCCAGGCCAGTGCGACCTGCCCCTAACCACCCCCTCTAACCAGCTGCCTTTGGAGGTAACCATCAACCTGTCTTCCCAGGACTGAACCCCACTCTCAATGGCTCCACCCGCCCCTGAATGCCCCATAGGGGTGAGGGTGGGGGTGTGGGTAGACTCCGGCTGGCCCCTTCTGCCCTGTTCTGGGCACACACCCCTCAGGGCCCCTAGGGGGACCCCTGGGCTCAGCACACTGTGACCCCAGGACCTAGGGTCCTGTTTCCCTACCCCGCTTAAGCAAGTACAGAAGTCGAGCAGACCAGGCTCCAGACGCCCCAGGTCCCAGCCCTGGTCCCCCACCTGCCCCCATATGACCTACGGCTCATCGCTTCCCTCCGGGACCGGGTAAGCACCTGGAAGTGCTCAGAACAGCACCAGGTGCCCTCTGCTCACAACCTCCCTGCACCCACAGGCCCCGAAACAAGAGCTGACGCTGGTAAGACCTGACCCCATGAGCCTCACGTCCGCCTCTGCCGGCCCCTTTGCCACTGGGCAGGGCCGAGGCTCCCTGGCCCACAAGACGGCCCCCCTCCAATCCCTCGTCCTCTTCGGTGTGTGTCAGCGCCAAGGCTATCTGACCCCACGCCTTTCGGAGACCCCACGTCCTGGGGACACCCATTGCCCCTCACCGCGCCCCGGCCTCCCCTGTCCCTTAGGGAGCGACCCCCGGCCCCGGGGTGTTTGCCCCACTCTCCGCGCCGCAGCCCCGGGGTCCGCCGTGGCCCCTCCACGCAAGTCTCACCTTCCGCGGCGCCGCTGGCCACGAGGAGGCAGGCAGGCCTGCTGGGGAGACGCTCGGACGCCATAGGCTCTACTGCAGTCGGGGTAATCCGCGCGCGCGCACAGAGGTGTATGTGTGCGCGCGCGCGCGCACGCCTGGCAGTGGAAACGCCGGTCACGTGCCGCGGAGGCCGGGGGCGGGGCCTGGAGCACGGCAGGGCGCAGGCGCAGTCCTGCCGCCCCGCTCTGCAGGGTTCCCGGCGCCCCCAGCGGAAGTACCCGGGCACCTGTGAGCTGGGATGCGGGGCCGCAGGAGGGCCATGTGGGCCGTCCCCCGCCCGCCCCTGGTTACATTTGGCAACAATTCCTGCCTCTTTCCTCGTCCGTTCTCAGGCAACGAGCGCTTCTTGCGGGCGCCGGGGGAGGGGAGACTTGGGGGTGAACTCCGGGAGGTGAACCCGGAGGGAGGACGCCTGTGCCGTGGACGAGGATCCTTCCCTGTGGACTCAGCAATTGAACCCGCGAGCCCCGGGAGCCGCCCCGGGAGGCTGGGACGGCGCCGACCCCGGGGGGCTCCTGTCCTGGGGTGGGGGCTGCGCCGTGGGTTCAGTCCCTTCCGGGGGTGAGAGGAGAGGCCATGCGGGCAGCACGTCTGAGGAGGCAAAGACTTGGGGGGGAGCCCGCTGAGACTTGGGGCTCCAGGCCGGGGGGTCGTGCGGGTGTCCCCGGAGGTGGGGCCAGGCGGCTGAGGGAAGACAGCCTATCCAGGCTCACGGGGATCCCGCGGAGCCCCTGGAAGAGGGGGTGCCCCTTCCTGAGACAGGGGTTGCCGAGTTAGGTCAGGAAGGTCGACCGGGCTGTGGGGCCGCGTCGGAAGCTGTTTCATCACAGGCTGTCGCAGGGGCGGCCGGCGCTCCTGAAGCCTGGTCTGGAGGGAGGGGAGGCCCCCCGCTGCTGTCAGTGTGGAGGGGCGGCAGTCGGGCTCCCCGAGGTCTGGCCGGCCTCTGCTGACAGGAAACCCCTGTCCTGGGTGGGCGCTACCTAAGCGGACGAATCTAGGCTGTGGCACCTCCCATGGGTGCCCCCTGCCTCCCCAGCTCTGGCTCTGCCCGCCGCCCAGTTCAGCCCCACGCTTCCTGGGGCCCTGACTGCCCCCCCCCCCCACAGAAACACCTTGCCGTCACCTACTGCGGGACCCTCCCACCACCGGGTGAAGCAGCAACTGGGGACTCCGGGCACTGGCAGGGCACCGGCACAGGGGACAGGTGGGAACCTGGTGCCTATGTTGGGTGGGTGGAGACCAGCAGGCCTGCCGTCAGACCACAGACTGGGCCAATAGAGAGCTTTCTGGGTCTAGTGAGGGACCCACTCCCCATGCCCACGGTGCAAGCCCATGGGTGTGTGACCCAGGAGCTGGAGGGGGACTCCAGGGTGCCCCTGCTGGCCCAGCCCCACCCACACCAACCTGGGGTGTCCCTAGAGCTGGCCGGCTGAGCCGCAGGTGCGATCCTCCTGCTGGGGCCTCTAGGAGCCTGCCTCCTTTCTCGTGGGGACTCATTAAGTCCTTTCTCTGTCTCCAAGGAAGGGGATGGAGGAGGAAGCCAGGCCAGCAGTACCTGTGGCGAGGCCAGCGTGTGCAGGTGTACCCCGTGCACCTGGGGTCTCGCCCCAGTCCAGGTCCCCAGCGTGGGCGTCATCCTCGGTCTGCGTCTCCCGCGTGTACATGGCCTCCCCCCAGGTCGGTGCGTGTGAAGGTGCCACCAGCTCCTGTGACAGTGCAGCCCTTCATGGCAGTCAGTGCTGCTGGACCTCCAGTGTCAGTCACTGCTTTCCTGGAGATGCCACCCTTTCCTGAGCACACCTGGCCAGACGCCAGACCGAGGTGCCCAAGGGCACCATGGCAAGTCTGGGATGCAGGGAGCCCCTATCTGCCCAGCCCTGGGACCAGGTGTGAGACTGGGGAGGGGGTTGGGTGGGGGCAGCAGGAGACCCGGGGGTCGGAGGCCTGGCCTGGCAGCCAGGGAGCGGGTCTGGCGCAGTGAGTGACCCGCTACCTCTGCCTCAGGAGCAGAGAGCTTCTGGAGCACCACCAGCCCACGCCCATATCTGGGGAAGGGTGGGGTCCCCCAGGCATGACAAGTGCACTCCAGTGTGGGGTCCCCAGAGGAGTTGCACACTGTTGGGGATAGGAGGGGTGCTAGAAAGGAAAACAAAGCGGCCCCCACACATGCCCCCTCTTCACCCCTGTACAGGGTGCCTGTGCCCTTCAGAGCCCACCTGTGACATGACAGCAACATGGGGACAGGGACCTAAGGCACCAGTGCTCAGAATGGGAAGGCCAAGAGCAGAGGTCTCCGGGAGCCCACATGGAGCCCCCGGTGGGGGTGAGCAGGGCTGCGCTTGGCAGGGTTCTTATTAGCCTGTTCTCATTTACTGCGTGCAGTTTTTACACCCTGAATCTTTTTGTGTCTGGTGTTTTCTTTATAACATTAAAGTTCTGTTGTAAAAATAATTTAAAAGCGCATTGGGGGCCCCTGAGAGTTCTTCATATCGGACAGCCCCCCCCCCCAATTCCTGACGTTGAGGGAGTCGGCGACAGGCTGAGCATCAGGGCCCAGGGCCTCGGCTCGTTGATTCGACCGTGGCCGTGAGGAGATGCCAGGACCTGAGTGTGTAGGACAAAGCCACAGGCGTCAACATAGCGTGGCCTTGGGATCGTCCCCCTCCCGAGGCTGGACCAGCGGACCTGCCTATGGAAGGGGAATAACTGATCTCTGCACACAAAACCTGGCGTCCGGATGGACTGCAGGCCCAAACGTGGGCCGGTGACGAGAGTACTAGATAGAAACATCCAGCCAGGCCTCCGGGAGCTCACATGGTCCAAGGAACACAGTGGCTCGGGACAGACTCGGAGCTTCCGCAGTGAGGGCAGAAGGCAGGCGAGCCGGGGAGAGGTGGCGTCTCTGGTGCTGCAGCCGCTCTGTGCACACGGCCTGTGGAGTCCTGCCCAAGAGTTAGAGCAGCCACTCCTTCTGAGGAAAAGGGACAGATGGCACCAGCAGGAAGAGACACAGAAGGCAAACCCCAAGTGTCCCAGACCCCTGGGAAGTGGAGCTCGGTCGGTGCAAAGGAGAAAACCAGGAGGACGGCCGTCCCCACGCCCTTCGTCCCTGGGGCGAGGGCAGTGGCACCCTCGTGGCTGCCCCCCAGGATCCAGCCGGGCAGCCAAGTCAGGCACAGTGCAGGGCCCTCGGCCCCACGTCCAGGTGTGCACCCAAGACACATGCCCCTGTGTCTCGCCCACCGCAGTGCAAGGCACGGCTGCACAGCGGTGGGAGCAGCCGTGTCCACGGACGGAGGACGGCACACGAAGTGTGGTTCCCACACGCAAGGAAGCAGCATTCGGCCTTAAAGAGGTAGGCACTCCTGAGACCTCCCACGTGGAGAAGACCTGGGGTGGTTATGCCGTGTGAAGGCAGGCTTCCACCTGCGAGGCCCCTGGAGGACTCAGGTGCACAGACACAAAGGGCCGTGGGGGGGGCATTTGGAGGCACAGTTTGTTTGGCAAAACGAAGAGCGCTCTGGAAATGGCGGCAGTGGCGGCTGCACAACCGTGTGAAGGCGTCCAATGCCCTGTGCATTTAAAAGGCTAAATTAAAAAGCGTGTGTGGCCCTGGCCAGGTGGCTCAGTTGGTTGGAGCGCCGGCCCGATGGGCCAAGGTTGTAGGTTCGGGTCCCTACAAGGAGCAAACAAGGGATGTTTTTTGTTTTTAAGATATTTTATTTATTTATCTTTAGAGGGGAAGGGAAGGAGAGAGGGAGAGAAGCATCAATGTATGGTTGCCTTTTGTGCATCCCCTGCTGGGAACTGGCCTGCAGGGAACCAGCCTGCAACCCAGGCATGTGCCCTGACTGGGAATCGAACCGCGGTTGTCTGGTTCGCAGGCCCGCGCTCAATCCACTGAGCTACACCAGCCTGGGGGGATGTTTGAATGAAGCAAACTGATGCCTCTCTCCTGCCCCCTGCTCTCCCTCCGTCTCTAAAATCAACACGTAGAAAGCTTCCAGCACGTGCACGGCACCGGCACACAGAAGACACAGGGCACAAAGGCCATTCCAGGGACTCTGGTGGCTGCTGTAGCTGTGCCTGAAGTCACAAAGGATCTGCGAGGGCCTCAGCACACGTTCACAGGGTCATGAAGCAGGAGGTGGCCTCCTGGGTGGGAGGTCACAGTGCTCTTTGGACCGGCAGCGCCCCGCCTCCCAGTCACCGCTGCTCCCCCGCCCCCAGGTCTCCTAGAAGGGTCGGTGGGGTCAGTCGGTCAGTTGTTTGGTTTTTGAGGTTGTGGGAGAGGGGACTGGACTGCAGGTGATGGCAAGGGACTCCAGCTGGGCTGAGTGACAGCCCTGGGGCCTGGGGGGAGGGGAGGTGGGACGGCCGCCAAGGTCAGGCCTGTGCGGTTTGGCCGAGGCTCAGGGTAGCAGGAGCAGGTGGGCAGTGGCGGGCGGGAGGCCACCGCAGGGGCCGCCTGGGCGAGGGGTTGGGTCGGCTGTGGATGTTCAGGACCTGATCGGGGTCTGACCGGGCCCCTCTGCAGGGGGGGCCTGTGGAGGGCCTGGAGGGAAGGGTGTGCCCCGGTCCCATCCGCAGAGGATTTGGGGAGTGACACCCACAGCAGGGGCAGCTCAGTGGACTGACTGGGCGCCAGCCTGCGAACCAAAGGGTTGTCAGTTTGATTCCCAGTCAGGGCACAGGCCTGGGTTGTGGGCCCCCAGTTAGGGGTGAGAGGCAGCCACGCACCGATGCTTCTCTCCCTCTCTTTCTCTTTCCCTTCTCCTCGCTCCAAAAATAAGTAAATCTCTTTTTTTAATAAAAGAAAAGCCCACAGCAGAGCTTGTGGGGTGTGGCGGCCTTGCTCTCCCAGCCCAGGCCCCAACAGCCTGCCCACACCACGGGGCGGTGACAAGAGGGGAACCTCTCCACCCCTGGATGCAGCTCCTCTGTGCCCCGTGCCCAGGGTGGGCGGCTCACTGAAGAGAGACGCGTAGAAAGGCCCCGCCCCCTGCCTCAGCGGGAGGGGCCGGCCTGAGGAACCCGGTCCCCCTCTCCCACCCTGTGCGCTGTGGCCAGCAGCCGGGGCCTGAGGGGGTGTCCATCTTGGTCAGGTGGCAGAAAGGCCTGGCTGCGTTTGCCTGGGGTAGAGCAGGCCCAGAGGGAGCAGTGAGGAGAGGCCACCAGGGTCAAGGGCATGGAGGTGGCAGGGGAGGACCAGGGGGTGTGCGTGTGGCCCCCACCCTGATGGGGGGCCCTTGGCCCCCCCAACCGTGAGCAGGTGAGGACGCCAGCCCAGCCTTTGGACGAGAGTTTATTGTAGACTTGGCCTCCACTCAGGCCCAGGGTTCCTGTGGCCGGCTGGCCGGGCGAGGGCACGTCCGCTTCCCCGCCCTGCCCACCGCCACCATGCTGAGGGCCACTCGGGGACCAGACGCTCTGGTCCCACTGCAGGCACAGCAGGCAGTAAACCTGGGTGACAGTCACCAAGTGCTTCTACTCTACCTGTTATTGCATTTATACGCTTGTTGGACTTAGAGGATGCTGGGTGAGGCAGGAGAGGCGTCTGGGGGCTTCTTTGGGGGCAAGGTAGACACAGCTGCAGGGTAGGTCCCCGATATCCACACCCGCACCTCCCCCCACGCCGGCCGGTCAGCTGCCCCCAGCCTCCGGACCTCCCCTTAGGCACAAGCTGGAAGGTTGACCAGGGAGCCCCCCCAGAGACTGGCCTTGGCGCTGTCTGTCTGCCCGGCTGGGGTGTGGGGGAGGCGGAGGTGGCGGGGAAGCCTCGGGTCAGTCCCCGGCAGGCCCACCCAGACAGACCCCCACGCCCCACCCCCAGCTGCACCCAAAGAGCAGGAGAGGGGAAAGTGAACCAGCCACACCCTTTAATGTCCCTGAAGGGCTGGGCCCAGGGCAGAGCCCACCCGGGACATGTCAGCCTCGGGGTTCCCTCCTGCCCTGGGGGCTTGTCACGAAGCTGCTGCCAGGAAGCCCACAGGGCCACTGAGGCCCCTTGGGGCAGGCTGGCACAGTGATCAGTGGTCGGGTGGGCCACCCTCAGGGTCCAGCCTGCCCACTGCCCCCAGGAACCACGGCCCTGAGCCCTCTGCCTGACGTCGAAGCTCCGCCCTGTGCTGCTCAGCGCCCCTGGAGCCCCGGCTGCTTCTGCCTGGCAGGGGGCAGGGGGCATTGGGGGCCAGCCAAGGGGGCTGGACTTCCACGGCCAGGGTGCGGTCCACCTCTCCCTCTGCGCGTCTGTGGGGTGTTGGTATGTGTGTTTCTCACGTAGGACAGATAGCTAGCTGTGAGTGGATTCGCATGCACAAGATCCCCAAGGTCTGTACAGGGCGTGGCTGGGCCTCCGCCTGGGTGCCAGCCCTCATTTTTTCCGGACCAGGAAGACCACACCCAGAATCAGGGCTGCGGCTGCCACAGCCACGCCCCCAGCCACCAGCAAGGGGGTCAAGTTCTCGAAGGGGCAGGGACCACGGCCCCCGGGGCCCCCACTGGGGGCCTGGTCCTCCTCAGCCCCGTCTCCAGGGCCCTTGGGCTCTGGGGATGGATGGGGGCTGCCGGGGGCCACAGGGGCTGGCTTCAGGTTGCTGTGGTTGTTGAGAAGGGCAGGGTCTGCCTTGGCCGAGGTCTTCTTGGTAGGTGGTGGGGTGGGGGCCGCCGGGGGCTCCTGCTTCTCCACCTGGGCCTCCTTCTTCCCGGGCTTGGCCGAGGGGGCTTTCCCGTCTGCAGCCGGGGGGCCTCTGACCTCAGCAGCAGCCTGGGCCACCTTGGTGTCGGGCTTGGGGCTGCTGGTCGACTTCCCTCTGGACTCCATGACGGCTGTGCTGGCTGCGTGGGGCGTGTGGGCGGGCGGCGGCGGCGGCGGCTGGACCACAGCAGCTCAGGAAGGCTCAGCCCTGGGCGTTACATGGACCTGGAGGGACAGAGGGAGGGGATCCTGTGCAGCCCCCACCGGTCCCCACAGAGACACCGCCCAGCCCTCCTGCTCCGCGTCCTCCTCCTCCAGGGCCCAGCCCCCACTGGTCTGCAGCTACTCCCTGAGAAGCCCCCAGCCACGCAGGCAGGGGCCGTGGACTCCACGTGGGCAGGGGGACGGGGACGAGACCGGCCAGAGGCCACTGTTTCCTTGTCTACAACATGGTCTTGCCTTCACCGGCACTGTGTCCGTGACACACTGGCCCCAGGTAGGGAGGCCCTGACGGGCACGAGAGCCCACCCAGCCCAGAGAAGGGCGTTCGGTCAGGGGAGATGGACCGCAGTCAGGGTGGGCCTGGGCAGAGCCGACTGCATATCCCCCCCAGAGGGGGCTGTGTCCAAGTGGAGGAGGCAGGGCAGGAGCCTGGGCCCAAGGCCACCGGGACCTGAATGTAAAACGCCTGAGGTGTCTCCCCAGAGGCTGGAGAGGCCAGGAGGGCGGTGTCGGGCCTGTGCTTCCGGGCAGCGAGTCCACCCTGGCGCCCACCCCCAGCACCGTCCTCACTTGCCCCAGCTCAAGGGCAGGGTGCCCTTCCTGCGCCAGAGGCTGCACCTGCCTCTATGGGCAGAGGGGTGGCTGCGTTAGCCTGGGGTGGGCAGAGGATGGGGGTCCCGGCTGTGGGGAAGGCCTGGCCCCATCCTTAATGCCAGGGTCGGGTGAAGGCGGGCAGACTGGGCTCCTACCCACCCTGGGCCGGAGCCCGCTCTCCCTGCAGACCTAGGTCTGTCCGCCTCTCCCCTGGGAGGGCAGGAAACCCCACCTGCAGTGCCAGAGAGGGGGCCGTGGCCACTCGGGTTCCTCACCGGGGCCAGGGACACTAACCACACAGAAGGTCGCCTGAAGGTCACAGCACGATGGGGGTATCCCAGCGAGGGCCTGGCTACTGCCCCACTTCCCAGAGAGCCCCAGCAGCCGCCCCCACCCCCGCCCGCCCGCTGTTCAGGAGGGGCACCCAGCAACTGGGAATGGTTTGCAAAGGGCAGGTGGTCTGCTTCCCCCACTTGCTCTCGGTTATTTTTAGCTCGCACTGACGTCACCCGGCAGCTCCTTCCCCGCCCCCCGGGCCACTGTGCCCAGGAGAGTGATGACCTTCAAGGCAGGGAACCGCTACTGTGCCCTGCGGGCCCCAGTGCCCCTATCCCGCCCCGGCCCCAGGCCAAGGAACCCCGGCCGCCTTACGCTGCTGCTCCGGGGGCTCCCAGCTCGGCGCTGCGTGCTGCGCTCTCTGTGGGGTCGCAGCGGCGGGCGGTGGCTGCAGATGCAAGTCCGAGAGTTTCCCACAATGCAGTGCTTCTGCGCGGGGCCTTGGGGGTGGGACCGCACAGGCGCAGGCTCCGCCCTCCCTCCTGCAGCGAGGGTGCTCAGATCGCGGGGCAGGTGGGACCCAAGCCCAGCTCCGATTTTAGCCCGAAGGTGGTTCAGGTCAGGCCGTGAGGGTCTCCCGCCGCCTTCCCACAGCCCCCGCCCAGAACGCGAGGGAGTCCGCAATGGTTCCCCCCAGACCCCTGCAGTGCAGGCAGTGGGCACAGCGCTTCCCTCTGGCACCCCCCCTCCCAGGCTCTTAAGGGAGTCTCACAAAGCAGGCTTCTACTTAGAATATTTATTTCTCTTCTTACACAACAAGACACAAAGAGTCACTTCTTCAAACTCGTCCAAAGGAAAAAAATATAAATCTGTAAGCAGCAGCAGCAGCTTCCAGGGTACAGATGTGATGGGGACAACCGTGAGCTGGGGGCTAAGCCTTAGCCCCAGGTAGTGTCGCTGGGAAAGGGCCTCCTTGGGGAGGCCTGGGACGGGGACACAGCACCAGCACATCGGGACCAGTCACCAACACGATCACGTGGCAGGGGGCGGCAGGGCGGCAGGAGCCTGCCTCGGTTCACACGGTTCACACAGTCGGGCCTGGAGATCCAGAGGGCAGAGTGTGGTCAGGGGCTCTGTGCAGAGGCCCAGGGAGCGGGGTGGACCCTGAAGGGGCAGCTCCTAGCCCTGCACCCCTGCAGGCAGAGCAGGTGGCCCCAGGCTCCATAGGGGTCTTGGTGCTTGTCCTTCCCCTGACTAATGTCAGACCCGGGGTACAGGCCTCAGAAAAGGAGCCAGAGGGGAGAAACAAATTTCTGGACAGGGTCAGTGGGGAGCCTGGGGTGCGCATGTGCGCTGGCTCTGGCTCTCTCTCTCTCTCTCTCTCTCTCTCTCTCTCTCTCTCTCTCCACACACACACACACACACACACACACACACACACACACACACACACACACACACACACACACACAGGCTGCCTGACCACGTGGGCAGGAAGGGCAGCAGCCCCCTATCGGAGTCAGGCCAGCTGAAGGCCACAACCTCCACACAGCACTTGCACATGCCGACACTCTGGGCCCCCAGCCTGGGGTGGGGGTTCCCTGGGAGTCAGCCTGGGATAACTGGCTCAAGATGGGGGGCAGGAGACCCCGACTCTCCTGCAGGGTGGGCCAAGGCAAGAGGAGCAGCAGCGGGGAGGCTGGACGGAGGCTGGAGAGCCACTTGTGCTCAGCAAGTTAATAAATAGGTTTGTGCAGGGTCCCCCTTGTGGGCGAGGGGCCGTGCCTGGGGACAGGCCGGCAGCCTGGAGGGGAGGGCCCATCCTGCCCAGCCCGCACCTGGGAGCCCCCGGCTCAGAGACCAGCTCCCCCTGGGGCGTGCAGGCCAGGCTGGAGCTGGGGCAGGGCTGGCTCCAGGAATGTAGAGATTTCTGTGTTTTCCAGGTAAATGATACATTGATCCCAGCAGTTGTGCAGGCAGGGCCCCCCGGTCTGAGTGGGTGGGCCCTGCCCCCTCCTCCACCTCCCCCATCCGTGTGGGAGGCGCAGGGGAGACTCCCCCCTCGCTGGGCCCTGAGCAGCCGCCCCAGCCTCAGCCCCGCTCTGGTCCTGCTCGGTGTGGGCTCAGGGCTGGGGGCGCTGCAGCAGCTCCAGCAGGGTCTCAGCGATGCCCAGGAAGTAGACCACCTGCGCGATGCCAAACAGCGGGGCGATGACCAGGGCCCGGCAGTAGGCACCCTTCAGGAAGGCCGAGGGGCCCTCATTCCGCAGAATCTTCCTGTGGAGAAGCAGGAGTCAGAGCTGGCGCTCCCTCCCCAGCACCCGCCTCCGAGGGGCCTCTCCCACCTGGCGCAGTCCAGGAACCCTGAGTAGGTGTCTTCGTGGACCCCGCGCTGCAGGGACTGGAGCCGCGTCTTCACAACTGCAGGGAGGCGTGAGGTCAGCGTGGGGGTCTGCACACCTCCACCCCCACCCCGAAGCCCCCAAGCCCAGCTGGATCTGGCCTGCCCACTGACCGTCGCAGGGGTTGACAGCCACGGCGGCCGCACTGCCAGCCACACAGCCTGCCAGGAAGGACACGTAGAAGGGGGACTTCTCCCCAGAGGCCGGCTGGCCCAGCTGGTTCAGGTTGGCGAAGAGGGGGAAGTAGACGATGGAGAAGGGGACGTCCCTGTTGGGGGGGCGGTGGTGACCGGGAGGTGTGGGTGGGCGGGCCTCCCTCCTCCCTCCTCCCGCCCTCCCCGACCCCCCACCTGAGCAGGGTGGCCCCCAGGCCCTTGTAGAGGCCAGCAACACCATGGGTCCGGAGCAGGTCACGAGTAAGCTGGGTGGCCGTGGGCCGGGGGGAGGCGGGGGCTTCCACCGAGGGCTGGGCGCCGCCCTGTGTTGAGAACTGAGCCTGGGCAGCCAGGAGCTTTTTCTGGGCAGCTGGGGAGAAAGGGGACAGGCCTGCTGTCTCTCCCTCCAAGTGTGAGGTAGGGGCAGGGGACAGAGGCAGGCCAATGCACCCCTCCCCGGTGCCGCACCCCCACCCTCTCACCGATGCGGCCTGCGTCCTGAAGCTGGATCTTCAGCATCTCCATGGGCGTGGTCACGATCACCTGGCAGGTGCCGGCCCCACAGCCCGCCAGCATCTCCTTAAACAGGGTCAGCTTCTGCCTGCGGCAGAGGGTGTGGGAGTCAGAGGCCCCCCCCTCCCCCTGCTGCCCAGGGAGCGCCTGGGGTGGGGGTGGGAGCAGTGGAGGCAGAGGCAGCCCTGTGGGGGCGCAGCACCCTCCAGCCTTGGACACCCCGCCAGGCCGCCCAGCAAGGGTGCTGAGCCCGGCAGACTGGTGGCTGCACGGCCGGATGGGAAGACAGCCGCACTCGGGCAAAGACAAATCGAGAAGCCGCGGGGGCTCGAGTGCCCCCACCCTCTGGTGGCAGAGGGAAGCCGGTCGGCGCCGCCAACCCCAGCCTGGGAGGGGTGGCCCAGGGCCAAGGAGGACGGGCAGGGGGCGGGATGGGGGGGCCTGGAGTCAGCATCTACCTCACTCCTCCCAGTGCCAGGGGTTGGGGGGGCCGTGCAGGAAGGACAGAGGACGAGGATGGGAGAGGGGCAGCAGCAGGAAAGGGAGGCCCTGCGAGGTCAAGGTGATGGGGGGGCAGAGCCTGGGCCCTTCGTGTGGAGGCACAGACCCCTCCCCCCTGCAAGTTGCCAGGGCCAAACCCCTCACCCGTCCTTGGAGAGCTGATAGCGGAAGAAGTCATTGGCTGCCAGCTTGATGGCCTTCTCCGGCGTGACGAGGGTCAGGTTCACGGCAGCTCCTGTGGGGTAGCAGCAGGAGGGGCTGGAGGATCGGCGCTGGGGAGGCTCTCGGCCAGCACTGGCTTCCCGGCGGGCACGGCTCTGCCCCGCCGATCCTTGGCCACAGCCTCCTGCCCTCTCACCCACATTGGTGCCAGGTGGGGCGGGGCCCAGGCCGGAACAGGGGCATCGCAGCCTCCAGGCTCACCCTCCCCGAGTGGGTCTCCGAGGTGGCCCCCCAGGGAGCCTCCCCTGGGGGACAGAAAGGACTCACAATGGTGGGGGCGCTGGGTGAGAAGGCGCCAGTGCACAAACTGCGTCTAGCTGGGTGGGCCGAGTGGGGGGTGCGCGGGGGAGGCAAGCCCCTCTTGGCAGGCAGGGATCAGGGTTGCTCAGCATCTGGGCAAATCCGGGCTTGGGGACTATCTAAGCAGCTTCCCTTCATGCTCCACCCCCTCCCAGTCTTCCAGCACAGACGGGGCCTGCCTGTCCCAGAAGCCAGGGAGGGGCTGCAGGCCCTGTGGGAAGGGCCCAGTGTCCTGCCGCCCCGGGCGCTGGCAGCAAGTGAGGGCCTGGGGGTGCCCAGGACGGGTGGGGTACTGAGGACTGCCACTCCCCAGAGATCCCACCCTGTCTCCCGCCAGCCCCTGCTCCAGCACCCAGGCCTACGGGCCGGCCCCGCCCTCCCCCTACCCCCCAGCCACTTCGTCGGCAGTCGCTACCAGCCCTGCCCGGCCCAGAGCCTCACCTCGGTACATGCCGAAGTAACCCTCTGAGCGGATGGTCTTGACGAGGCAGTCGGACCTGTGGCCACGGGGCGGGGTGAGGTGGGGGCCATCCCGGGGTGGCAAGGGCCCCCACCCTGCCCCAGGTAGGGGTGCCCCGAGGCCTTCCCTCCTTCAGTCGCTTTTGTTAAGGGGGGTGCACGGGAACAGGGCTCAGAGGCCTGCGCCTGCCCCGCTCCCGCCGCCCCCACGTCACGTGTTTCGCGTCCCCTGCCCGCCGGGCGCACTCACATGCTGCTGTACATGCGCTGGCCATTCTGCTGGTTCTGCAGCCTCGTCTTGGCCAGGTCGATGGGAAACACGCAGGTGACCCCGATCAGCCCCGCGATGCCGCCATTGATGAGCTTGGCTGGCAGACTGTGGGTGGAGGGAGGGTCAGCACCTCGGGCTCCTCGGCTGCAGGGCAGGGGGCAGGTGGGGCCGAGGCGAGGGCAGGGTCGCACTCTGACCTGATCTGCTTGTCAGCCATGTAGCTGGGCGCACCCAGGCCCGAGGGCAGCGGAGGCCAGCCGGTGCGGGTGGGAGAGGAGGGTGGGACAGGGTGGGGAGGGTGGTCCGCCACCTGCTGGGAATTTCAAAAGCACCTTCTGTCCTAGAAGGAAGAGGGGACTAGAATCAGTGGGGGAGGGCGGACCACTGAGGCTCCCCAAAGCCCCCCTAAGTCTCGTGAGGGGCACTGCGCGTCAGCCTGTCCCGGGGTGCAGCTGTGGGGAGGTGCTGGCCACGCGGAGTCCCCTCGAGGGCCCCCCATGGTGGTGTCCTCCCGGCACCCTGCTCACACTCACGCTCACGTGCACGCAGAGTGCCATCTTTAAAGGGCCAGGCGCGGGGTGGGGGGGGCAGGGGCTGGCGGGAAGGGACAGTCCGCCAGCTGGGTCAGCTACCTCAACCCAGGGCTGGGCTGCAGTGACTGCCCATCCCTGAGCAAAGGTGCCTCCGCACTGGACCCCTGGACACCCCTTCCCCAGGAGAGCACCCTCTGGCCCACACACAGACCTGCCCCCATCCCTCTCTGCATCTGTCCCAGGAATTTCATTCCCAGACGGACACACACAAGACCCCACCGACCACGACCTCTGGAGGCTTCAGGGGTGTGTCAGGTGAAGGGGAGAGGCGGCGGGGAGGAGGCCAGCTCACCCTGCGAGGCTCCCTGTGGTTCATCTCCACCATCCGCTCTGGGCTGGAGGCAGAGGGGACCCCTCTCACCAGAGGCCGGGCTCACGAGCCACAGCCAACCCAAGGAGCCAATCACGGGGGACACATCCAAAAATAATGAGCCGTGGGGGCCACCCAGAGTCCACCTGTCACTGGCCTGCACCCACAGAGCTGCCACCTTGTCACCGGCCAGCTCACCCCGGGGTCCCTCCCGGCACTGGCGACCTTCACCATAGCTCTCCCAGGTCAGGCTGGCCCCGGACCACCCAGCACGACCTCCACCCCCACGCTGTCCCCGCCTCCGCTCAACTGCCCCATCCGGTTGCCCCCCCCCCCTCACCGGAGGCTTGGGCCGTCTGTTCACCGGAGGCGCAGAGCCCTCTCTCCGAATCTCTGAGACCGCAGCCTCCGGCTCACAGAGGAGCTCTAGTGGCTGAGGGATGTGCCAGCCACTCGGATTGGCCTCCGGGCGGGGAGGGTGGGCTGGGGGGAGGGACTTTCTCTTTCACACTGGGCGGGCGAGCTGAGGCTCCCTGCAGCTGCCGGAGCTCGAGCCCAGCCGGGGTGAGAATGGGCGTGACAGCTTCTGGGAGGCAGGGCCAGGCCACCCTGCCGCCTCAGCCCGCAGGGCAAGTGGGTCTGGGATGGGCTGACCCAGCCCAGCCAGGCCCTCGGCCCACGGGGATGCCAGCCCCCGGCCACCAAGACCTGGGATGCCCTGTGGGCTCCTGTGTGCAGTTTGCAGGCCGGCTCCGGCTAGGGCCCTGGTTCCCCAAGGACAGGGCCTCTGCTGGGGAGTGGGTATGGGGAGGGATCTGAGCCCCTGAGTGTCTGTGGGACCTGTGTGGCCGCTGGGGCGGTGCACTTCGGGGAGACCTGGCACTGGAGCAGAGGGAAGGCCGGCAAGGAGTGACTTGGTCTCAGAGGCCACTGGCTGCCACGCACAGGCCTGCTCACCTGGCAGGTCCAGAGGTCACGGAACAGGCACTCGGGGGCCCACTGCCCGCCCAAGCCCCCGACCCCACCCCACCCCACCCCACCCCCATCACACACACCCAAGGCCAAGAACCTGCGACCTACTTCTCTGCGCCCCAGCCCACAAAGAAGAGTCTGACCTCTGAATCTCGCCCTGACCGCTTCCCCCCCACCCCCACCCCCAGGGGCACACTGGTCACGGACAGCTCTCTCTGCTGCCCCAGACCCTCTGGTGGGAGGGATCGGGACCCCAGCTCCCAGGCCTCGCCCTGCCTGCTGGGGGCACAGTGAGCCCTCCCACCTGGGCACGCCCAGACCCCACCTCTGGTCTGGGGGCGGGACACCCAGTGATGGGGGTCCCAGAAGTCAGAGAGACCACCTAAGGTGGGGAGAGGCAGGTCCAGAGGCCCGCAGACCCCGAGCCTGAGAAGGCAGCATGGGGTCCAGTGTCTCAGGCTGCGGGGTGAGCAGGGAGGGTGGGGGTCAGGGGCTCTGTCTTGGACTGGAGAGGGTTCCCTGCACTGGGAACCCCCCTTTTGTGGTCTGCGTTCGGGGGTTCCCACTCCCGCTCATGCTTATGAGGCAGCCGTGGAGGGCCCTGCCCAGCACCCCACGTTGCCATGGAAGCCTCAGCCAGGCCCAGAACTGGCGACTGGCCACCCGTCTCCCCAACCAGGTGAAGGATGGCAGGCGAGCTGCGGACCATTCTTCTGTTTCCAGACCCCGAAGTAAAATCTCCTACAAGTGAAGCCCTGAGCTCCCCAACCCTGAAGAAGGTCAGACGGTCCCCCTTACATCCGCACCTGTCCCTCCCCCCTGAGGCAGTTTTTGGGACCGTAGGCTCCGCCCGTCTGGGGGCGGCTCGCTCTCTGTCCTGCTGGACAGGTCCGAACTGGCCCCAGACGGCCATGCTGTCCCTCACCAGGCGATGGCGACTCCAGCCACGCACGTGTCCACACACGTCCGGCAGATTCCCACGTGTGCCAACCCCCCCTCCACTGGGCCTGCGTGCCCAGAGCTTTGGCCCTGCGGAGCAACCACCGCACGGGGACACGTGTGCGTGGGGAGCGCGCCCGCCACCACCTCGGCCGAGAGCAGTCTCCCCCACCCCCGCGGCAGCGGATCCAAGCATCGCCTGCTGGGGGCCCACCAGAGCCACCTGGTCTGGGCAGCTGTCACCTCCCCGGGCGGCTTCCGCGCCCCTCTCCCGCAGCCGGAGGCACTCGGATGGGCCCAGGGCAAGGGGGCGGCCTCTGGGCACTCACCACTCCGCCGCCGCCTCCTCCGCCGCCGCGCTCGCCTCCCTGACGCCGCGCCGGGCTGCCAAAGTGCGTCCGCGCCGCCGAGAGAGCTCCACCCCTAGTCCGTGGCAGCGCACGGGCTCCGGCTCCCCCTCCCGGCCGGGCACCGCCACTGCTCCCGCCTGGGCCACAAGCTGCGCTAGCCCGTGCCCTGACCCACCCCTCGGTCTCCCCATGGTGTCCCTGCGTGGGTGGGGACCAGAGGATGAGCCCCGTTTGCCAGTGGGTGGTCGGCAGCGCGTGGACCAGGGAGTCAGTGCTACGGGAGAGGCGATCAGGCCTCACAGTGCTCGGAGGGGCAGTGGCTGTACCAGCCAACCGGGCAGATGCACAGTGGTGCACACAGGTGACTTTGTATCCAAGATGCTACAGATGTTACTTTGTGGCCGGGGCTCCTCTCCCTCCCAGAAGACCAGGACCAACAGGAGGTGCTGGGCACACACGAGGGGAGGCGCAGGGAGGTAAGTGTGCAAGGGCTTTTCCCTGAAGGAGCCTCTGAGCTCCACCCAACAAACAAACCAGCTCTGAGACAGCAGCCAGAACAGAGTCATGTTTGTTACACACAGGTCACTGTCCCCACACATGAGGAAGGCTTAAAAGTGGGGACCTCGGAGCACCAACCAGGACACAGGGCCGGCCAGCCCCAGGCCGGCAGGGTCTGTCTAGGCCTGTGCAGGCTCCGGGGTCTGTGGGGTGCAAGGCCCAGGTGGGGCCAGGTCCCTGGGGGCCAGGCTTGTGCGACGGATGCCATCCTGATACTTGTGGCGGCCAAGCTCCAAGATAGCCCGCACCTCTTCGGCCACATCCCTCCGGTCACTCTGCTCCAGGGCCTGCACCAGGAGCCCCACGGCCCCCGGCTGTCCAGCCTGGCGCTCAGCCCAGGAGAAGAGCATGTGGCGGATCTGCCCGTCCAGGTCGGACCTGGGAAGAAGGGGCTCCGTGACCGAGAGGCCTAGCCCAGGACCACCTGCACACTCGGGGACGGGCCCGCCCTCCCAGGGCAGGCGTCCTGCTCCCCGGGCCAGGTGCGGCCAGACCATCCGTTCCCTACCTGTCTGCCCCGCCCCACCCGCCCCGAGGGAACGTCAGCCAGCCTCCGCACAGACCCTCCAGGCAGCGGGGGCCCAGGCCTGAGCGGGAGGCTGGAAGGAACCCACCGGAACTCATGTCGGATGCGCTGCAGCTCCTGGTAGGACAGGCCCAGGTGCAGGGCCACAGCCGGCCAGTCAGGGCCCAGGCGCCCGGCCAGGTTCAGCAGGTTGCTCTGGGTCAGGAAGCCCGTCTCTGCATCGCCCAGGTTCAGAGGGGCCAGGGCAAGGCCGGCCCCCTGGGGTGGGCCCTCGGACCTGTGCAGTCTCTGTGGGAGGGGTAGGTGCAGCCAGCCTGGGCCCCGCCCCCGCTCCGGCCCTGCCGCCCGGCCCGCTCATCCACCTGCCCTGGGCCTCACCGGCAGCTTGATGGGCAGAGTGGCCATCCACAGGGCGTCCGCGCCCTTCCTCAGCCGGGCTGCCTCGGCCTCCTCAGGCACCTCCTCGGGCACGGCTCCCCGGTAGAAGGACACCTGGGCGGGGTGAGACGGGGTCAGTGCCCGGCCTCCACACAGGCAGCCCGGGGGCCCGGCCCCGTCGGCCCACCTGGCCCCTCACGGCCTGCGCCTGCCGGTCCAGGGTGGTGGTCACGTACACCTCCTTCACGTTCTTCAGGTGCGAGTAGAACACGAAGCACACTCTGCCCTGCACGCAGTCTGGGCGGTCTGGGGGTGGGGGCGGGCTCAGCTGGGCGCCGGGGGGCCGGCCCCCGGGCCCCCCTCCAGGAGCAGGGCCCTACCGGCATCCACGTCGATGCCTCTCTCAAAGGCGGCAAAGAATTTCTCGCCTTCGAACATCTCCACGGTGTCGGAGGGCTCGGGGCCCCGGTACCGCTCCAGCAGCCGCCGCAGGGTGGCATCCACCTGGGGGCACCCTCCTGCTCAGAGCCCGACACCCGGCAGCCCCCGCGCACGGCCCTCCCGGCTCCCCGGCCCCACCTTGTTGCCGGGTAGGCACTGCAGCAGGACCTGCTCGGGGTCCCGGCGCCTCTGCAGCGCGATGAGGTTCACACGGTGCAGCCGCAGCCGCTGCCAGGCCTTCTGCGCCAGGCCCCCCACGCAGGCCTTGGTGGTGTACCAGAGCCAGTACCTGAGAGGGCCGGGGTCAGGCGGGGCAGCACCCACGGCAGAGGGGGTCAAGGAGGGGCAGGGGAAGCCGGAGGGACACTGACCAGGAGAAGTGCGTGACCTGGAAGCGAGCGTATAGGTGGGTGAGCTCCAGCGCCACCTGAGCTGTGATGTCGTCCCAGGTGGCCGCCGGTGGGGCCCGGTAGAGCAGGTGCAGGCGGGCGCGGTCCAGACTCAGGCCTGGGAGGGAGGGGCCACAGGCTGAAGCCTCTCTGCCGGGGCTCCGCCTCTGAGCACTGCCCCCCACCCACAGCCACACGCCCAGGCCTCTCACCTGTGACGCCGGGGGGCAGAGGGAGCTGCACAGTGACCGGCCGGAGGAAGCTGGAGGGGCCGCTCTGGGAGAGGCACAGCAGGGGACTCGCAGCTGCCTCGGGCTCCTCCAGCAGGGCCCGCAGCTCTCGGCCCACCGTCCGCACCACCTGGGCGACAGGCCACCTGAACGCGTGCCTGTGCTCTGAGGCACCACCTGCCACCCTGCCCGCGTCCGGCCCGTACCTGCATGCAGACCTGACGGGGCTCCTTGGTGGCTCCGGGAGGGAATGTGACCTTGACCCCAGGATGCCCTGAGGACCACAGCAACGTCCCCTCTGGTGGCACCAGGCAGGCGTTGCACACGGGGCGTGAGACCACGAGGAACCACGAGAAGTGGGGCACCTGGCAGTGGGCCCAGAGCCGCTGGGCGTGGGGGGTGGGGTCAGAGGGGAGCTGGAGTCAGGGCAGAGCCCCGGGCAGAGGGGCTCGGGGTGCAGGCAGAGCCACCGCCTCGGGGGCCCGAGGGGCCCTCACCTTTGGGGTTTCTTCGTGCAGGTGGGTCTCCAGGTCACTCCAGTTGTCATGGCTCCAGGTCCTGACCACCACCTCCCGGCAGCGCTGGAACTTCGGGGGCACAAACAGCAGCCACAGGCCCACCTCCTGCTGGGCCAGGGCGGGGTCAGCTCTGGGCCTGGCCGGGGGGCCCTTTGCACTTGCCCGGACCCACTCTGGCCGTGCCTGCTGGAAGGCCACCCCGTGGGGCTGCAGCTCCAGGACGCCACTGAGCAGAGAGTCGTGGGGACCCAGGGGGACGAGGCGCGGCTCCGGCAGCCACAGGCGATAGCGGATGGTGACAGAGCGAGGGGTGGCCCCAGCTGGGAACTGCAGGCGGACGCCGCAGGCCAGGGTCACAGAACAGCCGTGCGGGGTCACAAGGAAGCTGAGAGAGGACAGGGTGGGCGTCAGGTCAGACACAGAGGGGCCTGCGTGTCTGTGCCTGGCACCCCCCGGGGTCTGCAGAGGGCCCCCGAGCATGGGTGAGGTGTCTGGCGTGGACAGGTGGCCTGAGGCTCCTCCAGCCTCACCCCTCCACAGCCCCACACCTGTCGAAATCTGAAGTCAGGAACAGCCTAGGCATTTCCGGGGCCACAGGTAACCCTGTGGAAGGACAGACAAGTTGTCAGCAGGGTGACAGTTCCTGTGTCCTGACTGTAGCCTGTTCCCCCCCAGCAGCGAACCTACCTGGGGGGCTGCAGGAGTCTGTCAGGGGCTCCCCCAGGGGGTTCCCCTGCAGGCGCACAAAGGGGGCGTCTAGCAGCTCAGGGGGCACGTCCCGGAGCTGGTTGTCCCTCAGGTCCAGCCGGGCAAGGAGGGGGAGGTGGGCCAGGCCAGCCGGCACCGAGGCCAGGAGGTTGCTGTGCAGAACGAGGAACCGCAAGGAACGCAGCTCCGCTGTGGACAGGCGCCCGCTTAGGGCCAGCAGAGGACTGCTCAGGGCCACCCCCGTGCAGGCTGGGGCCTCCTAAGAAGCCCTTTCAGTCACTGCCCCATGGCTGTGCTCTGAGAGTTGGGTGCGCCTGAGCAGGGAGCCTCAAAGGCCAGGGCAGTGGGGGGGGGCAAAGAACATCCCCCCGGAAGAGTGGAGGTGCAAAGGCAGGCCAAGCCCATGTGGGCAGGGGCCCGGCGTAGGATGTGGGGGTCCCATGTGAGTGGAGGCCGGGCAGTGGCTGAGGGGCACTCCCCGGCAGGTCCCATGAGCGGGGGAGGAGGATGTGACTGGTGCTCACCCAGGGAGGCCGGGAGGCTCTGCAGCCGGTTGGAGGCCAGATTGAGCTCCTCGAGGCTGAGCAGACTTCCGATCTCCACAGGCAGAGTGTCCAGGAGATTCTCGGAGAGATCGAGGCGCTGCAGGGCACGGAGGGCTCCCAGCGCAGGGGGCAGCGCTGGTAGGCGGTTGTGGGTCGCAGAAAGGAAGGTGAGGGCGGAGAGGGCCCCCAGAGTCGCAGGGAGCTCTGAGAGGCAGTTGTGAGAGAGCAGCAGGGCGTCCAGGCCACTCATCTGTGTGACGCAGGCCGGCAGCGTCTCCAGGCTGTTGAAGCTCAGATCCAGGTGGACCAAGCGAGCCAGGCTACTCAGGCTGGCAGGCAGCGTGGTCAGAGAGCCCCGAACGCAGGCACCCTGCTCGTCCCAGTGTTGCCCACCTGGGGAGGTGGGAGGTGACGTGGCCCTCAGCCCCAGGTCCCAGCGTGGCCCTGCCTGCCTGGGACGCAGGGAAGTAGCAGCACACAGGGAGGCCCGGGGGCCCAGGTCTGCCTGACCCGGGCTGGCAGAGAGAGGCAGGGACCCAGACCGAAGGCTCATCTTGGTGGACAGCCAGCACCCCACCCTGCCCCGGGAATGAGTGCACACTGGAGTCTGCTGCGGGGCCCCGCTGGGCAGCTTCAGGGTCCGGGGACTCAGGCAGCACCAGCTTTGGGAAGAGGGCTGGGTTCAGCTGCGCAGAGAACAGTGATGGGGCTGGGACTGGGGTTGGCCTTTGAGGATGAGAAGTACAGGCAGCAGCTGGAGATGGGGGTGGGACAGGGCGGGGACTGGGTGGGGCTCACCTTTGATGACCAGGGACCGGAGGTGCGGCAGGTTCTCTGGCACCCTAGCCAGGGTGGCCTCCAGCAGCCCAGGGTCTTCGTGGCCGCTTAGCTGCAGGAACTCCACCTCCTGCAGCTGAGGGGTCCTCTGGGCACACAGGCGCAGCAGCCGGCGGCAGCCCCAAGGGTGCAGGTCCAAGCTCAGCCGGTTCCCGGCCAGGAGAAGGGGCACCCCAGGACCCGCATCCACAGTGTCTGCAGCATCTCCTGCAGCAGACACCTGCGGCTCCAGCTCCTCCTCCACCGCAGCCATAGCCCACCAGCAGGCCTTGGGGGCCAGGCATGTCCCAGCCTGCCAGGCAGGCCTGCTCAGGCAGGACCCGGTGAGGCTGCACTGTTGGGATGAGAAGAGGGCAAGGCGTGGACCCTCCTCCCTCTCTGTCAGGGGGACTGGGACTTGGCCAGGGGGCTTCTCTGGGCGGAGCCAGCCGGCCCCCAGATCCCAGCCCCTGGGCTGGGCAGATCACAGGTGACGTGGGGCTGCAGAATGGGGCCCCTTAAGGCTGGGAGGGCGGGGGGGGGGCTGCTGCGGGGGAGGAAGGAGGGAGGTGGGAGGTTTCGCATCCTTATTTTGGAAATTTGCCAGGTCGTTCTGGCTGTCCTCACACCCCCCAGGGTAAGAGTCTGGGTCCAGCCCCACCTCCCACCTTCAGGCTCAACAGCTTTGATAGGAGGCCGGTGAAGGACTCTCATCTCTGCCCCACGCGGGGGCAGTGTCCCAGGCAATGGGTGATCGTGCCCACGCGTGTCAGAGAAGTGGACTTGAGAGAAGGGACCTGGATCCCGAACCACTGCACCCCACTCCCTGACACTCGGAGGAGGGCTCTTCCCGCCGCCGCCGCTTCACACCTCGGTCGGCAGCGGGAGGGCGGTGCAGTGCCCGGCCCGGAGAAGCTCGCCACGCCGCCCCCAGCCCCTCCGGCCCCGCTGAGAGTACCTATGCTCCCTCCGGGCTGGCGCGGGACCCGTCGCCCGCTCTGTGCGCCTCGCGCGCCCGGCCTGCCGCCGGCGCGTTTCCGGGCGGGCTGGGACTCCCGGCACCGCCCCCTCCGGCTCCGCCCCTGGGGTCCCCGGGTCCCGGCCTCAGGATCCCGCCCCAACCCGCCTTCCCGCGACCAGCTTGCAGCCTTGGAGACGCGGACGCCAGCCCCATCTGTTTCGCCGCTCGGCTAGCTGCCCCAGCCTCCCGTGTCGGGCTGTGCGGTCCAGCCAGCCCCGCAGGGGAGCCCGCGTTTCACGCCGCGATTCCCGCCCTTTCCGAGGTATGGGCCCCAGGCTCGCTCTGCTCGGGGGCTGTGCGTTCTGGGCCGTGTGTCAATGAGCTGGTGCAATCGCGGGGGCTTTGGGAACTGACCGCATCTGCTGTCTAACACCCACCCCTTGCCGGAAGCCAAAGCTGTGACAGGCCTTCCCCTGCCGGCCCAGTGTGCTCTCTGGCCCTGTAGGGACGGGCCGCAGCTCCAACGACCGGACTCCACGGACCGGGTGCCCCAGCAAGCAGGAGGCCTCCCGGAGTGCTGCCTCCTCGTACCTGGGTTCTCATCTCACCAGGGAGGAAAAGGAGGCTCCGAGAGACCAGTGTGCCCAAGGCCATGCAGCTGATGCTGGGACTGAGGCACTGACACTAGAGAGCCTCCCCATCTGGGCTCCTTCACCCGCTTTCACTCCAGAGTAGGTGCTGTAGCCTGGCTGGCGTAGCTCAGTGGACTGAGCACGGGCCTGCGGACCAAAGGATCTCGGTTCAATTTCCAGTCAGGACACGTGCCTGGGTTGCAGGCCAGTTCCCAGCAGGGGACGCATGACAGGCAACCACACATTGATATTTCTCTCCTTCTTTCCTTCCCTTCCCCTCTAAAGATAAACAAAATCTTAAAAAAAAAAAAAGTAGGTGCTCTGTAAAGAGACAGAAGTTATATTGTGTGCGCCTCCCCCATTACCACCGTCCCCGGCGCCAGGATGGCCGGGCACCAGATCTCCATTCTCACCGACTCCTACCGGCCCATTCAGCTTCCCCGGAGCCACCAGAAAAGGAATATGCAGCCTTAAAAAGGAAGGCTATTCTATCATCAAAGTGAAAGGGTAACCGACTATATAGGGGAACATATTTGCCAAGGATACATTGGATGAGGTTTGATCTCCAAAATATATAAACAACTCATACAACTCAACATATTTAAATCCAATTTAAAAAAATGGGCAAAGGACTTGAACAGACTCTTCTCCAGCGAGGACATACAGAGGACACAGGGACATAGGAAAGGATGTTCAGCATCGCTAGCCATCAGAGAGATGAAAATTAAAACCACAATGAAATACCACTTCACATTGGTGAGAATGGCCATCATAAACAAATCAGTAAACGATGCTGGCGAGGCTGTGGAGAAAGGGGAGCCCTAGTGCACTGTTGGTGGGAATGCAGACTGGTGCAGCCACTGTGGAAGACAGTATGGAATTCCCTCAAGAAACTAAAAATGGAACTATCTTTTGTGCCAGTCAACCCACTGCTGGGAATATACCCTAAGAATCCTGAAACACCGATTCAAAAGCCTCTTTAGAGGGGATCCAAATGACTCCACTCACATGTTTCCCTAGAAGTCAATTTCATGCAGACAGGAAGCAAAATGATGAGCCCCAGGAGCTAGGGATGGGGGAATGGGGTTTCTGTTTAATGGGGTGCAGTTTGGGAAGGTGGAAAAGTTCTGGAGGTGATAGTGGTGAGGGTTTTACAACAATGTGAATGTACTAAATACCACTGAATTGTGCCATTTAAATCAGGGGTGTCAAAGTCATTTTCACCGGGGCCACATCAGCCTCGCGGTTGTCTTCAAAGGGCCAAATGTAATTTCAACTCCTCAACAGTTAAGGCATAGTTACATTTATACAGTCCTAAAATTATTTCCGCCCTTTGAAGGCAACCGTGAATGTGATGTGGCCCCCCACTGAAAATGAGTTTGACACCCCGATTTAAATGCTAAGCTTTACGTATTATTTTCTACTTACAAAAATCAATCACATCATGCCATCTCCCTACTGACTGCAATGAATTGCCACCCTTGCTGGCTCTGAGACCTTGAGCAAACCCTTCTGTCCTGACCTCATCTATAAAGTGGAAGCAAAGCGACGGGCCTGCCTCAGGCGGCTGTGTGGTTCGCTTAACACACCAGCGCTGGATGTACCACGCACTAGGGCACACTTTCCTGTTAGGGACTGGCTGCTGCGTCTGCCCTTTGCCTCTCTGCCCTCGGCCTAGGGCTCGCTCTGGATTTTAGCAAGGCCAGCTCCTTCCCATCTTTCAGCTCAAAGTCACTATCTCATCCCTTCAGTGTCTGTCTCGACCAGGGACATCCTCGTTTATTTACTTTGCGTGGTCGCACTAGAACTTAAGTTGCATGAAAGGTGGGCCGGGTCTGCTCCCTCTCAGAACGCAGGCCTGCAGCAGGGTCCCTGACACGAGGCAGTGAATGAATGATACGTGATGTCTGCATGCACCCTGAGGTCTGTTTCGAGCCGACATAGCGCACCGCAGAGGAGCGGCAGCTACTGGGCCAGGTGGCTTGGTTCTGCGGCGTGAGTGTAATGAGCAAGTCGTCCAGCTCACTGGGTCGGTCTAGGCAAGAGTGCTGCCGACCCCACCTGATACGCCTCCGTCCTTGCAGCGAGGAACCAAATCTGCGCAGCCTCAGTGGTGCCCACGAGCAACCGCCGCAGCTGGGAGCACGCTTCCAGCACTTCCGGACGCCGTGCACCATGGGATTTATAGTTTGACGGCTTCTTTGGCCGTTTTCCAAAGGGATGCGTCAGAGACGCGGCGGTCGCACTGCATATTGGGAGTTTGGACCCCTCCACCCCCACCCCCCGCCCACCACCACCCCGTGGCCCGCGTGGCAATCCGGAAGCCCTGGAGAAACCATCCATTCGGGCTAGCGCCCCCGTCGTTCTGCCGCCGCAGGGGTTTCGGGGGACATTCGCCCCACACTGTATAAGAAGGCGGTCCCGGAACCGCCTTTCGCCTTTCCTAGGTCGGCTGAGTGCCTGGACCGCACGGGATAGAAGCCCAGGTCCTGATTGACCCAGCGCGCCGTGACGTCACTTATACGCGCCACTACGGGCACGGCGCGTAGGCCCCGGAGGCTTCTGGGTAGCGGATTACCCCCGCCCCCCGCGCCGGCGCTTTCCTTTCCCCGCTCGTCGCCGCCGCGATCGCACGCGTGAGGTCTGTTCGTCGTCGCCGAGTGAGTGGAACGGCCCGTGCAGGCCCCGGGCCGGGCGGAGGCTTTCGGGGGATGGTTGGGCGCGGAGCAGGGCTCAGGGTGGGCCTCGGTGGGGTCCCGCGGGCCTGTCCGTGTGCTGTGGCCGCGCCCGGCCTGGGGTGTGGGCCGGAGGCTTCCGGGTGACGCTACGGTCCTGTCCTTCAGGATGCGCTACGTTGCCTCCTATCTCCTGGCCGCCCTCGGGGGCAATTCCTCCCCTAGCGCCAAGGACATCAAGAAGATCCTGGACAGCGTGGGTATCGAAGCGGAGGACGACCGGCTCAACAAGGTACGTGCCCCGCCGGACCCCGACCCACCGGGTACGCGGCACTGTGGGGTCACACTCCTACTTACACAATTGTTCTCCGGGGGTTTTGGGGGGCTGTGCCTTTTGGGAACCTTAATACAGCCTCAAGGAAGCAGAAGCACATGTGGGCAGAGCTCGGCCAGCATGGTGTTCGTAGAAGCTCAATGCAATTTTCGTGTGACTTAAATTGCTTCAATTAAGTGTCATTGACTAAGAACCGTGAAGAGGGAGGTCTGTTTTAAAGCCATTTGTTTTCACCCCACTTAAAATGTTAGTTTGACACGGAGCAGGTATAAAATTAGGTGGTGTGGGGCCCACTGGTAGCTCAGCTCCGAGAACCCACGTGTGAGTGGCAGCTAGTGTGCGTGCGGTGAATGCAGGGCCCTGCCCCGCCTTCAGAAGGTGAAGCTCAGGTGGGACCTCGTAACTGCTGGTGTTGGCTTTCTACCATAGGTCATCAGTGAGCTGAACGGAAAGAACATCGAAGACGTCATCGCCCAAGGTGAGATGGGGCGGGGGTCTTGTTTGCACGGTCCATCCTAATCCCTGCGGGTCAGCGGTGGCCTGCCAGGCTTCGCTTGTGGACCAGAGCACCTTAGGAGCCACGCTCAGAGAAGTGAGCACAGCATCTGTGGGCTCACATGCGGGCGCCTCCAGACACTCGGAGGGAGGGGCGCTAGGGGGCGCCCTCGCTCCCCGGGCCTGGCTGCCCTTCCCCGTGGTAGGGGAACCAGGCCTTTGTAAACAAGGCTCTCTGTGTGCTCTGTGTAAGGGGTGTGGGTTGCCAGCGTGACCACAGGTTCCTGCCCCTTCCACTGAGCAGACTGCTTTTTGGTGACATCAGGCTGGGGTGGATGGGACTTGATTAGAAGTCGAGCTGTTGGGGCAGCGGTTCCTGTCTCTGGGCGGCTCAGTGAGCAGCCTCCTCTGAGCTTAGTGTTGGGAATACACGTCTGGACACGGACAGCAGACTAGAGACCCCTGCCTGGATATAGACATGTTCGTCCAGCTTAACCCCAGCGTGGGGGCTATGGCTCAGCTCCCAGCTTCTTGTGGATCAGTTCCTAGAAACCAAGTTCCCAGATCCGGAGTTGTGGGGGACGGGTGTGGCAGAGCCTCCTGTCTGTGGGAACCACACCCCCTCTCCACGCCAACCCCTGACCCAGCACTGGCCCTTGGTGAGGGGACCCAGTTTGTTCCCTGGGCAGGCCGTCTGTTCGCTCTTTAAGGGGTGTTCTGGCTGAGTGCTCACCCTGGCTTCCCTCCCCTCCCTCTTCCCATCTCTTAGGTATTGGCAAGCTGGCCAGTGTCCCCACTGGTGCGGCTGTAGCTGTCTCTGCCGCCCCAGGGTCTGCAGCTCCTGCTGCCGGCTCTGCCCCAGCTGCAGGTGAGTGGGGGCTCAGGCAGCTGCTGCTGTGGGTGCGCTGGGTGTCGGGGAGCCTGGCCAGCCCCGAGGGCCTTGCTCACCCACTGTGGCCTTCCCCACAGCAGAGGAGAAGAAGGACGAGAAGAAGGAGGAGTCGGAGGAATCGGATGACGACATGGGCTTTGGCTTGTTCGATTAGAGTCCTGTCCCCACAAATAAAACCCTTTTTATGTACCTCTTGAAGGCCTCTGAGTGTGCATCAGAGCCTGGCCTCAGTGCCGGGCAGGTGTGGGGCTCCCGGGGAGGAGGGCTACTTTGGGGCGCCTCTCAAGGAAGGGGCCTGGTGCAGAGCAACATGGGGCAGGGTGTGCTTCCTGGTCTTGGGTGTTGCCCAGCTTTGAGTTCAGGGAGGACCCAGGCCCTCTTCTTGAGTGCTTTCCTGGCTCCTGTGGGTTTTTCGGGCAGTGTCGCCTGCGGGGAACACCCAGGAAGCCTCTGGAGACGATGGGTAGGACAGTTGGGTAGAGCTTCTTCCCGATGCACCAAGGTTGTGGGTTTGATTCCCCCTCACAGCACATGTGAGACTCTGTGAAGGCACGAGTATGTGGAACAAATCAACGTTTATCTGTCTCCCTTTAAAATCAAAGCAACAGTTGGTGGTCTCTGTCACTCTGAGGGTTTGTGGGTAGGTGTGCTCACTGAGTCCTTTTTGGGGTGGGCTCTGGCCTGGAGTGCGGCTCTGCAGCTGTTTGCAGTCTCCTGGGCCTGCTGCCTCTGCTCACCAAAACCAGGGTACCCAGTAGACACCTGACTGCCCCATCCTGGGGCTCTGGGTCGGCAGCGGGCCGGGTATGTGCGCCTTGTGTGTGAAGGGCCTCCCCCTGTTGGCTGGAGCTGGGGGGACGGGGGTGGGGGCAGGGAGTAATGAGTAGAACATATTGGGGGGTGAGGGAAGGAAGGCAGAGGAGTGCACCTAGGGTGAGACCTAGGCATTGGAGGAGGAGGTAGAGGCCATGCTCCTGGGTAGGTGGAACATAGGGTCCCAGAACTTAACATCACTGTACAGGACCTAGTACATGTCCAGTGGCATGTTCTGTGAAGGGGCAAGTTGCGTGTGTGTTGGGATGTTATACAGAGAAGTGGACCCAGCGCCCAGGGCAGAGCTCTCAACACTACTCTAAGACCTTGAAGAGAAGGGCCCTGTCTGGGCCAGAGGACACTGGAGGGTGGAGGCGAACCGGCTTGGCACAGCTTTTGTGCACCAAATGCCAGGGGTTCCAGGAAAGGCCGCCCTGTTCCTGGATCCAGAGCTGATGGTCCCGGGGGCCTGGAGGGAGGGATGTGTACTCAAAACAGTTCAACTCTGGTGTGGAAATGAGGGCAGAGGCCTCGCTGCACTGGGACAGTGCCACCCCCAAGGCCTCGTTGTCCCAGCAAAGCAGGTGGGGCCAGGACCCAGCCTCTCCTTGGAGCAGGTTGGTGGAGGGCCTTCAGTCCCTGGCTGGGCCTGCACTGCCCAGCTCCCCTCTTGCTCACTCTGGTGAACTCCTGGACTTCCCAGGCTGCCTCTGGGGCTCTGCCCCATCCCCACTGTGCCACATCCTTTGCTGCCTCCCCATTCCTGCCGCCTCCAGCAGCATCCCCAGGGACTCTGTCCCTGGGAGCCCAGACTATCCTGATGGGGGACACTTTCCGCACTGTACCTGCACCCACGGCATGGGGGCGGGGGCAGGTGGGGGTGGCTGTGCAGAGAGGCCAAGGCTGTGAGTCAGATTCATTGGTTCACTCAGTGAGACCCCGCCCCCTTCCCCGTATCCCAGCACCAGGCCCGTTCCCTCTTCTCTGTCCCTCCACCCTGGTTGTTTGCAAATAGTGTGTGGCAGCCTGCGTGGGTGTCCCTGTGTCCTTCCTACATTAACTGCACCCACATACCCTGTCACCCCCATTTCCTCCTCATTTTGAATTTATATCAACATCTGCTCCCCTCCTTCCCCAGTAGGTCTGGGGCTGGGTTGACTGTTCCCTGCTCTTTCTTGTGCTCACTATGGGTGGGCACCTCAAAACTGGTTGAGGACTGGACTGCGTGATTCAATAGCCACGTCCTGGGGAGGCCCCGCTCTGACTTCAGGGCCTGGCTACAGTCCCAGCACTAGCCGGGCCCCGAGCTGAGGCCCCACTCGGGGAGGGACTACTCTGAGAAGAGAGGCACACGTGGCCTCCCCTGGGCCCCAACACAGATGAGCCCGGGTATGAGGTGCAAGGATGGCACTGGACCTCAACCAGGCCAGGCCTGCTGCACACGCCGTCCAAAAGAATGCGGAACAGGGACGGAGCGTGACGTCACCCAGTACTCCACCTGCTGGGGCAGTTAGCAGGGGTGGGGCAGAGTCTGAGTCATACCCAAGTAGACAGCACAACCTGGGGGGCCAGGGTAGGACGCAGGTAGAACCCAGGTTCGTGCCCGGGTGCGAGGGGCCGCGTGTGTGCCGGGCAGTGCTGGGACGCAGACTGCGGGTATGGCCCCCAGAGCTGGAGTTAGCTCTTTCGGTTGTGATTCGCATCCGGCCCTGGGTGTTTATGGGTCGGTCTGTGGATGAGTGGTGGGTCCTGGGAGTTCCTGGTCTGCGGAGTGGGTATTGTAGATGGACCACGAGGGAGTAGGCAGCGGCTGCCCAAAAACCAAGGCCCTCCCCTCGCCAGTGCCAGGTTTGTAGAGGCTCCCAGGCTCCCAAACTCCAGGGGACCTGGGCCTGAGCTCGCTCCTCCCAACACGCTTAGGCCACTGTGTATCCCCTCCTGCTGCCCACGATGGGGGGCTGGGGAGCGGCAGGAGGCTGTATCTTTGGCCAGGTCCCGGGTGTCTGAGGTTCAGGGCCCAGCGGCCCCTACAGCGGTGGAAGGGGTTCCAGGTCTGGGGGCGGGGACTTCAGGGGCAGGGCACAGCCGTTCCCCGCGCGCTCTTATTGGGCCGCGCGTGCTTGCCCCGCCCCACGCCGGCCCTGCCCACCTACTTCTAAAAACACCGTCTTCGCTGTCGGGAGCAGCGTTGCCGCCGCCACCGGCGGAGACCCCGAGCGAGAGTGACTGCTGAGGGGCGGCCGACCCAGAGCGAGCGGCGAACAAACAGCGCACAGCGAGGCCGGCCACCGTGAAGCTACTCCGGCTGGCGGGCCGTCGCGATGTTTCCCAAGGAAGCGACGTTCCCCCGGGAGACGACTTGGAACATCTCATTCGCGGGCTGTGGTTTCCTCGGCGTCTACCACATTGGAGTGGCCTCCTGCCTCCGAGAACACGCGCCCTTCCTGGTAGCCAACGCCACTCACATCTATGGCGCCTCGGCCGGGGCGCTCACGGCCACGGCACTGGTCACTGGGGCCTGCTTAGGTGAGCGGGGCCTGCGGGCGGGGCCAGGCGGATGTTCATGCGCACAACGCCCCTCGGTCCAGGGCCTGGAAGCCGGGTTTAGGCCCGGGGCGCAATCCCGACCCAGGCGGTGGACCGGATCCTGGGGGCGGGGGCGGGGACTAGCTTGTTTTGCTCCCAGGGTACCCTGGCCCAGCGTGCTTCAGGGGCCGGAGGCTGGGCTCTGGAGCAGAAGTTGGGGGCGGGCAGGGGAATCAGACGCTTTTTCATTGGAAAGAGAAACTAACTCCTGGGCGGGACGGTAAGACTAGGGGGAGGGGCCTAAACTGACGCTTCTCCCATCCCGGGCATGGTGCCTGGACTAGGTGCTAGCGGTCACTGTGTCCTGGGGCTATGGCATTCCCGCCTGCCGTGGCCTTGGGGCCTGGTGTGAGGGTGGCCTCTTAGAGCACGTGTGGGCGGTGTGTCCTGATGCTTCCAAAGGGCCCCGGAGCAGGAGTCAGGCAGGTCAGGCCCGATCATGGCAAGCTCTCTTCCACCCTCTCCCACCCTCTCCATCCTTTGCGGGCCTGGGTTCCCAGCTGTGCCCCCCACCTCTGTTTTGGCCCCTCCCACGGGGCAGCAGGTGTTTCTCTCCAGCCCGTAGTTGGAGAGCAGCGTCTGAGTGTGCGGGAAGGAGCCCTCTGCTTTCCCTCGCTGCCTGCCGGTCTCGAGCTGTGTTTACAGCACAGAGAGTACTCAGGGAACCTGGGAATGCTGCCCAGACCCCAGCCTCCTATGGCAGCCAAGGTGACAGAGGGGTCATCAGTGTCCCTCCCAGCAGGAGCCAGTGCAAGGTTCTTCCTGCCTCCTTCCTGTGACTTTGCCCTGAGAGGCGCAGGTCGGAGCTTGGCCCTAATTCTTGGGAAGGGGATCCACCACTGTGGCCCTGACCCCCCCAGCCCCCCCAGGTGCTCTCAGTCCCCATGCTGGCCTCAGGACATACCTAGGTCTCTGGTACCCAGGGAGGACATGGCTCCACGGCACCTGCCCCACCCCACTCCCAAGAAACCTCTTTCTTATGTGTGGTATTGGGCAGCTGGAGCCCCCACAGCTTGGCAGGTGCTGGCCCTACATGGCCCACTCCTGATCTGGGCAGTGGGACACAGTTGTGCTTTCCAGAAATGTGGGACCCCTCTGTTTCCAGCCTCATGCTGCTGCCAGGCCTGTGGGACCCCTGGGCTGCACTGGGCTTTACGGGTCTGGATCTGGCCAAGTGGGTAAAGGCTGAGGTTGGTCAGAGTTGAGCCTCTGCCGGCCCCCTTCCCGGGCTGAGTGCCACGGGAGGCCCAGTCCGGTGACTCATGGGTCAGAGCTGACTGTTGGGAAACACTGGGCAGAGGGCAGGCCTGGCCCCAGCCGGCCAGCCCCACTGTCTGCTGTTCCAGGGGTGGCAGCCTGCCTCTCTCCAGGCCCAGGTGGCCAAAGTCCCAATTGTGGGCCAGCCCCCCACAGTGGACACTGAGATTCCTCCAGGGTGGATGGGGTGCCGTGAGTCAATGTGCCCCGGGACCCTGGGCGTGCAGCCGTAGGGGTGTGCTGAGCCCAGGACTGCTGGCCCCTGACCCTTGGCCTTTCCGCCCCAGGTGAGGCTGGTGCCAACATCATCGAGGTGTCTAAGGAAGCCCGGAAGCGGTTCCTGGGCCCGCTGCACCCTTCCTTCAACCTGGTGAAGACCATCCGTGGCTGCCTGGTGAAAATCCTGCCTGATGACAGCTACGAGCGCGCCAGCGGGCGCCTGGGCATCTCCCTGACCCGCGTCTCCGATGGCAAGAACGTCATCATATACCACTTCAACTCCAAGGAGGAGCTCATCCAGGTGGGCTCTGGTGGGGTTGTGTGGGGGCACAGCTGCACCTGGGAGCCCCGCTCACCCTGCCTCTTCCTCTGCACCACAGGCCAACGTCTGTAGCACCTTCATCCCCGTGTACTGCGGCCTCATCCCCCCGACCTTCCGCAGCGTGGTGAGCACCCCTGGGCACCGTTCCTGGGTGACCGCCGTGGGCTGTGGGACGGGGGGGGTGACCGCAGTCTGTCCCCTCGCCCCTCGGCCTGCCTCTGCCTGTTGCCTCACTTCCCCCAGAGTTGCTCAAGAACCAGGCCAGCCCTGTGGCCACGTGCTCTTCCTGTCGCTGTCCCCCGCCCCCATCTGGCTATCTCTCAGTGCCCAGGCGGGCCCGTGTCCAGTGCCTAGTGGGTAAAAGGCCCAAACAAAACAGCCACTGGGTGGGGCCACCTGGTGGGGGCCAGCTCACCCTGCAGTCCCCGTGCCATGTGACTGGGTGTCCCTGCCGCCTCAGCGCTATGTGGATGGAGGCATCTCCGACAACCTGCCACTCTACGAGCTCAAGAACACCATCACGGTGTCCCCCTTCTCGGGCGAGAGCGACATCTGCCCACAGGACAGCTCCACTAGCATCCACGAGCTCCGGGTGACCAACACGAGCATCCAGTTCAACCTGCGCAACCTCTACCGCCTCTCCAAGGCCCTGTTCCCGCCCGAGCCCCTGGTGAGCCCTGCTCGGGGGCCGAGGCCTTCCCTGGCCTGCCACTGGGGGAGAAAGCTGCCCATCTGACCTCCCCGAGTGACAGGGGTGGGGTGGGGATCTGGACAAGCTCTCCTGAGGATGGGGAAGAAGCCTGTGGCCTGCATCTCTCCCCCTGGGGGCAGCAGGGTCTCCCGCCTCTGTGCAGCCTGGATCCGTCCTGGGTCTGCCAGCTTAGTGGTGGGCAGGGGGCGGGGACTGCAGGAACGCCAGGAACCAGGGGCAGAGCAGGGCGCGTGTCTGACTCTCAGCTCCCGCACCCCCGTGCCCTCGCCCCAGGTGCTGCGGGAGATGTGCAAGCAGGGTTACCGGGACGGCCTGCGCTTCCTGCGGAGAAACGGTGCGTGGGCCCGGGGTGGGGGTGGGGCTCTGCGTCCCCGCCCCTCCCTCCCCTGGGCTGACCACTGGTGTTTGGTCCTCTCCACCCAGGCCTGCTGAACCGGCCCAACCCCCTGCTGGCGCTGCCCCCTGCCCGCCCCCCTGTCCGCCAGGATGAGCGCGAGGACGAGGTGGCAGCAGAACGGGCTCGAGTAGCGGGCCACCTGCAGCCACCGGGGGAGGACCCCATCCTGGAGCATCTGCCTGCCCGGCTGAATGAGGGTGTGTGGAGGGGGGTGCACAGCTGCCTCCGGGGTGTGGGGCCTGCTCCCCTTGGGGCGCTAGGTGAGGGGCGGGCGGATGTGTGAGGAGGACACAACGCTCCCTCCTGCACCCCGCCCACAGCACTGCTGGAGGCCTGCGTGGAGCCCAAGGACCTGCTGACCACGCTCTCCAACATGCTGCCCGTGCGTCTGGCCACGGCTATGATGGTGCCGTACACTCTGCCCCTGGAGAGTGCTGTGTCCTTCACCATCCGGTATGGGCCGGGGAGACGGGAGGAGCTCTGGACCCGACTTTGGGGTCACCCATGAGGGCCGGTCACCCGGGGGAGAGAGAGCAGTGTCGGGGAGAGGGGAGCTGTGAAGATGTGGGGGCACAGACAGAGCCAAGAGCGGGGGTGTGGGCACGGGGGTGGGCCCTAGCCCTGAGGCCACGCCTCCTGCCCCAGCTTGCTGGAGTGGCTGCCAGACGTCCCAGAGGACATCCGGTGGATGAAGGAGCAGACAGGGAGCATCTGCCAGTACCTGATGATGCGCGCCAAGAGGAAGCTGGGCAGCCACCTGCCCTCCAGGTGAGCCCCTGATGGCCATGCTCGGGCGGGCACAGCCTCACCACAGCAGCCCCCACACTAAAGCCCGCGCTCCGGCCCGCAGGCTGTCGGAGCAGATGGAGCTGCGCCGCGCCCAGTCGCTGCCCTCCGTGCCGCTGTCCTGTGCTGCCTATTATGAGGCGCTGCCGGGCTGGATGCGCAACAACCTCTCCCTGGCAGACGCACTGGCCAAGTGGGAGGAGTGCCAGCGCCAGCTGCTGCTCGGCCTCTTCTGTACCAACGTGGCCTTCCCGCCGGATGCGCTGCGCATGCGCCCCACCTGTCCCAGCGCTGCGTCCCCGCAGCACCCTCCCGGCTTGCCCCCTTGCTGAGCGCCTTCCCAGCTCCCTGGGTCCTAGTGTTGAGGGCCAAGCCCCCCAGCTTCCCTGCTACTTGGGGGGGGGGATGCCCTGGGGCTGGCTGAGACCCTCCTCCCTGGCCCCTCCATTGCCGGTGGAGTGAGGAATGGGGACCCTGGGGGCTGCGAGAAGGGTCTTTGCTATCAACTCCTCCACCAACCACTCACTAGCTGCACTGAGTCCGCAGAGGGCCCCTCACCTGTGCCTCAGTTTCCCCTCCCAGGCCTAGCGCGGCAGGGCTGGGGCCCTGCAGGGGGCAGTGGTCACTGCCCCTAGGAACTTTGTAGCTGCTCCTCCCTCTGCAGTGTTCACATGTTACCGAAGAAGGTGTGTGAAGCGTTATTTATTTTTCCTGAAGCAGATGTAATAAATGCCATGCTCAGTCCTCGCGTCCTCCTCGTATGTGACCCCTCTAGCTGACCAGTGTTGGTGCCTCTTCAGGTCGGGGCTTCTGGGGGTCCCGTCCCCTTGAGCCCGGCAGTCGGGCTGGCGGCTCCCCTCAAAGGCCACTGTGGGCCTCCCGGGCTGCAGCACCCTCGTTGGGCCGGGACACCTACACTGGCGCTGAGGCCGGCTGGCCGACCCTTGGGTGCAGCTTTCCAACGGCAACACTTGGGACCAAGGTCCTTGCTGAATGAAAAACAAAGGCCTGTTTACAGAAGGTGGCGCCTGCATCTCCGCTCCGTGGCCACCTGTGGCGGGGGCCACTCTGGGCACCGTGGAGGGTGCCCATCCCGCAGGAGCGTGGCACCTGCTCCACTGGGGGCGCTCGGCCCAAGGTCCTGTGTGAGCCGCCGGGCCTCCCCGGCCACCGCAAACCACACTGGCCAGGTGCACCCGTGTCCTTGTTCCCGGCCTCCCTCCATGCGTGCAGGGTGCCCAGTCTCCTGCCAGTTTGTAGGAGGGGTCTCAGATACGGAGGCAAGCCTGAGCTGACGGGGGCTGGACCTTGTTCTGGGAAAGACAGTTTCCTGAAGGTGTTGTCTGCCCTGGGCAGTCAGGGAATTCAGCCAGCCCTCCTTGGTGACCACAAGGGCCCAGGGCATGAGGGGTGCTGGGTCAGCCGGGCGCTCGGCTGGCTGTCCAGAGCTCTCAGTCTCGCCCAGTCCAGCCCCACCTGCCTCCCCCCAGCCCTGCCTAGGTGTGGGGTGTCTGTGGCAGCAGCCCCCAGCCAACAATAACGGTTGGTAGCAGGACTGGGCGAGCCGGCTGGGCAGGTCCTTGGTGTTCCTGTGTGCCAGGGGCCGCCCCCTCCCAGTCTCAAGGTCTCGTCCTATCGCTGGACCTGCTGTAGTTCAGCAGGATCCCGGGCCCCAGGAGAAGGTGAGGCCAGGCCCTCCAGGTGGGTACAGGGCCAGGCCGGGGCCGCAGTGGTGGGGGGTCCTGGGTAGGAGGCTGAAGTTTTCTCCCCCAGCAGGAAGGGCACAGGCAGACTCCACCCAGCTCCTTCCCTCAGCCCTGCCCCAAGGGGACCCAATTCAGGGCTGTGCCCCAACTGGAGTGCTGGGGGGCCGGCCGAGGTGAGGGCCTCCCACCCCCGCCCACCACTCACTCTCACCCAGGCGCAGGCCTCTGTGCTGTTAAGCGTCATTTTCCTGTGCGCTGCGCGTGTCTTACGTAAACACGGGGAAACCGAACTGGGAAAGTTTAGGGAGGGAAGGAAAGTGGCCCACTCCCAGAGAGAACCAGAGAGCGCTCTGCTCCGTTTTCCGCCTGGCGTTTTCCTACACACGCTTTTTGGCGTCTTGAATTGTGATCCGCAGGGCAGTGCCCCCCCTCCTCACCTTGGCCCTGCTCAGGAAGGGTCCCCAGGTACCTGGGTCATGTCTGCGCCATCCGTGCGCGGGGGCTCTGCCGGGGCAGAGACGCGACTGCCAGGTCCAGGGTGGGTGAGGAGTGAGGTCAGAGCCGCGGTGACCAGGACGGGCCGAAAGGCGGGGACAGGGCGACAGCAGCAGCGGCGCCCCGCCCGGGGCCGACCCACGCCGGGGTGTCAGTGCTTGCAGGGCAGCAGCCGCAGACTCGCCCCGCGCCCCCCGCCGTGCCCGCCTTTTCAGGTGGAGAGGCCAGGTGCGCGGCAGGTGCGGCCGCGGCGCAGCTCGCAGGTAGGCGCCAGGCGGGCCGCGCCGCCCCCGCCACAGAGAGCGCCGACCGGCGCGCGTGGCGGTCAGGGACTCCGGGGACCCTCGGGGCGGGGCACGGTCCGCGCTCCCTCCCTGCTTCCCGCGTCCGGCCGCAGCGCCGCTTCCGCTGGGATGGACCTCCGGTCCCCGCGAGCCGCCAGCCAGCCGGGGAGAGGTCTCTGGTCCGGCGTCCCTTCCTGTCGCCCTCCCTCAGACCTGGTCTCCCTGGAGGTCCGTTCTCTGCTCCCCCGGAGTAGGGCGGGTGGAGAGCCAGGGTCCCGAACTGAGGGGGAGCCCGCCCGGCCCAGGTGTGGGGGGAGGGTGCGCCACGCGGGGGTTGGCGCTGGGAAATCCGGGACCAGGGCGTGGTGCGAAGACAGGTGCAGGTGCCTCTGATAAGGAGGCGGGGCGCCGCGGCGTGGGGGGCGCCCGCGGAGTTCCGGGCCGCGCTGCGGAGGGGCCGCCTGTGGGAGGGGCTGCTGAGCCTAGAGTCCGGGGTATTACTGACCCGGGCCATGGAAGGCACCCTGTCCCAGGCCAGGCCCCTGAACCTGCACCCCTGGGGCCCTGGCGCCCGACAGTGGGAGGGGCTTACTCAGCCTGTCGGCTGGAAGGGGCGGGGCCCGGAGGCCAGCGGCTGGGGTTGGGGGGCGCCGAGGAAAGGGTCAGGCAGGACCGGCTGAGTGCTTCCCCGGTCCAGCCCCGCAGCCCTTGTCCCCGACTCGAGGCTCCTCAGCTCCTCCCCAGTGACCGCTCCCTCACCCAGGCTCTCTGCCCTCACTCGCCGGAAGCTCCCCTCTCCACTGTCCATCACAAGATCTTCTGTAGCTGCCCCCCAAACTGAGACTGCCTCTCTCCCCAACCAGTCCTCCCTCGGCCTCCCTCCTGGGCCCGCAGCCTCTAGCTCCCTGGGGGCCCTGAGTCAGCACCCCCCCCCCCCCCCCCACAAACCCTGTGCCTGCAGCTTCTCTACTCTGGACCTGCATGGTACCTTGTCCCAGCTTCTTCTGCTCAACCCTGGTTCTCAGGGCTCCAGCGTAGCCCTCGGCCTCTCTCTGCCTCCCCCTCCTCGTTTATCTGAGCTCTGCTGAGCCCTGACCCCTCCTTGGCTTTACAGCACCCGAGGGCCGAGCCCCCGTTGTCATGGCCAGCCTGGGGAATCCCAGGGATGGGGAGGCCCAGGAAGAAGAGGGGGAGGAGGATGGAGGCCCTGTGGGGCCCCGCGCGGCCATGCTGGCGCAGGCCCAGGAGCTGTTCCTGCTGTGTGACAAGGAGGCCAAGGGCTTCATCACCCGGCACGACCTGCAGGTGAGCGAGTCCCCAGCCCCAGGAATCGGCAGACCCAGGGCTGGCCGACCTCGGCTGCTCAGCCCAGCACCGTTGTCCTGCCAGGGCTTGCAGAGTGACCTGCCCCTCACACCGGAGCAGCTGGAGGCTGTGTTTGAAAGTCTGGACCAGGCACACACAGGCTTCCTCACTGCCCGAGAGTTCTGCCTTGGCCTGGGTGAGCCCCTCCCTTGTCCCTCCACCCTGGCCCTCACCCAGCGACCCTCCCCTGGCACACGTGGGGCTGTGTGGGGCCCACAGCCCACACGGACAGCAACTGGGGCTTCTCCATGGCCGCCCTCCGGGACAGGCGCTGATGTCCATGCGCACGGGCTCCACGGCAGGGCTCCGGGAAAGCCCCCAGCTGTTGCGGCCCCCGTGGGGCTGACCCTCCTGCTCCCCCATCCTCTCTCCCTTGCTGAACCCAGGTGGGGCTGGCTGGGAGCCAGCTGTCACCTCCCACTCCCAGGCCTAGAATCAAACCAGAATAAGGAAGAAAAACAGGAAACTGGGCTCAGAGAAAGGGCAGGATATGTGGGTGTGTTTCGGGGGAGGCAAGTGGAGGCTGAGCTCGGGTGGTAACCACAGTCCTGATAGTGTCTCTCTTCCACATCCACAGGGAAGTTTGTGGGGGTGGAGTCAGCCCAGGGTGCACTGCCCTCTCTGGCTTCTGAGGAAACCTTTGAGTCGGGCTGGTCAGAGGTGCAAGGCACGGTGGGCTCCCTGGAGGAGGAAGAGGAGGAAGAGGAGAGATTCTTCTCTGCACTGGAGCAGCTCGGGGTGGCCCGGGTCCTGAGCGAGTGAGTCCGTGGTGGTCTTTTCCCCAGTTCCCTCTCCTGGCTGCTGTCTGTCCACTTTGCCCCACGTCTGCTCTGGGCAGGGTCCCTAGCCGGGGTCTGGCCTGGCTGTTCCCTCTCAGCTGCCACTCCCTAGAAGGAGCCGGGCGTGATTTCCCCGCGGGATTTGCATTTTAGGAGGCTGCAGTCCCCGGCCGCAGGGAGGAGGGGTTGCGCCTCGCACACAGCCTCCTAAGACAGGGCACAGCCCGGCATACACAGGACCCCTCTCGGCCACGTTAGCCACGCACAGACACCAGCCTGTGCTGGGGCAAAGGCACCCACATGAGGGAGGCCCTGCAAGCGGCAAACGCGCCTGGCTTGTCTGGGGCTGCAGGGGCGACCCCACTCTGGCTTCAGCCCCTGCCCACCCTTGCAGGCAGCGGGCGGCTCGGACCCTTTGGACCCGGCTGCAGCAGGAGCAGCCCGAGCTCCTAGGATACTTCGAGGACGTTCTGATTCGAGCGTCCGCCTGCCTGGAGGAGGCGGCCCGAGAGCGAGACGGCCTGGAGCAGGCTCTGAGGCGGTGAGACCTGGGGCCGGGGTGGGGCTCCGGAAGGCAGTAGGCGCGGTTCGGGGGTCTCCAGTGCTGGTGGGTTCCAAACAGCTAACCATCTCACTCCGCCCACCCCCGCCGAAGGCGGGAGTGCGAGCACGAGAGGGAGGTGCGGTGTCTGTACGAGGAGACTGAGCAGCAGCTCCGCCAGCAGCGCCAGCGCCTGCGAAGTCAGGTGGGTGCTCGGCCCGGGCCCAACCCCAGACACGCGCGTCTTCCTGGCTCCGCCTCCTCGGAGTTGGTCCTAACCCCTGGCCCCTGCCCCACGGCCGCCTGTGGAGGCTCAGGTGCCCTCCCTTCGCGCGTCCCAGGACCTGCCCCGGGAGGAGCCGAGAGGCCGTCTGGAGCTGGACCTGCAGAGACGAGAGCAGGAGCTGGAGCGCGCGGGCCTGCGGCAGCGAGAGGTGAGCGGCGGGCCCGGCGCCCCACCCCATGCCCCCACCCTCACCGTTGCCTGCCCTCCCTGGTTTCCTGGGTCCCCATCCTGGCAACTCTGGGGAGTGCGGGACAAACCGGCGTCGCGGGGAGGAGGGAGTCCCTCTGCAGCCTCTATTCCTCACGACCCCCAGCTGGAGCAGCAGCTACAGACCCGGGCCGCGGAGCAGCTGGAGGCGCAGGCGCAGAACGCGCAGCTGTGGCTGGCCAACGAGGCGCTGCGGGCGCAGCTGGAGGCCGCTCAGCAGCAGCTCCGCCGCCTGGAGGGGGACACGCAGAGCCGCCAGGAGCAAGCCCTACGGTGCCCAGGGAGTGGGGCTCGGGCGGGCACTTGGGGGAAGGGGCCGAGGAGGGGATGAGACCGACGTTTGGAGCTCGGGTGGGGGCCACTTCCATCTGCTCCCCGAGTCCCCGCCCCGCCCCCAGGGTCTGCGTGGGTCCAGGCCCTCTAGGGGGTGGTGGAGCGCCCTGGGTGTCTCCCTGCACCCGGGTCACCACCTCCCACCCGCAGAGATGTGGTTGCGGTCTCGAGGAACATGCAGAAAGAGAAGGTCAGCCTCCTGCGGCAGCTGGAGCTCCTCAGGTTCGGTCCTGCTGAGGTCACGCCAGGGAAGGGGCTCCGTGCAGCTGCGGGCTCCCCGATGTCCCTGAACGCTGCCTGCCTTACTGTGAGGAAGCCCTGGTGTCTGTCCTTTCTCCCTCATGCTGCAGCCCAGCTAGACACTTCTCTCTTGGGCCGAGGGAGGGTCTGAGGCCCCGTCCCCCACCCTAAAATGCGGCCTCCCGAGACCTCTCTGAACGCTCGGACTCTTCCCCAGGGAGCTGAACACGCGGCTACGAGACGAGAGGGACGCCTGCGAGAACCAGCAGCCGGGCCGTGGCCTCAGGAAGACTCTGGCCTCTGCCCGCCTGCCCGGGCCCACCTGCTGCTGCTGCTGCTGTAGCGACTGGACCCGACCCCCCAGACGTGGCTCAGGCCACCTTCCCAGTGCCCGATGACCAGTGCCCCCGTGACTCACAGGGCGTTAACCTGGAAAAGCTGACCCTTGAAAGTGACTCAGCGTGGCTGGAGCTGCCCGTCCAGGATGCGGGCCCTCCCTGTGGGGATGTCCAGCCTGCCTGGTCACAGACATGGAGGAACTAACCCAGGACGATCAGGGCCCCCTGTGCCACCTTTCTGGTACTCATCCTGTCCCCATCCTGTCCAATCCGTCTCTGTCCAGCATAAGCCATCCCCTCCTCCAAATAAACTCCGCCAACTGCACGACAACCTCCGGGACCTCCTGTGTGCAGGGGGGTGTGTGGGTGGCACAGGTCCACAGCACTGCTGCGCTGGGGCTGTAGGTCCCTGTTTGTGCCTGTGGGTGTCCCTGTGTCTCTGGTCAGACCCCAAGTCCTCGCAGCCCATAAAAACTCGAAGCCCCACAGGCTGCAGGGACAAGGAGGCTGAAGCCCACATCTCCCCAGGGAGCACCAGGAAGCGCTTCCTCCCACTCTGGACTCCGTCGACCGTCCCTTCCCCATGCCAGTCCTCACACGGCTCTGGGCAAACCACCTGAGTCATGTCGGCCCTGCGTGGACTGCCCTGGGCGAGGCCCAGAGTAGGCTCCGATGCAGGGGGCGCTGGGAGCTGCCAGTTCAGTCCCAGACAGGGAGTGAGGAGGAGTGCAGCCACCGTCCCTGTCCCTGGGGAGGTGCTTAGACCTACCACTGTGCAGGTCCAGGCCCCACCTGCGGCTGGGGGTGAGCCGGCAGGGTGGGCGGCTCCCCTCCCCCCACTCCCATCCCCAGTCCAGCGGGTCAGCAGGACTTGCTTCCTCAAGCCTTCCCACCACTGCCAGGCCAGGTGCCCCCCACACTGGATGTAGCTCACAGGCGCCCTCGGCCTTCCGCCACCAGGTCAGCATCTGTTCTGCTGACCCCTGCAGTCTCCAGGTGGACCCTGGGTTGAGAGGAGAGAATGAATAGGGCCTGGAGGCCAGTGGGGTCTCAGACAGAGTCCAGGGCCTTGGCTGGGTTGGTGGCCTCCCCACTGCCCATTCCACTAGCCCAAGTTCCTCTATCTCCTGAAGGTGTGGGCCCTGGGCAGGTTGTGGGGGCCCCAGGGCTGCAGCTCACCTGGCCTCCAAAGCCCTGGTAAGGACCCTCACCTCCTACACCCGCTGGAATCCTGTCTGCCACCTAGGCGCACCTGTTCAGACCTGCGGGCCGTGGGCGGGGCCCATGGGGCTCCGGGGGCCGAGTTTGAGGGCTGTGGGTGGGCCTGCGGGCTGGGGCGGTGTTTGTTGGCCATGGGTGGGCCTGAGGGCTTGCGGGCCGGGGCGAGGTTTTTCGACCCTGGGCGAGCCTGAGCCCTGGCGGGATTAGTTGGCCGTGGGAGGTGCTTGGGAGCCGGAGCGGGTTCTGTCGGCTGTGGGCGGGGCCTGTGGGCCGGGGCGGGGCAAAGGCGGCCCCTGAACCTCCAAGAAGTCTCCCGCAGGCCGTGCGTTCTCGCCGCCTGGAACCTCCGCCCCCGCCAGACTCTAAAGTGTGGCCGGTGAGTGCGCCGCTTGGTCGGGTGGGACGCTGGGGCCGAGAGTCCCGAGGACCTCAATGGCGCGGACTCGGCGGTCCGGCGAGGCCCTTTCCGGTGGGAGGCGGACTTCAGGAGGCCGGGCGGTTGGAGGGCGACGCAGGGCGAGGGCGGGGTGCCTCCCGGGTCTTCGGACAGGTGTGGCGGAGCCTTTGGGCCAAGGGCCGCAACTGAGCATCCCACTCTTTGTCCCTGGACGCCGGCCTCCTTCCCTCCTTCCGCAGGCCCGCCACCCTGTGTAAGTGGGCGGGCGGCAGCGGGGACTTCATCGCGGTGACGCGGGATTCCCACCGGGCCTGGCTGGAGCCTGGTCCCTGGTCCCCCTCCTTGGCACGCGGGCTGCCGAGGGCCCGGTCGAGTTGCGGGGCACCGGGGTGGGGCAGCTTCGTTCGGAACTACTGGCCGGCCTTTCCCTGGAGGATCACATCCGCCAGGCTCTCCCGGAAAGAGGGGCCTCTCCTCCTGGGTGGCCTGTGCGCGGCCTTGGGGGCTGGATCTGTGTCCGGAAGCAGCTTCCCCAGGAGGCCTGGGACCTCAGAGCAGGCCCAGGGGCACGTGTGCCGAGCGCAGGGCTTCCACACCTCCGGCTGGGCGGTTGGGGTCTGCGCACTTTTTTCTTTCCAGGCTGCAGCCCTTGCTGCTTTGTTGGGGGAGGGACAGTGACAAGTCTGGCCTAGGGTGTGGTGCTTGGAGAAGACCTGAGGTTCGGCTCAGGATCGGACTGTCCAGAAACGTCCTCCTCCCTGCCCCTGCTGGCCCAGACTAAAATACCCGGCCAGGCCGCTCCCCTTTCCGCGGCTGGGAATGACGTTGCCAGCGCAGGAAAGACTGCCTGGGGCAGCCTCTGGGAGGGGTGGCAGGATCCTGTCCACCCCTCATGGGTCAGACCTGTGACCTCTCTCTGCCCTTCCAGCGGAGCCTCCTGGGGAACTTCTGCCCACCAGTCCTCCTGCCAGCCAGGTGAGCTCTGGGTGGGGCAGTGTGAGGCCAGCTGTGGGTGTTCTGGAGTCTGGAAAGGTGGCCCCAGGCACTGCTGTCTGGGTCCCACAGCCCTGCCCCGCCCTCCCGGGTGCCATCACCTCACCACAGAGCAGGCCGGCCCTTCCTGGCTGGGGTGCCTCTGAGGAGGGGCCGGGCCTGGAGCTGCGCTTCTCACTGGGGTTGATGTGACTGTCCCCTTTCCAGTAATGAGGATACCCCAGGTCTGGGGGGTGGGTATGTCTGCCAGCTCCGCCTGCCTGTCCACTGTCCCTACTCCCCACTCTTGCTGGAAGGAAGGGAGGCCTGAGGGACTATGTAAAAGGCTAAGTACAGGGCAGGCTAGTCTGTCTCTGAGTGGCCTCCTCCCTTCCAAGTTCTTACTGCCGGCCTGTGACTTGGGGCCTGGAAATGCTGGGGGCTGGGGCCTGCATGAGCTCACCACTAGGTGCCCCCGGGGCTTCCTACCCTCGCAGCCAGTGAGAGTGAGTCAGCCAGTGATGGTTGGGGGTTCTCTGTGCCCTCTATGCCCTGGGTCTATTCACGGAAGCCAGGCCCTCCCACCTTCCAGGGCGGCGGGCAGCTTGCTTCTGCCCTGGTTGCCGTGGGGGTGGGGGCTCCTGAGCTGCTGGCTGGCCTGGGGCATTGGTGTCCCCTCCTTCTGTGCCCCCCGGGGGTCTGGCTGTCCTCCCAGTCAGGTGCTGGTGGGCGGGCCCTCTGACCTCCACCGCCTCCGCCTCCAGGATGGGCGAGTTCAATGAGAAGAAGTCGACATGCGGCACAGTCTGCCTCAAGTACCTGCTCTTCACCTTCAACTGCTGCTTCTGGGTGAGGGCCGGCACCGCCTCCCCCTGACCCACCTTCTCCACTTGTCATCCCGTCCCCGGTCCTCGAAGGGGGTCCTGGTCCGGGGCTCACATGCGGTAACTGACTGCCGTGCACCGTCCACAGCTGGCTGGCCTGGCCGTCATGGCTGTGGGAATCTGGACGCTGGCCCTGAAGAGTGACTACATCAGCCTGCTGGCCTCAGGCACCTACCTGGCCACAGCCTACATCCTGGTGGTGGCTGGCGTTGTTGTCATGGTGACCGGTTTCCTGGGCTGCTGTGCCACCTTCAAAGAGCGGCGGAACCTGCTGCGCCTGGTCAGCAGGGCATGGCTGGCACCGGGGGTGGGGGTGCCTGGGGGGGCTCCCCACCTGGCTGTCTGGGGCTGGCCCTGGGGCCCTGACTGGGGAAGAAGGGACTGATGGGACTTGAGTATGACACTGCACGCCTCTGCTCTGTTCACCTGGGAGGGTGTCCCACTGCCCAGCCTTCCTGTGAGTCCCCGGCCCCGGGGAGACAGCGGGTCTGGAAGGAAGCCCTCGCCCGCTGTCTGGATTCCTCTCTGTGGCCAGTTGGGAGCTGAGGGTGGGGACTCTGTTGAGCCTGGACACTAGGAACCCCCACAGAATGGGGGTGTCTGTGTCCCTGCTCACTGCCTCCTTCCTCTGCCCCAGTACTTCATCCTGCTCCTCATCATCTTCCTGCTGGAGATTGTGGCTGGCATCCTTGCCTATGTTTACTACCAGCAGGTGAGGGGCCTGGACAGGCCACACGGGGACGTGGGCACACACACACACACAGGGATGCCCTCCCCAAGCTGCAGAGCTGACCATTGTGCCATCGGGCTCTGGAGCTGAGGGCTGAGTCCCAGGGGTGGGGTGCCCTGTAGGTGCTTCTGGGGGCAGGCGGGTGTTCCTTGGAGCCGGAGCTGTCTCCCCACCCTGCCCCACGGTGGCCACCTGGGTGACTCTCCCATCTCAACCTGCGTCTGAGCCTGAGGTTGGCCCTTCACTTCCCTCGGAGCCCTCCCCCTTTCCCAGCATCTGCACCACCCCTATTCTGCCCCAACTTGGAGGGTCTTAAGACTGTGACTGAAGTTCTCACCATCGCACCCCAAGCTGAACACGGAGCTCAAGGAGAACCTGAAGGACACCATGACCAAGCGGTACCACCAGCTAGGACACGAGGGTGTCACCAGCGCTGTGGACAAGCTGCAGCAGGAGGTGGGTGGGTGGCTCAGGGAGGGGCCTTTCTGGGACTTCTGTGGGAGCCACCGGCAGGCTGGGAGGGGCAGGGGCTCAGCTCTGCGGTGCTCTCCCTGCAGTTCCACTGCTGCGGCAGCAATAACTCCCAGGACTGGCAGGACAGTGTGTGGATCCGCTCCGGGGAGGCGGGTGGCCGCGTGGTCCCAGACAGCTGCTGCAAGACCGTGGTGGCCCACTGTGGTCACCGGGACCACGCCTCCAACATCTACAAGGTGGAGGTAGGTGGGCGGGGCCTGAGGCTCCCTGTGAGGAATGCTGGGTGCTGGTGTGGTCTCCCCACCCCTTGGAGGGGGCCTGTGGCTGCAGCAGAGGGGGCTGGAGGACTCGCTTGCCTTCAGTGCCCCTCACTCCCACCTGCCAGGGCGGCTGCATCACCAAGCTGGAGACCTTCATTCAGGAGCACCTGAGGGTCATCGGGGCTGTGGGCATCGGCATCGCCTGTGTGCAGGTGCGGGCTTGGGGCAGAATGGGCCCTGGTGGGTGGGGGGCACGAGGAGGCTGGCAGCGGTGGCCCGCTCACGCCAGGTCTGTGCCACAGGTGTTTGGCATGATCTTCACCTGCTGCCTGTACAAGAGCCTGAAGCTGGAGCACTACTGACCCTGCCCCGGCCTGGCCCTGTGCTGCCGGCGCCACGGCTTCCCGCAGAGCAGACTACTGAGCTGACACTACTGACGGCCCGGGAGCGGGGGTCCCCGGACGCCTTTCCCTCTCCTCCCCCTTCGCCGGGAGGTTGTGTTCCTGTGTCCCCACCACTGTGCCACCTCTGTGCCTTCTGGGCACCCCCACCCCCAGAGGGAGCGTCAAGTGCCTTTTGCTGCACACCAAAGTCCTGAGGCTTGAGGCAGGGTCCCCTACTGAGTGGGGGCGGGGTGGCACTTCTGCCTGTGTGGGGGTCCTGACAATCAAGTACCCCATTCCCACAGGCTGCTTCCCTGGGGGGTTATGGCACCTCAGGGTGCACCCTGATGCCTGTGCCTAGTTGGAGGGGCTGGTTTGGCAGCAAGCTGGGTAGAAATGAATAGGCTGGGCTGGTCCACCCCAGGGTGCTCCCAGCCCCTCGGACACACCCCACGTGGTGGTCAGGGCAAGCCTTGGAGGGTGGTGCGGGTGCAGGGGGTATGGATGGGCCGCAGCTGAGGAGCTCTGTGTGCCTGTCAGCAGGTCGGTTGGGGCGCAGCCCCCCTGCCCCGCATGGAAAAGCCAAGCAAGCCAGCCCTGTCCCCAGGGTCGTGTGCCTCTCGGATCCCCTGGTCCCAGCCTGCTCTGCCGAGCCTGCTCTGTCTCCCCACCGCTCTCACCACCCACTAAAAGGCCACAATGTTCACTGTTGCCCCCGTTCCCCGGGGCCAGGTTTGGAGGGTTAATCACTGCTGTATCACAAATGCTATAGCTGCTCCTGCCACACAGCAGGTGCACAATAAACGTGTGGAACAGACAGGTGGGCTCACTGTGCTAGTGTGAGACGGTGCTGGCCCTCAGAGCCCTCATGTCCAGCAGGGTGCACAGACCCATGGCCCACGGTGGTGACAAAGGAGGACATGCTCTGGAGGGTCCAGGGCAGCCAGGTGGGAGCTGAGCACTGGCAGGACTCAAGGGAGAGGACTTGAGGCAGAGCCTCACACATCCTGGGGAGCGGGGCACTGCTGTGCACTAGCTGATGGGATGTGTGCTGTAGGTGGGAGCCGAGGCTTGGCCACTGGACCTCTTTGCCCCAGTGGCTGCCAGCTCCTGTCCCCAAGGCTTGGGCTCTCCACCCCGGGCAGGCCCCAATCTCGGACATCCAGTCAGAAGCAGCCTCGCTTCCTCCAGACTGTGTCTGCCTCCCACTGGGCGGAGGGCCCTGCCCGTGGTCTTGTCTCTCCCAGCTGACCTGATGGACACGTGCTGGTGCCCAGGGCACTGGGAGCTTGGCTGGCCCTGACCCCTAGCAGGGCCTCCTTGGGGCCACCAGGGACCTGCTGGAGGTCCCAGGCTGAGTGGAGGATAGGTGCACCCCACCTGACTGCAGAAACTTGGGTGGGGGTAGTGGCCTGCTGAGCCCCGTGGAGCCTGGGAGCTTCCAGCAGCTCAGGAAGTTCCGGTTGTGAGTGCAGCAGGCCCTCTTCAGGGCCCAGGGAACCTGGTTCTTCACATCCCAAGAGAGACGAAGCAGGGACCTCAGTGACTGGCCTGAAAAGCACCCAGAACATGGTGAGGCTGCCAGCGCCCCAGTGCCCTCGGCTGCCTGTCTCTGCGGGGTAGTGAGGGCACCCCCTCCAGAGGGGGACACCCTGGCTTGAGCGGCTGCTGTGGGGATGGCTCTCCCTCTTCCTGGGCGGTCAGGTGCTCGCATTCACCCCCAGAGGCCTCAGGCATGAGGCAGAGCACAGGGACATGGGTGGCGGCGAGTCCCAGAAAGCCAGACCAAGTGTCAGGACCTCCTCTGGTTCTGCAAAGGCCTTTACTGGACGGTTCTTTCCAGAGCACGAGATGGGGGTCCACACAGCTGGGGGTGGGCATGGCTTCCAGCTGCACACACCCCCCAGCCACAGCTGTGGCCCGAGCAGTCACTTCTCCAGGGGCGCATAGTTGAGCAGCTTCTCGATCAGGTCCACGTGGGCCAGCAGCATGCGGCGGCAGCAGTAGCGCTTCAAGCCCAGAGCGTCCAGGGCGTCCCTGCAGGCAGGAGAGGGCAGGTGGTGGTTTGTTGGTCCCAGCCCCTCCCGTGGTGGCAGGTTCTCCCCTCAGCTCTGCTCCCACGGCAGGGAGGGAGACACCTCTCCAGAGAGCCACTGTGCCCGTTTCACAAGCCAGCTGGAATCCCTACTTCCCCGGGACCCAGCCCATTCTCCCTCAAGGCCTCCAGAAGATTTTTGCACTGTGGGCTGCAATGTGCAGAGATGGCAGCTTGAGAAAGGGGAGGCCAGACTGGGAAGTTCCTGCCGGTGGCACTGCAGAAAGGGGTCCTGTGCAGCCCACCAGCCGTCCCACAGCTTCCCTGTCCCTCCCACGCCTGCACTGAGAGCCTACGACTCATTGACACAGCCCAGGCTCCGGACGGGGGCAAATACGGTCAGGCTGTCCACATACAGCCAAGAGCGAGACTGGCGTGGGACAGACTCAGAAGCAACTGCGGACTAAGGGTCAAGCACAGAAACCGACGCGGCAAAGCCTCATGATGACAGCTCTGTGGTTAGGACGATGTCCGAAAAGACCACGGGGCTTGCAGGACACGGGGGCGGGCCCCCCAGCTGAGAGAAGAGGTGAGTAGCAGGTGGGCTGGGAGAAGGCTGAGCGCTTTAACCGCGGTGCAGAGGCACCGTGCCTGGTCGGGGGGTACCTAGAAGCCCCCAACACCGCTGGCTTTATACCCAATTCCCTCCTTTCCCCAAACAGCCGGGGAGCGGGGGCAGCGCTCCCCTAAGAGCAGGGATGTAAGGGACTCTGGGATTGAAAACCACCGCAGAGTAACCTGGAATCGGAGGCCCCGACTACTACCCGTCTTACCCCTACTCCTCGTCCTGCCCGGCCCTCTGTCCCCGCCCCGCAGGCCGGGCCCCCACTTCCGTCCCAGCCCCGCAGAAGGCCCAGGGAGGCTTTCCCCCCGCACAGCAGGCCCTCGCCCGTCCAGTCCGACGCCTCACCCCTCGGTGTACTCGGCCTGCAGCAGCCCCAGGTAGGCCTCCCACTTGTTGCCGACGATTTTGCCGCAGGTGAAGCAGCGAACCGGGATGATCATGGCGACAACTGTTCAACGGCTGCGCTCCGGCCAGGTGGCTCTCCTGCTTCAGGCGCCTTTCCGGCTTCAGGCCCCGCCCCGCCCCGGGCGCATCCATGACAGGGGGTGGCAGGGCCCGACCGCAGCCGCCCCCAACCCGCCCCGCCAGTTTTCGGCGCCGTCAGTTTTCGCTTTCCGCTGCGAAGAACTTCCTCCACGTGTGGCTGGGGTCCTAGCGCTCCCGCGGCGATGCGAGAAACAGACAGCACCCCCCCGTTCGTAGTTTTGGTACATTCCTATCTACGGCGTCTGACCTTGGCCAAAGTACTCGGAGGCGCGGTTCGCGTTTCTCGTGGCTTCAAGACTGACAGCTGAGCTGCGAACGGACGGCGCGCGCAGGTAAGGTGCTCGCCAGTGGGAATGCGGCCCGAGTCCCGCCGCCCGTGGCGCCTGAGCTGGAGCCAGACCCAGGTCCCGATCCCAGCGAACCGGCGTGGAGTTCGAGCCCGGAGCGCTTAGACCCAAGTTGAGCAGCCGCAACAAGTGGCGGGGCGACCCCGCAGCCGGGCGGAGAGGGACTGGCCAGCGGCATGTCTTCCCGCTGCCGCTCCTGGTCCGTCCGGGAAGGAGGTCACTCGCTTGGAGCCCCTGTCAGCGGGTACCCGGGGTCTCTGAGGCTGAGTTCTGGGGTCTCCTCGGGGTGCCCCCCGGCCGGCTGGCCTGCACGATATCGGCCCTCGCATCGGGGAGGGGGCTTGGGGCTGGGGGCAAGTTGCTGGAATGGGCCTGCATCCGTCCCAGGCCAGGCTGTGCTTGGTCCCCACGATGTGAAGGCAGGGGCGGGGCGGAGAAGGTGGTCAGGGAGGGCGTCCGGAAGAGGCTCCTTTTCAATCCAGAACCCAGGATTTCTCTCGGGTTGCGCCTGAGTTCCTGTGAACCAGGGCAGATGCTGGCAGAGAGAGCCCTTGGACAGAAGCCTGGAGGCTGTACCTGCCGGGTCTGGGGACAAGGAGACAGGTGTCGGCTGGGGCTAGGGTAGGTAATGGAGTTGGAGGTGATGGAGAATTTAAAGGGAGGGAAGGCTGTGTGTCTGAATATGGGGTGGGTGAGCCCCATCATCTTGGCGGGGGTGGGTTTTATGCAGGGAAGGCTCCCTGCCAGAGGTGGGCTTTGGGCTGTGGGGTGTGGATGTGTTTCAAAGTGGCACCTATGACTTTAGGGTGTGGGCAGGCTCGCTGGCCTGGGAATATCTGGGTCTCTGGTTTGGTCCCAGGTGTCAGCTAGCTAGCTGCTCTCTCGAACCCTAGTTTGGGGGTGGGGAGATCCAGGTTGCCCTGGGTCCCGGGCAGAGCTGGCCAGAGCTGCTGCCAGCCTGGAGTATGTGCCTTCACTTTTGCCTGAGCTCTGGACCTCTTCCCCAACGCATTTGCCATCCCCCACCCTGCCACATGCAGAGCCACGAGCCAAAGCCACTTCCCTTCCCCTGACACCCCTCAACCCCCCCACTGACTGGACGCACATCCTGTTCCTGGCCAGAGGGGCAGGATAGGGGCCTTGAGTCACAGTGTCCTGGGGTCAGACCCCGGCTCAGCTACAGAGGCTGCCCGAGGCTGTGGAGGTGAGATGGAGGCTGGGAGAGCAGCCGGGATGTCCGCTGGGTGGACCTGTGGGAGTGGGTGGAGGGAGGAGGCTTCCTGGAGGAGGGGCCCAGGGCCCGCCACCACTGCTGGTGCTCCTGCCCCACACAGTTGTTTACTGAGAGTGTGAGGGGAGCAGCAACCCTCCCGCCCTGATCCCAGCCTGGAGCCAAGCTGACATTCCTGGAATTCTGAGCGCTGTACGTAGATTTGGGGGCAGCGGCAGCGTCATCTTCCCCAGCTCCTCCCTCCGGCTCCCTGATTTCCCAGGAGAGGCCATGAGGAGCAGGGTGGACGCCCTGTCCCAGCCCGTGGGCATTGCTGCAACACACGTGTGCACGGAGGCCCCTTGGGGCACTCGGGGCGCCCGGTCCTCGCGGCTCACCTCTGCCCTGGCTGGACATCAGGACCCCGGCGCAGCCTCCGAGGTCAGCCCCGCCCCCACAACTTGGCCCAGAGTGGCCCTGTGTGCCGGGAGCTCAGGCTGAGGGTGAGCAGCGGAAGCGAGAGCTAGGCTCACTTCTGGGCGGCTGGGGACAGGAGGGAGCTGTGGGGGCCCAGGACACTGGTGGGGTGGGGGCGAGACTCTGCGGGCCTGCTGGGGTGTGGGGGGGGGGCTTGCCTACAACCTCACTAGAGTGTCAGCACAGATGTGGCCCGGCCTCTGGGGAGGACCAGAGGGCAAGGCGCAGGTTTTCCAAGAATGGATGTCCCATGCCCGGAGGTCAGGGGCACCAGGAGAGAAAACTGTGCTCACGTGTGGTTTGGAACTCATGAGCCGTGTTTCCTGGCAGAAAGGGGCACTTGAGGGCAGGCAGGGGACAAGGGGAAATCAGAAGTTTTAGCTGCTGAGACTCTGGCCCTGATCGTTGTGCTGGGAACAGGCCCCACCCACTGGTCCTGGACTCAGAGGTCTGGCTGGGGGTCCTCCTGACCCTGGCTGTGCAGACCCGGGGTCCTAGGCTTGGCTGAGGCTCCACCAGCTTCGGGTAGACGTGCGCTCACCCAGGATGCACATGGTTGGGGGGCCTCCAGAGTCACCCACCCGCTACACCTACACCCACCCGGGCCCTGGGCGTGTCGAGTGTTGAGTGAGGGTGTTTGCAGGGCTGCTTGAGCCTGAACTGGCCCTAATGGTGTGGGCGTACCTGGGTCCATGGCGTTTGGGAACGTCACTGTCCGCCAGCCCAGCTGACTGCGGGCTCCCTGCGGGTCCCACTCTGCAGGGGTCCAGGTGGCACAGGGGCGCTCACTGGGGTGGGGTGGGCGTACACGGGGCATCCGAGTCAGGGTGCCCCCAGGGCCTTGGCAGGTGGGAAGGGGCCCCTTGCCCCAGGGTCCTAATTGTGTATCCTCCACCCCTAACTCCCGGGGACTGAGGGTGGGGGAGGAGTGGGGTGGGGCGAGTGGGGAGGCCCAGAGCTTGGGCTGGCCTGGGTGGGCCCAGGAGAATGGAGGCCCTCGGTGGTTCCTTCCAGGGGACCCCTCCCTTGGGGCGGGTGTCTCCCAGCCCCTGAGGCCGTGGTGTGGGTCAGGGAGACAGCCCCGCCTGGGTCCTGCGTGTGGTGTGGAGGGGGTGCCCCTCCCCCAGGCGGGGGGCCTGGGTGGGCGCTAGGCTGGAGCAGGAAGGCAAGACCACAGGCCTGTTTGTGTTGGCTGGGCCCTCCCAGCTCCTCAAAGCTGCCTCAGAGCCGCCTGGCCCGTCCCCACCCCGGTGGCCCCTGCTGGGCTGCGTGCCTGGCCAGGCTCTGCTGCTGCCACCGCTGGGCCTGGGCGGGCCACCAGCTCTCTGTCTCCTTTCTGCCCTCCCAAGGGCTCCGAGGCCACTGTGGGTGCACACTGCTTCTGCATTTGGGCACACCCAGGGAGGTGGCACCTGTGTGGCTCAGACTGCCCCAGGGTCCCTGCTTGCCCCCCACCACGGGGCCCAGCCTGGGCTGGCGGGCCGGTGTTTGTCATGGGCTCTCACTCAGCCTCTCCCTATTGCCTGCTGTGTGTGCTGTTCTGGGGGACACAGGCCTGTGGGGTTTTGCACCCAAAGGAAGAGAGCCCAGAGAGAGGAGCGGGGCAGGGAGCCTTCCCGGAGGAGGAGGCTGGGCCTGGGTGAGGGAGGGAACCAGCCCTGGTCTTGCCTTGCACCCGAGCCTGTCAAGCTGGGTAAGGGCTGGCGGGGCGAGGGCTGGAAGGGCTGGACAGACTGGAGGCCATTCTCGGAGGGCTCAGGGTGGCCGTGGGTGGGGCTGGGAGTGTGGCCACTGCCTTTCCTTCTGGCGCTGACTGCGGTCGTGATATGTGGGGCCCAGGACTGCAGCGCCACAGGCCCCATGCCCAGTCTGGGGGGGGGCGCTGAGGACCCAGCTCACGGCCTGTGTGTGTGGTGGCAGACGTGGTTTTTAGCTTCTGAAATGTTGTGGGCTTTGGGCTCCGTGCACCAGGGAGGGGCTCACTGGAGACAGTGGGAGGGGTGGGCCCCCCGGCCTCTGATACCTCTTCACTGGGCCCGAAACCACTCCACGGGCAATTCGTCCCCAGGCGCGGCCACTGCTGGGACGGAGTGGGGGTTCCTGGGCCTTGGCGCAGGTGGGTCCACTGTGAGGGGTGCCGTCTGCACCCCTTGGTGACGTGGGGGTGGGTCTCAGGCACACGCAGTTGGCTGCAGGGAGGGGCAGCCGCTCTGCCTGTCTCCCCTCCGTGGAGTCCCCCCCGGCCACGGCCGTGCCGCTCACCCACCTGAGGGCCACCTCAGGGGCACTTCGTGCCGCCCGACTTCCTTTCCATGGCAAGTCCAGGTACCTCACTGCCTGGCCGGGCAGAGGGAGCCGAGCTGGCTGCTTCCCGAGTTCACTCATACCTGGCCCAGGTCCTTGCCAGCTGGACGCTCTGCTGGGCCTGGGACAGGCCGAGCTAGCCTGCTGTTGCCTCCTGAGAGTGCTGTGTTGGGGCCCCACCTGCTCCACGGAGGAAGGGGACTTCTGTGGGGGAGGGGCTGGACTTTGGGGACAGGGGCACTGGATGCTGCCGATGGGAGAGGGGGGGGTGCTGGGACGGCGCTGGCTGAGGGAGATGAAACTGAAAGCATCCGTCCCGGGAGCCAGGCCCCCATTCCCCACCCACCTCTGGCCCCAGTGTCCTCAAGGCAGACAAAGATGAGGAGCCAGGCCTCAGAGCGGCTGGCCCTGGGCTGCAGGGGCACTGTGTGGGGTGGCTGGCTGTGACCCCACCGTGGGGCTGGATCCTGGAGGGCATGTGCGGTGAGCTGCGTCTTCTGTGACGGGCGGGGGGCCTGGCTCCTCCGCCAGCCCTCCAGGCCCTGAGTGTGCTCTGAGTCCACCCACCCCCTGCTACCGCGTACAGGGACTCCCAAGACCCGGAGTGTCCCCTCGGCTTTGCGCACAGGTGGGCTGGGTTGGCTGGGCCAGGGGAAGGTGGCCAGAGGCCACGGGGTCCCACTGGAGCCCCAGAAGGTCACTGGAGACCACTGGCTCTCTGGGCAGAGCTGTGGCCAGTGGTCTCCACGGGGCCCTGGGGAGCCTTCCACTGCCTGCTTCTCCTCTGGGCCCGGGGCCCAGAAGCTTTAGGAGGGCAAGGCAGAGTGTGGGCTAGGCTCTCCTGCCCACCGTGCCCTGGGCCCTGAGTTCCAGTGTTTCACAGAGCACACGGGTGCCCCGAGGGGAGCGCAGATGTCCAGGTGGTCCTGCAGCAGCCCCCACCGCCACCCCGCACCAATCTCTCAAACTGTCGCGGTGCCCATGGGCACCCCTCCCCTGCTCTCCCCCTCCCCCCCCCTCCGGCCTCCCCCTTCTCTCCCCTCTGAACTCTGCTGCTCACTCTTGGGGACGCTGAGGGAGTCTCCATAGGATTGTCCCAAGCGGTGGACACACCCAGGTGGGCCTTGGCCGCAGCCTCCAGCCCAGGGTTTAGGGCACACCCTGCCTGAGGCCCAAGGGAGGGGGCTGCAGGCCTGACGGGGGAAGTGGCGCCCAGGGCCCAGGGACTGTGCTGTCCCCACCAAAGCAGGGATGTCAGTCCCAGTCTGGGTTGTGGGCCCGTGAGTGTGCCTCCAGGCTGCTCCTGGTGTGACCTGACGTGTGTGCACATCATCAGTGCAAGGGGCATTCGTGCTTGCTCAGGGGTGTGCAAGTGACCCTGGTATGTGTGAGCCTGGCTGGGGTCCATGGCTGTGTGTGTGTGGACATTTCTGGGGTCCGACTTCCAGCCTGGTCTCGTGCAAAATGAAATTTGGGGCCCTCTGTTCAGGGGTTACCAAGAATTTAAAAACGATGGCAATGGAACTTCAAACCGGCCAGGGCTCCTGTGTGCCTGCGGAGCCGGGCCTGGGGGGCCGCCCGCCTCCTACGGGGCCTGGCTCCGGGTCCCTGGGGATCTCTCCCCAGCCCTGAGCTGCCTCCCACAGTGACTCACCCACCCTTCCCAGGCACCCAGGGCTCCCCAGAGCGCCCCCGCCTGCTTGCCCTCTCTCGCCCTGGCTCCTCTCAGGAGCTTGTGTCTTAAACCAAAGCTCTGCTTCCCCAACCACTATCCCCCCAGGTTGGGTACCCCAGGCTGACACCGTCTCCGCAGGCGCCCCTACCGACCCAAGCTATGAGCTGAGAGAGCTCCGCGGTCCCAGCGCCACCCTCGCCAAGCCCAGGGTGGCGGTGGTGGAGGCTGCTCAGGCAGTGTGCACCCCAAGGAGTATTGGGCTACATTGTCTCGCTCCAGTCCGGAGGTCTGGGTCCGGGACCGAAGCTAGAGCCCGCCCAAGTCAGCACCCGACAGCAACTGGGTCACTCTTTCATTTGCATATCGGTGTGGTTGGAGGTGGGCGCAGGGCGGCTACAGGGAAGGCCGGGGGCGCCTTTCTGGGGCTGAGTGCGGCCCGGGACTAGCCCCCCACCCCCCTGCGCCCAGCCCCCTCCAACGCTTTCCCTGCACTCTGCGAGCATCTTCCTCCCGGCGCACTGGGAAAGGGGAACCTGAGGGGCGCCGGCGCCAGCTAGGGGCCGGGCGGGGGCGTCACCCCGGGTCTGGGATTGGCCAGCATCGGTGGAGCGGTGGGATTTGCTGGGCAGCTCCTGGAGGCGGGGAGGGGTCCGCACGGGGCGGGGCAGGCGCGGATTGGCGGGTGGGCACGGGGCGGGGCTGTGGGGGTCTGCGCTCGGGTCTGCGCAGGGAGGGCAGGTGCCCGGGGCTCACCGGGGCCCGAGCCCAGTGGTGTGCGGGGCTGCTACTGCAGGGGCTGGGGGCGCGTGGAGCTGAGCGGCAGGCGGATGCGGTGCTCGGGGACGGCGGGGGCAGGGTGCTGAGCTTGGCGGCGGCCCCGGCGTGATGCGCCGCTCCAGCACGGACGAGTCCACGTACCGGCGCAGCCCGTCGCCGCAGGGCAAAGAGCCGGGCTTCGCGCGCGGTGGCCCCTTTCGGCGCTACAGCAGCCTGTACGGGCGCGGGGACGGCGGGGATGCCGGCGGCTCCTTCTTCGGACTGCACGCCAACCCTGGCCCCAAGGCGGCCCAGGCGCGCTACACGTCGCCCAAGGGCACCAAGTACGTGGTCTTCTACCTGGACCTGTCCTTCATCTTCCTCCTAGAGCTGAAGCGTTGCGGCATGGCGCGCGGCTGCCTCCAGGGCGTCAAGTACCTCATGTTCGTCTTCAACCTGCTCTTCTGGGTGAGTGGTAGTGGCCGGGGCTGCCGGGACCCGGTCCCCGGCGTTTGGGGGGCCCAGCTGGGATGGGGGCGGGACACGCAGGTCACAGATGTGTGTGTGTGGGGGGTGCGGGTCCCCTGGGTCGCTGCTGCTCTGGCCGGACCTGCCAGTGGGGCGGGGGTGGTTCGGTGCCTGTACACCCAGGGCGGTTGTCCACGTCCTCTCCCCTCTTCCTGAGACGGGGTGGATCCCTCACGTGCGGGCCCCGTGGGGCTGCCTAAGGCCCTGAGCGTGCCTGCCGGGGTTCATGTCCCAGTCTGTGTGCTGGGGCTGGTGCCCCCACTGTGCCCTCTTCCCTCCCGCTCTGCAGCTCCAGGCTCTTTACCAGCTCCCCCACCCGCCCTGCCAGTGGGCCATCCCCCCCGGGCCTCCCCAGCCCGGCTTATGAGGGCTGTGGGGGTGGGGCAGTCCCCAGTCCCCGGAGATGCTGTGGGGACGGAGGGGGGGTGCACTGAGACCTCTGTGGGTCAGTCACTGAGCAGGACCCTGGGGCAAGGTGGGGCCGCCCTGAGTGTTGGTGGGTGTCCAGGCATCTGCCACCTCCTCTCCAACAGGGGGTGTGTGGGAGGGGCGTCCATAACTTTTGCTCAGTGGGTTGGGTTTGCTCAGGTGGGAGGTGCCTGACAGTCCAGTGCCGGCCCTACTGCTGCTCTGGGGTGGCTCCTTCCCGCAGGACGGAGACAGAGTTGCCACCCCGCCCCACACTGCAGGGAGGGTGGTGGGCTGTGGCTGGGGTAGGTGTCGGCCCTGCCCAGGCCTGCGGCTGCCCTGGCTGGGCTGGGAGGCTTGTGGGAGAGAGGCTGCCCGGGTCACTCACAGCTCCACCACTAGCTCCAGAGCCAGCCCTCTGGCTGCAACTGGGAGTGGGGGGCGTGGCTTTGGCCCCAGGGGCTGTGGCCTCCTGGAAGAGGCCGCATTTGCTTGCTTGTGGGCGTTGGGTCCAGCTAAGGCCCGATGCCTAGAAACCCAGGTCCAGCTTCTGCAGGGCCCCTTCATCCTGGGCCCTGGCTTCCCCCCTCATTTGGGGGAGGTGGCATCAGGAATCACTGGGAGGGGCTGGCACCGACGGCTGCAGACAACAGCATGCCCGGCCCCAGTGGCTGTAGGGGTCGCTGAGGTGGGCAGTGGGTGTGGGGACGGGCTGGTCCCGAGACCTGCCGCTGTGGAAAAGGGCCCCTCCAGGGTCCCGGGGGCAGGAAAGGTTTGTCTCCCGTCTGACCTGGGGTTGACGCACCTGCTCCTCCTGGGAGGAGACAGGCCTGCCTGTGGTCACTGGTGCGTGGGGCCAGGTGCCCTGGGGCTGGGAGCCTGGGAAATGGGTTCGCACGCGGGCAGGCCACGGCAGGGCGGGTGGGGCACAGAGGCGCGGTGGCCTGCCCTTCCACAGCAAACGGGCTCTCCCTGGGCAGGGACAGGCCTTTTGGGGACAGTGGGTCTCCTCTGAGGCGCACACAGGTGGTGGGCCTGTTAGGGCCGGGGCTGTCTTCCAGGGGCCCTGACCTGGGTGGGAGGGCCGGCACAGAGCCCGGGGAGGGTGGGGTGCACCTACCTCATGAGGCCAGCTGGGGTGGGGGGACTGAGCAGCCTCGGGCTTCCACTGAGGTTGGGAGCTGTCAGTCAAGTTCTTCCTTAACAGAGAGGGGGCCCTGGGCTCTCCCCGCCCCACCCCTGCTCAGAGCTGCCCTGGGGACAGTCTGGGAAGACTGGGTGGCCCTGCAGGTGGCCCTAGATGGAGGCGGGGCTGAGCTCAGCAAGGTGAGGGGGCACCCCTCCCTCCGCCTCCCTCTGCAGCTGGCCTTCCGCCCGGTGCGGGTCCGCCAGGCTGAGGGCCCTCCCAGCCCCTCGCTCTGCCTCCGCCCACGTGCGGGCAGGGCCTGCTGGACAGTTAGGGTCGCAGCCCTGCCAGGCTGCCAGCCTGTGCCCACGGCCACACCCAGGGCAAGTCCTGCCCTCCTTGTGGCCTCAGTCTCCCCACTTGCACCCTCTGGACCCCTTGGTTTTCCTGGGACTGTTGGGGTGGGGGCCCACAGTGACAAAGTCTCTGCAGAGCTGGGGCCGTGACCGTCCCCGTCCCCCTTGCCGTCGGAAAGCAGAGCCACAGGGCAGAGCCGGTGTGCCTTCAGACCCCAGACCCTGTGACAGCTGTGGCCCCCCAACCTACTGGGGCCACTGGGGCCACCCTGAGTCCTGGCTCAGGCTTCTTCCCGTGTGTGGGCTGGGCAGGACGGCAGGCCCTGTTCTCTGGTGGCCACGAGTGGGGCTGGTGGGACTCGGCCTGGCCGGTGCCTGGCAGCATTCGCTGGTGTCCCCCTGGGGGGCGTGTGGCTGTCCTGGCCAAGTCAGGGGTCAGGATGCCACAGGACGGCTGTCCTGCAGGAGCTCTGGTCCTGGGGGCCAGCTGCTGGCTGATGGACAGACAGGGACTCGGACTGGGGACGGTGACGTGCTCTGTGGTGGCCGCACCCCCTGCTCCCTCCCCAGGCGGGCACAGCCGGACAGTATTCTGAACCAAGGCGAGGCGGGAACAGGCAGCCGGTCCACCAGGGGCCCTGCCTGCCCGGCTGTGGCTCCGGTGCCGGCCCTGGTGCTGGCCTGGTGGCCGTGTCGGGCCCGCTGTCCGGCGACTCAGGAGGGCTCTGTGGGCCCCTACAGTCCATCCTGCGGGCGGGTGGGGGAGGGGGAGGCGGCCTACCAGGCCCCTGTGTGGATAGAACCTTCTAGACATAAATCCAGAGGTGGGGGTGGGCTGCAGAGCCATGTGGCCTCGGCCGCAAAGGGGGCCTCAGAGGTCAGGAGGTCGTGCAGGGGTCAGGTCCCGGGTCCCAGCTGCATCTCCCAGCCCCTGCTGTGGTCCAGTCCCCGGCCTGTGGGGCCACCCTCGGCTCGGCGTGTCCTCTGTGGCTGCTCTGAGGATCCGGCCGGTGAGGTGGTCCTCGTCTCCCTGCCACCTGCCCCTCACTCCACCTCTCCCTGGACGCTGGCCTAGGGGGTCTTTGGCCGACGGGGCCGTCTATTGGATGGGCCAGGGCTGAGTCTTCAGGGCACCTTGGGGGCTCCCAGGATCGGGGGGGTGAGAGAAGAGAACCCATGAGCACAGGGAGCTTGCCAGTGTTTAAGACAATTAATTGCTTGAATTTTAAGTGGACAGTGTGGAGTTGCCGCCCAGGTAGCAACACCCCGGCCCCTTTGCTCAGCTCCTGGCCCCAGCCTGGGCGCCGTGGACCCGATTTCCGGCGCTCTGGAACTGCAGGGAGATGGCGCCCTCCGCCAGGCCCAGCCCCCACCCCGAGGCCGGTTGCCCGACAAGGGGCTTCTGGGCACAGGCTCGGCCCCTGCAGGCACCCAGCCCTCCACCCCATTCCGAGGACATGGCCAGCTGCCCGGCCATCTGCCACGCGGAGCCTTGTGGCCGGAGGGGCAGCGGCAGAGGGCCCGCTGGCACCTGCCTCACTGTGGGGCGGAGGTGACATCATCGCCGGCCCTGCCCCAGGCCAGCCTGAAAAGTGTGACGGCAAGGAAAGCTGTGGTGGGGACGGGGCCTTGGCCAGGGGCGGGTGACGAGGGCACACGGGCAGGAGACAGGGAGGCCCCAGTGGCCAGGGGGAGGGGGTGGGGATCCTGACGGTGGGCCCTCCCCCCTCAGGCTGTGGTGGGTCAGAGTCCACTCCTGGGCGCCCCTGGGCCTCTGCCAGGCCGGGCAGGAGCGGGGTCCTGCAGCCCCAGCTGCGCCGTCTCCGCCAGCCGGACCGGGGAGGGACTGGGGCGTCCGGCCAGGGCGGGGCCTCGGATCCTGCATCTGAGCTTCTGTGTCTGCGTGTGACGGGGCCGGTCTTCTCCTGCACTTGGGGGCCGTAGTTTTCCTGACAAAATGTTCTCAAAGCCGCACACACAGTCACGTTTCAGAGTCACAGGTGATCGTGCTGGGCACCCGCGTGTGTTCTGTCAGTGTGTGTCTGCCTGAGACCTTCTGGGGACCTGCAGGGACAAGGGTCACAGGCAGCGTGTCGCTGACGTGCAAGGGCGTGTGCAGTGTTGCAGGTGATGTGCTGTGACAGTGTGGGCTGTGTGTCTGTGTCACGGTGCGTGACGGCACGGGTCTGGGTGACAGCCAGTGGGTGTCTCTCCTGCCACCTCCGGGAGGTGGGGACCTTCCTCGGAGTGGGGATGAAGGAAGGACGGCCGCCGGGGCTGTTGGTGGGGTCTGGTCCCGCCCCACCCGAGCCCTCTGCCCGGCGGCAGTGGCATCCGCTGTGGGTGGTGTGGTCTCATTTTTCCTGCTGACGAGAGCCCCCCTTTACCCTTGCAGGCAGAGCGCAGGCTGTTTGGGTTTTAAATAAGAGCCCCCAGCACCTGCCCCGCGCGGCAGCCCCACCCGCTGGGCCTGGGGGCTCAGCCCCGAACCATGAGCCCCTGATACCCACAGCTGTGAACCTGGAAAGGGGTCTCAGGTCAGCCGGACCCAGTCGTTGCGGGTCACTGTGGTCTTTGCCAGAGAAGGCCTGACTCCAGTTTCCTCCAGAGAGGCGGCCCACCCCCCGAGCCCCAGGGCTGTGCTATTTCTCCACACGGCGCCCCGGTGGGTGGTCCCTGCTGCTGCCGCCCCCTGTGGTCCTTGGAGATCCCGGGAGACCCAGAGGCCGTGGGATGAGGTGCTACAGGTGTCCTGCCGGGCATGGGGGACCAGCGGGGGTGCAGCCGGACAGGCAGGTGGGAGACTTCAATGAGCCAGTGCCCGTCCCTGCCTCTTCTGTCACCGGTGGCCAAGGCTGGGGGCGCCCAGAGGTGCGGTGGCCAGGTCTCATTCCTGCTCTGGGGCCTGGCTGGGGTCAACCCTGTGGACAGCACCCCCAGTTGCTAGTCCGGGCCCCCCGCAGGCGGGGGCACCCCTGCCCACCCTGGGGCTGCACCCCCACCAGACCCTGTGTGAGGACTCCCCAGGGGAGTGGTGTGTGTGTGCCTGGGGTGAGGGGCGTAGACACCAGGTGACACGTCCAGTCAGAGCGTCCTGGGCCTCCCACCTGGGCAGCTGCCCTGGCCTCGGTCCTGGTGCCGGATGCTGGACTCTGGACGCTGCGCCAGGCCTCACGGGTTCTGATCTGCGCTGTAGGCAGAGGCCTCATCTCACATGGCGGCCCTTCCAGGAGCTTCCAGGCCCCTGCACCAGTTGGGGGTTGGTTCCCCCAACCCGGTGCTCAAAATCACAGGGCCTGGGCACTTCCTGCCCCTGCCGCAGTCCCCAGCCGGCCCTGTGGAGGGCTTCGCCAGGCCCCGTGGCCCCGGCCCGGCACCAGGTGGCCCTTCGGTGGAGTTTCCTGGGCCCCCCCTGAGCCAGCAGCATCAGAAAAGGTGTTTGCAATTTTAGACAGTCCTTGTTTTGGGGGGAGGGGATTCCCTCCACTGGTGTTGGGGGCTCTCCTTCCACTCAGCCTGGGCAAGGCCCAGGGGCACCCCAGACAGACGCTGTGGGAGCCTGGCCCCGCCCCGGCTGCCTCCTGAGCCGTAATCATGGTCTCCTGCCAGCCGGCTGGCCCACTGCAAGCACACTCCCTGGGGAGTGGGGGGAGGAGCCGCAGCACCACCCGCCCGGCCTGACTGCTGGTCGGGCAGCGGCCCTCCCTTCCTGAGATGTGGGGTCCCTGTCAGGGTGGAGGCCCCAGGCCCGGGCATGGGGGGGGGCGGTGAGGCCAGCTTCCCAGGGCTGGCTGGGCAGGCGGTTCATCTCCCAGCCTCAGGAGGTGAGGCTTGGGAGGCTTTTGTGGGGAGACGCGGGGTTCGTGGTGGCCCCGGGTAATGCTGTGTCCCTCGGGGTCTGGTGGCCCAGCCAGTCCTGGCTGTGCAGGGGGGCACTCTGAGGGGCTGGAGGTGGTGGCTGGGGCTGCCCTGTGGGCTGAGGCCAGGACACCAGGAGGTCCGGGTGGGGTGGGGCCTCAGGGCTGCCTGGCCTTCCCCATGTGCGGGCCCTGCCCACGGCCCGTCACACACCCTCCCTTCTTCCCGAGCGGCTGCTGGGCGCCTCTGCTCCATAGGCCCGTGTCCCGGGCACCAGGCGGGACCAAGAGCCCCCTCTGGGTTCATCACCGCCACGCCTTCCTCCCCCCTTTCTCCCTCTTTGATTGATTATTGTGACCATGAGCGATTATGAGATTTGAGCAGACCTCCGGTGGTTTACAGGGCCAGGGAGGCGGGGCACTGGGCTCTGCTCCCACCCGCCAGGCTGCCCTCGGGGGACCTGGACGGTGCTTCAGGGCTTACGCTTACTAGGGAATGGCTGGGGTCGTGCAGAGGGGCCCAGGAGATGGCGGCCACATGGGGCCCGGTGGTTGGGGTCTTGGGGCCGCCCACTGGGAAGCCAGACTGGAGTGACAGCGTGTGTGGGGTCTGGCTGGTCTCTGAGGTGGGGTGTCCCTGGGCTGCCCAGGGAGGGAGGGGCTGTGGGGCTGGGCCCGTCGCAAAGGCAGCACAGGCTGTGTTCTGGGGGTGGAGGGAGACGCTTCTTGGAGGGGGGCGTCCGCGGCAGTCCTGGCGCCCCGGCCCCCGGCCGCCTCAGCAGGGGCCCCATTCATGGCAGTGTCCGCAGACCTCCTGCCAACCACGGCATGGTCAGGCCGTAGGTGTGGGACCCTGCCGTCCCATCACTGTGGCCTAGGATGGGGGTATCCAGGCAAGTCGGGGAGGGCGTGGGACGGGGAGGGTGCGCAGGGGGCTCGCCCTGGGCGCCACCCAGGCTGCCGCCTCACCATCCTCCCCACGGTCCCAGCTGGGTGGCTGCGGCATCCTGGGGGTCGGCATCTGGCTGGCCGCCACCCAGGGGAACTTCGCCACCCTGTCCTCCTCCTTCCCGTCCCTGTCGGCCGCCAACCTGCTCATCGTCACCGGCACCTTCGCCATGGCCATCGGCTTTGTGGGCTGCGTCGGGGCCGTCAAGGAGAACAAGTGCCTGCTGCTCACCGTGAGTGGGGGCCCTGGGACAGGACGGGGCAGCCACAGCATCCCAGCCTTGGGGTCCGGGACCCTTTGGTGAGAGGGTCCTAGCCTGGGTGCCGACGACCCGGTCAGTCTGTGCTCCCGTGGGGGCCCCTGTGCCGTGGCCCAGCCTCGGCAGGCACCAGCCACCCCAGGCTGCCCTGCAGGGTGTGGCGGAGGAATGGAGGTTCCGGCCCTCCCACCCACCCCCTGGCGTCCCGGGCCGTTGCTGTGCCTGCCTGCCTGCCCCTTTGGTGACCCAGGCACACCCGTGCACCCAGGCCTGAGGCCTGTGCCCTGCGGTCAAGGCCAGACTAGCGGAGCATGAAGGTTGGAGGCGGTAGGGAGCCTGGTCCCCAGGTGTGGGGACCTGCCGGGGCTGCCAGCAGCATGTTGGGCCCTCGGAGGGTGGAAGGCTCCGGGGTTTGGGGAGGCGGGGCCAGGGTTGCTGAGGCCCGGCCCCCTCCCCACGCCCCTGCAGTTCTTTGTGCTGCTGCTGCTGGTGTTTCTGCTGGAGGCCACCATCGCCATCCTCTTCTTCGCCTACAGCGACAAGGTACAGCCTCCGTTGCCCGCGTGGCCTCGGGAGTGGGGCTCCATTAGCACCAGCCAGCGAGGGGCCTCGGCTGGGCAGGCAGACGCCACTGTCAGGAACCCCACATCCCGGGGGCAGGCCTGGAGGGGGCGCTGTGGGCTCCGGCCCCGCCCAGCTCCCCAGCTCCTGCTGTCCCCATGGCTCCTTAGTGGGTTGGGACAGACCCCTGTCTCCCACTCACCCCCTTACCCATCTATCTAGTCGGTGACTTCACAGGCGGCTCATTCTTGGGTCAGTCTTGGGTTTTGCTTTTCCGTCCCACTTTGCCACGGGAGCTGAGCTGGCTCCGACAGGAGCCTTGACATGTCCCATGCACCATTTAGGGAACGTGTCCTTTTTCTTCTGGCACCGGGAGACACTCCAGGCCCCTCCTGGGCAAGCCCTGCCTGGCGGGACCACCCGTCTCTCTCAGGAGCCCCTGGTTCTTCAGGGGAGGAAGGGCTTGGGGGCCGAGACCTGGGCGCTGGTTTGCCCCTTGCCCCCGGGTGTCGGGGCTCCATGGCCCCCCAGGGCACAGCAGGGAGTGGAGGGTGCAGACCGCTCTGGGCCTGGCGCCTGGCCCTGCGTCTGCACGACCTGGTATGGTGCTCAGCACCACAGCGGTCCGGGTGGACGACAGGGGCAAAGGCCTGGTGCTCTAGGGGCTTCTGGCGGGAGGTGACTCCGGGTGGGGAGCACGGAGGGCAGCCGGGCTGGCCAGGGGTGGTCCCGCTGACCCCGCTGCACCTGCAGATCGACAGGCACGCACAGCTAGACCTGAAGAAGGGCCTGCACCTGTTTGGCACCCCCGGCAACGTGGGCCTCACCAACGCCTGGAGCATCATCCAGACTGACGTGAGGGGGGCAGAGGGCCCGGGCGGGGCTGGGCCTGCGGGGCAGGAGGCGCGGTGTGGGCCCCCTCAGCACGGTCCCCACTGCCTGCCTCCCGCAGTTTCGCTGCTGCGGCGTCTCCAACTACACGGACTGGTTCGAGGTCTACAACGCCACGCGAGTGCCCGACTCCTGCTGCCTGGAGTTCAGCGAGAGCTGCGGCCTGCACGCCCCCGGCACCTGGTGGAAGGCGGTGAGCCCGGGGCCTGGGGTGGAGGGCCCGCCTCCTGGCCCTTGGTGGACGCTGGCCCCTCTGACGCCCGCTCCCCCTCCAGCCGTGCTACGAAACGGTCAAGATGTGGCTCCAGGAGAATCTGCTGGCCGTGGGCATCTTTGGGCTGTGCACGGCACTGGTGCAGGTACGGAGCCCGTGGACTGCCGCCCGGCCCCCCAGCATCCACAGGGCCCCCCGAACCCTGTCCCCCTGTGGAGCCCACTTCCCCAGGCGGAGGCGTTTGTGGGGTGCTCAGGGGCACCTTCATCGGCACCTGGGGACAGGCAGGCTGCCCTGCGTCCCGTGCGGAGGGCCTCCCTGCCTGGTGGGCAGAGGTGCGCCCAGCGTACAGTGAGGGCGGGCAGCCTAGGCCCTGGCCACCAGGCCCAGCTGGTGGCCCCCGAGCCCCCACACTGGTGTCCTGGGCCTGTGGAGGTCCTCAGTGGCAGTGGCTGGGGAGCTGGAGGCCAGGCTGTGTCCCTAAACTCAACCCCCAGGGCAGTGACGGTCCCTGGGGTTCAGACAGGTCAGAGGTGGCGATCACAGATGGATGAAGGACAAAGGGCAGGATGCGGGGGCCCTGGGCAGCTGGGACGGGGCATGTGGCTCAAGACCCAGCCTCTGAACCCCCCTGAGGTGCCCTTGCCTGCAGGGGCGGGGGTGTGGCTGTGTTTGGCCCTCCCCTTAAGGGGGACAGGCCACACGGGAGTGTAGCTGTGGGCAGGTCCCTGCAGCGCTTCTGCCCTCCCCCTCCTGTCCCCACAGATCTTGGGCCTGACCTTCGCTATGACCATGTACTGCCAGGTGGTGAAGGCCGACACCTACGCATAGGCAGCCCGCCTCCACGCCACCCACCCGGAGATGACCTGTCCGCCGAGGCCCCTGCGTCAGCCTGGGTGTGGGGGAGGGGAGGGCCGGCGGCAGAGGCCCTGGAACCCTTGGCCAGGCCTCCGAGCGTCCTGCCGCAGGGGCAGCGAGTGCTGGCCACACTCAGGGGCTGGAGGCAGAGGGGCTCGTGGCGCCTTTTAATTTTCACGCCTGTGTGTTCTCCAGAGGAGTGTCCCTGGTACCTAGCACAGGGCACGGGGTGGGGGTGAGGGGCCCACTGCGGCCCCTGGTGCTTGGGTGGGGCAGAGCCCTGCCTTTCACATTCCATGGGGGGCCAGGGCAGCCCCCCAGTGCGTCTAATAAAGTATGTGGGCAGCAGTCCCCACCTCTGTCGTCCTTGCCCTGCCCCCCCCCCACAGGCGGACCCCTGTGGCCATGGACCCCGGCCACCAGAATGGGACTAGCGCCTGGAGGGGGCTCCCGGACCCCCGGAGTCTCCCTGACCTGCCTGGGCCCCACCCCCCACCTGCATCTGTCTTCTCCCGACTGGCTGGCTCCCCTGCCCAGCCCCCAGCCCCCTCGACGCCCCTGGACTCAGCCCTGAACCAACACGCAGGCAGGTCTTGGACACGCTCGGCACTGCAGCCGTCTCCACGCAGCAGCGGCAAAGAACGGGAAGTGAGGAGAGCGACCGCCGCCGGTGCCCACCACGCTGGGCCCAGACCCACCGGCTCAACCCGGGGACTCGCACACGGCGCCAGCTGCCGTGGGGTCTGGCCTCAGCTCATGGTCCGAAGCGGCACCGGGGTCCCGCTGGGGCCTCTGGCACCAACCCCACCGGCAGCACCCGGCTCACTTTCCTCCCCACGTGCTGCCCTTGGGTGTCTAGCCCCAGGGCGCCTCGCTCAACTCCCCACCCCTTCACTTTGGTCCCCGTTTTCCAAACCCCAAGTCAGGGAGCCCCCCTGGCATACCCAGGGTCTTGTCACCGACTTGGCTCCACACCCACCAGCACCCCAATCACACAGTGGGTCCCCAACTGCTGTGCACTTGCAAACACCTCTGAACCCAGTGCTTCCCGCTCCCCACCATCTTGCCCCGGCCTTGGAAGCTGGGGGCACCCAGAGCCACCAGTCTGGGCTGAGAGGACGAGCTGGGCAGCTGCTGGCCTGCACACGACAGGCACGTGCGCACACACAGGCAGCAGACACACTGGCTTCTCACAGGGCCCCACCTCACCCCCATCTGTCCTTTCGTTCAGGGCCAGCCCCACCCCAACCTAGGACACGGGGTCCATTTCCCAGGACCCACGGGCTGCTCCACCTCACTGAAGAGTGGGCCTGGCCGGGAGTAGCCCCGGGGCATCTGCATGGGTTGGGGGGATAGTTTGCAGAAGTGGGGGGGCCTTGGGGCTGCCCCTCCACCCAGGCCAAGTGGGCGGTCCTCCCTCGGGGTGTCCCCAGTGGGCGTGAGGCTCTGTGGAGGGATGGTGGGCATGGCCAGGTTCTGACCCCCAAGGACAGATACCCACCCCCTTCCGTGTTCCACAGCAAATGGAGGCACGTGGCGCCCACCCCAGGACTCCCGACTCAGGACCCCAAGTGCTTCAGGGGATCCAGAGACTTGGGGTGTGGCTGCGAGCTCTCACACAGCTCGCGGCCGCTGAGTGCAGCACCTGGGTGAGCACCACGTGTCTGTGCCTCAGGCCAGCGGGCCTGCCAAGGGGACTTGCTGGGCAGCGGGGCGAGCGGCCTCTTGCCGAGGGGCCAGCTGTGCTTCGGCTCTGCACACACTTTCACCCCGGGAGTGCGGCTGCGCCCGCGGAACGGGTGGCGGAACTGGCTGCCGTGCCGTCTGTCCACAGTGACCACAGAGCCACGGTGCCCAGGGCCCAGCCCCTCACGCAGGTCTGGCCTTGCTGAGGTGCGTCTCTGCAACAAGACCTGGAGGGCTCCCGGGCAGGCAGGCGGGTCTGTGTGGGCGGCGGGGGGACAAAGCACAGCCACCACTGCCACGAGTCCAGGCACCAGCGAGCCTGGGTCCTTCCGAAGCCTCCAACCCACACTGGACCCCAGTCCACGTGGGGTGGGGACTGTGTTCTCAGGGTGCCCCCCGCCAGGGTGCTCTCCTTACATCACTGCCAAGGAGGTGGGGGTCCCGGGGCCCGGCTGTCCCCACCCAGGGACTGAGGCGGACACGGCCAGGGAGACAGAGAAGAGTCTGTATTTTGCACGCCCACGAATCCCCTGTCGCTTCGAAGTCGAGGCCACCGCAGGGCGGAGCCTAGAGGAGGTCGTAGAAGTAGTCCAGGCCCTGGCCCAGCTCCCAGATGGACAGCCCGACGCCCAGCTCCCGGGCCAGCTCCAGCCGCACCTGCACGGACTACGGGCAGAGAGCACCGTCGGCCCCCGCCTCTCACCGCCCCCACCCCCGGCAGCCCCAGCACCGCTCAGGGCTGAGGTCCTCGGCCCCAGAGGGCAGCAGGTCAGACCATGCACTGACCCCGCGGCCCGCCTCGGCCGCCCTGAGGGCAGGGTCATGGTCGGGACGCACGCACCTTCAGAGTTGGGTAGAAGAGGATGTGCCTCCCTCCTCGGCTTCTGCAGAGGACAGCGGGCGCTGGCTTCCTGCCTCTGGTCCTCCCAGCCCCCCCCCGGCCAGCGCCCCCCCCCCTGGCCAGCGCCCCCTGGGCCAGTGCCCCCCGGGCCCAGCCCCTGCAGCAGCTCACTCACTTCTTGTACTCAAAGAAGTGCTCTGCGGCCTGGCTGTCCCACACCATCCGGGGCCGGTGCTCCTTCAGCATCTGGATGTACCTGGAGGGGCCAGGGCGTCGGTTCGGGTGCCACGGGCGCCCTTGGGCACCCCAGTCCCCCAGGAGGTCTCACCCAGGGCAGCCCGAACACCTCCCTGTGGCTGTCACGGACGGGCAAGGCCACCCAGAGGGGAAAGGATGAAGGGTACCGGTGGGAGGCGGGGCCCAGGGGATGGAGACATGAGGAGGGCGCCCTTTCCAGGTGTACCTGGAGGGAGGGGACATCCCTCCTGACCCCACAGCCCTGCACCCACTCCACGCAGACCCCAGGGAGGCGGCCACGTGACACTCAAACCTTGTTGGGGGCCCAACCTCCAGGACCACACTCTCCGAGCCACGGAGAGGAGCCCCGCCCTGAGTGCCAGGGAGGGCGTGGCCCCCGGACTAGGGAAGGGTGGGGCGACGGCAGCTCCCGGGGCTCTCAGCCAGGCGGGGAGCGCCCCTGAAGTCCAAGGCACAGACGCAACCCTGGCCGGCTCCAAAAGCCTGGAGCCAGCCCTGACTGCCTATCATGGCCCAGCTGCTTGGCCCAGGCCCCCCTCGGCCCTCCGCAGGACGCAGGTGGGCGTCGACCCCCGTCCGCCCTTGCTGGGCAGGAACCACGGTCCCGCCGTGTCAGCACTCTGCCTGCTCACGCACCGACTGACTCGGGCCCCCAGGGAGGCCCTGCTCGGCTGCAGCGTCTGCTCCTGCCAAGGTGAGGTCGGACGGCGGTGTGGGCAGGGGCAGGGGGCGGGTCCCGGACACACAGCCGGCCCCACCCCCTGCTGCCCTCAGACCCGCTGCAGTGGGCCCCTGGGACAGCAGGGGGAGGATCCCTGCGTGGGGGGGGCAGCCAGTGTGTGCGTGTGAACCGAGCACACCCTCAACACGCGCACGGGAGGACATGCGCACACACACCCTCGTGATCAGAGCTCCCCCTGCAGCCCCCGGGCCGCTTGGTGCCTTTCCTCACCTGATCCCACCAGTGGGGTCAGAGAGCAGGACACAGACACACACACAGAGGGACCCTGGGGGGACACTGTGAGGGGACGGCCGTCTGCGCGCCCAGGAGAGCAGCCTCCAGGGGGACCAGCCCTGTGACACCTGGTCTCAGACCCTGTCCCCAGGACGGGGACAGCGTCTGTGGTGTTTGTGTAGGGGCCCGAGCTAAGATGGGTGGTCCTTCAAGGCCAGCAACCCCAGGCCCACCTCCTGCAGGCCACGGATGTGGGGGCAGAGCAGGGCTGGGGGCGAGGGGCCTTCCGGCTGCGCAAGGGAGGGCAGTGCACACGGCAGCCGACCCGGGGGATGGCCAGACAGACACGGCCCCTGACCGCTGACGATGGCAGAGTGGCAGCGGTCTCTGGACACACTGCCCGCTGGCGGGGCCAGGCCTGGGGACAGGCAGCAGCTCACATGGTCTCCCAGGGACAAATGGCACCGGCACCTGGCCAGGCATTGCCCCCTTTGGCAAAATGGTACCTGGCCCCGAACACAGGCCCACAGGAAGTGGGCGACAGGACCACGGGAAGGAGCCACCACTGTGCGGACCTGACGGGCAATGTGGACGGCGAGGAAGACCACCCCCAGCACTGGGCCAGTGGTGACGGGAAAAGGCCTGGGGGTCAAGAGCCGGCGACGTGGCAGGAAGCGGTCACTGATATGAAGACAGGGATGGAGACCAGAGAGAGGGCAGGGGGAAGAAGGGCTGGAGAGAGCGCCGTGCACATCAGCAGGCTGAGGACGGACCCGCCACCCCGAGCAGCACACACTCGAGGGCCTGCGGGGGAGGACAGCAAGGCAGGGACCGGGAAATGCTTGGAGAACCGGCCACAGTCTCTCCGCACCTGATAAAACGTCTGAACCCACAGATGCAAAAAGCTCAACGCAAACCGAGTGCAGGAGGAGCCCCCTGTGCAGGCCCCGCCGGCCACACTGCGGCAGGAAGACCACAGAGTGAGAGGCCGGAAGGACTGGGGAAGAGCTGGCAACCGGGGACTCTACACCCAGCAAAAAGGCCTTCCAAAAAGAAGGAACATAAAGCTGAACAGCCCTGGCCAGCGTGGCTCAGTGGGCTGGGCGTCATCCTACGAAGCTAAAGGTCATTGCTTCGATTCCCAGTCAGGGCACAGGCTGGGGCTGCGGGTTTGACGGGCACAGAACCAGCAGAGCTGCACAGTGGGGGGGGGGGGCTGTCAAGTCGGGGTCCAGGTGACCAGGGCCTCCAGGACTCTGTGGGGTCCCGCCCAGGCCTGGCCCACGTGCCGCTCACCTTGCGAAGGGGGTCCACAGACCCGCTGACGGTAGGAAGTGCTGGAGGTGCCCCAGCTCGGGCTGGCACGGCCCCCGCCTTGAGGCTTGGGGGGCGCTGCACCCAAGTGCTCAGACCTGCCAGGGCTTCTCTGTCCATCACCTCCGGAGACACGCAGACCCACTGGCATGAGGGCGTAAGGGGAGGGGGCGGCACAGGAGGCTGCCTTGCATGGTGGGGTCCCCAGCTCACCTGGTCCCAACGACAGGCTCGCGGGCCTCCCTGGAGGCCGAGTAGTCCATGCCATAGAAGTTGAGCCCCAGGAGGATCTTGCTCCGCCACTTGGATTTGGGGTCCAGGACCTGGACACAGGCTCGCACCCAGGACAGCGGCGCGTTGGGGCCCGGTCTGCAGGGTGAGGGAGGGGTGGGTGTCAGCGGCAGGCGGAGGCCTCGGCCCATCTGCCGTGGGCCCCCGGCCGGGGGCAGGGTCTGTGCACGTGGGCAGTAAGGAAGCGGCAGCTGACCGTGGGTCTCCCTTGTCCACCACACCTGCCCCACCAGGGCTGCCGCGGGAGCAGCGCAGCTTGGGCTGAGGCCCCGGGGGTGGGGACAGGCAGACGTGTGCAGCAGCAGGACACTGTCTCCCTGGCGACAGGGCAGACCCACTGCCCATGGCCACCACTCCCTGGAGGTGTGGCTGGGCACGGTGGTCCCGCGGGGGGCTGCCTGCCGCCATCTCCCACGGGCCCCCAACAGGAAAAGGCTGCGTGATGCAGGGCCCACTGCGGGCCTCGGGGAAGACTGGACAGGGCCCTGGGTCCCGAGCGTCCAGCCCCACGGGCGGTGAGCACCTGCGCACGGGCTGTAGCGGGCAGGGCCCGGCCCCCACACTCACTGCTGCGCGGTCGGGTAGTCGTAGGTCATGAGGCTGAACCCGTCCAGCACGGGGCCCAGCTGCTCCAGCTCCTTGTGCGTGAACATGCCCAGCTGGTCGGTCCTGCACGAGACAAGTGTGGCCACTGGGACCGTCACACAGCCTGCTGGCCTCTCGGTTGGCGCCCCCAGCCCACAAGCAATCTCCGCTCCAGGCAGGCCCGGGTCCAACCCTGGAAATGGCTCAACTCTCCTCAGAGGGAAAGAAGGCAGGCAGCTAGGTCAGTGCCACACTCCAGAAGTGGGGGTGGGGGGCACACACAGCCCCTGGGTCGTCTCTAGGGCCTTGTCTGCCCCAAGACCCCCGCCTCACTGCCCCCAGCTGCGTCTCGTATGGTGGACACTTCCTTCCTCCATCACCCCGACGGGACATCATCCCTGGATTGTCTTGACCCCACCTTGCCAGGTGATGAGTGCCTCGCCTGTCCTTAAACCCCCTGCGGCCCTGTTCACATGGCTCTACCCTCCCCCCACCTCCTGCTCCCCACCTCGCTCAAGGCTGAAACCCTGCCTACCAGGTGGGGAACCCCAAATGTTGTCCCGGGCCCCTCTGTCCACTGTCACTGGCCTTGGCCTCACCTCGCCCGTGGAGGCCGCCTGCAGGGCAGCCCCCAAGCAGCCTGGTGGGGACCTAACCAGTGACAGGTGGAGGGCCTGCCCAGTCACCCTGGCCCCCTGCCAGCTCTTATCTGCTCCTCCCCGGTTGCTCCTCCAGGCATGAGCCCACCTGCCCCACGAGGGTGGGAGGGGACCATCAGCTGCAGGCCACCTCAGCCCTCCAGCCTGGACCCCTGCCCTGCTGCACGTACCGCCACCTCCGTGCCTGCCCCCGCCCACAGGTGACCTGTGCCCCCAGGTGAGTGGGAGCGGGCCTCCATGCAGAGCCTGCGGACCACGGCGCCTGCCTACCGGAGACCAGGGGAGACCAGGGTGGCCAGCAGCAGAGGGACAGAGATGAGGGCTCAGGTCCCGTCACAGGACAACCCAAGGCTGGGCCAGGCAGCCGTCGGGGGCCCCAGAGGCCCAGGAGCTGCGGCCACTGGAGACACGCAGGGCCAGACCAGGAGGGCCGCCAGGGCTCTCACAGACCAGGTAGCTGTGCTGTGCGCTGGCATCTCCGGTGGTGCAAGAAGCTGAGCCAAACCCCTGCCTGGGCAGGACAGCAGTGGCTGCATGCAGCGTAGGCTGCGACCTTGGGGACAGGGCTCAAGGTCAGCACTGGTGGGAGGGCCCTAGACGTCACACACCTGCACGCAGACCCCTCCCAGAGCCCAGGCTGTGGGGTGGATCCCACTGCAGAAAGGCGCCCTGGGGGGAGGGTGAGTGCCAGTCGCCAGCCAGGCCTGCCCCAGGCACACACACACCTGGTTGCGGACCACAGCTGTGGTCCCCACTCCTGGCAGCCCCAGACCGCCTCTCAGAGGGAGCTTCCTCTTTGGGTGGCTGCAGGGTGAGGGGCCAGCTGACCCCAGCTCACACCCACCTCTTGCCCCGGTGCCAGGAGCTGGGCACAAAGGCTCTGGGGCAGAGAGGGTGCCAGCAGGAAAGGGCCCTGCTGGGACCAGAGGCTGGTCCTTCCAGGGGTGTCCACCTCCCCCCAACACACACCCGCTGCCAGTCCACCCGCCCTCTGCACTCACTGGAAGCTACGAGGCCCTGTGTGAGTGGGAGGTCTGGGCCAGGGAGGGGCTGTGGACAGAGCCCCTGCCTGAGAAGCTGCCCCTGAAAACCCCCAGGAAACAGGGAGAGCCCTGGGCCTGGGGCATCTGCCGCCTGCCTTCCTCCAGCCACGGCCCACCGGTCCAGAGAGGGAAGTCGGGCAGGAGGCTGCTGTCCAGGTTGTGCAAAGGGACCTCTGATGACCTGTGGTGGGCACTGTGGGGCTGGGAGGACAGCCAGCCAGGCACACTGTCCCAGGAATGGCGCTCGCTTCAGGGGGCGTGTGCCTCAGCTGCTGGAGGGCCTGCAGGCCCCTGGGAGCGTCAGCTGTTTTTTGTGTGAGTCTGTTAACCCGTGAACACACCCAACAGGCCACTGGCCCGAGCTGCCCCGGCTCCGGCCCCTTCAGGGCCTCTGGAGCCCCTCCTGTCACTGCCCTGCCCCTCACCCTGCAGCCCTTGCACTGTGCTCTGGCCACGGTGGACAAGGCAGCCAGACTGCCTGGGCCCTGACCCCCCTTTCCCCCCAACCGTTCCACAGGTCTGGAAGAGCCCTTGGAGGGGGCCGGACCCCTGAGCTCCTGCGGCCCAGCCGGTGCAGACCGGGCTGTGGAGCTCCAGGGCCACGCCTGAGTGAGTGGGAGTCTAACAGGCCCCGCCCCTCAGTGGGGGGGGTTCCAACACGGCCTCACATGTGCGGGTGCAGGGGCGCGGCCTCTGCCTGTGGCCTCAGGTCCCCAGCCCCTAGTGAGTGCAGCCCTTACCCGGGGGTGACGGCTGGTGGGATGACCAGGATGACCACCAGCCGGGCCTGGTGCAGCGCCTCCGCCATGTGGGTGAGCATGTGGACGAGACCCCTGTGAAGACATGGACGAGGTCAGGCTGGCTCCCCCTCACGGCGCTTTCAGCCCTGTGGGCACAGGACACCCAGCCCGGTGGGCACTAGCCACTCAGTGGTCCGCCAGCTGACCCTCCTGGTGCCCCAGGACCTCACATGCACCGTCTCAGTGGGGCCAGGCTGAGTGGACGCAGAGCAAGGGGCCACCTGGAGACCTGGCCGTGCAGCAGCCCAGCCCTGAGCCCTCGCTGTCTCCGTCCAACCCCCAGACCGGGCTTCAGGGCAGGAGTGGATGGGGGCCTTGCAGGGTCACCTGCGGGCTTGGGGGTCCAGGCACAAGGAAGCAGGGGCCCCTGCGCCCAACAAGGGGGGCGGAGAGCCCTTGGCATGCCCGCCTCTGAGCCTCAGGTGGGGGGTCTCTTTCCCCATGTCCCACCCACCTGCCCTGAGGAGGTGGCCGGGAGCCCAGCCCAGCGCCCTGCACAGGCAGGCAGGAGGGGCGGGCTCAGGCCTGAAGGGAGGGCCAGCCCACTGCACTCCAGACCCCGCTGCTACCCTCAGTGATGGCCTGTGGGTGGCACCGCCACTCTGTGGAGCTGTGTCCCTCCCACATCTTCTGTGGGGCCGACCCCCACGTCCCTGCTGGACTGGGGGTGGTCCCTTTGGCAGGCAACTCTCGCCAGGCACTCTGGCCGGGGGAGTGCAGTTGAGAGCGCACACAGAACTGGGCGGACGCAGAACTCGAGGGCTGGGCGGCCAGGCCAGGCCCTCCCCAGGTTCCCAGGAGGCTCCGGTGCCCGCGGCACCCCCGAGCCCACTCACGCGCGCTCCTGGCTCAGCAGCTGGCTCCAGGCCTCCACCACAAAGCCGTCGAAGTGCTGGCTCTGAAAGGGCCCGGCGGGCGGTCGGTCAGAGGGAGGGCTGCACGGCAGGCTCCGCGCCCTTCCAGGAAGGTCACAGCTCGAGGGTCACGCCGCAGGCACAGAAGTGCCTCTCTGCGCGGGGAGGCGGGAGTCCCCACAAGAGCCAGAGGCAGAGTGGCCAGGGCTCCCCAGCGCCTGGGGCCCGAGGTGCCCCCACCTGCACCCCCGCACATAGACAGCTGGGCGTCACCCGTGGAGCACCAGGTCTCACCTTGGCGACCTGGACCACGGTCTTGCTGAGCTCCTCTATCTCGTCCTCGCTGTCCCAGACGCTCCGGAAGTCCTCACGAGTCCAGTCCTCAAACAGGAGCCGGGGCACTGGGGGAACAGGCCTGAGTGGGTGCTGTGATCCTCCTGTGCTCTGCTCCACCCACGAGGCGGCTGTTGGCCCCCAGAGCAGAGTGACCACACAGCTGTGCACCCGGTGCGGTCACCCCAGCAATACGTGGCCCGGAGAGGGCCCCCGGTCGGCCGGGGAGGACAGAGGTGCTGACCCGGCTGCCCAGCGCCCACTCTTCTGGCTCTCCGCTGCCTGGCTGCTGCTGGACCGTCTTCCTCCCGGACCCGACTCCACGGCCCCCCATCAATGCCAAGTGCAAGTCTGCTCTAGGACCCTCCCTGGCTGTCTCTCCCAGGCCCTGCTGGCCCCACGACACTTGGGGACACTGCCCTCCCTCGCTAGCTGGGAGCTCCAGGGTGGGCAGGGCTGGCGTCCCTCTCAGACTTGGCCCTCAGGCCCACGATAAAAGCTCGCTGGGTGAATGAAGAAACTGGTGAAGGGGGCACTGGCCTGGGCGGGCGGAAGAACCAGAAGTCCCCAGCTGGACCGAGGGCCACGAATGCCAGGTTGGGGCTGGCCTCCTTTCTGCACCGTTGCAGAGCTACCCGTGGGCATGGAGAACACCCCGGGGCCCCTCACCCTGGCACAGGGAGGCCACAGCGGCCAGGGCCTCCAACCCTGACTGCCCGATGCCCTGGACTCACCTATGCGCAGGCCCTTGGCCTGCTTCCTGACGGCGCGCATCCACCCTGTGGACGGGAAGAGGACACTCAGCCCAGGGACCCAGGTCCTCACTCATCTTGGAGGAAAATGCTTGGCCGCATGCGGGAGAGTGAAGGGGAGGCCGGTGGGGAGAATCCAGGGCCCTCCGCCCCCGGCAGAGCGGCCTGGGCCAGGGCAGCTCCGACCCTGGCGCTGCTTCTTGGCTGAGGGGTGTCTGGAGGGCCAGGGTCCGAGCTGCCCTCCTGATGTTGGGGGCTGCTCTGGGTCTTGAAACTTTACAATCAGCTGACATGTGTGTCCCTTCAGGACCCCAAAGGGGGACAGCCATGTAAGCTTGGGCGCAGGCCCCAAAACGTGGTCAGGATGGCTGGGCCCTTGCTCCTCCCTGGACCTGCCTTGTCGAGGTCTGTGGCGGCCACAGCGCTGAGTGGGCCAGACGTGCCGGGGGGGGGGGGCAGAGCGTGTCTCCAGGGGCGGCCAGCTCCTCGGGGAGGGCCCTGCCCTGCCGCCTCCTGGCCGGCAGCACCGTGAGGGACCCCACACAGCCCCTGGCTGAACGGAGAGGACCCCTGCATGGGTTCTGCCTTCTGCCGCGGACACCGGCCGCCTCCGCCCTGTGCCTGCGGCTCAGACTCTGCTCTCACAGACACTGCGCAGCCCTTCCCCAGACCCCGCTCCAGGGCATCACAAGCGAGCTGCCGAGGGCAAATGAGGGGGTGCCGGTCGACATGGGCAGTGGTCACACTCACACCAAACCTCTCACACGCTCACTCTCTCACACCCCTTGGGCCCGGGGACACGCCAACAGGTGGCAAGGTGAGAACCTTGGTCCACGTCATGGAGGCCTGTGACCTCGAACATCTCCCGGCCACGCCTCTTCAGCTGCAGCCACACAGGTGAGATCTGCGTGAACTTGCCCCCGAAGACCTTGGCGATGTCGTAGCCATGGCTGTTCCACTGGCAGAGGACAGAGAGGCCAGCTGAGCCCACCTGCAGCCGGGGCCGGAGGGCTCAGGCGCTGCCTCTGGATGGGGGCACTGCAGGCCCAGCTGCACCAGGCAGATGAGCCCCCGAGGACCCCCAAGCATGTCCCCCTGTAGCCCCACTGTGGTGGTCACCTGGGGAGGTGAGGCTGCAGACCCCAGTTGCTGCCGTGCCCTTGGGACCACCCCATTCCCTGCCCCCCTGGGCCCAGCTTACTGGGGTGACATAGCCCAGGACGTCCCCAGCAAAGTGTCGCTCCCGGGCCCTCGCCGAGCAGTAGCTGCGGTGCTCAAGCACCACGTCCTCGGCTCGGGGGTCTGTCACCACCAGACCCCGGTCCTGCACCGGCGTCTCTGAGAACTGAGTCTGAAATGACAGGCACGGGGAGGAGGCCTGCAGTGTCTGCGGCAAAAGGCAGAACCGGGCACAGGGGTCCTCTCCGTTTAGCCAGGGGCTGTGGGGGGTCCCTCACGGTGCCATCGGCCAGGAGACAGCAGGGCAGGGCCCTCCCCGAGGAGCTGGCCGCCCCCGAAGACACGCTCTGCCAGACACGCCCCAGGCACGTCTGGCTCAGGAGCCCTGTGGCTGTCACAGAACTCCACGAGGCGGGATGAGAGCAGGTGTTGAAAGAAGCAGAAAGCAGGTCACGAGAGAAGCCGGGGCCAGGCCCAGGCAGAGCCGCAGGCCCCAGTGCCAGAGGCTGTCCCCTTTGAGGCCGTTCGGCCGGAGCACTGGGCCGAGGCCCCAGTCTGCTGGCTCACAGGCCGAGTGAGCACGGGGCCCCAGGGGGCAGGAAGAAGGTGCAACAGGTCAGTATTTCGGCCAGTCCCAGACCACCCTGACCTTCTCCTGCAGTGTCTTGGAGGCGGACTTCTTGGCGTCCGACTTCGACAGGGTGGTGTGAGCAGAGCCGCAAGCCAGAGCAAGCCAGAGCACGTGCAGGAGCGCCTTCATGGCGGGCAGGTTACAGGCGGGGCGGTCACGGGTGGGGTCCGGGGCCTGCAGGGAAGGCAGAGCCCGTGGAGGCCTCCAGCAGCATGGGGCACCCCCTCTGGCCACTGGGGGCCTCGTCAGAGCGGAGCCTGGGGGCTGGTGGCACTGGCCCAGAACACAGCCCTGCTCTGGACCAGCCCCAGCAGCCACAGCTCCCATTCGGCCCCTGGTTTCTCCCACAAGAGCAGGAAGGGGCTTCCCCGCCTCCCCCGCTGCCCCAGGGCCATGCTGACCAGTGCCAGCCCGCAGGGAGAACTCGGGCTCTTCCTTCTCCATAGACCCAAAGAAGGCCTGGCCTGAGGGCTTCCCTGCAGTGAATGAGGCAGCGAGGGAGGTCAGAGAGGACCCAAGTGAGCTTCGCGGCTGCTGGGACTGAGGTGCCCGAGGGAAACATCAACAGCGTGTACTGCACTACGGTGCGCTTTCGTTTAGAAAACAAAGCTAATACAGAGAATAAACCAGAAAGAGCACACAGAGCAGACTTGGCAGTGAGTGGCTACGTGTTGCCTGTGCCTGGTGTGCTAAGAACTCTTACGAATCCAGGAAAGATACTCTAATAAAAGGTGGCCCACTGCAAACAGAGCTGGGGATGTGAAGGGGGTAACACCCAGACAGCCCGAGCCCCCGAGGCGGCACCTTGGCTGCCGCAGAAACCGGAGGAGTGGACGGGGAAGTGAGATGGCATCTCCACCCACCTTGGAGAGAGGACTGGAGGGACAGAAGCAGCTGCGAGCCCCCAACCCTGCCCCCTGCCCCCTGGGCAGCACCTTCCTAAGCTGGTGCTGGGAGTTCAAGCCAGAGACACCTTTCTGGGAGACAAACCCACCCACAGATCTTATGCTCCCCAACACAGTTCCTCTTGCACAACTCCCACTGTTTGGACCTTCCACTCCCATGCAGCAAACACAGGAAGGTGTCTGTGGCAGAGAAGGGCCTGCGCCTCCTCCCATGGGGACAGGGACAGGCGCTTGGACGTGCAGGATGCACTGGCACTGGTTGCACGAACGTTAGGAAAAGCACTCACTCGGCACGGTCCCAGCTTTATTTATTTTATTTGGGCCACAGCCTGCCACCCCACCTGCTGTCCTCACACAGGTGGACAGACATCCCTCTGCCTGACCCTTGATCTCTGACTTCATGCCATCGGGAAGGAAAGAAGAAAGGGTGGAGATGGGGTCAATCTGGAGGAACACAGGCTCTGCTGGCTTCTGCGCCCGAAGGAGGAGCAAGGGAAGGAGGACCAGACTGAGCTTGAGGCCCGGGTAGGCACTGCACTGACCACCTGTCCCTGCGCCCGGAGTGGGGGTACAGCTCAGGGACGAGCAGGCAGCAGGGAGCAGCACTTGGAGTTCTGGGTTGTTCCCTGACCAGCAGGGGACTTCCCAGACCGACTGCCTGACTGGCACTCAGTGGTGGGGACCCAGCACATGGGCCGCCTGGTGTGTGGGTGCTCCTGCGGAGGGAGGCCCTATCTAAGCACTTCCCATGGCTCCCCACTTTGCACTGTGGGGAGATGCCCACCCCCACCTGCTTCTCTGCCCAAGGCATCATGGTCCTGCCAGAGCTGGCTGCTGAGCTCCTGCATCCTGTTATGTCAGAACGTGTCTTCACGCCCCATGACCTCCTTTGTGCGGAATGGCCCTGGAAGGGAGTGCAGTGTGTGGTGACCATGCGCGCTTGCGGTCACCCAGCAGTCGTTACACACCCAAACCAGAGGGCTGCAGGAGGCGGGGCTTCAGACCCATTGTGAGTGAGGCAGCCAGGAGCCCACCATCTGAGGCTCTAAGCTCCTGGGACGATTGGTTCAGCCATGTGTGTGACCAAAGGACAGTGAGTCCCCATGGTGATGTTCAAGTGTTTTTCATCGAAACCCACAGTAAGAGTGCTGACCACAGCTGGGTTCACACGCCCACACGCAGAGTGCATGCATGTGTGAGTACAGGGAAGGTGCTGAGCAGAGCCCGTGCTCTGTGACGCTCTCTGACCGTGTCTCTTCCATGGCACTTTCAGACACCGGCTTTCACCAGTCCAGTTGGCCTTGCTATTCAGTGATGTGCCGTTTGAGAGAAATGCTGAACGATGTGCCCCGAGTGTCTGTCACTGACACCAGGCTGGACCCTGAGCCGACTTTGGCATTAACAGAACAGCAAGTGTGTTGTTACTCATCCCAGCTCTCGTCTTTGAGCGCAAATTCTGGAGCCAACTGGGTTCCTGCGGGGAGGGGTGAAGGCACTCGGAGGCAGGACCGCAGCCCGCTGGGACATTTATGACCGCGGGCTGCAGCAGGCGGCTCGCCACACCCGGCAGGTCCTGTCATCATGCCCTCAGGCTGAGGAGGCGGGCAGAGGACGGGTGGCCACTGCGCTAACGACAGGGCGATGGAAACAGGAGTCCAGCAGAGGTCCGGTTGTGCCACCAACCACTGTCCCCGGACCCCTCTGGGCTCAGCTCTGGTGACCTGGGAAGCGAGGGGCGGCGAGTCATCCCCCCGTGTGGAAAGTCTACCCTTTCAAGGCTGGGGGCTGAGCGAGGTGGGGTCCCGCCCAGTGCACCCCAAGCAGCACCGGGACCCTACCTAGCCCCTGGGGACAGGGCGACCACCACCCTCCCGGTCTCACCAACCACTGACAGCCACCTGTCACATTAGGCCGTGCTGCTCCCACTCAGGGTCTTATTCGCACACGCTCGTTCTCACGGGTCCACGCTCGAAGAGCTGCGGCTCTTGTCCGCACCCGCACGCCGCCCACGTCCTCCTGCACAGACAGCCCTCCCGTCCATGCCCGCTCACACCGCTCGACTCCGCGCCTCCGCGCGCCCACTGCACGGAAGGGGGCTGAGGCCATGTGCGGAGGGGGCGCAACGCCCAGACGCGGGCGCCTACACCACCCCGGCCAGCCGCCGTGGGGCTCACCTTCATGTCCCGGTGGCCGGCCGGACCACCCTCGCACGGTCGGAAGACGCTTGCCGGAGCCGCCGGAAGTCCCGCCCCAGGGCGCCCGCGCCTGTCAGCCGGTGTCACACCAGTTCCGCGTCGCCGCCGAAGCGCACTGCACGCTGGGGCGGGGCTTAGGGACAGGGCTGAAGAAAGGAGCCTGAAATGAAATAAGGCGGGGCTTGAAGTAGGGCCCAAGGGCGGGCCAAAGGGGCGGAGCCGGGATGAGGGGCGGGGTCAGGCTACGGGCTGGGAGTGGAGCCAGGGGGCTTGACCCAGGAGAATCAATGGCCCCTTGGGGGCTGGACTCGGAGGCGGCGGAGACCCAGGGACTGGAGAACGGGACAGCCAGGCGGCGCGTGGACCACGCGTCCTCCGTAGTGTGTTGAGCGCCGCTGTGCTGCGCGTTCCCCGGGTCTCAGGCTTTCCCCGGAGCACGACAGCCTTGCCGGGTGAAGGCGGGATTCCCGGGGGTGTCGCGGTCTCCTCGTGGGCACCAGGGTGTGTGCAGGAGGGGGTTCCTTGCCTCCCCAGCGCACGCGCTCCTTGGAAACCTGGGTGCCTTGTGGAACCTCAGGGCTGCAGCCACGTGTGACCACCAGGGAGCGCCTAAGACTCAGATCCTCAACCTGGCTTGGGCGTGTGGCAGAGGACCGCGCGGGACCGACCTCACCGGCTTCCAAGTTCTTGTCTCTTGGACGCGGAAATCGCCTCTCCAGGCTTTTCTCCTACTCTGCTAGTGGCCGCCCCCCAGCCTAGCCCTCCTGCGCCATCCCCCACATCTCCCTGGGTGAGTGCAACTCAGCCCTTGGCTTGGGTCACCATCCATGGGCTAGTGGTGCCTACACGGTGTGGAGCAGGGGCATGAAAACCCCACGTGCCCGAGACCCAGCGCTGCACTTGTGTTCGCCTCCAGTAACACGGGCACCTTCTTGCAAGTGAAAACAGAACCCCTCTCAGCCCCCAGCAAGAGCAGTCGAGCTTCTGGGATGGCATATGTGGCCAGCAGTTTTAATCACTGGATGTAAGTGGGCAGACCCCCCCACCCACCCATCCCTTGCCGTTTCCAGCAGTTTCCTGCTATAACCCACATAGCCAGTCCCCACCCTGCCCCTGCCCCACTAGTGCCAGGACTATCGCTCAGCTGTTTCCTCTTTCCAGCCTCTTGACAGGCTTCTCCCTGAACCGAACTTTGTTCTCCTTCTTCCTAACCGTGTCTTCTTTCTCTTCCCCACATTTCCTGCCAGTCTTCGCAGAGTGTAGGTGGGGCCGGTGTGTGTGCTGGTGTCTGTCGTGTCCCAACTGTCAAGCGTCACGGGGCAGCTCTGTGTTCCTGCCGCCCAGCTAGCTCAGCTCTGAGGAGTAGTGAGCTACAGCCTTTGGAGTAGTGACCTCGAGTCAGGCGGAGCTCTGGAACAGTTCCCAGTAGGCTGTGTTCGATGGTCTGCCAACTTGCGCAGCCCTATGGGTGCCGGGGAGACCCCAGCAAGATCACAGATCTCAGTGAGAAAGGCTCTAGTCCCTTTAGGGTGCCACTGACTGCAGGGGTCTTTGGAGCTGAAGAATTGTAAAATCCACTCAGTGTTCACTCTGGGCAAGACCCCAAGAGCGGGCGGGTGGGCAGGCGGGCAGGGAGCCGGATACCAGCCCCCTGCAGAGGCCCCACTGGACAGAATTCTGGGGTCCTGACAAAGCGGTCAGCCTCCCAGCTGCCACGGCTGGTGCCGAGGGCGACAGAGGGAAAGCCGGCTCCTTGAAGTGTGTGCATAGCCACAGGAAGATTTAGAATGAGGCGTCCGACGGCTGAGGGGACCCAGAACCCAAGGTTAGCATTCATGTGTTCAGTGAAACCAGAACGGATGGGAACATTTAAGACAACAGGGGTTCGCCACACTTAAAAAGGTAATTGTTGAGCTTGTGAGTTCTTCACTGAGATTTTTTTTTAAGATTTTATTTATTTATCTTTAGAGGGGAAGGAGAGAGGGAGAGAAACATCACTGTGTAGTTGCCTCTAGTGCTTCCCCTGCTGGGAAATAGCCTGCAGGGAACTGGCCTGCAACCCAGGCATGCGCCCTGACTGGGAATCGAACCGCGATCCTCTGGTTCGCAGGCCTGCGCTCAATCCACTGAACTACACCAGCCAGGGCTTCATTGAGATTTTTGTGGTCCGTTCAGACAAGCTTAAGTACCTCAGAAGGAAGTAAGAGATACCTAATTTATAAATTCCTTTTGAAATGTTGAAGATGCTTAATTCACTGACTTTATGAATGGGACCAAATATGAGGCAGGGGCCCCTTAAAAATGACTTTAAAATCTGTTAGGCTTTTAAAGGGAATAATAGGGTTTGTAAAATTAAACTTGACAGGTTAAAGAAATTAGGTTTTGAGTTTACAAAGTCAGTAAATCCTAATTGTTTAAATTTAGTTTAAATCCGAGTCCAAGCCCCTCATCTAGGTCCCCTGGCACGTGGAGCAGCCTGCCCACCAGGGCTCGTGTGGGGTGGGTGCCCACGCGGAGGTCCAGGCTCCCAGATGGGAGCCCCGGTCCAGCCCGCCCTCACATGTGCTTCTCCTTCTCCCCACCCGTCTGCAGTGGACACATAGGACAAGGGCAGGGACATCCCCTGTGGAGCCAGGGGGCCTGTAGAGACATACCTTCCTGCTGCTGGACCCTCCACGGTCTGGGGACACCCGCAGGGCTGGAGCACCCGCTCCAGGTACACCTGGCCACGGAGAGTCCCCACCCTGATCTTGCCTGTCCGGGACAGCCACTGTGGTGTCTCTGAGTTAGTATGGGGAGCCCATTACGTGGTTGACCATGCAAGAAAACACCGCAGCTTGTGTCTGTGGGGCTCCTGGGGGCTGGGCTTGTGTCTTCTGCCAGCAGGCCGTTGCTCCTGGCTTGGGAGGAGGGTGGGGTCCCCAGGCTTGGAGGCCGCCCTGGGCCTCTCTTTTCGAAGAGCTGGCACAAGCCAAGACCCTTCCTGGCAGGGGCCACTGTGACTTGTTTTATCAGGGAGGCCTTGGCCGGGGGTTGCCCCAAGGGCAGGGCCCAGACCACTATCACTGACTCCATCCTATCACTCTTGGGTCCCAAGACATTCCAGTTTTGAGACCGGAAGCTCAGGAAGAGAGGCACATATCAGGATTTCCTGCTGCTGGCTGCCCCCCACCCCCCCAGATGGAGACATCCTCCCTAGGTGCTGGGGTAAGCAAAGTCCAGAGCGCTAAGGGAGAGGCAGTGGGCGTGCTCACTCAGCGGAAGCTTCTGGGTAGAGCTCCAGGGCCAGCGCAGCAGATTTTCTGTCTGTGTCCCACATGTGGCCCCACCAGCCCATCTGGCCTTGGCCAGGGTTGCCTGTGACTCTGGCCCTGAGTGCTGCCCAGCGTGTAGGCGTCTGGTCAGCAGCCAGGCAGGTGCTGGGCCCCAAAGCGGGCATCTGCGATGAGTGGGTGGCCCTGCACAGGGCTGTGCTGTGTGGAGTCAGGCAAAGGTTTCATGCTCCTCGTCATTCTGTAACCAGCCTTCACACACCTGTCCCGAAGGGGAAGGACAGCGTGTGTGTCGCTGTGGTCAAACGGGCAGCACTTCTTGGTGGCTGTAGTGGGGTGAGTGGAGGACCTCAGGAGGCTCAGCGTGTCCCCAAACTGCGGCACCTGTGAAGGCCAGCTTATCGGACAGTAGGATCTCTGCCGATGTCATTCGGGATGCTGGGATGAGACCATCTTGCATTTAGGGTGAGCCCTGAATCCCCTGAGTGGAATGCTTATGCAAGAAACCAGATGGAGCCCTGGCTGGTGTGGCTGAGTGGGTTGGGTGTTGTCCTGTGAACCAAAAGGTCGCTGGTTCTATTCCCAGTCAGGGCACATGCCTGGGTTGTGGGCCAGGTTCCTGGTGGGGGGCGTGCAAGAGGCAACCAACTGATGTTTCTCTCCCTCTTTCTCCCTCCTTTTTTCTCTCTCTGAAAATAAAGAAAAATAAAAAAAGAGATGGAGAACTTTGGCACGCAGCCATGGGGGGACGGGGACATGAGCTGATGGGGCCGAACTAGGGTCACAGGGCCACCAGAAGCTAGAGTAGAGGAAAGGAATCATTTCCTGCAGAGCCTCTGGGGAACGGACCCTGCCAACACCTTGACCTCGAACTTCTGGCCCCCGGAATGGGGAGAGAAGCCGCCAGTTTGTGGTCACTGTGATGGCGGCCCTGGAAAACCATAAGTTCTCTCTCCTAAAGCGTTTTTTTCTCAGGCTAATCTCCAAGCGGCATATGTCCCGTCAGCCCATCCTGGCGGCCCTTAGAGGGAGGAGCTGCAGTGGGTGGGGGTGGTTGGCCTGTGCTGGAAGCCCTGGCCAGAAAACGCCCCAAACTGCCAGGCCCATTTGGTGATGGCCTGCTGGCCGGCTGCTGGCCGGCTGCTGGCGTGGCTGGTCTGGCCTTTAAGGTCAAGGGGTGTATTTTTCAACGGGTAACTCAGGGACACAGGGGGTCCTGGTCACTGCCCTACCGGGGAACAGGACGCCCGAGCTGGCTGCATTCTGGGGGTGGCAGGGCTTCTGTCCCTGTCTCCTGCACCTCTGCGGGTTGGTGTCACCAGGTCCCTGCTCCTGTGGCCATTTACTGGTGATTGACAGCGCTTGCTAAGCCTCTTTGACCCCACCAGGCAGATGGATGTGAAGTGGTCTTGATGACAAACTACAGCACAGGGTGAGGGACGTCCCGACATGCCCCAGGCCCCTGGGTTGGCAGAGCGAAAAGAGCCCCCAGCCACTGGGGCGTAAACATGGGTGGCCTGCGGGCTAGTGTGGTGGAAGATGCAGCCCTTGCCCTTGTGGCTGGAAATGGAGCCCTGTCCCAAGTGGGGGGAAAGGGGGCAGGCACTCAGACCCGGGCCCCAAATCTGCTCACCTCATGAGAGACATTTGTAGTGGGACAGGGTGGGCGCCTAGTCTGACTTGACTCACGGCCTTAGAAAGCGGGGGACTGGGACAGAAAGATGAGCACAGAGGGAAAGTGGCCGTCCATGTGCCGAGGAGAGGCCAGGGCCAGGTCCTTACTCCCAGCTCGGGGGGGCCAGCCCTGCCGAG